CGAGTTGTCGTGATGGTAGGAGGTACTTAGATACGGTCATTTGTAAAGCGTAAGGCGTGGTTTGAAATATGCAATGTAGTGCTGGAAGTGGTACTAGGGAATTGTGCTGAGATTCCTAGCGTACTCACACACCCAAACAATGGCAAGAAAGGTTACGTTTTCATTTAGATGTGAACGAAAGTTTTCAACAAGCACAAGAAATAGACAGAGACAGAGAGGGAATATGTTGGGATATCATACATTTCAAATCAACCTTTCAACACCACTCACTCACTCACTCACTAGCTACCCATATAACATCAACCCACCAACCACACCACACCATCTACCCAACGAACACTACTATCTAACATCCCAAACCCCATATATCAAATCCAATCAACAACCACCCCAAAAAAGAACATCAAGAGATAGTCCAGCCATCCCCACCGCAAACCCATTTTCTATGGTCCTGTTACATTTTTTCGTTTTCCTCTTACACAAAATTCCCGAATATCAAAAGCCTCACACCCAACAACCACACACCGCACTCCACTAAAACCAAAAAAGAAAAAGGAAAAAAGATACAGAAGAAAGATAAAATCCCTCATCCCAACACCGCAACACCCTCATCCATGCCAACATCTAAACCAAAGGCGCCTAGCGTCTAGTACTGGAAACTCCTAGCATGAGCCTTGTGCATATGTCTCTTATGCTTATGCTTCTGGCCCGTGGGTCTCGTCTGCGTCTGCGTGACCGTGATCTCCGTCGCAATCCAGACAATCTCGTTCACGATGTTGCCTTGGGTGCGATACTCGGTGCTGTAGATGGACTGGACGTTGGAACCGGCAGGAGGCGCACTTGGAGCGGGAGTAGGAGCTGGGTTGGGAGGAGTGCTGGCTGGTGGGGGAGAGTTGGCTGCTGGCGGGGTGTTGGCTGCTGCGGCTGGTGAATCGGAGCCTTTGGCTGCGAAGACGGCACCGGCGATGGAAGGAGAGTTGGCGGCGGGTTTGTCGTTGTTGTTTGCGGATGGGGCGGCCCCGGCTGCGGATGTGGTTTTGGCGTCGCCGCCGGCGATGGGGGTACCTGATGCGGCTCCTTTGGGGGCGTCGCCTGGACCTTTGATGGCTACGTTACCTGGTAGGGAATCCATTGGGCCTTTGGTGTCTTCCTTGGCGATCTCGGCGGGGACTTCAAATTTACATTGATTCTGTTTGTCTTCTGCTTGGAGGGTGAAGATTTTGCAGTCTTCGATTCGGCCGGAGTCGTTGGTGCATGTATCGACGGCTTGTTGGAGGAAGTCTACGTCCCAACCCATAATGAAATCACCGTGGAAACCGGTACCTGTAGACTGTTAGTATTTTCCACTATACTGTGAATATGTGAACATACCAACTGCGTCACCATTAGATATGACGAATTCTCCTTCCTTGCCAATGAATGCAGCCGTGTTCCAGATCACTTCGTACAGCAGGGAGGGTAAGCGTTTAGGAAATCCTGGAGGACATTTTCCGTCCATGACGGTCTCAGGGAATGCCATATGGCTTTTCTTATCTTTACTCGTGACATCCTTCCCATTCCAGCAACTTGGAAACATCAACTCGAAACGTATACCACTTTTGCAATTTTCATCGAGAAATTTTTTGTCGGGCAAGGTGTGGCGCTTGAGGGTACCTTCTGGAGGGAGGACGTCGTAGTGTAGACAGTTGAAACCAACGGCAGCCTGTCTCAAGAAGGCTTGATCATTATAAGGCGGAGTAACGGGCCAGGAAGATTGGTCGACATCAGGGACGGGGTAAGAAAAGTTGCGTAGGTTAGTATCTCCAGAGATCATCTCGAAATCTTTAGGGAAAGCTGCGATTTTGGTGTCCCCCTCGGTGTTAGCATGGAGTAAGTAGTATCTGTTCTCTGTCAGGTGTTTGGCTCTGAAGATTTGAACATGAATGTTACTTACGCAAGCATACCACCAACCTGTTCAACCAAAGTAAATTTTCCATCTGCGGATTTAAAGTAAAGAGCCGGGTGCCAATAGGCAGATTTGTCTTGAGTGACTTCACATGAGGTACACTTGCTAGCGAGTAAATCTGCCGTCTTAGATGTTGAGCTGAAACCTAACCACCAAATAAATTAGTAAGACTGTTCACAATCGACACCGGGAAACACTTGGCTCCCCCAGATTTGCAACAAGGAGGAAACAAATGTCAGCTTACCACTTCCACCATGGACGGCGTGAGCATGCTCGGCGATCTCGCCTGGGGACACCAATGGATCGATTCGCGCAACTCCAGTTCTCCCTTTACATGGCATGCGCCAGAATGCGCTAACTGATACGGAGTAGGAAAGCACGATAAGAGCGGCCTTCAAGGCGGTAGAGTTGGAGGAGCGCATAGTTGCGAACTTGCGCAGAGACGATGAAGTATAAAAAGTGTCTGCGCTTTTGTATAAGGTCTAAGGTGTAATCGAATCGATACCAGATGACAGGATTCCGAAGAAAAGAATGCGACAATGGAGTTTAAGGAGAGTCGTTGCCGTTGCTATTGTTGTAAGAGTTATGCGAGAAGATCTGTCAACGGTTGCTGGTTTGATATTCGCTATCAAGGTATTGTCGCTTGTGTGGTCGCTTCGACGAATAGGACCGAAATAGGTTCGGTTGACTTTGCGATCTCGTTCGATTTATATCCCGAAACTCTCTTCAGATGCGAGATGGATACTTCTGTACCCTAGATTCTTCCAAAATTCCTCCCAACTTCCCCTGATGATAGCACGTCCAACGATATTCTTCTCCACGGTCGTCTGAAGCTAAGCGGTTTCGATATCGTTCGAGTTGATGTGAATGTATATTTCTATCTTGCGACAAGTATTCTAGACTTCTCTCGATGCGCTTGCGAATATATGATGCCAAGTGAATGAAAGTAAGAAGTCGTGTGCTGGCCACGGGAGAAGAAATAGGTTGCTCTGGCGAGGAAGTTGAATGAATGTGATGCGTATGTATGAGCTGGTAGTGATAATATTTTCAAGAAATGAATGGCAAGCCGTAGATGTAAGTGGCAAACTGAGTCAAGAAGAGTGAGCGCGAACGAACGAAGGTGGATGGGTGGTGGTCAAAAAGGAGCGGGAGCACAAAGGAAGGTGGGGAGGAGTGAGTAAGTAAAGGATGAAGGAGAGGATGGCGATGGGAAGTGGATGGGAAAGGATGTGATTCGAACGCACGTCCGAACACAACGTGACTAGTTATGCTCCAAACCGCACGAAGAATCAATTCATACAGGGAGTTCATGGATTAGACAAACGCACCCAGGCCATGCTGGTCCTGTCTGGCTGTTGGCACAACCACGTTACCTAGGCGAGAGAGTGTGTTGCTTCAACGTGCTTGAGTCTTTGATTCATCCTCAGCGCTTGAGCAACTGTTTGCTGGGAATTGTAGCTGTCGACTCAGTCCAGCCCAGAATGATTTCTCGATGTCTCCGTTTGACTCCATAATTGTCGACGTCGAGAGATTGGATGTTTGGACCAAGGGGCATGGCATAATCCACCCAACGGTGTCCACCCCAGGAATGCCGTCGACCCATCCCAGACAACGACCAGACTGACCTCTCACAACCCCTACCAGCACTCGGAGTCTGCATGCTTGGGCGTGAATCCCAATCTTGAGACAGGACGATCGTTAGGGGCGACAGGGGTGCCGCTCAGGGGTCGTGAAGTGTATCATATCGCCGCTGATAGGCGGTCGCTCGTCTGATTCTCACGATGGAGGCATCTTTGCCTTGCTAGGCTGTTTTTGCGCCGACGGTGCAGGAGTGGTGATGCAAGGCTGTGTGCGACGTTGCAAGTGGTTGGTGGCAATTGTCGACACGTCGCTTAAGTCCTCAGAGGTTTCTCTAGGCGCTGCAAGTTTGCCCATGAGCGCTACACTCTACGCTCATTGTTCGTCGGTGCAAGACTCTCAGAATCGAATTGTCGCTATCCACGATGTTGGTAAAGAGTGTGCGCTGTTTCGTTCCGGCGCCGTGGAGGTGCAACTCCACCAACGGACGGCGGGAGGTGGGGTGGCAGACTCTCAAGATGAAACTCCCATCACTCACTTTCCCATCCAATGATGCTGATCGCACGGCATTGAACCCCATATGATCTGCCTCGGTAGTGTCCGTCTACTCGATGTGGTTGGTAGAAACGCTGCTAAAACAGGACCACTCAAGGGTGCGAACGCCTCCCGGCATCCACTTAGCACTCTTCACTTTGACAACAAGTTACGAAGACAACGACATCAGAGGGATAGACTTCAAGCTGCGATAGTAATTCAGACTCAACTAAACTAATAAGCCTTTCTTGACGATACAATACGAGCGCGAGTGGGTACAGCCGCGTCCCAGCCGCACATCCCCAGATTTAAACCTCGCTGCATGAAATAGGAGCTGCGAAATCTAGGTTTTTTAGGTGAAAAGGAGGGAATTGGGCAGCGGCTATGTCGGTCGTCTGATAATAACACCGCAGGATGGAAATGCTTGAGCCACGATAAGTTGTATATGAAGTACATTCCGCCAACATTTATGACTTTGGGCTTGAATGGTTTACACAGCTTTGTGTTGTAAGTGCACATGTAGGAAAACCAACTTCCTCATTCTTCAATGTAAGTGCACGTTCATGAAAAACCAACTTCCTTTCCTCAATGCAAGTGCGCATGAAAAGAAACCAACTTCCTCATTCTCAATACACAGTCCACATGTACCAAAAACCAACCTCCTCTTCTACCTCCCTCCCGACTCAGCCCTAATCAATCCAAATACGAAGCATCTCGCCCAGATCCTTTATCCCCTACCTCCCCAAATATTTCCGTCCTCGTACAACCACACCCTCGTGTATCTTCCAGCATGCAGCTAGATAGGCAAAAATAACTATCTACCAACATCCATGACATCCGCGTATCTAAAAATGAACCCGATTGTTGGAACCCCATTCCTTTGCGCGAACAACTAACTTTTCCATCCAACAACCGAACTGTGATGAGTGATTTGCGATCGCATTCTGATAGTTATTCCTTTGCGCCCGTCCAACAACTCCAAGACAGAAAGTAAGTAATGTAATTTACCTATCTCTTACACCCTATACAATCGCTCCCCTGACGACAAGATAAGTAACACCATCTTTTCGCACACTCCACCGAAAAAATGCGCTCGTAAATTTCAATGCAGAGTCCGAGACTGCGTAGAAGCTATCCCAAAAGTTAACGACCCATCTCCAACAACCATCAAATAACCATTGCCATTCCACAACCCCCTATTTCTATCACCCACAAGCCCGCGTACTACATAAACACAAAACACCCTTCGTCTGAACCACCCACGCTCCCTCAAACAAAAACAAGCGTGCCCACTAACCCAACCCACCAAACAAAACACCCATGCCCAACAATTCAGACGAACACTCCCACCCATCCCACCCATCCCATCCTAGAAACAAATGTTTGACAGTAACAGGAATCATGCATACCCCAAGATCTTCGAACAAGCTTTTATTATGGGGAGGGAGGGGGTGTTCGATTCATGATTTCTCGGGTTGCACTTCTTGAAATGGACAGGGGATTCGGGATAGGGGGATGGGTTTTATGATTTATAGGAAATAATAATAGGGGGGTAGAGGAGAATATGTTGGGCTTAGTGATTTGAGGTGTGCTAGATTGGTGATTTGAGATGAATTGATGGGGGATTTGAGTGGTGTATGTGAAATTCATATAACGCTGATGAGGAGGGATATGGAGACGGATTAATTCTTTCTACTATTGGATTTATGAATAGTCGTAACTCATTCAAGAAGCCATACTCACGAACGTCCAGCTGAAATCACTCCTACTCAAAGCGCAACCCCTAGAGCTCAATGCGCGTAAGCCTTGAAACCTCTAGGCCCGGCAAATAGTAGAGCGAAAGTTTGTAAAGTTTTGAGTAGATTATTTGTATTTTCAACATTCGAGACTATCCTTACATGTACATTTACATCGTACAACCCAGTTATAATTACACCCAAACCCGTACACAATCTATTTTTGCGTATACTTCGAAAATTTGCTTTGACGCTTCGACCGCGCTTGGTTAGTGCGTCGTATCTTCTCCTGTGCAATTTCTTTTTGCCGCCTTGCTTCGTAGTCCTCCACCCTCTTGCGCTCCCTGTCTTCAGTGCTTTCAGACATCTTTTCCTTCGCCAGTTTCAAAGTCCCCTCAAAGCCTTCCTTGGCCTCGTTGAACAATTTCTTTGGTGTGCTTGTTCCTTGGAAACGAGAATTGAGCTCAGCTTGGGAGAGTACGGAAGGTGTGGAGGTCGTGGATTGAGAGACGGAAGAGCTTGAGCTTCCAGGTCCTGTAGGGGTTTGTGGTGGGACGGGTGTCATATTGAAAAAAGACCTGAACGTAGGATTTGCCATGGCAACAACTTGACCATAGGATATCGTTGAAGTGATAGCGAAGGAGAGCTGGACAGCTGCTGGAAACCACCAGGTAAATGCTAGTGACAGCGCTGGAAGTCCGAACATCATCGCTTTTTGGATTGAAGGGTCCATTGTGGAATTACCTGCCTCGCCACCTTTCTGAATAACTCAAAATTAGCAATCATCCAAAAGCTAAAGTTCAAGTGACTAACCCGCAAAACCAAATGCAGCATCGTGGCGGCCGCCATGGGCAATATAAAGTACGGGTCTTGAAGTGTCAAGTCCTTAAACCATAAAATACCGCCCGTTTCAAGACCTGGTACTGGAATCTTACACATCTCTCGGAGGAGGAAAAAGGTACCCATTGCCGGGAAAAACTGTAGCGTTGGTAGGAATCCTTTTACAATACTGACTCCTGCACGTTTGTGAATCATTTGGAGCTCGGAACGATGTACCATGACACCTTGCTGGTCGCGTGCTTTAGCCGCTGCCTGCATCTTTTCTGTGATGGGTTTCGTAATAGGCATGATCGCTCGCATTCGGGTGTTGTTCTCTGCAGCATTTACGAACACTTTGAAGAAAACACATCGGACTGCGACTGCAGTCAAGGCGATTGTCGCCCACCATGGCGTACCGCTATATACATGGATATGTTCCACCACAAATTCCATCAATCCAGTCGGCCTAAATCTTGAGTACTGAATGCCTAAAGATTGAAGGTATCCAATTTGGTCTGGGGAGATGCTGGAGGCATTTACGAGGAAATTGTCTAGGTTGTCGAGCGGTGTTACAAAATCTCCTGTCGAATCCACCGAAAACGGTGCTTCTGGTATAGGAGGGGTTGGAAGGGGGTCTGTCGCGGAGCTGGCTGTCTCGTCGAAGGTTGTGGGAGTCGTTGAGGGGGTTTGTATAGGAGTTTGATTCGTGGCTGGCGGGGGTGGTGTTGTAGCAGAGGAGGGTCCTGATGTCCATGAACCCCAAGAAGCAAATCGTACCGCAGTTGCACCCAGCACTACACCATGCGTCTTTGAAGACCACGCTCGCGGTGAGGTTGTAAAGGTGCCGCGCCCGGGAAGGATTGGATTTCCTCGTGTAATGTCATATCGGACGGAAGAAAACTGTGGAAATAAATCAGCGACGACGACTACCAAGGACGCCAGATTTTACATACCTGTCTCCCAGAGACACCCGCTATCCGCCTCCTTCCAATGGATATGTGCTGTATTGAGCAGCGAACACCTCTATTCGGTAACATCTTGAGTGACGGCCGGTGCTCGTCGAGTCTCAAAATATTTTGAGAGCTCTGGTCCGCGACCGAGTTCTGGTAGGTCCGTGCTCAGCTACGCTAATAACCTTACTTGATAGAGAGGACTTAGGCGATACATTTCAAATTGATTATTGAAAGACTTCGATTTCTATTGTTTTTATTTGGCAGATTAGACCAAGTGAAAGTAGGTCTAGGCTCTTGCGCTCCCTAATCGGACGATTCTCTCGAATGTACAGTGTACAGAGCCCAGCATTGACCTCGGTAGTTCGACCAAAGACTTGACTACATGGCAGATATTCTATATGCAAATCCGCAAGACCAGACAAATAATAGCAGATGTATCCTCTTCGTGTCTATTTTATACTAACCCATTTGAACGCCCATTACATGTGCCACGACACAGTCACAGTATATAAATTTTACTCCATACTCGTCAGATCATCCAATTGCCCATCTCTCCTCCGCGCCTCAAATGGGTTTTCTCGAATCTCGATACCGGGACCAACTGAATGGCTACTTCGTCCTGAAGGGAACACCTAAAATGGAATGAATTAGCTATGGCGCACAACTTCTTGTATTTGTGTCCCAGCAATTTTGTTCAATCGCGCTTTCGAACAATGTAAAGTAAATAGAAGAAAGTGATTTCCTACCTTAGTCCCACCCCATCCCAATCGAAAAGCAGCCTCGTGTGCAAACAGCTCTCCAAATCCAAGCATCATTCCATTGATGAACGGCAAGAGTAGGTTTATGGCGGCCCCCCGAACAAGTCCCCACAGAGAAGGAGGCTGGTATAGTATCATCGGCGGTGAACTCGAAGATGATGGTGGCGAAGGAGAGAGTTCATCATTGCCGGAATACTGTTCGGAGTCGGAGGGAATTGTCAAAGAGGACTCCGTCATGGGATTGAGTAGGTCTTCAGAGGCCATATTTCGTTGTTGTCCAACAATTTCACTATCAAGTCGCAATATGTATGATTGTTCTTGCTGGGCTCTAAAATGCTTGCTGAGGTCCTGGTTGCGATGTTGACGTTCTTCGAATCTGTGTGAGAACCCTCGAATAATGAAACTGGAAGCTATGGAATTCACGACGAGTCCTCGGCTTGTTCCGCGTGGAACAGAGGAACAGCGCGCTAGCATCTGTCAAAGTGGGTCACCCCACCAAGAAGGCAGCTTCCGCCTCGTCGCCTCAAATAGGTCCCAACCAAAACATCTTCAGTTGTCATACTACACTCGTTGAATTTTGCCTAGCAATCTCGAAAGTACTACGAACAAGCCTCACATTAACAATCTGGACTGTCAGTCGCACACTCTATCCCTCAGAAAAATCAAATGGCAGATAGCACAAGTCATGATGAGCTCATTCAAGAGTTCTGCGAATTGACAGGAGCTTCGCCATCAGAGGTACATACCGAGATTCCCTTCCGTCCCAGCCGTCTGCATGAGATGTATCTGACTCTTTCTCTATAGGCACAGCAATATCTCCAGGCCAATCGATTCGACCTATCCGGTGCAGCAGCGGAATATTTCACGGCGCAGGAAGAAGGTGTACAAGCAGCACAAGAAGGTACAAATGACCCCCAGGAACCCGAAGCATACACCGGTCCACGTACGCTCGATGGTCGACCGGCTCCTGCAGCTATTCCTGCGGCCCCGTCGAGCTCTAGATCTGCTCCACCACCAAAGCGAGGGGGCATAGCAACTTTAGGGTCTTTGAACAGCTCCAGTGGTCATGGTCATGGCCATGCCCATGATGATGATGACGATTCGGACGACAATGACTTCGAACCGGATGAGCAGCCCAGGGATCTTTTCGCCGGGGGAGAGAAATCAGGATTGGCTGTCCAAGATCCAGGAGCAAATCGCAACGATCCGCGGAAGGTTGTAAATGATATCCTTAAGAAAGCTAGAGCGTAAGTCTACTACGTATAAATATGTAAGCTGGACTAACCCTGGTAGTAACGCCGCAAGACCTGGAGCTGAACCATCATCCTCTACTCCATCATCTTCACGATTTCGCGGATCGGGGATGACGCTAGGCGGCGACGATGCTCCATCCCAATTCGTTCCTGATCCACAACCACGATCTGCTGAACCCGGTCCAAGTGAGACAAGAGTTCTTCATATATGGGCTGATGGTTTTAGTATTGAGGATGGACCTTTACGCCGTTATGACGACCCTCAAAACGCAGCTGATCTGGAAATGATCCGCTCTGGCCGAGCGCCTATCCATCTGATGGGTGTTCGAAACGACCAGCCAGTTGATGTTCAACTCATGAAGCACAGTGAAAATTACAAAGCGCCCCCTAAAGTCTATAAACCATTCTCTGGGGGCGGCCAACGCTTAGGTAGTCCTACTCCCGGGCCTTCTGGCGTATCTTCCACACCTGCTGCTCCTCCCGCTGCACCAGCTGCATCCAGTAGTACGACTGTTACAGAACCTTCAGTTGATGACTCTCAGCCTGTTATCAGACTTCAGATTCGACTGGCCAACGGCACGCCATTACGCACACGATTCAATACCACTCACACTATCGGTGATGTGTATGATTTTGTTACTCGGGCTTCAACCGACACTAGTCAAAGACCTTGGGTCCTTGCTACAGCTATGCCAAGCAAGGACCACACTGACAAGTCTTTGGCTCTTGGTGATGTTCCGGAGCTGAAGAGAGGTGGTAACGTGGTTCAGAAGTGGCTTTGATCTCGTGTCAGTGTAGTAGGCGAGATGATGAACAAAAAAGTATATGAAATAATCAACATGAAGGTCCCGTTACGGGTTTATGATGGCGTTGGTGGATCTCTTGACTATTTGCGTTTAGCACATAGATGATTTTAGACGACGGGGTACGGGGAAGACTTTACTTTTAGAGTAAGCCACCAAAATCCAACCTCTTTACTTTCACCAGTGGCGCTGCGCTAAAGACTGTTTGATGTTTAAATGATTTGACTTCTTTCCGTAGCAAGAGTTGATGATCAATTTTCATTTTACCAGAGACAACCCGCATCGGCAAGATGACGAGCCATTCTTCGTATTTCGGACACTTCTTAGACTCGATTTCTTTCATGAACTCAATTTAGTATGTTCTATAGTGCATCAGTACCGAATGCGCAGGTTTTTGGTCATCGGCGACTGGTAGTTGGCCATCGACAGTCGTCAAAATAACTCGAGTTCCTGTATAAACCTAGGCACAACGGTCTTCATATTCACTTTCCTGAGTTGTGCCCAAGTAGATTATGGTTGCATCAATAATTGGTATAGTAACTCTAAAGCAGTGTCCTCTGAGGCGATTTGCTTGTTGAAGTTAAGCGGACGTGAACATCTGCTTAAATTAATTTAGGATGCTGTCGATTCTCCTAGTCAATCAAAATTGAGAAAGTCATAAGAATGAGGTTGCGCAAGATTTGCATACTAATAATAGAAGCTACTAATCACTTGTACCGACTAACAACCCGTCAAGGATGACAGGCAGACATTGAGTCTAAACTTGAAAGCTGCTTCTTTCATCTACAAGTTCAGATCACCTCGCGGTAGAACGAGATAAGTGGCGGTATCTCTTTACTTTTACCACCTGGCAAAGTTCTCAATTCAGATAATACTCCGCAGTAGGAACTCCTTTTCTGTAACGAAAAACGATATATACAAGACTAATCTTAGCACTCGAGTATATCTTGTAAATTTGACTACCACATGTTTGTCTGTTACGAGCTGCTCGTATAGACTCAAACTGGTTATTGTCATTGGTCAACCTCAAATTTTTCAATTAAGAACTTACGTGGAGATCGCCTTAAGTGACAGGAACAGATCTGGTCTTGGCTAATATAGGCAACCTCAAGCTCGCATGTCAACAGCCGAAATAGGTTTTCTCATTTTCTCATTCAGCCTCCAATATCAATTTAACCATCAAAAGTACAACTCTCTCAACCAGAATGCTGCAGCGAACCCCTGGCTGCATCGTACGGGTATATGCAGCTGCGCAGCGCGATCCTACGAAGATCAAGGGCCATCCAATTTTTCAACATCTAGAAAATGCACTTTCAGTCTTGTCTAGATTCTTCTCGAGCTCCTCGCAGGCTTTAATCAACCAAGTGTGTCCTCACGTTCTGCATTAGAGCACCACTAGATGTATGGCGCAATCTATAATGGTCCATCGCCTCAGGGCGACTTAAAACTGGTTAAAATGCAGCCCACCGGGAACGCACATTCTTCTTCTGAATTTATTGTTTGCTAAGCGCGAATTTGGGTCAAATTGCAAGGTCTTGGACGGCATGCAGAAGGCAGCAGTTACTCCTGCTAAAGAAACCCTCCAATTCCGCTGTCATGTCATTCCACTCGGAATCAATACAACGGGTCGGCTCTCATTCACAAATACCCGGATGATGTGCTTGATCCAATGCCAATGCCTTCTTTTCGTGTTTCTCTACATCTATTTTAAATAATTCCACATGGAGCTGAACCAGGACTATGGGTCATAACAATCTGTATGACAGGGATCGTCCTCATTAGTGGACAATCAATACTATGGTAAGGTCCGTTACTTGTACATGGCCTGCAAACTAACGGATACCACATCCTGTCAACTGGCTGCCTTGTAGCTATCATTTCATACATATAGTGAGAGCTCCCAGCTCTTTTCCTTGAAACATCGCACTGGAATAGGCACGGCGTCCAAGGCAGCTCGCAGTATTTTCAAAATGATTTCCAGTACCTTCTTCCGAGGTGCCATCTTGTCTCTAGGATTCTCGTCGATTGCAACATCCCAGGAAATTGGAATAATACACGTAACAAGATCGGAATTGATCCAGATTCCTGTCGCAACTCGAGTGCCTATACCAATCGTGCCGACGATTTCAGCAAAGATCAACAACATAGAATTCAAGCTCAATACATCTACCGGCTACGACAGACTTATTGTTGCTCCTGCCGCCCCCGCTGCGGCCGTGACTGTGAGAAACACAAAGAATACCGTCCTAATATTCGCAAGAGATGCAGATTCATCATACTCCGCTTTCTCGGGACTCAACGGTTATGGCATACCATACCAAGTTGTGAATGTCCCGGTAGGAGGTGCCAAACTTCCAGTTCTCAATAGTAGTGCTACTGTTGGAAACTATGGGGCCATTGTTGTTTTGTCAGAAGTCAGTTACGAGAACTCAAAAACTGGTACCTTTGATAGCGCACTTACTACGGCACAATGGGCTTCACTGTATCAATACCAGGTCTCTTTTGGCATACGTATGGTAAGACTAGATGCACTTCCTGGATCCGAGTTTGGAACATCGGCTCTTGGTGCATGCTGCGACAATGGCGTTGAACAGCTTCTTACCATCACGGACTCTTCAGCGTTTCCTACATCAGGGCTCAAAACGTAAGCTAGCCCAGCCAAATCTATGCGAATATATGTGCTGACATAAACACCAGTGGGGTCGGATTAAGTACAGATGGTCTTTATCACTATCCTGCTTCAATAACAGATAAATCTATTGCTACCGAATTCGCACAGTTTGCCACAGCTAAAGGGTTCAAGACAAAATCGACAGCAGCAGTCATAAACACATTCAGTGGTAGACAGCAGGTACTTAATTTTCAAGATATTGGTTGTCGGTATGTGCTGACAACTTCATTATAGATGGTTTGGTTTATTGGTTTTGCCACGGATTGGAGCGCGACATCAGCCATCTTGAATCATGCTTGGATAACATGGGTTACCAGAGGACTCTATGCTGGATACCGGCGTATTAACTTGAACACTCAAGGTTGGTACACTCAACAGTAAACTACCCCATGCGACATTCCTAACTTGAATAGTGGATGACATGTTTCTTATCACTGACCTTTACTATCCATCGGGGTCACAATACGCTGTCAAACCGACGGACCTGGCGGTGCACGTTGACTGGATGGACACTGTCAATGCGAAATTGCCACCAGGAAGCAAATACTTCATTGAGATCGGACACAACGGTAATGGTAATATAGAGGTAAGAAGCCCTTATCTACAAATGTCTCGACAATACTGAGAAATCAAAAGGACTCCGTAGCCACAGACAAAGGAGAAAAGGCTTGTGGTATTGGACCCATCTACTACGACGAACTACCAAGCACACCTTTAGAGTTTGTGAAGAAGTTAGGAACCGGAACTAATCTTTGGCCTTCAACTCCGGCTAGTTATCCATATAAAACCGCATGCACGGATCTTGATGCGCTCAAAAAATGGTGGTCCACGCCCGAGAATCGTGATGCTTTCGCCCATGTATCCCACACCTTTACGCACGAAGCTCAGAACAATGCGACGTACTTTGATGTCACCAGAGAGATATCGTGGAATCAAGCCTGGTTTGCTCAAACAGGCATCGCTGACGCCACAATGTTCAGCCCTAATGGCATAATTCCACCAGCAATTACTGGCCTTCATAATGGTGATGCTCTTAGGGCTTGGTTGGATAATGGGATCAAGTACGTTGTTGGGGACAATACTCGTCCCCCATTGCTGAACACTGTAAGTCACAGTCTTTTCGGTGGAATATTGGAAAGCTAACAACCTTTAACAGCAAAATGAACACTGGCCACTCATTACAACCGTGGCAGCAAACGGATATGCTGGTGTTCAGATCAACCCCCGATGGGCTCTCAACATCTACTATAACGTTGGTGGACCGCTTGTTTCTTTTGAAATTTACTGACTTTTGTCTCAGTGCGCAGTACCGGATTGCACAACAAGAGAGTGGAAAGAGACAGGAGGCGGTAGTGGCACATTCAACGATCTACTGAACCTAGAAAGAAACACCAACGTACGACATCTCATGGCTCTAAATCACGATAGTTTCATGTTTCATCAAGCCAATATGAATTACAACACTGTATCAGTGCCTAAAACGACAATCAATGGTGTCAGTACCAAGTACTCTCTTCTCCAAGCTTGGGTTGAGACTATCGTTCAAGAGCTCATCAGAGTGTAAGTCATAGGCAGCATTGATCAAATCATGCAATTGACTGACTTTAATCAGGGTCAACTGGCCAATTATCTCTTTGAAGCATGACGATGTAAGTGATAGCTGTTCCTCGTCTAAAAGAATGGCTGTTAACACTCACATAGATGGCATTGGGATTTCTCAATAGAATGAAAAGAGACGCGTGTAAACCTGTCTTGACATATGTGACCAACCCTACGGCAAAAACCATTACTGGTGTGACGTTGTCAGCTACTGGCAACACTTGCTCTGAAAAGATTCCAGTCACAGTTCCAGGATCCGTAACTGATACTCAAGATTTTGATACTGAGCAGATTGGTAAGTTTCATCTGTCTTTTTTCAGACCAGACTGATTGCTGATTCCACAAATTAGGAAACGACCCCTTGACGATTTGGGTACAGTTATCTGGCTCCGAGGTCTCGTTCACACTAAGTAAAGCAATTCCGTTCTAAGCGGAATGCCAATATCCCAGTGAGAATAAGTCGGGAAAAAACATACATAATAACCAAAATGCAATACAGCTCCCTTATTTCCTGTTGATTCCACAGAAATACCGTCCATCAAAAACGAGAACCTTCATCTGTGTTCCTTAGGCCATGGTAACGTTTCCTCTATGCAGAGCAGAAAAAACCAATTTATCCATATTAATTGATATGCTGAGTACGCGTCCCAATTTTCTAGTAGACCATGTCGCACGTGTGCTTCAGACAAAACGGGCACTCAGAGCAGGGTATACGAAATCGGAGCCTATCTTCCTAGATATGTGCAGGAGACATACAGCATTCGGGGGCTGAACCGCTTAACCGGTCCGGCTCACAGAAACAGAGAATGGGGCCCCGGATCTACATGCAAATCCCCTGCCAAGACTACTTTATTTTCTAAGCTTGAATAAATTGTAATTTAAAGAGGAAGAACTGTTGAAGTATAATGCCAACGGTATGTCTTTTCGGTATTTCGATCACAACGTTCATAAAATGTACTGGAACGAAAAACGAGGCTCAGTCCTGCTCAGCCATGCACGTCGTGCCAGTCAGCTCCCGGCTAAACCCCATCTCAGGCATTCTCTGAAAGCGGCAGAGGCCAAGTCTCTCTTTTCTTCTAGATCTCATGCAAGCTTTCAATTCCAATAATCAGACAGACTGCAACAAGCGTGGTGGATCTTATACGAGCGGGCTGACTTGACATTGTTTACGGCATCGAGCACGCATATTTATGAGCCACAATAGCCTTCAGTGGTGCCACAACTTCATCTTCCGATAGTTGATGAGACTCTTTAGCCAACCACAAATCAGTAAATTCGTGTCTGAAACATTGAAAAAAGCAAAAGCGTTCGCCAACCAGATCCGAATATTGGGGACTTGGCGAATTGATTCTGGAACACCTTCTTATTTTCAACTATTAAGTTTCCTGTTAGAATCTAGGAAATTGCTCTAGTGCATGAAGAACATGGTGGTGTCTGATAATGTTCTTCTCACGGACCTCGAGATCTTCAGAACATGGGGATAAAATTGAATCTGCATCGCCAAATGCAGTACACACTCGACGTCACTCAAAAAGATTCTGGTTATTACTTCTCGCAGCTACAATTCTCATCATCGGGCTCGGCCTAGGTCTTGGCCTTGGACTCGGATTGAGAAACACCGGCGACGACGATGACAGTAATGATTCCGATGACTCCAACTCATCTAACACACTTCCATCAGGAAACACGACCACGATAGGCGTCAATGGAACATTCTGGCAACCTCAAGCAGGAGCAACCTGGCAAATAGTTCTCCAACAACCAATCCACACATTCACACCCCTCGTCTCAATCTTCGACATCGACCTATTCGAAAACAACGCTTCCACAATAAGCCACATCCACTCCCTAGGATCAAAAGTAATCTGTTACTTCTCCGCTGGAAGCTACGAGTCTTTCCGTCCAGACACCAAAGACTTCGTCTCGGCCGATTACGGAAACGAGCTGAAAGGCTGGCCGGGAGAGAAATGGCTCGACACGCGCAGCGAGAACGTGAGAGCGATCATGAAGAAGAGACTTAACCTAGCCAGCGAAATAGGCTGTGATGGCGTAGACCCCGACAACGTCGATGGTTTCGTCAATGATTCCGGATTCCCACTCACCAACACCACAGCTCTCGACTTTCTCCATTTCTTAGCCGACGAAGCACATCGTCTTAAACTTGCCATCGGACTCAAGAATGCCGGGGATCTGGTGGGCCAGACGACGGGGTTTTTGCAATGGGTGGTTAATGAGCAGTGTCTGCAATTTAAGGAGTGTGGGTTGTACAGACCGTTTATTGAGGCGGGGAAACCGGTGTTGCATATCGAGTATGTGAGTGAGAAGGGGAATAATGATGTTAATACGAGGACGAGGGAGGAGATTTGTGGGCAGCCTGCTGAGGAGGGGTTTAGTACGTTAATGAAGAAGGCGAGTGTGGATGAGTGGACGGAGACTTGTTGATGTAACTTTTGGTAGACAAAATGGGGCGTATTCAAATAGGATACTAAGTCGATCGAGTCAATAGTAAAATGATATTACTTCGAACTCAATCCTCCAACCCAACTCTGAAATTCCTCCCCAAAACTCTCATAATAATTTACATTCAAAGCCGTTACGAACACCGCACCAAAGTGCTTATTCAACCCCTTCATCATCTGAGTCTCCTCCTTGTCGCCCATGGTCTTAGGTAGCGAGTGTAAGATGACAGCTAATTTTTCTCGAGATGCCTTTGACATCTTCGCGAACACTGAAGTTTTGGTCGTCATATTTGCTGATTTATAAATGTCGTATGAGCCTTCGAACATGACGGTGAGAGTTGCATAAGGTGTGAATAAGGGCGAGGGGATGGTTCCTGGGTTGTGGATTATCTGTGGGGGAAATATGAGATTAGTATGAGTATAGATGGAGGCGTTTTTGTAAAGTGAGGAAGGAAGTCAGTTGAAGAAAAAGTACGAACTATTGGCTCATCTCCGTGACTTTTGATAACTCCAGTCAACCTCTCCAAGTACCTCCCTGCATCTACACTCCATTCATTCGGCGTCTCATCGAGAAAGACACCCCGCAGACCCAGATCCTTCTGTTTACTATTCGGGTCACCAAATCCTTTACCCTTGCTCCATCCCGCATACGTCCGTACATCTTTCAGCACGTGGTTGATATCACGTTTGAAGTAGTCCGTCGAGACTAAAACAAAATTTAGTTATTGAACTTAATATTTCCATTAGATGGGTGCACGAACTGTATCCAACAAGAGTAACATTAGCGTATCCATTGAGTAAAGTTATTCCTTCAGTGTAGTTTTCATCGGGGAGATCTTCTGAACCGGGGCCACTGTTTGGATTTATGATGATCAGGAATTCGATCTGCGGGTTTCCCTTGATACTGCAATGTATGAGTGCATGGATTTTTAGATGGATGTTTTCAAACCTACATTGCGTATAATAGATTCCAGGATCCGTGTTCAGGATACACATAAAGTGGAACCAAAACTGTTGGTTTCTCTGGGTTCTTCTTGCGCCAAAACATCCTCTTAATCAAGGGATGGTGTGAATTCTATTGCTGTCAAGGAACGGTTTTCAATTTGAACTTGTTTGCGGTGGTAGAATCGCCTAAGTTCAGGTCGGCGACGCAACTTTTTAGCAATTGAGTTTATTTTTCCCTTGGTTGCAGTTGCAATTATTCTGTGATTTATGCTGCACAAAGATTTTGATTGGCGTAGCAAGCAGCCTTTTCTTCTGTAGGTTTGGCAGATTTGGACACGTTGGTCAACTCTGTGTTACTGGGTTGTGTGTATCCAAACTTTTAGCCTAAAGCTACCAGGTATCCTATCAAGTCAGAAACGTGTATTTGGACATATCTTATCTGTTTTTTCTGTGAAGATTTTGGTTTCAAAAGTCACCAGCTGCGACAAGAGGTCAATACTTCTTATGTAGATAGTTCGTTAAAATGATTGTGGGCGGTCGATTCCTCGCTTACAGGAAACATTGAGACAAGCCCAATCATTGTTGACTGGGCGTGACCACAGCTGAGCACCGGAGAAAGTTCATTCATAATTGGAGTGGCTCTTAAGCTTTGCGTCAGGATGTTCTATTATATGTACTAGCCTTCGTCAATGGCTGTATATTCTTGAATCTGTAGTATTGCCAATATAGAGTGCCGTACATTGCGTCGTCACTTCGAGTTCCACGTATTAGGACGCGAAACCTCTTGCAAATAACCACAAGCTATTGACATGCTATCATAATTGAGATGGGGAGCAACCTGACTTGGTTAACTCTGAGCGATCCTTGAAGGAACGCCTCGAGAAGATATTAATCAAGCGTCACATTCATAAGACGGCCAGCAAAACAACACATAATCCCCAGCTTGAAGCCAAATACGCCATATTCAACCTCAGCGCCTGGGTCCTGCTGATCGCATCATTGTACTCTCCAGCTCCTGGTAACGGGACTTTTGCTTTCCCATTCCAGAAGTTCCCTACATGAACCCGGGCTGCAAGTAATGCGCCTACGTTAGCACATGCAATTGCCAATCCGGCAAACTTTGAAGAAGGATAGAATATCGATGCGCTAGAAGTGATGAATGACGCGACCATCTATATGACATGTTAGTTACTTTCTCTTGATACATCAGCGGTGAACTCACGGCAAGTGTCCCGCTCGCCTGTGTGGTTCGGCTTTTGTGAAGTTGTTTCTCAGCCGTGTTGGACCATTCTGCGGCCTTTTCGCTCTTCTCTTCGTACTTCTGTAGGTTTTGGATAGATATGGACGCGAGATAGAGGCTATAAGCCGAAAAAGCCGCTTGTAATGAGTAGATGATGGAAAGGACGGGTTGTATAGTGGAAGACATGGTTGATACTGGACTGTGAAGTGATTTTTCACCCTGATGAGAGACTCTTGTTATAAACGGACTCTACTTTTACTTTGGGATTCCTTGAATTCAAGTAACCTAATAGTCGGCGTTAGTTTCTCGTGGAAGGCCATAAGCAACGCCGACAGTTACCTACCTACAGACTACAACAACGAATCTCTGTAACCTACGTCATTTGATAAAGCCAGTCTACGGTCACGTGTAGTGTAACGTGATACATATCTAGTGACTGCCTAGGTTTAAGAGTACTCTTAAATAATGCAAGATGGGTCTGTATCGACGGTTATTGAATAAATTAACATACTTCTCATTAGTTATGTTGCTTGCTTGACTTACGCATGTTCATGGCATCGTCTGAGAGTCGCGATTAATTAGCCCTTAAAAGATATCACGTGTAGACCCCTGATGTTGGCCTCCAACGGTCCGAGCGCTTCGATGAAAATGTGCAGGATGGACTGTGCTTGCCTTTACCCGCTGCCGAAATCCAACTCTCCGTCCCGTCGCGTCACCAAACTTTGACAAGTCACAACTGTACCAATAGCAACGATTGAATTACAACAACACCGGCTTTCTCTTCAGCAATTAACATCACTAACATCCGAGCAGCTGAAGTCATGATTCTAATGCTCGGGAACTATTCGAGGTTCAATGTTTTTGTTATGGCGATCACAGGGGCCGTGGGGTTGTCAGGATGAGATTGATTTGACACAACCAACGGTTTCATCGCCAACATCTCAAGCACAAGCGACCGTTTCGATTCCTACAGACCGTTTGTGGTCGGATCTGTACCAACATCACTCGTCTGATAGCGCAGATGTTTCTTCAGACTTCGGACAAGTCAGCGCCATCTGTCTCATCCCCGGGAGGAGGTGGTCGGGCAGATTCAGCGTGTCTGAAATCTTATTTGGACAACTAATGGTAGGCTTGCTTCCTTAAAACCATATCTCATCCTCAACTTCTTCTGTTCCTCTTGATCCAGTCCCTTCCTTTACTACTCGTCCTGTCTTTTCTTCTTTGTGGCCGGCCACCCAACTTTTACTTTGAGTATCATCATATTATATTTAATTCAACTTTCAATTCCCTCGTTGCTTCTATTCGACATTTTGCTCTACAATTCATTCTCTCCAAGATGCAATTCTCACTCTCGTCCAACGGCCTCGGTTCAATCCTTCTGCTCGCGTCCATCTTTTCATCCTCAGTCTCCGCTTCTCCTATTGAGGCTCGACAGGCTGTCACTAGCTGTACCGAATACTCCATGATCGCCAACTACTCTACAATCGGAACCAACTCCTCCTATCGATCTGCATTTATGCAAGCTTCTCCTCAAGGCGCTGATCCAACGACGGCGATTCTCGATGGCGCAACCAAGAAACTCCCTACCGTCAAATTCGACAAATCTCTGAATGACAACTGTGGTAACCTCACTACCTTGGCCGTCCAGCAAGCGGAGGTGAACTTTACAATGGGCATCGTTGGAGGCTTTACCATCAAATCAGCAAAGAAAGGTGCGGCAGCAAGAATGGGTAGTGAGGTTGGGACAATCGCGATGGTGGCCGTGATGGTTGGAGCTGGGCTGTTATTGTAGAGACATCACAATATCGCCTAATGGAAATGAATTAAGGGGAGAGTATGGAACTGCTCTTTCGAGTGGATGGGCAAAGCGGTTGTTTTTGGCGTCTGGCAGACGGATACATCTCAAGGAGCAGAATCAAATCGCGGCGGTGCGCCTATGTGGAAGTATTGGAGTACATAGGTCGGGGTTTGCATTGAGGAAGAATTTTGTATGTACTGAGAATCAATTTGGGATTGGACATGTCTGAATATGTGGCTGCATCAGTATCGCGGTGCCGATTTGTCTTGTGTGAAAAGTCATTAATTTGTTCAAATCCATCTACTTGCAGGTCGCATACGCCGTTATTCTTGCTACCTAGGCACTACATAGTAAAGATGGGATTTGAAATCTTGAATCGAAATCTTCACAGCACCCGGTGGCTTTCCCATCCTCAAGGCTCAAGCTTACCGACTGGACGGCTACACCGGCAAAAGCTTGGTTGTGCCTACGCAGGGTCCACGGGGAATTTGAAGATCCAGATTTCGAAACTTGGCAGTCTAACACGCACTTGACTCCACCCTCCGTACCACCGCAGCCGACTTTTGACTTCGATCCTGGACATTGACATCATTTGTCACGATGCATCAACAAGTGTCTGGTTTCGCGTATGCTACTATATGCTACTACTTATGCTGTGCCAATTCGTCCTTGGTTAAACATGAGCTTACAAGTCATGGGCGCTACTTCGATGACGGTTTGGTTCTAGTTTGCTTGGTCTCCTTTCCTGTTGTCCCTTTCTATTTGCTTCACCTTCCGTGTTCCATTCCTTCATTGACAAACATTGCCAGCTATTTTCTCTTCCTATTCAAGCATCTTTCTCTGTTTAGTAAATCCGTGTTCAGAAAAGTTCACTATGGCAGGAAAACGTGGAACCCTCCGGCAACGAAAAGGCTCAAGAGACCCTGCTGCTCTCCGAAAAGACATCGAGGAGGGTGCAAAACCGAAAGGTGATCATATGTACCGGTTCAGAGATCAACAAAACCTAGACCCCGATGATAAAAGGCGAGTCGAATTCAGGAAGAAGTTGTTGGAAAGTGTAGAAAGCGCCAAGTTCTTAGAGGACTACCGAAAGAGCGATGAGCAGGTATATTTTTGTCCTATGCATTGTTGATCAATGGTGGTGTCTAATTTTTTTCCAGTTAAAAGACATCAAGAGCAAAACCACTCGAAAATTCTATGCTGATCAGAACGACCGGCTTGACGATTGGCTCGAAGTTAATGCCATCGTCAAAGCTCTCTCCGATGATATTCTCGAATCCTTTGATCCTCGTGACGATAATGGCGACGGCATAGCAGAAGGAGGTGGCGCCCTGCAAGATACTCATGGCGAGATAGAATGCTTCTTGCCAGAAGATGAACAAGAGAAACGAAGGAAAGCGGCACGAAATGCGAAATGGGCCATCTATATCAATGTTATTGCAAACATCATCCTGCTCGCCTTCAAAATTGCTGCTGCATTTTCCAGCTCTTCGCTTTCGCTCATAGCGTCCTTGGCGGACTCAGCACTCGATCTGTTGTGTACTGGTATTGTTTTCACGACCCATCAATTGGTAGCATGGCGAATTGGCAAGCTTCGACATAAGTTTCCTGTCGGAAGAAGAAGGTTGGAACCGCTTGGAATTCTGGTGTTTTCTATCATCATGATCATCTCTTTCATACAGATTCTGCAAGAATCGGTGGAAAAGTTGATGGCGAAAGGACCGCATGAAGCAACCCAACTACCTCACATTGCTATCGCCGCTTTGGCAGCGACGATTGGGGTTAAAGGGTTTCTTTGGTTTGGATGTATTAGGATTAAGACTACGCAGGTTCAGGCTTTGGCTCAAGGTATGTAATCCAGTGTTCTTGGATAGATTGGACAAAGCTAACAAAAATACAGATTGCCAGACAGATGTGGTATTCAACAGTCTTTCTCTCATCTTCCCTGCCGTTGGCCACGCCATGAACATCTGGTGGCTAGATCCTCTGGGTGCCGGTCTCCTCTCCTTATTCATCATCGGAGACTGGGCAAAAACATGTTTCAGCAACGTATTCAGACTCACAGGAGCTGTCGTCGACGACCGTCTCTTCTCCAAGCTTACCTTCCTCGCTTTTCGATTTTCGCCGTTGGTGCAAGGGTACAAGTCGATCCAAGCATATCATCAAGGAGATGGTGTGTGGGTGGAGGTTGATATCTTGTTAGATGAGAAGACTACCCTGGAGGTTGCACATGATATTGCGGAGACTCTGCAGTATTGTTGTGAGGGGCTACCGGAGGTTGATAGGGCGTTTATTACTTGTGATTATACGACCTGGGGTCCTACGGGTCATGCTTCTCAGAATTGAGTGGCGAGATTCGGTGCTCGAAATAGAAATAAACAGGTTTCAATCCAATTCAGGGAATTTCCAGCTGATTCTCCGGTCGTCGATACCTCAGTCATACCTGGAAAACGTCCCTTATGTTTTCCTTCACGCCTTGCGCTGTGAGGATATTGATCTTCTCATGTATAAGATGTTCAGATGAGCGTGCCTTAACTGGCCTTGAAGCTTTCGCTCGCAAGTTGCAAAACAATCGGTTCCTCTGACAACGTTCCAGCTTATCCGACACCATTGTTTCGTATGTGATAGCTCGCCTGGGTCTGGAAAAAGAGGGTTTCCAAACAGGATCATCTAAATAAGATGATGGAATGGCAATCAACGGCAGGTTATAAAATGCCCACCGGCCAAAGGGCAGTCTCACTTACCTTCCCATCAGGACACGTTGCAATTTACTCTACCTACAGAGTAAGAGGGCACATCTTATATCTCGACTCACACTCTTCCTGCCCACCACGAGAATGATTACAATGTGGGGCTTTTCCACCAAGAGATGTTACTCAATATGAAGGGGGCTCATGTGGGGGCTTATTCACATTACATACCTGCTGTATATATTTGCAGCGAATCAGCGCCACAGCGGACTCGTTTTGACGGTCATGAGTATACCTCCTCTAGTCCTTCCGGCTAAGATCAACAACCTCATATTAAAATTTATTGCTGCCAATTGTCTACACGTACGCCCATCGGTAGATGGCTGAATGGCTCACACGTGAAGATTAAGCGAGTTTGGGCTTTATATAACCAAAGCCCCTCAGGAATGATGCTTTGCCTGACTATCTACACTTTTTGAACGTGAGATTTATCGATTCAAGATGCAGTGGCTTGCTTTCCTCGCCGTTGTGGCAGTGGCGGAATGCCAGACTATGTTGCGGTTTGGATGCTCCCAGATTGTTATTGATCGGATCGATCCGCTTGTTAACCCTGATCAACTTCCATCGACGCATATGCATCAGGTTGTTGGTGGTGATGCTTTTAATGTTTCGATGCCGAGTACTGATATGTAAGTATACTTAGTGATCCTTACTAGAGCGAACAGCCTGCTATCCTCCTTATTCAACACAACTTAATCAGTACTCAACTGACTAACCACTTTGTATATTAGAGGAAAATTGGCCAGCTGTACAACCTGTTCATTTGCAGATGATCTCAGCAACTATTGGACTGCAAATGTCTACTTCCACGCAAGAAATGGTAGCTACAAGCGTGTTCCACAGATTCCAAACAGGTAGTTCTCCTTGCACAACCACAAGTCTAACCCACATAACTAAGATCTTTAGGTTGCTATTTAACGACAAATTCACAACCCAGACATCTGGAGGGTTTGTGGTTTACTATGTTTCCCCCGGAAAAGGAAAAGTCACGGCATTCAAACCGGTAAGTGGAGAAGACTTACCGATAACACAAGCTCCTAACCTGAAACCATAGGGATTCCGAATGCTCGTCGGCGATGCAGCTCAGCGCACGAAGAAGGGATCAGGACTGAAATCACAGACGTGCTTCCGTTGCTACTCTGGACCAAATTTTGGTGGTGATAACGCGGCTCCTTGTGCTGATGCGAAGTTCGTACTTATACTCCCTTCCTGACAGAGTGGGAACTAACATCGTGATCTAGACTCGATACTGAGACTTTCCCTACTGGACCATGTCCAGGTGGTATCAGGTCTAACATCCTGTATCCAACGTATGAACGCCATTCCTACTTAACAACCAAAGGCATTTACTAACAAAGAGTCTAGATGTTGGGACGGAAAGAACCTCGACAGTCCAGATCACAAATCCCACGTTGCGTATCCATCCAACGGACCCGCGACATTCACAGGATCCAGCACCGGTGGAAACTGCCCAGCAACTCATCCAGTCAAGATCCCCCAAATCATGTTAGAGGTATATTACATTTCTCGATTCACACTCAATGCTATATGATATGACCTGAACTGAAAACTTGTTTAGATCGTCTGGGACACCTCGAAATTCAACAACAAAGCCGAATGGCCCGCCGACGGCTCCCAACCCTTCGTCCTCAGCACCGGCGACAACACGGGCTACGGCCAACACGGCGACTACGTCTTTGGCTGGAAAGGAGATTCGCTTCAAAAGGCTATGGACACGAATGGTTGTATGGGCGCTTCGTGTGCGAGTCTTCCGGCGCAGGCTGTTGATAACGCGAATAAGTGTAAGGTGCCGACGAGGTATCCGGAGAATTATGATGGCTGTAAGTGAAAATTTGAAGAGTGTTGGGGTTTGGCTAATGTGTTTAGGGATTGATAAATTGCCGGGGATGTGAGAGAGGAGCAGGGTTGAGAAGGTATGAGTTGCGGTAAACAGTTTTGACGATGTAGTAGTTTTGTGGTTGATAGATGTGGTTTAGATAGCGAGTTGAATTTGATAATCTCAAAATATATACATCACTGACTTTTCAGTATGACAAGAAATGAACAGAAATTGAATGCGCTCGTGGTAGACGAAACTCCTAAGTTTCAAGAAACCATATTCAGTAGCTCAATCTGACGCCAGAGTATAGTGATCTTCCTCCCTCAATCCTCTCAAGTAACCCAAATCTCTATAGACTCTATTCCCGAAGTTGAACATCTAAATAGAGTACTTTTTGTCAAGGCAAATGTTCATAACACAACAAACACTTACTCGTCCACCAAGTTCCCACTAAGTAGGCGGCGGCACCGGTCCACTCGCCGAACAATGGCTCACAGCAACATCCCGACAACAATACGCCGGCGTAGCAAGCGGATGGATCGTCCCATCAACCACACACTCCGCGCTCACAATCACATCCGCACAACCCGCCGGCGTCGTCTCAACCCACTACACAAAATTAGCACGTTCAACACCTCCGCCAGAACAGGCTGAATACCGTATCCCTGTAAAAGAGCTGGACCCCCAATCCAGCCACTCTACACGCATAAAACGTGCTACTGGAAAAATACAGATCCGGAATCTGTCCTGGATACGGCCGCACACCTACGCCTTTCTGGCCCGTCTTCGAGAAATACACAATCCGGCGACCTTGCGCGTCGCGGGTCGTTTCGTTGGCTATGTTGATGGCGTGTTTGGAGTCGTCGGTCCAGAGAGTGGCGATGCTGTGGAATGAGTCGAAGTAGGTACCGTTGATGTAATAGGACGTTTCTGGTTTATTTCTCTTGCGGGGCGTGAGGAGGGCGAGGGTGGTTTTTTTGTTGTAGTTTAAGGCGTAGTTGTTGATGCTGGGGGTGAGGTCGGTGGTGGTTTTGAGGTAGGTGATTAGTTTGAAGTTTAGCGAGGTGGTGTAGTCGTCTTGGGAGGTTGCGAGGGGGATGAGGAGGGCCAGCGGGAGGAGAAGATGTGTGCTTAACATATTGAGTATATGTGTGTGTTGAGAATTTTGAAATGTTAACTATACGATTCCATAACTTGTCTACCGACTTTCTTTTATATGTCAAGCTTTCGTCGGGTCGGATTCCCAAGAGATGTCTCAGAATCGGCTGCAATGCACGATTGCAGCTCGTTTAGGCAGCAGATACCTGTACAACTGTCCAATATTCAATATGTGCTTGTGGCTGCATTGATAAGTCTCGATGTTACGTACCAGTTATCATGAAATGAAATTTTCTTGCGATGTGAGACAGCTTAAGGGCTCGAAGAGCGATGCTTTGTTCGGCCATATATCGCACATCGAGCCCGTATTAAGTTCGCTATGATCATATATAAGGGCTTGCGATGCAAAGAAAAATACGACCGGCTGGGAAATTGGCAGATGAATAATGATTATCTTCTTATTACTTATTATTTTCTATTCTCAGATCGAACTCCATCATCCTGACAAACGACATGATTTCGTTATCCGATAGATCAAGGCAGTGCTGATCGATAAGGCGGTTGCTGTGTGGGTTGAGTATTGTAGCTGTATCCTGGCTGTCCGTTACTATACGATACGGGAGCTGTGTGTGTTTGCACAGGCTGGTAAGCTGTTGGAGGTCCGTTGGTTGTATATTCCACAGGAACAGCGCCGTTGTATTTTTGTTGTACCGACAGATAGTTCAAATCTCTTGGTTTTATACAACCAATCCAAGCCACGAGAAGGAAGAGTATCGTAGTCAGTATGACATAGAGGTATTGCTCTGCCCACGATAACCCAGCAGCATCTTTGTAGCTGGTTTTATTGGGGAACGAAGAAACGCCTCTGGTGGCGAGATCGATCAAAGTTCGTAAGAAAAGTGAGGGTGCAACGCCTGCTAGCATTATAGTCGTAGTCTAATTGTTTGAGTTAGGTCTGACAATATTGAAAAGAACCCGAAAGGTCTTACCTGCGAACGTTCTTTCAAGAATAGCAACACCGAGTATACCACGATCACAATGGATACGAGGAAGTACAACGAGGTATATGAAAAGTCAACATATTGCCTGTCCTGTACCAAAGTGCCGTAAAAGAGAGGTCCGCTGTACCCGCCTCTGATCGTGTAGACAATATCCGCAATATATATACCAAACCCTGACATAGACAATAAACTAAGTAGCACAATCGTAATCGTGTTGAAAGTCGGCAGCGCATTGACGAGTGTGGAGGCTGTACTCTCGTATAGTGTTCGGAGAATGACTGCGAGTAATAAAATCTCTCCGAGGCGCCAGCCGAGGGACGAAAATATGTATATTAGGAAGTAAAGGTAGGTGGTGGTCGTGTTTTCTTCACGAAGCGCTGCGTCAACAATAGATATAATGAACATACTATGGACTCGATTAGCAAAGTGGAGAAATGTAAATCATCACAACTTACAGCAACACAGAACATGTCGCCAGCACAAACCCCAGATTTCGAAGCTTATCTTTTCCTTCCTTTCGGACCCATTTGAACCTGGAAGCGAGCACAAGACAAGCTAGCAAGACTACGGCACTAATTATATAAAAGGCAAAAAGAGCATTGGTTTTAGAAAACTATTGTCCGCTGTCAGTCATAAAGTTCTTCACTTCCCCCGAGAAAGTTAACTCACTGTCCATCCGTCACCTCGAAGTTCTAAGGGGTCATCACATCCATCACAAGAAACGCCTCCCCCTCCGCTGCTATAACCACCACCAGAACTTGAGCCCCCTCTTCTAGGCGCCATTTATATACGTTATTGACAAAAATCGATCGACCTCTTTCGTGTTGCTAAATTGTAAGTTTTAGAAAGTTCAAATTCAGATTTGTGTAGCAATGGGCCGTCTCTAAGACCTGCAGGACGCCCACAGTTTTATGAGCTGGCCAAAGACAAACGGCTGTCTGTTACCCCGGTCTTACACAAGCTTAAAATAATAGCATCTTGCCGTGATCTTGAAACAGATTGGGCAGATTGGTTGCGGCTGATGCCAAGCGCGGCGAAGCGAGCATAACAGCCCCCGTAGCAAATCCAGTGTCACCAGTTTGGAAACACCCCGCAGTGGTTCATAAATGATGTTCCAATAGAAACCGTTGAAAAAAGCCTTGCAAGGAGCGCGAACGCTCAATTCCCATCTGTGGAAATTCAAGGCAGTTGTTGTCATCTGCGCCTCAAAACCGCTGAAGTTGACTCTGGCGTATCGGACAGGCAGATCTCGAGGTTCAAGCCACATGAGAGGCTTCTCTGAATCCTGACTCCCAAATCGCCAGCGTGTGTATGGAGGCGGAGAGGAGCTTTGCACTGAGGAATATCAATTGTGTGAAAGTCTATCGCAGGATCTAAATTGACCGATTCCTTGGACAAAATGTGTAGCACAGTGAATGTGTGAAGTCAGTTTGCCGAATCTGTAGTTCGGCTGGCACTTGCATGGAGGGACGAATTGTGATCGGGCGCGAAGAAGAGTTGCATTTCAACTAGTCTAAGGCTACGAAATAACCCTTTCCTATAAAGAATGTCAATCAAACTGATCAGATGTCAAGCAAGAAACGTAAAAGTTCAATTGGCGAGATAACCAATTGAACTGAATGCGCTAACCAAAATGACTGGTAGGTAATCTAATTCAACACATATGTAAACATGAATTATATGACAGGGTGGAATACTGGGCGTTACCTAAGGCTAATTATCAGGGTTGCCGAGTGGCTACTTATAAGGAGGTAAGGCATGCCGGTACTTGTCCTGCAGGTGCTTGTATCCGCCTCGGTCCTAGAACTTAAAGCCAACTTGGAAGCTCTAGACTTTTATAATGAAAATGGAGTGGAAGGAAAATACACCAAGCAACTGACGATATACGCCGTAGCGCGACCGACAGCTTTTAGGACAGGACTAGAGGAGTTGCAACGAATGAAACTTTCCTGGACGTTCAGCAAGCCAACCCCCGTCTTCGGTTCTTAAAAACCATAATATTTGACTTCGAGGATGTATTATCCGAACGCTGAATAAATACACTGAGTATATATGTGTAACGACGACGCGGCCCGTGTGAGCACCCGTCCTTTTGACCTGTTTCCGGCCGAGACTTCTGCAAGTTGGGTATATCTGCGTTATGCTCTGCCACCAATGTGCGATGACCCTTAAAACTCCTCCAAATGCGAAAATCTGGTTCTATATTGCAGAACTATTTGCTTCGCTTGTATATCTTGGCAAGGAAACTCTCAAAGACAGTTCTCTTCAAGCCTTCAGATTCGTCGACGTTCGCAATTTTCTGTCTTATTTCCTCAACACGCTTCTCCTCGTAGTCTTTGTAAATTTGCTCCAATTTGAGCTCATCGTACAATTTCTTGACATTCGCTTCCTTCTCCTTATCTTTGCGTCCATAGTTCTCCTCGAGAACCTTTCTCTGCTCCGGCGTAGCAATCTCCAAAGCTTTATTGACAAGCCAAGAGCACTTATTGTCCAAGATGTCTGTACCAATTTTACCGATATGTTCGGGTAGGCCGAAATTGTCTAGGTAGTCATCCTGAATTTGGAAATACTCGCCAAGGGGGATTAAGATATCCTCGGCTTGTTTGAGATTCTTTGGCGTTGCGATATTTTGGTGGTGGAGAGCTAGGGCCACTGGCAAGTAAAACGAGTAGTACGCCGTTTTGTAGATGACAATGAACTGATATTTACTGAGAGAGAAGTTGTCCAAATCGACCTTGTCTTCTGGTGCAGTAAGTAGGTCGCACAACTGGCCTAGCTCGGTCTGGAATGTAACTTCGTGAAACAATTCGATCAGGTCGACATATGACTGATGTTTGCGGAAGTACTTTTTCAGCAATATGTATATGCCGGCCTCGAGCATGAACGCATCATTGATAGCAACCATTCCGACATGCGGTTGTCTATACCAACACGGTGCGCCTCGGCGGGTAATGCTGCTGTCCATGATATCGTCGGAGACAAGGAAGAAAGCCTGAAGAAGCTCCGTCATCCAACCTAGAGTGGCGGCTTCGAAATACTGCTGCTCGGACAGAGGCGCCTCCAGGAGAAGAGAAACGGAGTCAGGAACAGACATGCCTCGATTGCATTTTCCACCAATGGTATTGGCATTTAGGGACTGCGATTCAGGGCGTTAGCATTGATATGCACTTCAATTTAATGAGCACTCACAGTCTTGAACCATGAAACAAACTCCTCTGGGAGTTTATATGTCTTGCTATGGTCGAGGAGATCCTCAACCAGCTTGGGGAAAACAGACTCGAACTCTTTGAGGGTGGTAGTTTTCGCCATTGTCACGAAAGACTGAAAGAGTGATTGTGGAGAGAGCTGATATTGGAAACACAACAGATGGATTGGCGAGGGCGTTCCTATTCAGCGCAAAGTAGGCAGTTGAGGGGACAAACAGAAAGGTCAAGGAATGAAGGATGGATTTGGAAGTCGAGAACTCAGGAGATTGGCGGTCAGTATGGTGGGGGAGAAATTCTGCCACAAGAGTAAATACTGGGGTGGCTCGGTGGGTCCACAGACACCTTGAAGGGCAAGCACTTCACATCCCCTCGACCAAATACGCTTCAGACGTGAGCAAAGGAGGTTTACGTGGGAAGGAACTTCCCTGGCATGTATGGCTGTTTGCGCATACCTGTTTACCTAGGTACCTACCTATGATTCTTCGAGCAATGAACAAAAGCAACAACAACGCGCTTCAAAAGTCTCAACGCGCCAACCCATCACCACCAGCAAGTCTCACACCCACAGAAGGGACGGCCCGGCGCATCGCACCGCATTTAGACAACATCAACATCAACATCAACAGACACGACCGGTAAAGCGAGTCGCAGACCTTTTCCAGAGGGTCAATTGGCAAGCTTGCGACCGCCAGGGACCATGGTGTTCAGCGAACGAGATACGGCTCAGCTGAGAGCCGCCCTGCAAGAAGCTGTCATTAAATGTTCTGAGAGATGTCTCTATCAGTCTGCGAAATGGCATGCCCACACAACCTTTTCTCTTGTGGCGTACAAATCTGACCGATATCCAGGGCTGCAGAGCTACTCGTCTCCATTCCCCCACCAAACGAAGACAGTCAACCCGAAGATTCTCAAATGACCGAAGTCCCAATTGATGCCGCGCCTCCAATTGTCGTTAGCGGAAACCAGGATCCGGAGGAGGCATTGCTAGAAGCTAAAGAGATAAACCAATATCTGCTGGCGAAGTCTTTCTTCGACTGCCGAGAATATGATCGATGTGCCGCCGTGTTCCTGCCGGACACTGTGCTTTCTGAAATATTAACAGCAGCTTCCTTAGGCACGGGTCAGAATGTTAATACGGGAAAAGAAAAGGGCAAATCGAAAGCATCTTCAGGACGGAAAAGTAATGCTGCATTGCCGGTGCCACCTCGGTTGAGCCAGAAGAGTATGTTTTTGGCGTTATACGCCAAGTTCATGTCTGGGGAGAAGAAGAAGGATGAGGATAGTGAAATGGTAATGGGACCTCATGATGGCGGTACAGCGGTGAACAAGCAACTTGTTGTGATTAGTCGGTATTTGAAGAACTGGTTCGACCAACACACCAACGAGGCCGGAGATTTGATCGGAGGGCAGGGTTGGCTAGAGTATTTGTAAGTGCGATGATCCAATCGAATTGTAGTCTCTAATGATTCCAGGTATGGTATGGTGCTTGCCAAAGATAAGAGTGAGGAAGAAGCCATGCGTTGGCTCATGCGGAGCGTGCACTCATATCCTATGAACTGGGGCTGCTGGTTAGAAATGACCTCGCTCATAGGACGTGTAGATGATGTTAGTTCTCATCTCTCTTTCACTAGCGGAGCTAATTTCTATGTAGTTGAGTCGAGTTGCTCAGCATCTACCACAAAACATCATCTCCTTCATATTCCACCTCCACACATCACTCGAACTATACCAGTCGACTCCGACGTTGTCAAGTTCATTAGAGCAACTGCTGTTGATCTTCCCGACCAGCCCTTTCCTCTTGACTTGTTTAGCGTTATTAGCATACCACACCAAAGACTTCTTAGCAGCGGATTCCCATTTCAGCAACCTGCTAGCTTTGCACCCTCATAGACTGGATTCTTTGGACCATTATTCAAACATTTTGTACGTCATGAATTTACGACCGAAACTCTCGTTTTTAGCCCATCTTTGTTCGACAGTCGACAAATTCCGGCCCGAATCTTGTGTTGTCATTGGCAACTACTACTCTTTGCTCTCATCGCATGAGAAAGCTGTACAATATTTCCGCCGTGCGCTCAATTTAGACCGTTCGTGCCTGAGTGCGTGGACTCTAATGGGCCACGAGTATGTTGAATTGAAGAATACACACGCTGCGATTGAGTCATACCGCAGAGCAGTTGATGTCAATCGCCGAGACTATCGGGCATGGTATGGTCTCGGTCAGACTTATGAAGTGTTGGAAATGCACGCCTACGCTTTATGGTATTACAAGAGGGCTGCTGGGTTGAGACCATGGGATGGCAAAATGTGGATGGCTGTTGGGTCCTGTCTACAAAAAATGGGTCGAAATCTTGAAGGTATCAAGGCTCTCAAGAGAGCCCTACTTGCAGAAAGCTATTACGAAGCGGGTGTGGGAAGTTCATTTGGTAGCGGGGAACGTGAAAGAGGTGGTCTTATGGACCCTGAGATTCTCCTGCAGATCGCTGGAATGTACGAGGGTCTCGAAGACGAGGCAGAAGCAAGAGCATATATGGAGATGTGCGTCGCACAAGAGGAGGGCTCTGGCGTCGGTTTGGACTCGTCGACTATAAACATTCATACGGACTCACAGTCATCCGATGATGAGTCGAGACCAGTTGCAAATACGAGTTCTGGCGAGACTGGGACAGGTGTGACAGCTGCAACATCCAAAGCACGGATGTGGTTGGCAAAGTACGCCATGAGAAATGGCGACTACACAAGAGCTATGCAATTAGCTACAGAATTATGTCAAGATGGAATTGAAGTGGAAGAAGCAAAGGCCTTGGTTAGAGAAGTTCGTGTTCGATTAGACGTGCAAGTCAATTCTTGAGGTCGGTCGAAACCAATAAATGATACCCATTCGACTTTGTCTTAAAAAGAGACATCGTTAAAGAACTATATCTGGCATTCATTTGCTTACCCCAACCTATCATATCTTCGCATGATTATGTGTTATTCCTCAACTCAGTTTGATCAGGGTCCGTCAATCTAGATTTCCGCGTCTCTCGCCATTGTCAAATCCAGCAATTCTGCTATATTTTACACAGTGCTAGTGTTGTGCTTGAAGAGTGGGAGTTTCTGAAGTGACAACCTTCGCATGTGGTTGCCTATTTGGGCAATTAGCTTGCAGCAGTCAACGATATCTATCCGAGGGCAAATCACTTGATATCCACCAATTGACAATTTTCTATGTCTATAAATGTTGGACTCCTTCGAAGGGGCCAACAAAATAGTTTCGAGTTTCGCAAACTGCACCTTTTCATATTCTAGTTCCTATTCAAAGCGTCAAAGCTAGTCCTAAACATGGTTCGTCATAACCTCGAATACCCAAAAGATATTCACAACACGGTAAATCGATATAAGCATCAAGGTACCTGCCCAACTCAGCACCCTCATCAGCATTTCTAAACTTATACATAAAATAGCCGTATACTCCCTAACCACCATTCACACAATAATCAACACCACACCCGTCCTCCATGTCTCCTTCACACCATCCCCCGAGTCCCCATTCCCCGTTATCCTCCCGATGATCGGTCAAATGGGCTCTTTCTCCCATCCTTCTCGCGATCTAGGCGACCCGCTGGATTGCTATCTTCATGGATATGTGAGTAGTAGAATTATGAACCTGAGTCGCCAGGAAGGCGGGAAGGGACTACCAGTTTGTATTGCAGCTAGTAAGGTGGATGGGTTGGTCTTGACTTTGACACCGAATTCGCACAATTACAATTATAGAAGTAGTGTGTTGTTTGGGTAGTGAGTAACCTTCTCGAACTGTTAATGAGGATCAATGTCATGACATATTCTCTAATAACTACATCAGCGCTCAACTCGTCTCCGACCCCGAGGAGAAAATCTGGGCTATGGAGTTAATAACGAATTCCGTCCTTCCTAATCGCTGGTCAAACACTCGTCTCCCTCCGAATGCAGCCGAAATGTCCAGCACCCAGATCCTACGCGTGAGCATCCATAGTGGCAGCGCAAAAGTCCGTGAAGGTGTTCCCAATGATGAGAAAGCGGACATAGAGAACGAGGAGCTGTTGAATGAGGTTTGGACGGGCGTTATTCCGGTGTACGAGAATTTTGGAAAACCAGTGCCGGGGCCGTATAATAGGGTGAGCGTGCCGGAACATGTGAGGGTTAGGGAGGAGTGGAATGAGAGGAATGAGAGATATGCGAGGGAGGCGGCGGGGAAGGATGCGCCTGTTGCTGGGAAGAAGAAGGAAGCAGAAGGTGATGATTGAGGGTTTGGGGGTGTTGTGCGAATGGTTGTAGTGTCCTGATTGAATGTAAGAAGCTTGTATCCCATCTTGTTAGAGGCGTAGGCTAAATGTCGAACTTGCAGGTACTGCTTCATCCAACCATACCTTACTTTCACTTTCAGAACCATGTTTGTTTATAAGGCTCGTGCTTCGCTTTCGCGGATATCTAAGGAGTCACAGCAATTTAGATATTTCGTGCAGTATGTGCTTCTAAAAGTCTTTCGCTAGAGTTGCGAGGGCGTTGAGCAACCGGTTTGTGCTATCCTACTTCTTCTTAGATGCGGATCGGCAGTTCTCCAAGGTAACAACTACATCCCCATATAAGGCTTTCAGTACCAAAACTGCGAGCACTGAAACTGCTCGTGGCGTGTGGTGAATAGTGTTGGCAGCCTTCACCCACTTGAAAATCGCTTTCAACACCGAAGAATCCAATAAAACCGAGATCTTCAAGCTCGTTGGTTCCAACTCGGTCGTTTCCTTGAGATACTTGAGTTCTTAACGAACAACTCTGGGAAATAGACGCCGGTGGGCTTTCGTTCCTCTGAGCCCAAGTCAAGAACACTAATTTCCCACATTGCAAACACATCGACGGGGACGAATTACGCATAGGTTCAGTCTATAAATGCCAGCCACTTTGTAGTTGCCGTGATAGATATTTATATGAGAATGAGGCAAAAACTCGCCTTGACTTCATGGTGCGATAGTCAACGTGTGAATAATGTCTATCAGAGCCTCGCACGGTTTGGGCTATTGCGAGCAATCATCATGATTCTTTTCGTGATGCAGATCGTTCACTCCCTGCTCAAGTGCCGAGAAGTATGCGGTAGAGTTCTTGAAAGGACCAATATCGCAAATTCCTGGTTCCCCGTCTTGCATCCCGTCGGAGGCAAGGAGATGATGTGAGATCTTCATCGGCCTTGGGGTCACACCAAACCCAGCCGATATGTTCAAATTTGATCTAATTGTGTTCGTACCAGTGTCTTGCCAGTTAACAGGCAACCTTGGGTTGATGCTGTTTGGGGATGGAAACCGGCAGTCCAACTTTCAGAAGTCGTCCCGCGAGAGCAGACATAAACACATACGGAAATCCGAACGGATTCTCATCTTCTCATTCGAACCTAAAGACCGACGGTGCGGGAATCGAAGTTGTCTCGGAAATAATTTTCATTGTTCTCGGGAAGTACATCTTCTTTTTTTGGTGCACAGGTACGAAGCATCAGTCACTTGTATAGCACATCAGCTTCTGTCAGCATGCCGCAAGTAAATGCTCGTTGTCCTAACCCAATCATTATTGGTTACTCTTCCTTTCCCAATGTAACCCGGCTAGCCGACCTAGAATGATTCAATCTTCAACCGCATGCTGCAGATACTTCGTAACACCGGTCTTGCACGCGTTGGAAGGAAACCATGCTATAGACAATTGTTCCCGTCGCTCTTAGATTTAGGTGGGAGAGTAATAAAATTTTGATTAATAAAGTTACATTCTTTTATATCTGTATTACAAACTAGAATACAGTTAGCAGTCAATTAGTCTTCATCATTAGACTAGATATCGTTGTGTCTTTTTAAATCTGCTCTAGCTACGATTCGTTAGGGGACGCTTCAATCGCTGACCTGAGTGATTTGCGCCAAATCAAAGCTGGAGTGGATATGTGTGAAAGAAAATTACTAGTTCCGGCGGTCCGTTGACATTATTCTGAGCCGTTTCTGGATTCTTTCTATTTTTCTTCGTCTTAAAATATTAGACCGCTTCTAGAATGTCAAATTTTAATCTTTGTTGACTATCTATGTATGAAAAGAAATTACCCCTCTCGAAAAATAGTAAAAGAACGTACTTTACTTTATACTTCACCAAATCAAGAACAGTCAATTGTTCCTACCATTCTCCCATGGATTTCCCACAAGAAGATTTCGGGCACCCAGAAAGGTCTTACAAAGGGCTTATATGGGCACCTGGTGGGATACTTCCGGAATCATTTAGAAAGGACCGCGAAGGCTTAGATATTACAACTACCGGTCCCGATTCCCAAGCCGAGGAATACGAGCTTTGTTGGGTCTGTGGGTGGACGAATTTCAACCAATATTGCTCTACCTATGCATCACGAGTTCGATGCCTTAAAACTCGACATAACAGTGGTATGTGGGCTTTAGGATCGAAATATCTTCTTAAGGATATTCCGAACAACAGCTATTCTCCTGGAAACGACTATATTACGCAAAAGTTTCTACATAGCCAGCCAGGCTTGAGCATTCCTCTCGTTGATAGAATTGAGCTTCTAAGCCAGCCTACAGACAAGACCTACCTCTTGTTAATGAGCCGAGCTGAGGGTCAGTCGCTTGATAAAGTATGGGATAGTTTATCGGAAGAGAAGAGAAGTAATATTCGAGAACAGCTTCTGATCTATTTGAGAGAGCTTGGTCAATTTACAGCTCCTAATGCTCAAACTGTCGATGGCGGACAACTCAACGACCGGATTATTGGAGAATGTTCTACGATGCCAAGTTGTAAAAGAATGGGGTCCACGACAGAGGAGTGGTTTGAGAATATCGCAGAAGAGTTACGAGCAGGCATATCTAAGATCCATAAAACGAAAGACTCGGCACGTATTGAATTGGAGCTTCAGAAGATGAAAGACAATTTTCCGAATCCAGAGCCATATGTGTTTACTCATGGAGATCTGACCTATGGTAATATTATGGTCAAAGACGATAAGATAACAGCAATTATTGACTGGGAGTATGCTGGGTATCATCCTTGGTGGGTAGAGTGTTGGATTCACTGTAATCGCGCACACGATGGGAGCTATGATCTATTAATGCCAATATGGGGTCGGCTTTCTCCACGTTTTGAGGGTCAGAGCTTTAGGAAAGAAGTAACTGCAAAGCTTCGACCAGTTTTAGAAGCCTGGAACGCAAGTCCTATATCGCAAAAAAGGAATCTTGACGCCTGGTATCGTCCACCGTTCGCTGAGAGTGAACCTTGGGCGGGGCGTTTTCATGTGGGGGGTATGGGTGAAGAGAAAAGGGTTCCTCACTACATAGAGCCAGGCCAGTAGTTGGAGCGGGGAGCAATGTGGGAAAGGGTCTAATGTTTTGTGCTGGATTGCTTTCTTTGGCTTTCTTTGGACTTCTGGGGATTCTATGGATACTGCTGGAGCGTTGTTTTTTCAGGGAATTTTGCGTCACGAGGGGTAGAAGTACTTTATGTGTATTGGATTGTAAAAAAGGGTTTTCTGCGTCACGAAATGTCTGGAAAGTTGTATTGTGTGATAACAGTGATATATAAGTACAGCCCAGTCAGATCCAAGTGGCAGCCCGAACTCCGTAGCAGTTTTTCCCCCAAAGTTTCGAAAAGCCCGCAATGGTTCGGAACTCGAAAAGCAGGAAAGGAAGATTCAGGAGGCAGCCCGAACTGCGTACAAAGAATTCCCCAACCTCTTAAACCCCTCCAAAAATACGCCCAGCCGGCCCTGCTATTTCCATTTCTTCAAGAAGAAGCTCGGAATAGATGATTCAACCCTGATATATGGTGATGGAACAGCCGGGTAAGATTGTGAGCGTGATATTAATCACACCAGGAGGCGGTCCAGAAGACACAACTTGCGAAACTGGCTGAGCTGGACTTGAAGAGTCAACTTGGGAAACTGGCTGCGCTGGGCTTGAAGAGTCAGCTTCGAAAATTGGCTGGGCTGAACTTGAAGAGCCAGCTTCGAAGATTGCTTGTGCTGTACTTGACTGGAGCGATCTAGCTGAGTGATTGATGAGTCTGGGGCCTAGCATTTGTGTAACATGCTGCTCAAAGTCTTGCATCTTATCTGCCGTAATCTCAGCGTTAGACCAAGTTTGAAGCTGGGCAGCCGTTTGAATGGTCATTTTTGTTGGTTCAATAGTTTCAGAGGATGAAGGCCCCTTCGACTCTCTTGGGGTAGCGAAGAAACAGAGCGCGGACAGCTGGGACCTTTGGATTGTGAACATGAACAAAGAACGGACCGTTCACACTTGCCAGCAATCCCGCCAACAGTGGAGGGTGACCGGCGCTTGCATGCTCGTGTTCAAATTTCTTCCATGGAAAAGTAATAGTTTGAAGTTGTGTAGTGATAAGCGCCGCACGACAATGAATACATTCCATTGCCTCTGAGCCGTTCTCTCTACGGCAGAATTTGCACATGGAACCGTCCAAGGAGTTCCTCTAGGGGGTGTTACGCTGCGGGGTCCTGGGACTGGCCATGACTGATTGTTGCTGAGGGAGGTGGTGTGCCGTGTGTGTGTTGCGATTTGTGCGAGTGCTGAAGTGTTTGCTGTACTGAGCTGGTAGAGGTTGAAACGAGGCAGAAGAGGAAAACGAGGCAGACGTTTCTTGCGTTTTATAGCATTCTCCTCCGTTTGTTCAAAGGTCGTTTCAGTGCTCATCCATCCCCTGTGGCCTTTGCGGGCTCTCATCAGCAGAATCCCGAGACACGCATAGAATGATACGTGCACTGATGCAAGATGCAACCAAGATGAAAGGCTTCTGCTCCCTATCGGGAGCGTTCTCTGCGCCCATCCCGGCTTGAGACATATCACCACCATACAGAGCCATCTCTTCTCAACTACCTATCCTCCCAGGGTCTAGGGAAGAAATATTTGATGAGCTGCACGTGTCCTGGTGGTCGACCAGCTCCCTCTATCAGCCTGACCTAGAGTACTTATTAGTATGGAACTTAGTTCTACCTCATAATGACAACACCAGCCCATCATGAGAGAGCCAGCTCACTCACCCAAGGCCGCCTACAACACATCCCCCCCATTATCCATAAACCCCTGATTCGGTGTTCGACAAAGAAATTGCTTACGGTGCTTTTGGAGTGCCACAATTGACTCTGGCATCCTTCTAGGAAGATTTATATCTGGAGAGAAGTGAATGAGAGGGAGGGGGGAATGGTGCTTTTTGGCTGGTGTTCAAACCCGTCAGGCTAGCTGCATCCTAATCTCGAGCTTCCTGCCTCCGAGACAACATGCCGCATCGGGAGCTCAGGAGCCGAGGTCACCGGACTGAAGTCATCTTTCTATTCCAATATAACAGTACATACTAGATACTAAATAATAACGATAAAATGAGCTGCGATTTTATTATTGGCAGTTACAGACTAGAAGAACTAGTACGTATTCACTAAATCAAAACATAATTATTATTATTTCGAGTCTTGCTAGGTTCCACGTGATTCTCCCGGTATTAAATCGAGCAGATATCTTACCACATTTGATTCTCACATTCGATATTGGACACAATCAAGACCATCATCCCCAAAATTAATCACCATCCCTGTCCCCCAATTTGAAACCCACCGCTCCACCTAAATTCCCAAACCTTCTCTTATATCCCCTCACAACAAACCAGACACCCACAATGCCTTTCCTAGAAATCTGCGCTTTTAGCCTCCGCACCGCTCTCCTCGCCGCCCAATCTGGCGCTCACAGAATCGAGCTCTGCACCTCTCCTTCAACGGGCGGCTTTACACCTCCCCTCAATGACCTACTTACCCTAAAAGCCGGCTTCCCCTCCATACCTGTAAACGTGATGATCCGGTCACCAGCCCCAGATCTCGTCTACCAATACAGCTCTGAGGAAATGGACATCATGGGTGCTCAAATCGAGGAGTTCCTAAAAACGGGCGAGGTAGATGGTTTTGTGTTCGGGTTTGTAAAAGATGGGAAGGTGGACGTGGAGAGATGTAAAAGGCTACTAGAGGCTGCGAAAGGAAAGTGGTGTACGTTTCATAAAGCGTTTGACCTTATTGCGACGGAAGATATGGAGAGGGAGTTGGAGGTTTTGAAGGAATTGGGGTTTCATGCTGTGCTGACGTCTGGTGGAAAGGGGACGGCGGTGGAGGGGAAAGAGATGTTGAAGCGGCTAGTAGTGCTTAGTGGGGGGTTAATTGATGTTATTGTCGGTGGGGGGGTTAGGAAGGAGAATATTACTGAATTGTTGGAGGGAACGAGGGCGAGATGGATTCATAGTGCTGCATTGGGAGAGGGTGGGTTTGATGAGCAAGAGGTTGAGGCTATGATGGATGTTGTAGAGGGTTTTGGGAGGGGATTAACCTGGAAGCGGCCGAGTCGGTGATTCTCTGTTGTGTTGGATGATTATGGAGAGGATCGTTGACGTGATACCAGTGCTTCGATGTGGGTGGATATGCAAATTTCAACACACCAAAAATGTGACAAGACATGAACTAAAATCTCGAACACTTCCTTGTTGCATCCAAATACGCCGAAACAATAGCCATAGTCTGACTCTTCTATTGTAGTGTGGACAATTTGTCAGTGCGTTTCTTGTAACCGTCTCGAACCTACCTCCCAGAAACACAAATAAATGGCTGAATCTCTTGACTATCTTGTAAACACAGTACAGGATAAAGTAGGTCAGGAATTTTCAGAAGTGTCTTTAAAAAATAGAATGCTGAAACTCGTAATATTTGGTCATAAACAGTGGACGAAACACAGGAGGCCTTGTCTGTTTAATCGAAGTCCCATGTTCTCTTCACTGCGACCCAGCGCCACGTAGGATAGATTAAGTGTTTGGTAAAATGCACCAAGAATAAGCCTTAATCAAACAATTCATACACCAAAAGCGCCTAAGACGTCGTTCACAAGTTACTGTTAAAGCCTAGGCCGCTCTTAGAAATGGCCGAAGCACATATTTTGACATAGTAGTCCATATGTGTGTGATCGAGACAACCGTACTACAGGAATTCATTATCTCCCCTCAAATTCCCAGCCAATTTAGTAGAAGTTCTAGGTTTTTAGCTTTGGGTATGACCGACGGCGAAGCAGTGGTCAGAGTCTCTTCCAAAGTCGTAGAATCCACTAGATCCACGGAATACATAACTGTTTACCCTTGCTGGACGACCGATATATATCGATGATAGTTCTGAGAATTTGATTGATCGCTCTACAAATTATATCCAACCTGTGAGGTTAAGGATCAACTTTCCATAGACTTACTCCGATTGAATCGTCCGACTACCTTCTTTCATGACAGACTGTTGAGCATTCTTCCAGATCATACGTATAGCAACCGTTACCAGTATAATAAAAGACGATATTCTGATATATGTGGACGCGAGAATAGCTCACGATATTACATCTCAATGGATTTGAACAAATAAGCTACTTATAAAATCCAGCTTCTTGTGTCTTCTCAGACCACAGATACATCAAAAGTTTGTGGAGGGCCGCATTCCATACTACATCGATAGTGATGGTCAACACAGCGGCTAGTAAAATAGAGCATAGGATGAGTTTTTGGGTAATACGCACCCCGTTTTAGTACCTTTATAATCTACCTGGATGGTCACTTGATGAACTTTTGGGTAGGCTTGACATATCAAATGGACATGCAAATGGACATGACCTGGATGCTGTTGATCGTCTTCTTGGTTAACGCAAATGCCAGCGATTAGGAGATATCCTTGGTGGAGGCAAAGCTCACCAAATATTCTGAAGGAGTTATCGGTAATTCCTCCTCAGGTGCTGTAAAGGCGAATTGCTTGAGTGGAACAAGAAACATCCTATCGATCCGACATCCCTTCCAGCTTTGTCCAGTCAAAGCCGAAGCATATATCGTATACGTTGTTAGACCCGAACGCAATTGATGTTGGTGCACCCTTTGGTCCAGACCTTACAATAGGGACTCGAATGTCGGATGTCGGATCAAGATAGAACATCGTTGTAGTACTGGATTTTGTCAATCTTGTTAGACTGCAGAGGGCGTGACGTCCAAGATAATCATCTTTGCACGTTGGCGTGCGGCTGAAACATGGCGCCTGGTCAAGCGCCACATATGAGTTACATATCATAGTGGTGTGACTTCTAGTTAAGTCGAACCGGACTTTACGCGAATTATCGATGAGAATGAGGGGTTAATTCTTAGCTGAGACATTTTGTAACATCTATAATGAATATGATGGGAGTTTTAGCTCTACGAGAGGTGACTTTAGAGTTCGAGACTTTCAATGAGATTTAGCCTTCTTACGTTCTCATAAAGAGGAAAGGAGCGAGATATGTTTTTCCGGAGGCATGTAATAACATTCAATTCTGGAAGGTGGAATTCAATGAACAGTTCGTCTCGCAGGGGCATCTGCACATCCTCTTAACTTGGTTTAACAATTCATGGCTTTCATTCTCATCACAGCCTACATTGGCTGCGATTGAGATTTTTTGTCTGTCGGTTACTCAGTCAGAAAGGGGGCATTGAAGCCTTACCGCAAGTAACAGTATTTCGCCATATATGTGCTTGTATTGAATCATAAGTCCACAAGGTCTGGCAATGCGAAGAAATGCGTAGATTTTTGGTTACCACATATGGTCATGATAATTAATCGTGCGGGTTTATTGCACGACATGTGGATTCAGGGAAGCTTTCGTTCTGTTCTATTTCGAAATGTCAGTAAAGCTGCTGATGAATTCGACGCGGGGAAAAGCTATGCTACTTCTAGTTTGGAGCTTTCGAAAGCAATGACGACTACGAGATATTTCTGGAAACATCAGGTATAAATGTATTCCTTCCAAATGACATCAACGAAACAAACATCAAGAGAAGTTGAGAGAAATTTAAGTGATGTAGAGAAATGTGACAACGTAACGAAGAATAGCTTTTTTGTGCCTGGAGAAAGCAGTCAACGAAATGGATGCTTCTGATTCTGCAATCCTTTGTAATCTTGAGAAGTGTAGATTGAAGTTTAGTATGTTGTGAGTACTTCTCTATAGTTGCATAGAGTTACTCGATGGAATTCGACATTGTAGGTTTTGCTGTTGAGTTGCAATTACGAAATGCATAGAACCACATCTCAAGCTCTCAAGAGTGCAACAAGAAGAACGACCGTATGATGCCCTATGGTATGATGTCTGTTTATTCATGCCAATCCGTATCCGGGCGAAATAGAAGCAAGCCACTTACCGGGTGACTGGGAGATGCTGGTCTTCTTTTACTGAACAACATCCGACGATGATGTAATTTCTATTTCGGATTTCGGTACGGCAGAGATTCCCGCGATAAATGTTCTCGGGCAAAGTCTTCCTCGGCAATAGCTTCGAAAAATACGAGGAGGCTGATTGAATTGCATCAAGATACAGTTCGTAAGGAGAGACTACTGCGACTTGCGGGCTTCTGAAAGGCTAAGTCTCAAATGGTGCATATCACAATACGAACCACACCGTAAATAACAACAGGTGATCTTGCTCTCAAAGTCCTGGCATCACGTTAATCACACAATTAAAGTTATGTAGAGTTGAATTGTTGGTTGACATTATGCGGTTGTGGATAGCCCCCCAAACCCCAAGAAAGAGTCTCTTCTTTAGTGCTTAGTTGGTGTAAACTCTCTTATTATTTTGAGGCAATCAGGCGTCGGTAATGCATTATACCTGCACAATGATTATGTCTACCGAATCGCACATGTGTCAAGGTCATAGGTAGATACTCTTGAAGTTTCCCATTGTTACTTGTAAGACTACCATCGGTGTCGACAATGTGTAGATTAGACTTAAGCGAGACCTTTCTAAGCATGCACCACTCGCACAACATTCGGAAGACAATAATAATTATTCACAAGTTGTTGAGAGAACCATCACGTGCGAACGGTCCTTAGTTTGGGTTACAATCGGCGCGCTTTTCGCCCGAATGGGGAAGGTTGCCCAGGTGTTGAGGTGATGCTACCCACACCCTCTGCAACGCCTTCATCCAAGATTAACCACGATCCTCGAGGACTTCGTACCTGAATATGCATGCAGGATTTCCAAAGGGAACCTTTTCAAAATCCTGAGCGTACAGGCCGAACACCAGACGCATCTCGGATAGCTCAACATACAGTCACCGCAGAACACTCAGAAGATAACTCAGGGGATACTCGGGAGTCACCCCGTAACAACGATGACTAGCAATCGGCAACCTCGGCCTCCTTTTCGTACAGTAGGATAGGCTGGATAGCACTGTGACCTGCAGTAGTCGCATGGCCGGGTAACGTTTCTCAAGCTTGGAACTTGGAAGTGCATGGCTGGTATCGATCGCACAGAAGGAGCACCTTGCAGAGAGTTAGCTTGGTCTGTTCTTCCCTCTCTTCCCATTTCTTGAACCCAGCCTTTTCGACAATCGTCATAATCCAGTAATCCAAACAGAATGATCGCTTCGCCACATACTGCATACTTCGTACGTCGGGACAATCACTGTTCGTTTAATACCCACCTTGTGTGGATGCAAAACACCTGGCGGAACACGAACACCCAATAGCCGCACGGCATACGAGAAGACAGGTGAGCCACCCGTATTAAATTCCCGTATCAACCAGATTTTAAAGAGGGGCGGACCGTTGACAGCGCAAGTGAAGGGTGCTCGACCAAAAATAAACAAAACGGCCAGCCACGACGGGGCAAGCGCGATGGGGGCAAAACCACCGTCTTCGAGAAAAACAGACGGCTTGGGGCCGTTGACGTGTGCATGAGCCTAGTCAGGTACTTGGGCTAGCACCGGATCAAGGCAGCGCGTAGACTAGGAGATGTAGCCCATGAGCTACTACTGCCAGCATGCTAGTGGTGCCAAAAACTTAGACAGGTGGACATCGCGTGGAGCGACCAGAAGCGAGAACGAAGAGGGCTTGGTCCGTCGGCTCTCCCCCCTTTTCTCGCATCCTCCCGATGGTGTCCCTCTGTACCTCTGTACCTCTTCGTGCCAACCAGTTCACGAATTCACCATGCTCCCAAGCAGGACAACTCGATGAGAATAATGGCATTCTTGTGCTCCCTCGGTAGATGTCTTGCGCAAGTCAGATCTCTGGTTTAAGCTTTACCAATCAAAATTCCGTCCCCGCCTTCACGAAGGGCTTTGGCGAGGGGGGTCGGGACAAGAATTCAACCTATCGTATTTTCATTGTGCATGTCCCGCGGTCGCTAAAGATATCCTCATTTCCACTCTTCTCTAGTATGCAGGAGGCCAACCCTCCAACCAATACGTGAATGACAATAACCTTGTATCCTTGCTGCAGATCGCTCGTGGAGCACAACCTGATCATCGCACTTGGGAGGAACTGGTCTGCAAACTACAACAGCGACTATGAGTGTTTTTAGCAGCCGGTGGAGGCTGGTAATCTCTTCCACCAGGTATATACTGCAGGTGTTTCCTCTCCCTGGGGTCTCTTTCTCTTCATCGCGTAGCTCAATCATACATTGAGCCTCCCTTCGTTTACTGCTCCTTCAGTCAACTTTGACATCACATTCGCTTTACAACGAACACTTAATCAATATGCGTACCTCAACCTTTCTCGCAGCCGCCGTGGCTGTTGCTGGTGCCAGTGCTTGGAAATATCCAGACTGTGTAAGTTTTCCCCCCTCGCCAAATCTCGGCTAAGCTAACATCATCTCTTTACAGGATCCAGATAACTGCTACAACCAGTTGACCGACAAGAAGAATGCTGCCGGGTCCCCAAAGTTCTGCTTTGCCTACCTCGCCGGAAACAGCACCGACCCTGCTGCTATTCCTTCTTCATACAACAACTGCGCTGGTAACTACAAGGCCGTCAGCTCTGCTTGCTCTTGCATTACATACACTGCAACCCACACAAGCTCTGCTTCTACCACCTACACTGATCCGCCAGTCACAACTACCAGCACCAGTGTCTCAGTCTCCACGACCAGTGCCAGCTCTGTGTCTAGCTCCGTCTACAGCTCCCTATCAAGTGCTAGCAGTTCCGCCAGCTCTGTGTCCAGCTCTCTCTCCTCCGTCTCGAGCTCCGCCAGCAGCTCCCTATCAAGTGCTAGCAGTTCCGCCAGCTCTGTGTCCAGCTCTCTCTCCTCCGTCTCGAGCTCCGCCAGCAGCTCGCTGTCAAGCATCATCAGCTCTGCCAGCAGCTCCGCCAGCTCTGTCTCAAGCTCTCTCTCAAGCTCTCTCTCAAGCTCTCTCTCAAGCTTGAGCAGCTCCGTTTCTACCGAAAGCTTGACCACCTCCACCGCTACCACCACTAAAGTCATCACAATCTCTTCTTGTGCACCAACTGTCACAGATTGTCCTTACACCACCAAGCCAGTGACAACTACGACGGTTTCAACCTACACCACAATTTGCCCGGTTTCTTCTACTACTGAGGGTCACCCAACTCCATCCTCCACTGAGGGACACCCAACCCCATCGGTCTCTTCCACCGAGGGTCACCCAACTCCTTCAGTCTCATCTACTACTGAGGGACACCCAATCCCATCTACCTCAGTCAGCACCGTCTCGACCATCTATGGCAACAGTACCACAGTTGGCAGCACTTCTGCAGAGAGTACCACCAGCGTCCCTTTGACCACATCCACTGCTACGACCACAAAGGTCATCACCATTTCTAGCTGCGCTCCTGAGGTCACCAACTGCCCATACACCAGCAAGCCAGTTACCAGCACCACCGTCTTGACCTACACCACAATTTGCCCGGTCTCTTCTACCACCGAGGGTCACCCAAGCGGACCAGCTTCCTCCACCACTGAGGGACACCCAAGCGCCCCGGTTTCTACTACCACCTCAGTCGCAACCGTTCCTTTGACCACCTCCACTGTCAGCACCACCAAGGTCGTAACCATCTCCAGCTGTGCTCCTGAGGTTACCAACTGCCCTTACACTACTAAGCCTGTTACCAGCACTACTGTCTTGACCTACACCACAATCTGCCCAGTTTCCTCTACCACTGAGGGACACCCAAGTGGCCCAGTCACCACCGCTACTGAAGGACACCCAACTACGACTGTCTCCGTCCCAGCTTCTACCTCTACTTACTCTCCTTGCGACCAAGTTTACTATGACTGTGTCGCAGCCAACAACAATGGAGCAGCTGGCAGCCCCAACTTCGCCGTCTGCGCTGCTAGCAGTGCTGCCTGCGTTGCAACCGCGACTCCTTCCGTCCCAGCTAGTGTTCCAATGACCACCTCCACCATCAGCTCTACCCAGGTCATTACCATTTCAGCCTGTGCACCAACCGTCACAGACTGCCCATACACGACCAAGCCTTTGACCACCACCGCGGTCACTGTCTACACCACCTACTGCCCAGTTTCATCTGTCGAGACTCCAGCTCCAGTTCCATCGACCTCCTTGATCACCTTGACCTCCATCATCATGTCTACCAAGTCGTACACCATCACTTCTTGCGCACCAGGTGTCAACTGCCCAGTCGGATCCGTCACCTCAACTGTTGTCCCAGTCCCCAGCACCACAGTTGTCGTTTCCGTTTCCTCTGCTCAGCCAGTTGAGAGCCACCCAGCTCCAGGAACATCCACCGTTGTTGTCTCCGTCTCATCTGCTCCAGCTCCAGCTCCATCCGCTCCAGTTGAGACTCACCCAGCTCCATCTGCTCCTGCTCCTTCTGCTCCGGTTGAAACCCACCCAGCTCCAGAGTCAAGCGTCGTTGTCGTTCCAGGCCCAACCGAGACCTCAGTCGCCGTCTCAGTCTCTACCGCAGTTGTCCCAGCACCAAGTGCCCCAGCAGCTTCATCTCCAGTTGCTGAGACCACCGTCGTCGCCTGCCCAGGTGGTGTTGACTGCCCAGCCTCCGTGACTGTCGTCCCAGTCGCATCTACCTTGGTAGTCTGCCCAGGTGGACCAAACTGCCCAGCAACCGCTGCTCCAGTCACCAGCGCAGCAACCTCCGTCGGCACTCCAGTTGTCGTCCCATCTGCCACCACATCTGGTGTGGCCCAGTACACTGGTGCTGCTGGCCGTGCCACCTTTGAGAAGTTGGCCGCCGCTGCTGGTGTCGTTGCTTTCTTCTTGTAAGAAGCTTGTTTATATGAAACGGCTTAATTAGGGGGAGGGTGTACATATTCTTCTTATTTTTATTGTAATTACTAGACTACTCGATAAGCAATTTACGGGATCGGAATTAAAAGGGGATATGTAACTAAGTAACGAATTCAAATTGATGACTTCAAAGATACCAACGATTTTTTGTGAAGTCTCTTGCTACTTGCTCGCTTATGTAGACGAGGCTGAAATCATTTCTCGCATTTGGAAAAGTTTCAATGAATCTATTGACCTACTATTACGGCTATTCTATTCACTGGAGATCATAGATGAGATGTACGATATTCTCACCACTCGAGTAATAACAAACTACACAAAATTATGTCGAATTAATTACGAGATCCATGGCGTATTGTCAAAATTGTTAATGAAAATACACGATATTCAAATCCGATAAATATCACTCTCATGTTGTCCACCACATGGTAAGGAAAAGTACCAAACATAGAAACTACCTGTCACATCACACCATTTCCGTACCCCCTTGCCAGCACTGACTTACAATTCAATTTTCATGTGAAAATAGAATACAAACTCCCTTCACAAGATCTAAAATCGATTGTTTTATTGGGCAATTACTCATGTATCAGTACAACCAATTGCTCATGAATCAGTTGAACAACAGCCAAGTCTCATAGATCAACACGCCCAGAAACTTAGCCGAATAACACAGACCGGGCGGGTGTACCGGGAACATGTGGATGTATTTGACAAAGACAACACGCTAAAAAGGTTTATTTTGACGGTGAAGTGTCAAAGCGTATTTGAACGTCCAGCACAGCAAGAGTCAAAGAACAACAAGTCATGAAAACGCGGTGCGCTGTAGTGGGAAGCATAGTACGCAGGTGCTACTATATCTCAAGTAGGACAAGCGACGTGGTAGACCTTATTGACTCTTGTGTCGACTGAGGGGGTAGTTCAGAATGAGTCCGTTGCTTTCCAGGTAGGTTTAAAAACCAGGCATTTACTGAAACTAATAGACCAATACACAGTATAACCAAGTACCGGCGCGCATAACATATAGATCATTGAATAAGACACTACTGAAATTCTCATGAATCAAGTCTCGACTGTATACTACGCTTTTCTAACCGTCCCATCCAAGAATTTCCCCTTCCACCCTAAGCGAGCTTTCCCATCCCAACCCCTCCACCATCAAAAAGTCGATTCAATACCACACAACAAATATCCACAAGGATCCTACCCTCCCTTCCCAACCTTCCCACCCCGGAACCTGATTATTAACACCACAACCCATGTGCTGAATACGATAAGTGACGACATCGCCATCAACCATGCCATGAACCACACCACCCCCTCCATCACCATCCCAACATCCGTTTCTCCCATCCATCCATCCATCACCCATCCTCACAAACCCCCACGAATCCGACATAAGAAAAAAAAAGACAGATACGAAAATACGACTGTCACATCTCCCAAACACACATTTAAAACTCCTCTTACACGACAGGCAAGGGGGACAGCAATAATAACAACAAAGAAAAACAGGGAGTCATCATAATTGAAATAATCGAAACGTTGTATTATTGATTAATTGATTGATACGTGGATCCCAAAAATCCCAAAATGCAAGGTCCACCAGATACTACGGTACCACCCAATGAGTGCCCAACCCAACCTCGCAAAGTGCAATGCGATGCCTCGCCAACGAACAAAGTCCCATGGCCCAGGATGATGCAGCCAGAACCCATGCCGTCCGACCACAATACGAGCCGCACACCAATGATAAGACAACATCAACACCCCGCTTCCTCGAGATAAGAGATAGTGGAGTGAGCATGCTCTGGTCATTGGAACATGACTCGGCATTACCAACGACATCTGGACGGAGCTGCAGTAGATACTACAGTAGGTACGAACATGGAACACCGGCTTGAATGTGAAATGGTTGTATTATTATTTATCTGCAGCTAATCTGAGCAATTAATGCCTCCTCCTCTCTGAAGCTATTTTCTAGCTACAAGTCCAAACATTGTAAACTATGTACCTGGATAGAAACGTATCTATCGTGCAGCAAAATGTGAGCAACCGAAATGTATCGGAAGCCTTTTCAGTCAAAATTGACTCGAATCAAATACCAAATGAATGTCCTTCTTGTTGTACTCCTTTCCCTTGCCATCCGTCTATGTCTCCCGGATTGCGACCATTATATCATTACGCTCGTAAGGTGAGAAATCAAATGAGATGAGACGTTTACAGAAGCATGGCAACGAAACCAACAAGTCCGAAAAGTCCAGCACTGACCTTCTCAGCACCGTTGGCGATGAGAGGACCGGTTGGGGAAGCAACTGGGCCGACTGGAACACCGCCAGTTGGTGCTGGAACACCTGGAACTGCAGTGGTGGTAACTGGCACTGGAGCTGGGGTTGGTGGGGTGCCTGGAACTGGAGTGACGGTAACAACTGGGATGGTGTAGGTACCAGCAGTTGGGCAGTAGGTGGTGACTGGGCCAATGGTGACAGTGGTTGGAGCAGGGCAGTACTGGAGAAATGTTAGCACAGAATCACATGTCTGATAGATGGACAACATACAGTGGTTGTTGATGAGAGGGTAACAGTGGTGTAGGTAGTGGCGGGGTAGGAGACTGTGCAAGGGCAGTTCTTGATGGTCAAAGTTGTAGCAGATGTTACTGTGTAGGTAACATTGCCTTGGATGACTTGAGTTGGAACTGGGCAGTAAGTCGTGTACTCGGACACAGTCGTGGTGATGTACACAGGAGGAGCAGTTCCGGCTGGTGGAGCTGGTGGTGCTGGAGTGGTTGTTGGCTTTGGGTGCTTGATTGTGCATGGGCAATCAGTGATGGTCAAAGTCTGGCCAGCGGTTGCGGTGCTATTATCATGTTAGTTGAACTGTTTTCCATAGATCGAGTCTCGTCGGATCGAATCTCGACGGAACCAGCTGTCAAAGTAACATACTATGTCTTAGTGCCTTGGGTGACGGTAGTGGCCACTGGGCAGTAGGTCGTGTACGAAGTCACGGTCTCGGTGGTGTACGCGGTAGTCTCATTCAACCACATGGCGTTGACAGCCGCGACGAGTCCGAAGACTGGGAGGAGAGATTGAACGGCCTTCATGTTGACGGATTGAACGATAGTCTACGGTTTCAGTAACGAAAGTGGTTGGTTGGCGATGTAAAAAAACAAAGATGCGATGAGATGGGAAAAGGGTATCGAGTATCGAGATCAACAACGAATGTGATTTTGTGATGGTTGAAGGAAGGTGAAGATGGGAGGGGAAGGGCATATAAGGTAGTGTGCAGACGCTAGCAGGGGTGTGGAGGGCTAGAGGGGGGAGAGGGAGGGTGAGAACGCCAAAGAGGGAAGTAAGCAGACTTTTCGTGCCTGACAAACGCAGTAGGGAAAGGCAAAGAAGTGGCGCTACTGCGCATTCGGTCCATTTGCAGTAGTTCGAATCGCATGGAAGGGGTGACTTGGGTGAGGGCACGGATTGCTCGTACGAGAGGAGCCTCGAGAGAGGTTGGCAGGTTGGCGACAATATTACTGCCGGTTCGGTGATGAAGGGAGATTCCAACATCGTATGTTTCGTATTGCAGATTCTTCCGATTATTCTTGGTATTGCTGCTGCTGATGATTGTCTCCAGTACTTCGATTATCCTCCTGTCATCGTCTGGAAATTACACCATGTAGAGTCGTTTCAATCTGCACTCTGCTCACTCAGACTCAGAAGAATCAGCAGAATCAGCGGCGTCTTTGGTGATCCGACTAGCGAATGACAACCTTGGAAGCTGGACCTGACTACTTTTAATCTATTCCAATTCCGTTGGCTAGGTTGTTCTCGTTCTGCCCTATTGCTGTGCCGTCGAATCTCTTCCTGCTGCCCTGCAGATATCGTTTCGTCCCAGCCTGGACGTTGAAGTGTTGACACTCTTTGTGACACCAATCTCGTACCATCTTCGATACCGACTGAACAGTTTCAGCAACATCCTTCTGAAAAACACCAGAGCATGCGACATCGCGAACCCCGTCAATAGTTGCGATTACTCGGCCATACTTCCAAATCGTCAGTCCAGTCGCCAGCGCATCCAGCCACACTCTTCAATTTTGGGGTGAGTGAGGTCAGCGACCATCACCGTATCATTCTTGACCCTGTTGTCCATGCAAATACGAGGCTCTTGCCCCTCTTCATCTGGCAACCCCAGCAACGAGAGCAGGCCAGGGAGACAAGCGAGCGCGATACCGAAGCTCACAGTCGCAGCCTTGCCTCTGACCGGCAGCTCAGCCGCATTTGTAGAATCATCCGTAAAATGATTGGTGACAACCTAGAAAGTTACCCACTTGCTCTGCCAATCCTCGTCATGCTGCTATTTTGATCCTGCACGATGTTGCCTCTTCTTTCTTTCCGGACTGGTTGGCGGATTAGTTATCGTTAACAAATGCTTATATCACGGAGAAGCTGCTTTTCGAGGCTTGATCTGACCGATGGCAGAGATCCATATCGTGAAAGAACACGAGGTGAGATGTCGAAACCCGGCCTTGGATTTTTTTGGCATTATTTGGAAACTTGGTTCTTTCTCGATGTGTTGGAAACCTAAACATTCAACAAACTCTACTGCTTTGGCGTACGCTCATGTTCCCGAAAGATGCAGCTGCACTACGGACAAGGCCGTTAGCCGCCGCCGCCTATCAAAAACTTTACGGGAAAAATGGAACCGTTAGTGAGGATTTAAGCATAGTCTGACAGTTAGTACTGTGAACTAGGGTCTCTAGTTGGCAATTCAACTGTCAACACCAAAATCATCCAGAAGACGAGGAGAGTATATCGTCAATGGCGCATTTGTGGAAAGTAAGGGTAAAGTCGGCGAAATAATAATCGGAAGAGAACTGTGCTGTGAAACAGCAAGTTGGACTTGTCAACCCTCAGTGTGTGAGCTGGTGCAATGAAGCTGTAGATCTTGGAGATCTTGGTGCTCTTGAGCCGCCTCCAACACTTCTGCTGCGCGCTGGGTGATGGCGGATGTGAACACTGGACTATCAGAAGTCCTCGGCGTTTCTATGCATGCTGAAGGAGAGAACACAGTCAGCGCCATCAGGCACCTGCCAGCCACCTCTTTACTGCTTCACGTAAATCGTTCAGGCCGGATCATTAGAGTTCAGCAAGCCAAATACTCACATCATTTGGTGGAATGATTGTAGTGGTGTGCTGAGTTGGTATGGGACAATCTTTCGGGATTCTTCCCTGGTTGCAACTCGCAAGTCCGTTGGTAAAGCTCATGCCCCCTGCTGAGTCAGGCCGTGATACGAAAACACGAGCGCATTTTCGGTCGCGGTGTGATTGTGCTGTGCATTGCATCCCACGACCAACACAACAACCAAGCATGGGATTTCCCAATATTGAAGACTATCGACTTTAATACTCCATATCATATGGCTCGATTAATGGTCGTTGATTTTAGCATTTGGCACCCTGAGGAAATCAACGGCCTCGTTCACGGCATTAAGGGATGTGGAAATGAGTGTGGGGTTCAAGTTTCCACTGTGACGTGCGATCTCTTCTGTCGCCGACGACATCTATCTTCTCGCAAGGCTTCGCTTTCCGGGAGACTCTCTGAACAGTTTCGATAGACGTTGCCGTACCAACGCAGAGCGCTCTGCTCTTCCACTCTCTTGAGATTTGCTTCTCCACCCTTTACGACGAAAGCCTGTCCTGTGCTGATTGGGGCGGCTTGATACGAGTAGGGAGGAAAGAAATCCACAGCTTTTGTTCTCAAAATGGAAAATCAGGGCCCTCCCAATTTCTCACAACTTGCACAAGACCATTTGGTCCACACCACGGAGCAACCGTGGGCCTTTTCGTGTTGTTGGCAATACGGCATGGCATTTCCTCATTCAGGTAATCGATAGCCTCCCCAAAGGTGGATGACGAAGTACGAGACTGCCCAGGTGGATGTGGTATATTTTCTTTGCTCTCTGAAAAGGCCTGCTTTCTCAAGATTACTCACGTTCCGTCTCTCTCAACTTTCCAGATCCGCACTCTCTCGCCACAAAACATTCAGCACGATCAGTCTTTCTGTTCAAGAGAACAGCGATTCGAGAACTTTCCAGCAGATTTTCCACACTTTGCCCCCTCAACGTGAACTCCCTGATCTCGAGAATAGGTCGGAACCAACACCTAAACGATTCTTTACGTATCAGCAATCTCCACTGATCAGAACAGCGGTTCAGGAGCAGTCATCATGAGGAACTATTTGCTGACAGATTGATTCTTCATTTTCCATCTTTCATAGACGCGCTGACATATCTAGGTATTCTCAAATGCAAGATCGCCGCAATCCTTCGGGTGTTTCTTGTTCCTGTCAGCACAAATCCTACCGCGACGAGAATATTGATCATTTTTACCACCAATACCACATTTTCCGGTTCCTTCGCATTTCTAATTTTCTCACTTCCTATCAATGAATAAGAGCCACTGCAGAAAACAATTCCGCTCTCCATCCTTCACAATTCACACGTGCTCTCACGTGAATAGGTCAAAATCGGTGCAGCCTCTAGTCTGTGACAGAAAATACATCTACCCAAGCATTTTGCAGTTCAACCCATTTCTTCACTGCTTCAGTCGTCGACCAATCACACAATCATACATCGAGCGTACCAGTCTTGCCTCCGTCTAAGACGCTAGAAAATCTCTTCAACACGGTGCCGCTAAACTCGACCTACCACGATTATTCGGACCGGTGATTTTCGAGTCCTCTACTAAGCAGAGTTGCTTAAACCCGATGATTGCATACTGCTGCCTTCTTTCGAGCTTTTCTGTCACTGCGAACAAGTGTCAGCTAGCAGGAAGACACTGCAAAAACAGTGCATATTCCACAGCATCAATCGCAAATTGGTACTGTCAAGAGGATCAAGATGTCCTGCACTAGTGGTGGAATTTCCAGTTGGTCTCTTTCGACACCCTAACCGGCGTCGGTTCGAAGTCATCAAGTGGTAGGAAGATTGACAGTTGCTCCTCACATGATCACATCAAATCGGTCAACCTGCCTGGCCAAATCTGCTGAGAAGTCTGCCGGTTCTAATCCAATGAGCATTGCACAACGTTTCGACTCGAGGAGTGTGAAGAAGTGACACAGGAGAACTGCAGTCGGAAGTCACAGCACTTTTCCTGCAAAAAGCTGGTGATTCCAACACGTAACACCACATCCCAAGAGCTATCGGCCACACAAGTTATTTCTGGTCACTTTTGCTGTCTTTTCATTATTGGTCAGGCACATTACAATCATCCACGTCTCATCCCAGTGCTGGCAGTGGTCTTGAAGTCGGGATAGTGTATGCAGCCACAGCATATCTCCTCATTCAGTGATTATTTTATTCCCTGTTCGGCTGTTCTTTCTTTTCTTTTCAATTCGTTTCCATTACCAATCTCAACCAAGGTCAGAAGGAGACTAGGATTGATTTGGGTACTCCTTGGGCCTGTTGAATATCCAATGGATATTTGGTCGCGACCCGGAGACTACTTGCCAAGCGTGGATAGATGAACATTCTCGACCGCACTTGTGCAAACGGGCCATTCACGAAATAACGCGAAAATTCGCGGACCTGACTCGATGACGATTTTCAAATTTCCCACCGCGAAAGCGCTGGATTACTATCTACTTTCCAGGCGGTTGAGTTTGCAAGTGCGCATGTCTGCCGCAAAAACCATCGGCGCCGTCGTTATCAGGTTGGCGGGCGCATTGCTTAATCGGTTATCGATAGCGGAATCGTGTGGGATCCACCCCCGATTGGCGTCGACCAAGAGGGGTAGTTTTCGCCCTCCGGAAGCGTGGAATTGTTCCAGCAGTCTGGGCTATGGATTCTCGAATTCAGCCAGAATCTCAATGCGGGTATGAAAATGCAGAATTCTATCATTGCGGAGCCTGCCTGCAACTCTTCTGAGTTTTCACTGTCACATGTCAAGTGACAGCGATTCCAGCTACAGGGTAAGCAGGGAGCGGTCGTCTGCGTACCTGAGCCGTTGGCCTGTACCTGCCGATCATCTCGCCGTACCTGACCGGAGCATGGATTTTTACTTTTTGGCACACACACTGCTCGTCTGCTTCTACCAGTCAGAGGGCATGAAAATTCTAGGAGAAGACTTGTTGCGGCATTTCTCTGATTCGATCAACTTGCTTTGCTTAGGGCCTGTGTTGCCCACCCGCTTATGATGGAATAGTTCCACCGCAGGTGGGAATCCTACGAAGTCGTGATTGGTTTCCTTAGGCTTTGACTTTGCCTTTGTGTCAAGTTGCCCGGGACAACGTTCTCGACCTTCGAGTGTGTTGCTTGCTGGTGCTTGGAGTCGACCAAAGCAAAGGCGTGTTTTGTGGGCATCAATGTTGTTCAAGGACAGCCGTTCGTGGTTGAGTATTGTCACGAGTCACGCGCGTGGACTGAAGACTTGACATGCAAGGACTTTAGTCACTGGCCTCTGATCTCGAGGTCTGGACAGAATTTTCCAATGGGTGCATGTCGATCCACGCAAATCCAAAAAGGAACGGAGGTCATCTCAATGCAAAACTGGAAAATGTGATGGCAGCGGTGATTCGTGAGCGCGCTGTCTTTTCGACGTCAGCAATAAACAAGTGATCTCGGCGTTGTCAGTGAAAAACCAAGTACAGCAGGTGCGCTGGCAACCTGGACGCTTTCCATATTGACTCCAACTTGGTAAGGCACCGGTGCAGAAGCGCGAGGATTTTGCTCCCTCTGCAGGCAGAATTTGCACCGTACTGTAGTCAGTAGGGTAGTGAGTAGTCACCGAGTGGTCGCTTTCTAAACATTGTCGATGAGGTCAACGTTATCGACTCAACAACCGAAAGGATGAGTTTCGGTATTACCCACCCACTGCAGGCTGTCCAGAAGCAGAAACGAATGGGGACGGGGATGTCGGAACTTTTCTGGTCGGTTGGGACGACTGCATCGCGTCCAGTGCGCAATCGAGTATCGGTTTGGCTGTTCCTGCGTGGCTTCGCCTTGCCAGCTGCCAACTCGCAAGACCGCTTGCGCCAATGTTCTTTTGCCTTTCCCTTCTCTTGCTTCTGTCTTTGCTTCTTCGAACGCGTGGCAACTTGCACGTCGAAAAGTTGGCCAGCGACGGTGCGGTGCCTGGATTTGTGCAAAGACGAAAACTCAGGGGTGGGGGGGGGAATGCTTCGTTGCAAGGTCTCTCTGCCCTCCCCCCTCTACGGGACGGAAGACCGTTGGAGCAGATCCCGCATCCCCCACGATTGGCTGCTACCCTGTCTTGGCCCTGACGCCGCTCAGGTCCCGTCAGCGTTTTCCATCGTCCAGCACATTGACACATGGCCAGCGCAGGTACGCAGCCAATCAGCGGCGGAGCGCAAGACGAGCAAATGCAGGTGTCTGAGATTTTGAAGAAGCTTCCCTGGACTCGTCGGTACTGATCTTCTCACCCGGCTGACTGTGTGAGATGCGAGATGTGAGCAACTCCTTCCGTTCGGAGATCAGAAAGTTTGGTTGACCTGCTCGCTTGTGACCCAGACCTTGGGCCTTGAGGAGTGCTCTGAGAGGGCTCTCAGGACTTGCTGTCTGGCGCAAGTCCTCGACACTGGTCAACTCCAGTTACTCCACCCTCTCCACACCACCATCAGCGAGAAAACTCAGAGACCGCGCAGACGCGAGGACGTTCTGGATGCCGCAGATCCTTCCTTACAGACATTGTTTCTCTGCCAATGACCCACTCCCGTAGCAGCAGTAGCATCAGCCCGAGCAGTAACCGACCAAAAGCGCCAGTTTTCAATTCCCATGCTACCAAGTCCCCCGATGCCCTACCAAACGGTGGCCCAACACTGCTAATGAGAGATGGCCCTCCCTGAAACTCCAACCGGCGTTGCCACGACCTACACGGCCGCCTTTCACTATATGAAGGCCACCATCTCCCCCCGAATTTAGTTTGCTTCCCATCACAATCCTTTGGTGCTATTTATCAGTTCTTCGTTGACGTCGAGGCTCTCACTCCTTCCTTTTTACAAATCTCGATCTGTGATCGCCGATATACTCTCTCTCCCCAAGCCAAGCTTCCTCTAAAGAGCAATTCTTAGCTTTCTGTCCGCGACAGTGTCACTACGACATCATTAGCCTCACGCAACACTCAAACTATACCAGACCGTCTTGACGACTCACCTCACACACAACATCGATCGACTACTTGTTCTTAGCAGCAACTACTAAATTCGACCGACCAACTTGTTAGAAATCTCAAAATATAAGCAGAGTTCTTTCTCACCCACCATCCTTCACAATCAAACAACTTCAGACTCAGACAATTCCTCAACCACAATCCCTGAAAACCCAAATCCACTCAACGTCAACTCAACAACATCATCACAATGCAATATTCCATCAAGAACCTCCTTTTCGGAGCCGCTGCGCTCGCTGCTGTCGCCGCTGCCAACTCGGTGACCTTCCAAAATCAAGACAGTGTCACCCGGACCATTGTTTTCACTGGATCGGAGAACATGGCCAGCCCTGAGAATTTCGTGCTCGAGGGTCATGGCATCACGAAGGTCGAATTCCCGACTGGATGGATCGGTAACTGGTACGCTGTCTCTGAGGGAGCAGACAATGTCCCCGGAATGCTTGGAGAGGTAACTTTCGACGCCTTCAACGGCATCACCTTTTTTGACATCTCTGCGATTGTCAACCCAGACGACGTAAATAATGTCAAGATGTTATACCCCGCCAACCTCGAGCTTCCTACCTCCGGCTGCCAGGACTTTCCATGCGCCAATGCCTACAACAAGTGGGATGATGTCCAAACCCAAGCTACCGCGGACCACGACCTCGTCTGCTTGTTGGGCACACTCGAGGCTCAACCTGAGCCTGAGCGCCGTCTCCGCCGTGGTTCTCGCAAGGACTCCGCCAACTAAGCTTTCCGCTTCGTCCTTTTCATCACGTCGACTTTCGTGACTTTCGTACCCCTTCTGCAACCTCCGCTTGCGTAGACTTTCAGAAGGGTTTCCTTTTTTTTGGGAGGGGGGATGAAAGACGGTTTCGTCACTATGCGCCGCGAGTAGGCTGCAAGTGATGGACTTGAATTCGATGACTTTATGAATTGAAGGGGAACTTTAGAAACTGGGCCTGGAAATCGAGAGTCATTCTCGTGGTGTTACTTGGAATTATGATACCGCAAGTCTTCAGGCTTACTTGTTTGGGTGTATACACTCTTTGTTTTTGGCGATAGACTGGAGGAAATTTCACTTCTTGGACATCTTTAGGGAATATAGACTTGGAATGAAATATTTTAACCAAATAAACGCGTACCTTTCTCACATTGTGACATTGACAATCATGGCCCATCGTTTTGCAGGTTTTGGTGTTCCTGCGAAGTCGTCTGTCGTTGACCTGTCCCACCCACATGCCCAGACGTTGTTACCGCCAGCCACGCACGCGCCCACGTTGCGATGTTTCAAAGAGATCTTCACTGCCGACACGTGGGGGACCTATCGACCCCCAAACTCACAACTTCCTCGAACACTCTGACGCACATAGAAACGAAACCTCAAGCTAATAAAATTCTTTCGGCGTTAGTGGTGCGCTGTCTGTTTCTTTCAACCGAGGCATCCGATTTCTGTAGTCCCAAAGTGTTTTCGATTAACTGGCACTTCTAGAACGTAGAGTCGACGGTATTGGGCTAAGTAAGTGTAAGCTTCTATCATAGTTAGCGTACCAGAGTTGGAATTTGCATCAATGGAAATGAATTCGATGTTGATCGTGTGCGAAAGCGAACACGAGTCAAGATGATCGACACACAGTAGTACCTGATAGTAGTTTGTGGTGGTAAAACAGACGGTGCTGTTCGTGTGAAGCTACGCGGTTTAAGCTTATGTGCGCGGAATCAGATCGAGATGCCGCGGGGAGGGATGTCGACGTTTAGAGGAGATGGCAAGCGCACTGGATGTGAGCTGAAACGAAGGGATTGCAGAATCGGAAGTTGAAGAGGATGAGACGTGAATGGATTGGGTTGCGGGTGCAAAAGATGGGATGAACCCCTTTTCAGCACACCCAATCAATTCCATGCACACCGGGAGAGATTAGATGGAAGGGCCCCTGCATCCAAGCTGCCCGCGACAGCGACCTTGAATTGAGAACCACAGCATCTCGAGAACCTACACTCCTTCAACACCCTCACGGCGACTCGCTCTGTGCAGCTTTGCACATTCCATTCCTTTACCACTATTGACGCCAGATGTCAATACCACACTCTTTATAAAACTTACCACGCGTCGGCGTCCTCACGATAAACGCTCTTTTAGCCCTTTTAATTTCCTAATCTCACAATGCGAGTCCGTTCTTTTCTCCTAGGAGCTTCAATCCTCTCCTCCGTCTCAGCGCAGACATGGACGAGTTGCAACCCGCTCAACACCACCTGTCCGAACAACGCCGCGCTGGGCACCGAACACACATTCATTTTCAACCAATCCTCGGCCGTCACCAACACCTTCAACATCACCAATGGCGTGCTGGCGTACGGCGCTCAGGGCGCGGAATTCACGATCAATAAACGCCGCGAGAGTCCCACGATTCAGAGTCTATGGCACATCATGTTTGGCAGCGTCAGCGTGGTGATGAAGGCCGCGACGGGGACGGGGATCGTGAGTAGTATTGTGCTGCAGAGCGATGATCTGGATGAGATTGATTGGGAGTTTGTCGGCGGGAATGCGACGCATGCGCAGACGAATTATTTTGGGAAAGGTATGTGATGTGCGGGAGAGGTTGGGGTTGTGTTAACGAGAATGTAGGAAATACGACGTCGTTTGATCGTGCGGTGTATTACCCCGTTTCCACGGATGTCAGGGAAAATTTCCATAATTATACTGTGGTTTGGACGGCGGAGAATTTGAAGTGGATGATTGATGGGGTGACGGTTAGGGTCTTGAATTATTCGCAAGCTAATGGCGGTCATAATTATCCGCAGACTCCTTCGACGGTGAGATTGGGTATCTGGGCGGGTGGTGATCCGGATATGCCAAAGGGGACGATTGAGTGGGCGGGTGGTGAGACGGATTTCACAAAGGGACCGTATACGATGTTTGTGCAGCAGGTTGAGGTTAAGGATTATGGGACTGGGAAGGAGTATCATTGGGCGGATCGCAGTGGTAGTTGGGAAAGCATTCAGTCTATTGGGTATGTATATTCTTTTGACACATATCGTACCAAACTAACAAAATAACTAGGGGCAACTCCACAGCCGCCCAGACAATCTTCAAAGAGACACATCCAGATCCGACAATTGCCCAGAAATGGGAAGCTCTCCCTACTGGAACGAAGATTGGAGTATATTCCGGTGCTGGTGGAGCAGCAGCTCTCATGTTCATGGCTCTTCTGTTCTTCTTCTTCAGACAACGACGGGCCGGTCGTATCGAACGAGACGCTTACAACGCCAAAGTCGAAAAAGAACGCGAGGACCAATTTCGGGAAAATGTCGAACTCAAGAAAAAGGGTGAAGGAGGATGGAATGAAAGAGATCTAGCAAATCAAGGAGATGATGCACTAGGCGGCTGGAGTGCAGCCCATGCAACACCTGAAAAGGATCGGGATATGGACGCCCATTCAATTGCCAGGACGCACGTCAGTGATTATCCTTCACGCGCCGAAACCCCAACATTCTCCGAAAGTGCAAGCGCAGTACAACCAGCTACTTTACTAGGAAATCTCCCTTTCCGCGCAAACGAATGGCATGGCGGAAACCAAGGCGGTCTCATTAACGACGCAGGCAACGCCCACACAGGAGCCTACTCTAACCAAACTCCCACCCTCCCATTCTCAACCCAATCCCCTCAATACAACAACCACAACTACCAACCCCGCGGTCTCGTCGCCTCCGTCCAAACAGCCGGCTTCAGCAACGCAGCTTTCTCACCCACCCGCTCCGCAAGCCCTAGTTTCCCCTTCCCAAGCCAGTCACCCGTGTCACCACAATTAGGCTTCAGCGCTTCCTCAACCTCGCTCCATTCCAATTACTCGAACCCGGCGAGAGGACTCGTTGCGTCGGCGCAGACGGCGCATTCGGGTGGGTATTCGGGGAGGTTTCAACCTAGGTCGGTGAGTGAGACGCAGAGGTCGCCGCGGGCTCATGGCGGGCAGATGGGGGGTGGTGGTGGGTATCAGCGGTTTTGAGTGAGGATTGGGTTTGGAGTTGAGGGTTGTATATAGCGTGGATTGATTTGGTGGGGTTTTTGTTGATAAGAGCTTGATGTTTTGAATATGGGCGTGGCGTTTTGGGCGAGTTTTGAGCGCAAGAGATGAGATAATCGAGCGTATACATATTTCCGTACATACCTTCAATTTCGGGAAAGAGATAACCTCAAGGTAGAACTATTGTGTTAGCAGGTAGGTCTCATTGAAACTCAATCTTCGTCTTTCATTTTATTCTATGTCATGTTAGGAAGGGGTATTAGTCGACAAAAGGAAGGAGCAATGATGAGATGGTACTCGTTTGATCGGAGTGACACGATGTTACACTATATCTCCTTCGTCGTTGTTGAGTGACCTTGTAGACTTTGGAACTCTGCTTCCGAGAAGGTTTGCTACTATGAGATGAGGCATGTCACGTTTTTTATATGAGAAGAAGTCGTAGTCCACTTTCACGTAAGAACTGACTCACAGACTTATGCTTTCAACGACTTTACAATTCTGTCGTTTACCCTTAACTGGGCAGTTTGGGTGTTGAGGGTTTGTCCGCTAGTGTGTCGGTATCTTGGCCTGAAGTTCATCGGGCTGACATATTTAGGTTCGTGGGTGCAGGTGGGAGGGTGGTAGAAGTTGGGGGTGCTTGCTATATATGTAAGAATGAGAATGTCGCTTTTTTTTAAGATATAGGTTTTTATGGAGATGGTTTGGGTGAAATGTGTTTAGGCGTTTGTGATGTTCTTAATATAATATTTATATGCCGTTTGTGAGGGTGTTAATTGAGGAGTAGAGATAGGGAGTATGGTAACAGATTAGGACTTAGCTGTCTCATTATTTGGGAGAGGAGGTGAACAGTGGGTTATTTTGAGGGGTATAATTTTTTAGTTATTGCTGCAGTAGTTAGTGTTGTGATAGATTCAATTACACTATACCCAACCATCCTAAATCCACATCGGGTATCACACATCCCATCCCATAAACCAGACGCCTCACCATTCCCATATATACAAATCAAAACCTCCACCAACACCCCCAAAAAATTCTACACCATAATCCTCCTCAACCCCTCCGTCCCCCCTAACACCCGTCTACCCGTAACAGCACACCTCCCCTTCCCACTCTCCCACTTCCCTTCTCTGCCTTCCATCCATGCCTCCTGCTTCTCATGATTCCCCTCGAGCCAGCGATGGATACAAGGGTAGCAGAATACGAAACCTGTTTGGCAGGCTGTCGCGGTCGTAATTTCTTGCTCGCAGATGGGACAGAGTTCTGTGTTTGAGGGGATGGGGACGGTGAGGATGGGGAGGAGGGTTGTGGAGGCTATGGGTGGGTTTTTGGCTTCCATTTTCTGTGACTCGCTGTTTTCGGTTTGAGATTGGATGTCGGTTGATGAGGTTTTATTTGAAGGACTGAATCTGGTACTTAGAGTTGAGAGTCCACTGACTACAGGCGGCGGTAGTTCAATCCCTTCCGCAGCTTTTCTGCTTAGTTGTCTTGCGAAATCGCTCGCGTGCCACCATTCCAAGAACTTTAATGCGAAGATACTGGTCGGTAATAGCACTTTTAAACTTCCCAACGCCCGTTCTCCCATAACTCTTGGACTGAAAATACTGGTAACCCCGAGATTCCCACCCGCTGGCCCCGTACTCGGCTTCGGTTCGGACAACGCACTAATAGCACGGTAATCCTCCTCTCCTAACCTCCTCATCCTCGTTCCAACCAACCAGAAAAATGGATTATGGAACCTCGAGTTGTCAAATAGGTAGGATATATTGAAAGCCAACACCGCAAAATAATAAGCCGCATTGATACTCGGATACACATTCCGCAGAAACCATCGATAGTAATGTAATATCCTCTGCTTTATCGTCGGGTTCGCAGGCATTCGCGTGTAATTCCCGCCTAGCAAAGCGCGAGGAGCATTGATCTCGTAACTCTCATCCAATTTCCTCTTAAGATACGGCAGTCCGACCATTATAGCGAGATTCTTCCATACATCCCCCTTTCCCAATTTCAACGCACTTCGAACATGTCCCGGCGCGCCGATCTGCGCCCGCGGTATTTCGCCAACGGATAACGCCTTTTCCCGCTTCAAACCGTAGAAGTTCTCGGTGAAGCCACCGCCGTGGGTGGTGAGGTAGTGGCGTTCTACCAGGAGCATGATGAGGGCGTAGAGTTCATCGAAGGAGTTTAGGACGCGGAGGAGGTAGCGTGGGTGTCGGTGGGTGGCTACTGTGAGCAGGTAGCGGAGGGAGGGGGGAAGGAGGGAGGAAAGTTGGGCTTCCGAGAGGAGTTCGAAGAGGGAGGGTTTTTGGGGGTCGAATGTTGATTGGAGGGTTGGGAGGAACTCCATGATGGGTGAGGAGTTGGAGTGATGCGAGGGTTGGTGATGTTTGTGAGGTTGTGTTTGATGTTGCTGAGGGAATCCACAAGGCTGAGAGGAATTCTATGCCGAGGTCTACTTTAACCAACCTGGAACGAGTGGAACCGGTATTCAGTCGAATGATCAGACATTTTTGTACATTCTAATACTCTAAGTATCCTACGGTTTCATATATTTTGTTTCTGAACATGTAAATTTTAATTTCCAATTGCTACCGGTCACTGCCGTTATCGTGCACCTGGTGGCCCCCAAAATAGCATCCCGATCTGGCCAAGCAAACACTCTGACCACCAAATCAGGAGAAATGTCACAGCCATGAGAGATTCTTCGTTCTAGCACTTCCTGCTCAGGTATTTTCATTGCGAAGACACGACCAGTTTGTTGCCCTGATTGGCACTCTATATCTGCTTTGTTACTGCTATTATTCAAGAGCCTCGCAATTACCCGGCCCCGTCGTACTTTTCCATCCATCTACAACGGCACTTTGTGCCATTACACTCGTTTGTATGCTGTAGTCCGCCACGCGTTTCAATTCCACATACCCAACACGGCACCTTGCAGGTCTTCGGCACTGAACGGAGGACAGTTACTTTTATTTACAGGTTAAACTCGACACATCAGATAGCAGGACATAATTACAACTTGAAGTGGAAGGCGCCAAAGGGGTGGTCGAGACCGAGATACTTCATGAATAGCGCATAGCGTGTCAACATGGCCGCAGATTTCCGGTTGACAGGAGTTTTGGGGAAGATAGTAACAATTCTTCAAGTAGCTTCAGTTACCCAGGCGTTTTATATCCCAGGTAGGAGGAAATGGCAATTCAATCCCGTCTGAGATGTGCCTAACTGGTACTCTAGGTTGGTCCGTCAAAAGCTACAAAAACGACGAAGCAATTCCTCTCTTAGTCAACAAGGTCTACTCAGACAATACCCAATTACAGTATGCATACTATGATCTGCCATTCGTATGCCCGCCCAAAGGAGCCCATCAAGCAGGACTCCCGCTGTTGAGTGGGCAAACGATCTCACTAAACCTGGGAGAGGTTCTACGAGGTGATCGAATCACACAATCCGACATCGAGCTGGTGATGGGGAAAGACTCGCCCTGTAACTTTCTATGCTCGAAAACCATCACAAGAAAGGATCTGAAAAGGGCTCGAGAGATGGTGCGGGATGGTTATGTGGCCGAATGGATTGTGGATAATCTGCCTGGTGCGACGAGCTTTGTGACGGTGGACAAAACGAAAAAGTACTACGCTGCGGGATTCAAGATTGGATATAAAGATATCGAGCTTAGTTCCGGCAGAAATCGATACTACATCAACAACCATCTCACGATTGTCATTCGTTACCGGAAAGCCCCTGGAAAGGACGGCGAAAGGGGCGGAAAGGTTGTCGTTGCTTTTGAAGTGTATACGAAAAGTGTCGGACAGGACAAACGACTTGCAGATGGATGTCCAGAAGACCTGAATGAGGTTGAAACACCTATGGAATTGTACATTCAGCCAAACTCGACCGACTTTTCGGATCTATACCCACATTCCTCGTACCATCCGCATGAGAGCGATATGGATATCAACGACGGTGCGACGCTAGATGTCCCGTATACATACTCTGTATACTGGCGCGAAGACGATAAGATTGAATGGGCGCATCGTTGGGATATGTATTTTGTCAATCAGGAAGAAGGTTCGAGGATCCATTGGCTTGCGATCATCAACTCTATCATCATTTCTGGTTCATTGAGTGCAATTGTAGCTATGATTCTCGCCCGGACGATTCGAGGCGACATCAAGACTTACAAGGATGCCTCAGTGGAAGAGGGTAAATCAAAGCTTAAGAGAAAACCTAGAAGCGGGGCGAGAACACCAAAAGGAGAGAAAACTAGTTCAGGCTTGCTTGACCAAGTCGCTGACATGGAGAACGATGCTGACGTTTCTTCTGACGATGAAGCTTTAGAAGATGTCACCGGCTGGAAATTGCTACATGGTGATGTCTTCCGGGCTCCTGCTTATGGTTACGTTCTTGCACCACTTGTCGGATCTGGAATGCAACTGATTTTCGTGGCTTTTGGACTGCTTTTCCTAAGCAGCCTGGGCGTCCTCAATCCCAGTTTCCGGGGTGGGTTCGTCAGCTGTGGAGTTGGACTTTTCGTCTTTGCTGGTATCTTCTCAGGCTACTTTTCTGGTCGCGTCTACAAGACTTTTGGAGGCAAGAATTGGAGAAAGAATACCCTCATTACCGCTGCGCTCTTTCCCGGACTTCTATTCGCATTGGTGTTCATTCTGAATTTATTCGTCTGGGCTCAAGCTTCATCCACAGCCCTGCCATTCGGTACGCTTATTGGACTTATCCTACTCTGGCTATGTATCCAGGTTCCCCTTGTGTATGTAGGGAGTTGGTACGGCTATCTCCGCACTGGGGCCTGGGAACATCCCACAAAGACGACGGCTCTTCCACGGCAGCTACCGCTAGGCCAACCATGGTACATACAACCATATCAGTCGATTCTACTGGCTGGTCTCATTCCTTTTGCGGTCATCTTCATCGAACTACTTTACGTCTTCCAATCGCTTTGGCAAGATAAAAGCGGTTACTATTATGTCTTTGGATTCCTATCGGTTGTCTCCGTCATCTTGATACTCACCATTGCCGAGGTCACAGTTGTCACTATTTACATCAAGCTTTGTAGCGAAGACTATAATTGGTGGTGGCATTCTTTCTTCGTGGGTGGCGGTAGTGCTGTTTGGGTTTTTGTCTACTGCATCTGGTATTATCTGACAAAACTCCACATTGAAGGGTTCATCAGCAGCCTGCTTTTCTTCAGTTATAGTTTTATTGCGTGTGTTGTTTATGGGTTACTCTGCGGAACTGTAGGCTTCTTGACGGCATATGCGTTTGTGCGGAGGATTTATGGGTAAGTTCTCCATTCCAAATGCACTACCCCGAAACACTCTGGAGTAGATCTTGCTAACTGATATTCCAGTGCTATTAAAGCCGATTAAACAGCTAGAGATACTACTTACATACGGTTTTGTCTTCAATAAATGCCTAAAAAGGTAGCTTAATGGGTTGGTATTGGTAGAACTTTACAACCGGATTAGGGTGTTTGGCTAACACGCCACTCGAATGAGATAATGAGAGCGCTATAGATAGATTTTTCGAAGTCTCTAAACTTAATGAAATGAATTCCGAACAAGATTTTGGTACTATCAGCTAACGTGGTCAAGTGACGTTTATTCCCTGGGATCCTGAACTTACACCTTCAAATTATTTCGTGGTGCAGGTGGATCACAGCCCTGAGGAGAAATGGGGTTGGTTTCTTCATGTTATTCATTAATTATTCTAGTCTCTCGCGGTCCTCTTCCCATTTCAAATGATCTAGCACAGCTATACCCCTGCATCAACCCTCAGCAAGAGCAATACAGCTGAATCTCAGTTCACCTCCTCCACTGGCCTTTTCTAACTCAATAATTCTGCCAATCCCCAACGCAAGCGCTTTCTCACTCAAAACATCCTCGTCATCCGCCAACTGACCACGCTCAATAGGTCCCTTCCGACTACCTTCCAGCTCCCACAGCTTTCCATCATCGCCCTTAATGAAAGCTATAAAGTGCCCAGCTTCATTTCCTCCCTCCGCATCAGGAGCAACAGTATCACCCATCTCTGCTACACTTTGATGAGCCTCTTCGAACTCCTTATTATCGTACAAATACTGGGCTCGCTCTTCAATTTTCAACGGTAGAGCTTCCTCTCTGATTCTCGCCAGAATCGAGCCAGGTTCAACAAAATGCCTGGCAGGTCCATTGATGGCAAGATGTGTAAGACCATACGAGCCACACGCATGCCCGATGGTCTGTTTGAACCAAACAACAGGCTCATCGGCACCAAATCCTGTGTACTCAGGCTTTGCGTCGTCTTCAGCCTTCCGCTCAGCATACCATGCTGGTGTGCGAGGAATAATGACGAGAAGAGCAAGGCAAGGCCGTGGAATCATGGCAAGAAGTGAGCGCTCTGTGAGTGAATATACGTCATGGAATTTGAGTCGAGGAGAGAGTCCTAGCTTTGGAGCAAGTGCGTTCATCACCTCCGGATTATTTTCTGTCAAGTTCAGTTAGTGTTTGCTCACTATTGACCCGGCTGGGAAGGGAAATTAACCAAGAACCGTAAAGTACTTTTTGCCATTGACATATTCGACTGGGATAGGCATTTTGGAGAACTTTGTTATTTTTTTGCGACTAAATTCTTGGAAGATGTAATGCTCAATTATATTGGAATTATTGTTCGAGCCAAGTCTAAATGGCTTCCATGTTCTATCAAATGGGCAGGCACAGCCAGGCAACTTCGACGCGAATACATTAGTCATCCTCGCTTGTTTTGACAACTACAGGTACCAGGTGAACAATATACTTCTTCTGAGTGGCTGTAACCTGCAGCCTTTTGAAAGATTCTGTTAAGTTGTAATTAAGTTGGGAAATGTACATTTGCAACACAGTCAAAATTGGGTCTTGTTCGCTAAAAGTGATTGACAGAATCTACGACATTTGCCAAAGTTGATCAACGAAAGTAGATGTTAGGTCAACTAGCTCAGGTAAACACCAGGCTTCCACTACAACTTTTTCCACCGCGAGGGTAGCAGCTGAAGAAGTCTTCTGAGATCGCTCACTAGTGACCGGGAAAAGATCAATAAATGGCCATCAGTTTTCATTCATAACATTTGCTAAAATAAGTCCAGGAAAAGCATTTTGCCGACATAGCGAAAGACTGCTAGCAACTGACAAGGAAGACCAAATCCAGAGCCCCAAACAATTCGTAAAAAGAGATCCAGTCACGGCATAGGCTGACCAACGTTCAAATCCACATACGAAAAGGACAGGACGGTTAGGAAATCGTCGACCACCCATCAGACCACGAACCTCCCCAGGATTTATGATATATCTTCTTATCATAACCATAGCAGAAGCAGTCCATACGATTTGGACCCCAAGATACGACAGTAGGAGCACCATCAAAGTTCCCACCTAGAGATTCCCAACCTGATTGCCAGCCATCACCAGAAGACCATGATTTGTGCCACATCGTGTTATCTGTACCGGTTCCGTAGCAGTCAAAGCGGTCAGGTCCCCACGATATGACAGTTGGTTTACTATTGAAGGAGCCGCCGAGACTTTCCCAGGCCGACCACTTGGATCCATCCCATTTGCTATACCACATAGCACGATCCTCTCGGATGCCAAAGATGAAAATGTTGATAGAGATCGTAATGGAAACGACTTCGCTGATGAACGATCCACCACGACTGTCCCAGCCGCTCCACGAGTTGCCGCTCTTGTATTTATGCCAACAACCTTTGTCGTTTCCGACGCCAAAGAAGTCAATGCGGACTGTTACCGTTGTGGTAACTACGACTGAGAGGGCGCTAGAAAAAGTTCCTCCGAGCGTTTCATATAGACTCCAACTGTTTCCGTCCCATGACTTGTGCCAGACAGCATTGTCTGTTCCTACGCCATAGTAGTCGAGGTAGTTCGAGCCATAAGAGATGAGCGAGATACTACTTTTGAAAGTCCCGCCGTAGTTATTCCAGCCAGACCAAGAGTTTCCATTCCAGTACCTATGGTAAGCTCCGGTATTCGATCCAGTGCCTATAATGTCGATGCGGTTGGATCCATAGGAAGTGACGGCTGGAACATAATTGAATGTTCCACCAAGGGGCGACCACCCGGGTGACCATGACGATCCGCTGTAAGACCTGTATGCAAGGGAGTTCGTGCTCGTGAGTTGGTACACATCCATGCGGTTTGTGCCTAATGCTACGGCGGCGATCACGGCTCCTTTCAGAAGGGAACCCATGGTTTCTGTTTAATGTTGTTACCACACGGCCGGGACCACATGTGGCCCAATCAGATTTCCACTTACCTTTGATTTACTTCTTGGCTCAGAGTAAATTATGTGAAGCGTAAAAACTAGGTCACGGATGACGAAAAGTCTCAAGCGAGAGACTTCAACAGCATTCACAATCGAATGTTGTCGAACTGTTGACCACGCTGGAAATGAAGCTGGGCAAGCTGGAGCAATTAAAACCACAGAGTTAACAGCTGATTTCCTATCAATTCTTCGACTGCACACCATCACAATTAGTTCACACGATAATGGTGCCTCCAGACACCCAATCAATCACTCGCAAGTCTTAGCATTTCCAATTCCATCGCCAACCAACCTATCCAAACCATCAACACCTTAAGAATATAAGAAAATCATGTAACAATTCGGATCCCGAATACTCGCAGAGAAGCATTCTCAGCACAAGTAAACATACAAACCTTGGCGAATCAGACAATATCAGTCCCATCCAGTAGCAGCACACTTGGCGCTAGTCGATAACATCGCTGGAAGAAATCACACGTGCAAAACGAGTGATTTTAATATGAAAGCAGAGATAATGCCACCCTACGTGCTGGGATTTTGATATAACATGTGCGTACAGCATCGGAAAACGTGTTGCCGTATTCTCGGCAGATTGTTTGCATTTATCCTTTCCTATCAGATCGGAAGGCGAGTCACCACCTTGGAGAGGAGAGTATAAGAAATGATATTGAGCTGCGAATTCGTGGTGGATGGTAATAAATTTCACGCTGTCTGTACGAGGTAAGGAGGATTTGGAGACGAGGTTGCAGAGAGAGTCGTTGATGTGGGTTGATTTCAAGGAGACGTTCGCTTGAGATTTAAAATAGAAAGAGTGCAAGCTTGCTCCGCTTAGCCTTAGAAATCTGGTATTGACCGCTTTAGGAATTGTTTCATAAGGACTTCCCTTTAATTGTCTCGTTTCCAGAAAAGACTTTCCTGAAATTTGAGCTAGAGGTAAATCTTTGCTGTTCCTGTTGCATCATCTACTTTAGATACCCATCCTCTTCTTTGTGTCGCTAGGCTCAACATTCACTTAATTGAAGTTGCTGACTTATCGTATGACTTGCATTGCTACCAAGAAAGCCTGCCACGGTAATGGTTGGATTTAAGTAAGCTACCTGGAGTCATTAAAATAGTGCCCTGGTAACAACAGCTGATACAGCTTACACTTTGACAAGAAATAGACCCGCTAGTCTTAGAAAATATACCAACACTGTCTGTCGGAAACGGCAAATCTAGCACCCAATTCTCTTTTTTGCTTTTTCAAAACCAAGGGGAGGAATTACAATAGGCCAACTTGGCACTAATATTACGGTGTAACACTGTAGGGTAATTAAATTGAGAACGGTTTCGTGCACTTGACTAGACTTTAATCAGTAATTCGTGATGAGTGCTTGAAACTGCTCCCCTTTTCTTTCGCTTGTTTGGCTCCTCGCTAATGTGTAAACACATCTAGTAGGTACCTACAGCGCCAGGATCCCTGATATTGGTTCTTTATTCAGAGTGGCCAAGTAAGTCGATAGGGGGAACTTCTCTAAGCTCCCTCCAAAGGTTAAGCATCATTGAACGGGTATTTGCGATTTTTGCCCGCGATCCGCCAATCGAAAGAATACCTTCAAGAAGCTGGTGAAAGGTGCTCTCAGACACTTCCATAGTCTTCGACCGGAACTTGAGTTTCAAGTTGTATTTGCGAGAATATTATCTAATAATTTGAGCCGATAAGGAGCACAGGTATGTTAAAAGGGGATAGGTCCACTTTGGACACACTCCCTGAAGCAGTTGTAACAATCCATCAGCAAAACCCTTGAATTTGAGAGTCGAGTGTGAATTCATCCAAGACATCACCCCCAGGAAGACACTGATGTAAGCCTTCGGAACAAGTGGGCTTAGAGGTCGGTATCTGAAATGCAATTGACCAGTCGATTCGTCGAAACACTCCAATATACGAGTCCACATACAAAAGTTCCATCTGCTTATTGTTGCACTAAGTCTCGAAATTCCAGTAAATCTGGGGGATATAAAGGCTTGGGGCTCCTTACTCTGGGAGTGTTATCGACATATTCATTAAACATGTCTTTGAGTGCAGAGAATGGCTTTACATTTGAGCAAGTGGCTTGGAAGAATCTTGTGTACGTCAAATTACGATGCTGGAGCTGACATGATGTAGCGCCATTTATTCTGGGTGCAAGACTTGATGTACCGTATTACGTGCTGCAAGAAAGACAGGTGAGGTGTGTAGGAGGAGTACAGCAATAACCAACCGACCGCTAGGATGTATCAAAATTTATTCACGCCACATTTCCATTTCCTGCTGTAATTACTGATTTCAAAGCAACAACATCAAAATGAACCTTTTGGTCTTCGAATAAGTGGTTCTTCTTAAGAGTCTTAAACAACACCTGACATGTTCCGGTGGAGGGAAGGTCTAGGTAGCTTTCCTCGTCAGTGGTCACAGAATATAGGATGACCGCGTGCTAAATCGTCTTGCTATCTTAATTACTTAGGCATTGGTGTCTATGGAATCAGGTTCGCTAACTTAAATTACCGCGCATACACCAAGTCCCTTTGATAAACGAATGTCTGTGGTTGGAATGGATTCTATGTGCTACTTGGATATCGAAGCGAGCAGACCTAAAACTCGACATAGCTGTTCATCAATATTCTATCAAAAGATTCTTTGTTTTGACCGTTACGCCATGATTCCCTCGCAAAAAGCTTAATGTAACATAAAATCCTTGTGTGTCCACTTCTCCGTAGCCTTGACCTTCCGCTTCTTAGCAAAACTGATTGGCCGTCGACTTTCGACCTTACCCCTAACTAGTAGATTACGGTATCTGTCTTTCAAAAGATTTCCTTCTGGCTTGAGCAGTCTCAATGACTCTTGCAACTCATCAGGAAGGACAAGTTCTAAGTCCCTCTCTGGAAGTGCAATCTTTCCCAACTTCCGCCTCCGGAGTTCCAGATCATCGCCATCGCTGGGGTCAGAGTCTTCAGCTACAATGAGTGCAGCAGCGCGTGCCTGGTCTTTCTCATCTAAGGCTTTTCTGATCTTCTTAAGCTGAGCAGTTTGCTCATTCTTCTTCTTGATGTCCGCTGCCATCTTGGCTTGACGTTCTGCCTCCTTTCTGCGCTTTATTTTATTTCTCTGAACTTGAGTCTTTCGCTCAGGCCGTTTCGCATTCAGCCGCACGTCTTCGTTTCCACTCTCAAATCCTTCCCATGCCGAGTCTTCTTCCCATTCAGATAGGTCTGCCCTTGCTTCTGCGGCTTCAGCTTCTGCAGCAGACTTGGTCGCCGCGTCAAGCTTCAATTGCTCGGCCGCTGCTATTCTCTGCCGTTTCTCTTCTGCGGCGAGTTCTTTTTCGCCTTCAGCGATGAGTCGCTCCTCATAATCAGTGTACACAGGGTTATAACTGTAGCCACCCTCGGGTTTCTTTACAGCAGGAATATCCTTTCCACTCGCGGCGAGCGAGATGGGTTTGTGCTTTAATGTCTTCGGCGCTACCTTTTTCTTCGACTTTTCCAAGAAGGAAAATCGTGGGTCTTGCTTCGCTTCTGCTTCATCTCTTGCAACGTCCCATGGGTCATATGAAGCCTCTGTTACCTCGACCAACGCTTGGTCTTGACGACCATCAGCAATTTTTTGTAATCGCAAAAGCTCCTTGTGCGAGACATAGCTAGTTCTTTGACGCTTGGGACCAATGATGCCGTCCGTAGTGCCTTCCCCTGGCCTTTTGCGCATGGATACAGCCGGAACAGCTGACCTCTGTGCAATTATCTCATCGGCCTTCAGGGTGATGGCACCCTTGAGATATTTTTTGGGTATGGCTACATCACCAGCAGTGTCGAGAGTGAAGAGATCCGCCGAGTCTTTCTCGGCAATAATACCACTGTAAATGTAGAATTAATAGCTTTTCTATCAACCTAAGAGAGCCATTTCTTACCCTTTAGTAATTTCGTCTCGGACCTCCTCCAATCCCAGCTGGATCTCTGTCACATCGACGTTCTTCCTCCATGCTTTCTTTCCCTTTCTCGATGGCTGCTTGTGTTGCTGAGGAGCCGCAGGTGCGATCGCGGCAGGTCCAATAATCGGCATTGTGTAAATTGCTCGCACAGCTGGTTGAAATATTCAAAGGTTGTTGAGAGAACAAGGGATGTGTTCCTGCTCCTCCCAGCTGAGAGATATTTTCCAGAAATTATTCTCAGTATCGGCAATGCGGGGGCAACAAAGCCCCGGTAAAAACCCGAGACTACCACGTGACCGTGACCCTGAAAGTCCAGACTGAATAACGTGCCCAATCGGCTTGAACCACCTCCTTTTACGAAAGGTCCGTCTGCCAAGACGTCGATGTCGACAATGAGAGGATCCAGACGGCTTACCAGGTCTCCTTTCTCGAATTCGTGACAAGAACATTCATCCCCAACCCTTTCGCGCAAACATTCTACGATTACTCACGAGCCTACGAAGTCCTGTACATAAGTGTCTGCTGAATGCGCTACACCATATTCTCCCTACCTTTTTAAATATCTACAAAATACAGACGATCTCCCTCGGCAAAGACAGACAAGATGGCGCAAACACCTGCCACTGGTTCTTACAACAACCCGTTGAAGAAATTCAAGTATGCATTCTGCAGTTCGGCGGATGTGCTGGGGACTTGACTGACATCGTGTCTAGGTTAGTATTTCTCGGCGAGCAGAGTGGTGAGTATCCCATTGACTTGATTGAATCGGGAGAATGAGTGCTAATGCCCTGCCAGTCGGGAAAACGTCTTTAATCACACGGTTCATGTACGACTCTTTCGACAACATGTATCAGGCGACCATCGGCATTGATTTCCTTTCAAAAGTGGGTTTTCCATACGAGGGGGAAGAAAGTGACTGACATAATGGCAGACCATGTATCTGGAAGATCGAACGGTGCGGTTACAACTCTGGGATACGGCCGGCCAAGAACGTTTTAGGAGTTTGATTCCCTCGTACATCCGAGACTCAAGTGTGGCAGTGGTGGTTTACGATATATCAAGCAAGAGCTCCCCAATGGACATATGGTTATGATCTAACAGGCGACAGATATGAAATCATTCAATAATACGCGGAAATGGGTTGACGATGTCCGTGGTGAGCGAGGGAACGACGTGATAATTGTACTCGTGGGAAACAAGACCGATTTAGGCGACAAACGTGAAGTCACAACACAGCAAGGGGAGGAGGAAGCTAAGAAGAATAACTTAATGTTTATCGAGACGAGTGCGAAGGTGGGCCACAATGTGAAGAATCTGTTTCGACGGATAGCACAGGCGTTACCAGGAATGGAGGGGGCAGAAGGCAGCACCACTGCCAGCAACCAGAGTAAGCTCAGCTCATTCAACGAGCGGTTAACGCAACCTGCTAATTTGAATAGTGATTGATGTCAACATAAACCCAACACCACAAAGCCAGGAGGGATGTGCTTGTTAGATTTGAGTATCGAGCCTAATCTCAATTCATTATCTTGTGTTATAAGGAAATATTCGTGGAGCATAGCGTTCAATGGATCGGCAGCATTGTATGATACCGGTATCTTTTAAATTTTAAGGCGCAACGGCAAGGCAGTATACGAAATAATACAGTAATGTTTGATTCATCGTGGCTTCAGTTATAATATGTGGCGACCCTCAACCATTCCCGGGACTCTGTCTACTTATACACGAGGGCTCTTCTAAACAACGGAACACTCGATAAAGGCAAGGCTAAACGAACTATAGCTCCGGGTTGAGTCTAGATATTAATCTGTTTAATATCGTGTTCTTTTACATATGAGAAAGCGATATAGCACCATTTTGAGTTCGAAACGATACCGACTCTCGTTACTAGTATCAGTCGTATGGTTCGAGGCTGCGTATAAATACTTACAACTGTAAAGAGAAGGACTGATCTAGTAAGGCTTTCCTGGGGCCTATGTCCTAGACTTCAACATATCTAAATTTGTTGTTTTGTAACTAGCCATCAAGCTCTTAATAAAGCGTATTTACGGTGGAATTGTCTTACGAACTCTTTTTTGGGAATCTTGAGGATCGGAAAGTCAACCAAAACCTTTCCAGCGAAATAGTCGCTAAACGTTATTCATTAAGCTTGACATAAATCATGTGTGGGCGGGGGCTGTGGAAATTGAAATTACACGAAATGTCAAATCTTGCTCTTGCTCTTGCTACAGAATGGATCGCTGCAGAATAGCCAATTAAATTCTATTAAGCCGACAAACAACAGTCTACATTTACAGTTTAAACTTCATAGAAGAGCGGGATACGTGATATTACCACCCAAAAAGATGGAATGCGCTGATGAATTGGTAGCTTTAGTACAGTTGTCACGCTTCTGCCAAGACCTTACATGCAACTCCTAATGACGGCGGCAAAGCCCCGAACAACCCGGCCGACTTTCACTTTCTTCACTAAAGGACGACTACTCTAAGCCTCTCTTCCTCCCGCTGCCCAACACTCATAACAAGACAACTTCTCTGCCGACTCTACACTCCAATCTACATCTTTGAGATGCCTCTGTTTCCAAGATGGCTTCGGCCACAAGTACCACGTCCGAGAGTAAGTCGCATTACCAACATCGTGTACCCCTGAGCTTGCGCCAGAATCTGCTCTGAAGTACGCCTGGCACAATGACAAGACACTGATACCTTCCAGACGTTCATCTATTTCATGAGTCTACGCACCGGGGTGGAAATGATTTCGCTCTCTATGTTGTTCAACAAAGTTACCGGGTTCTTCGGGCTCCTCGCAATTCTCACTGGATTCCGGTTATCACCCCTTCAATTCTCGATGTACCTCTACTCTGTCGCGGCACTTGTCGTTCTCGCGATTCTAACACCACATATTCGGAAACAAAGTCCATTCCAATGTCTGGCGCTGGCGTGGCTTTACATAATCGATACGGTTATCAACACTGCCTACACGACTGCCTTTGCAATTACGTGGACGCTTGCGGTGAGCGCCAACAAGTCTGGATCGGGAATTCCCAGTAGTGCTCCAGGCAGCGGGACAATTGACGACACGGCTGGATTTACGAGTCCAAAGTACAACGTTTCAAGTGTGGAGGTGGTTGCGACTCCAAATGGCGGTGCTGGGCAGGATGCGGTTGCCTTTGCTGCATCGGGCGCAGCAGTAACCGCTACACAAACTAGCATATCGCATGGCGTAGGCGTTGAAGAAACTCTCCCAAGTCTCATATTAGTGTTCGTCTTCAGCTTGATCCGCATCTACTTCATCTTGGTCGTGATGGCATACGCAAGGCAGGTGCTCAGGCAGCACGCATACTCCAATTCATCCAGCAAACTGCACATAAACACCGACAGTTCTGGCGAACCTACCGCAGAGAACCCTTTTGCAGTTGGTTCAGCGCAGGGTGAAGGATGGAGGGGCAGGCTAGGGAGGGCTATGATCTATGTTGGCAAGAGCTACTGGCTCGGTGGCCCAGCAGATGATGACTCCTGGGTCAAGGGTGTGGATGGGCGTTTCAAGAGCGCGAAGACTGTCAGCGGGCCTCCAGGAACTATCGAGCGAGAGAGGAGGGCGAGGTCTGGAACAGGACCGCCGGTTCCCAAGAATCTGAATCTGAAGGTGCAGGCTTAGATTTTCAACAACGGATCGATAGTCATCTTATGGGTTGTATAGCATGAGCGAGTTTGAGACGTGTTGTCTTACACGGGCTGTTAATAGGCATCGGCGTTTTGGGTACGGGGGAAGGCATATCTTGGTGTAAGCTCCAGGTAGTTTGGTTGATTCCGGAGTTTGCAGGCTGGTGCTGGCATGTACATATAATTATACTAGAGGTAATGGAGAGATAGTTGCTCGAACAACACAAGACTCGGAGGAGACCGTTTTATCCACTGTGGGGTGTATAATGATAACTAGCTAACACTTCCTACAAATCCCACTGCTGTCGCGGTCCCTAGTAAATTTCATTTGCTAAAAGTAAGGCATATCTACACAAGTTCAACTGGGAATAGAACCGAGTACTTGTGGATCATCTTCGAAAGGTATTCAAACCCCGAATACCTCGAGGAGTCTGCGGAAGGCGATCCGAAAGGATGACCAGAAGTACAATATCCCGAGTATCAATGCGGATACAACCAGCTACGAAGCAGAATACCTATTTCCCCAGAAAGCCGAGGGAAGTCCGCTATCAGGTGACGATCTGTTTTGCCTCTAACATTGAGTCTCTTCAGTTGGGACATTGAGTAGTCGGCTGGGACACGATCACGAAAAGACCCTTACTCTGGTGGTGCATATTGAACTTGGCAGTGTCTTCAAAGAATTGCGTGCTCAGCATAGATTTTCTCTGTTACATAATCATCAATATGGATGGCGCAATTGGTCATTTGGAGATCGCTTCCCCACCTCCCCCACCACTTTACTATCTACACCCCCTTCAAGTTATAGTCGATGACGCTTCTCAGACAATTTTCACGGCCATTGGGACTGGGACTGGCTCTGTATCCATTATTGCTGGGTAATTAAACGGCTTGTCGTTGGTTGCTCTGGCTCTGGTTCAATCGCTTCGCCGGCGTCGGAGATCCCTGTTGATAGATGCACCAGCAAGTGCAAGTCGTTCTAGAAAATTTATGTCCACCTCCATCTGTCGCCTCTGCCTTTTCTAAGCAGAACCCTTCTCTTCACTCCTGTCATCCTCCCTCCCTCCCTCAAATATTCACAGAGAGGGACAATCACATTATTCAATATGGCATCGACGGTAGAGATCCGTACGCCTGGAGAGGCTGGTATGTTACATTCCTGCGTTCCGAGGTCCCTCTGAAGCACAAACACAAACCCCGCCTACTATGTCACAGGAACTGACCTCAGAGTTTAGTGGCCAGAATTGCTTATTTGTCCAGCGATGTTATTATTTCTGTTCAAGCGGCGCAGTCAATTGAGTCGGAGTTCTCTTCACATCTACGAAGATACGCTGGCCGGAAAGACAGAGGCATTGTTGCTGCTACCGAAAGTGGCGTGCCAGAGGTGGGCGATTATAGGCAAATAAACCTTCTCTCAAAAGCTAACTCACTTCGCAGATTGAAACAATTAGACATAATGCCGACCCTCTATTATCCGCATTTGCGCCTATAAGAAGTGGCAAGCTTGTTGCCGTCACTACAAGCTCTTCTATCTTGGTTTCGTCTGTACCACATCTGTATAGGCTGGCAAACTTTCCAGTTGTAATTCATGTCTCGCTACAGCCTTCGCAATATCCAGATTACTCGTCAATCACCTCGATTCGAAACTCCGGATTTACATTCCTTCAGTCAGAAACATTGCAGGAAGCTCAGGATATTGCATTGACAGCCCATGCCCTCGCCATCAAATCCGGTAAGGGTGTTATACACTTCTTCAGCTCTACAACTTCGGCCCAGGATAATACCATCCCCGCCGAGGACGAGAACGTCGTGAAGGAGATCTTGGATATCGATTTGGTTCGATCATTTCAACACAACATCATTGGAGGGTCAACGGTGTATGCAGACGATGGACGAGTCGCTACTATTTCCGAAGTGCAGGCGACTGAAAATGGATTTTCAAATGGTGCTATGGAGGGAGTAGAGGCGACCAATTCATCAGCGCAACGAATTGCCTCCGAAATCCCATCAAAGGCGTCTTCCGTAGGATCGTCAAAGTCGGATCGCGAGAGCAGTCTTGAGAGCAGAGACTCCGTGTCTTCAGCAACAACCGTGGAACAAACGACTGTTCGAGCAGTTACCTCGGATGATATCTACAATTTTGTGTCTTCAATATGGGCAACGCTCAAACAACGCGTGGACAGGGAATATTCTCCTTTTCACTACTCTGGACCTTCAAACGCTGAGAATGCTTTGTTCATCTTTGGTTCAGATGTTGGAGCTTTCGGTGAGGTAATTGATGCCGCAAAGTCGGGCGATGCATATGCAAAAGCTGGTGTGATTACAGCTAGATTATACCGTCCATGGCTAGGCGCAAAGCTCATTGCCACGATACCGAAATCGATCAAAAAATTAGCAGTTCTGGAGCAGATCCGACGGAAGACAACAAAGTGGGGCCCATTGCTTCTAGATCTTCTTACCACCCTAAAATCCGGACCAGGTGGCGGTGTTGAGACCATTGTTGGCCATCAACTGGGCTACATCGCACCTGAGACCGTGCCTCAAGCTCTGCGTGGGGTATTCCAAAACCTGAAATCCGAGAAGCCAATTCAGAACCTCGAGGTTGGGAACTCCGAAGGACCAGCAGAGTCCGACGAATCTTACGACCCCTCACAACCAAAAGTCGAGTCTGCATATATGAAAATCTTGAACCAAATTTTCGGCCAGCGTCTGTACCTCGCAAATGCTCTCGGCTCAGAGAACGTGGGTATTTCTGCTGCAGTCGCAGCAACTCCTGAATTTGGCTTTGGCTCGTTAATCGCTCGAAAACAGCGCCGTGAGAGCTTTGTCGACGAGATCCGAAGCTCAGCAAGCTCCAAGTCATTTAGCAAGGAGGCGAATGCTGCACTTGCAAAGTGGGCGGCGGCTGCTGGAGACGACAAGAAGGTCAATGAATTAGCGGATGGGCTTACAAAGTTGCTCGAGTCCGATGGGGGTGCCAAGTCGAAAGATCTACTCTCCAAGAAGGAGCTCTTCCGTAAAGAGTCTTCGTGGCTCGTCGGATCTGATGCTTGGGCATATGATCTTGGGAACTCTGGAGTGCACCATGTCGTTGCATCCGGCGAGAATGTCAACATGCTCATCATTGATTCAACTCCATACTCCGAGCGGGCGGCTGCGGACGCAGCAAGACGAAAGAAAGATATCGGATTGTACGCCATGAATTATGGCAACGCATATGTTGCTTCGGTAGCGGTCTACAGTTCATATACCCAGGTTCTACAAGCGATGATTGAAGCAGATCAGTTTGATGGACCATCTGTCGTCGTAGCATATCTTCCATATTTCAAGGAGGATGATTCCCCGTTGACTGTTCTACAGGAGACCAAGAAAGCAGTGGATCTTGGTTACTGGCCGTTGTACAGATGGAATCCGCAGAACGAGTCGAAGGGAGAACCAAATTTCTCGCTTGATTCGGAACGTATCAAGAAGGAACTCAAGGACTTCCTTGCTCGAGACAACCACCTCACGCAATTGATGAAAAAGCACCCAGAGTTTTCATCTAGCTTATCGCAAGACTACGGTTCAGAAGTACGAGCGCTTCAAAAGCGAAAAGCCAAGGATTCTTATGCTCAGCTTCTGGACGGTCTATTCGGCGCACCTTTGACTGTTCTATTTGCTTCCGATAACGGCAACGCTGAGTCGCTTGCAAAGAGATTGGGAAACAGAGGTAAGGCACGAGGCTTGAAGACCATGGTTATGGCTATGGAAGACTATCCCTTGGAGGATCTTCCAAGCGAGGAAAACATTGTGATCCTATCCAGTACTGCTGGTCAGGGTGAGTTTCCACAAAATGGTCGCGCATTCTGGGAGGGAATCAAGGACAACACCGAGCTGGATCTCGCAACTGTCAACTTCTCAATATTCGCTCTTGGAGACAGCCACTACTGGCCCAGAAAGCAGGACAAGCACTACTATAACAAGCCTGGAAAAGACCTTGACCGAGTCATGGCGAATCTTGGCGGAAAGCGTCTCGCAGAAATTGGGCTTGGTGATGACCAAGATCCTGACGGATATCAAACTGGTTACGCAAACTGGGAGCCCCAAATTTGGACTGCTCTCGGCGTAGACAAGGTCGAAGGCATTCCAGAAGAAGCACCACCAATCACCAATGAGGACATTAAGTTAGCTTCCAACTTCTTGCGCGGTACCATCGAGGAGGGTCTCAAAGACACGTCCACTATGGCCATCTCAGCTCCCGACCAGCAGCTCACAAAGTTCCATGGAACCTACATGCAAGACGATCGTGATCTTAGGGATGAGCGCAAAGCTGCAGGTCTTGAACCAGCATACTCTTTCATGATTAGATGTAGGTTGCCGGGTGGAGTCGCAACGCCAAAGCAATGGATACAGATGGACGATGTCAGCAACAACTTCGGAAACGAAACTATGAAGTTGACTACACGACAAACCTTCCAGTTTCATGGCGTGATCAAGACAAAATTAAAGTCGGCTATGCAAGGTATCAACCAGTCGTTGATGACAACCATTGCCGCCTGTGGTGATGTCAATCGAAATGTTATGTGCAGTAGTTTGCCTACTGCATCGAAATATCACCGTCAGGTTTTTGCTTGTTCAGCTAAGATTTCAACACACTTATTGCCAGCAACAACTGCATACCATGAAATCTGGCTCAAGGATGAAAACGACAAGAAGACTCAGGTCGCAGGTGACGCTGTCCAAGACTACGAGCCTCTCTACGGCCCTACTTATCTTCCAAGAAAGTTCAAGATTACGATCGCTATCCCGCCTCACAATGACACTGATGTCTACGCGCATGATGTTGGTCTTATTGCCATTAAAGGCAAAGATGGTAACTTGGCAGGATTCAATCTTCTCGCTGGTGGTGGTATGGGTGTTACACACAATAACAAGAAGACTTACCCAAGAACAGGTAGCTGTCTTGGATATGTCTCGAAAGAGGACGTACACATTGCATGCGAGAAAGTCATGCTTGTCCAGCGAGACCATGGCGACCGTAAGAACCGCAAGCACGCTCGTCTAAAGTACACCATTGACGATATGGGTGTGGACGTCTTCCGAGGCAAGGTCGAGGAACTCTGGGGCAAGAAGTTTCAAAAGGAACAGCCTTTCAAGTTTCAGAGCAACATCGATACCTTCGGGTGGCAAAAGGATGAGACTGGACTGAACCACTTTACCTTCTTCATCGAGAACGGACGTATTGAAGATACAGCGGAGTTCCCAATGAAGACAGGTCTTCGTGAGATCGCGAAGGTTCATAAAGGAGAGTTTAGATTGACAGGTAACCAACATCTGATTCTCAGCAACGTTGATGATGCAGACCTCCCACTTATGAAAGAGATGATGGCCAAGTACAAGCTCGACAATGTACAGTTCTCCGGGATGCGTTTGTCATCGTCAGCTTGCGTAGCCTTCCCAACTTGCGGGCTTGCCATGGCTGAAAGTGAGCGTTACCTACCAGAATTGATCTCAAAGCTTGAGGGCGTTCTCGAAGAGAACGGCATGAGACAAGACTCGATAGTCATGAGAATGACGGGTTGCCCTAACGGATGTGCCAGACCATGGTTAGCTGAGGTCGCTTTCGTCGGTAAGGCTTATGGGGCTTACAACATGTATCTTGGTGGCGGTTACCACGGTCAACGTTTGAACAAGCTGTATAGAAGCAGTATCAAGGAAGACGAGATTCTTGATATCATGAAGCCTCTACTCAAGAGATACTCCCAGGAGCGAACTGAGGGTGAGCGTTTCGGAGACTTCTGTATCCGAATCGGAATGATCAAGGAGACTACCGAGGGCAAAACCTTCCACGATGATGTAAGTTTTGTTGAATAACTCTAATAATTGTCAGTGACTAATTCAGCTACAGGTTGCCGAGGAAGAATCCGACGAAGAGTAGTTGCATTGAATATGAAGAATATAAGCGTCTCTGTTATGCATGCACGGCGTTTTATGGGTTAGCGCACATTTATATCTTGTATTTAGTGGGCTGTGAAGGGTTCAGAAAATGTTGGGCATTACGGTCTTTCGCTTTGTAATTTGTATTTCTGGGCTCATGGGTGGAAGGAAGGTGTTTGTATATAGTTTGATGGGTCAAATACAATGTAATCGATTCAAACATCGCTTTGGCTGTCGTAATTTCGAGTTTGCTTTTTGTAAAATCTCTCACCTGCCGAGTCCATCTCACTTTTAAAAGTAGGTGTCTTCCAAGTTTCAACTTCTCTCCACAGGGCCGCCTTTCTCGGCTTGCGACGTCGTGCATTGGATTAAAAGTAATGGAGTGGGACGGCAGGTGAGACAGACCAATGAATAAGTGAGAGGCTTTGGATTGGGGACAAGGTTGTGAGATTGAGAAATTCAGAGATTTCATATACAGTTGTCATGCACGACGAGTCGACGGCTACCAAGAAACGTGGTTATCGATGCCAACAGTGGTATCAGTTAGACCTTTCAGTTTTGGTCATTTCACATGTCGACACAGTAGCACAAACTTATTTATATATCAACACAAACAAATTCAAAAATCCACTGATATTATTACGTATGATATCCAACTCAACGGCTATCATCTGACGACTACTCGATCCATCTCTCTTCCCCCCAACAGCCACAATAAAAAAGGCCAGGAATAAAACCCAAAGTTACATCTATACGCCAATCCCAATGAGAGAAAAGTTAGGAACCCCTCCATATACCCATAAAAAGTCAAGCCAAACACTTGTATTGCTACACATCTCTCTTTGTCCAACTAGTAGAGAGAGACCTCGATTTCAATACTCCGATTCATGCAATACCCTGTTCCCAATTTTTTGAATTCCGCTAGGAGAGAAGCCTACAGCTGGCCTGAAAGGAGCGCTTCAGTGGCTAGAAAAGTGTTAGTAAATTTATACACAGTATCGTGTTACAAATAGAACTTACCAGAGTTAATGTACGCTCTCTTAGAATCAAGAGGAACAGCAAATCTCTTCTCCAACTCTAACTTGATACTCTTCTTAGTGACCGTCATCAGATCGGCTGTCTTAAGGATCTCTCTGATCTCAGCAAGGAGAGCATCGTCGCTAGGTAAGCCTACGAGGTTCGCAAGCTCAACTTCTTGGTTACCACCATATTGGCTACCACCATACTGACTTCGGTGATCGCCAGGCGTAAGATGCTCCGATGGTGCCATTGACATGCGTGATTGCGAGTTGTACATGTAAGGGTTCTTGACATCGTATGGATAGTATCCTCCCATCTGCGACATTGGAGCAGAAGGTGGGAAGCCGTATTCAGATACGGCGGCAGCGTGTTTCGTACCATACGAGTAGCCCGAAACCTCGGAGCGATCGTCTCGTTGAGTCTGCGCTTCCCAAAGCTCGGCCTGATACTCTTCCCACTTCTTGTGGGGAATAGAGGCTGGGTCGAACTTGCCTTCATCCGTAACAAGAACCTTCTTGCCCTTCTCTCCGGTGACAACACGAGTATTACCCCAGGAGAAATCATCCATATTCCAGAAACTGTAGAGTGGGAGAGCGAAAGAGAAGACGGGGATGGCCAGAATATACAATATCATCCAACCGATCATCTCCCATTTCCGGCGAAGGATGAAAATAATGGCTTGGAGACCGTAAATTGCTCCCAGCAAGATGAACGCAGTAACTGGAACAACACTAGGATTTTGCACCACACGCACAATCAGGTAGATGATGTAAGCGAGTGTAACCGGCTGGACGAGTGTAGAAAGTAAATCGATGAAGACGATGAACCTCATACTGAAACAACAGAAACCGCAAAGCTGCGACATGGGAATGAGTTCCATCAAGTTGTGGACAGTGGAGTTAATCCAGCGACGACGTTGCGACAAGAAAATAGACCAGGTGTCGGGCGCGATAGTCCATGCGTGAGCGCCGAAGAGGTATTTCGTCTTATACTTGGAGTGATTCTTGAGAAGTAAAGTTGTCAGATAACGATCTTCACCCAGATGGAGCAGATTCTTCATGTGAAGCGTGTCTACACGAATGCATGCGTAGGCATTGACAACTTCGTTGCTCACGAAGAGTGGCTTCCCAGATTCTGCCGCGCGAACCCGATACATGGTGAAACAACCTGGTAAACAAGTGACACTGCCAAACAGACTTTCGAATGCTTTAGCGAGGTTGTGGGAGATGTAGTATTCGTAGACTTGAATCATAGTGACATAGGATGATTTGGCGTTAGATAAAGCTGTTTCTCCGCAGCAAGCTATCAGTCTAGTATCGTCGATGAAAGCTGACACCATACGAGCAGCTGAATCAGGAGCCACAACAGTGTCGGCGTCGATTTGCAGCATAAATTCATAGAAAGTCGGGTTGACACCAATGATGTTCCGGATTTGGTGATACATCTCCAGCTCCAGAGGACTCATGGCAGCGTTATAGTGGACTCGGTTTAGGAACCTCATCATGACCATTTGAGAATCACGCTTTCCTCGGTTACCCGGACGGGAAACCTCAGATGGCTTTCCGACCTTGACGACAACCATAAATGGCACAATGTGGCCTTGAACCTCGTAGAGACCAGAATATACCTTTCCCATATTGTGTTGCTTCATACCTTCGCCAAGGGACTCGAAGCTCAATGGTTCCGGATCCACAGTGTCAGAAACGCCGAGAATGTCCAATACAATACGGGGAGTTGGGCGGTCGTTGCCTTGGCCAATAATCATACCGTCGCAAATAACAACAATGAGTTTACGTTTGTCGTCATACTTCATTCGTGCCGCTGAATCTAAAGCTCGGCGCACAGAGTCCTCGTCTTCCGTATAAACAGGAATCTGACAGATGACGAATTTATCGAGATTCTCGGGAACGTTCTTTCCACCAAACTGGAGTGCTGCAAAAAACTTGAACCCGATGACACTGCAAAGTATGATAGATATGGCCAAGATCAAATACTCGGAAAATTGACACCGGACTGAATTTCTAGTGTCGACGTTTCCGACGTAGAAAAGGTTCTCTAAGCATTGATCCATACGGTTCCTCAGGCCTTGATCAATATCTAGGGCAAGCCAGTACTTGGTCACATCCTGGCCGGCCCTGATTTGGAACAGGTTGACTACTTGAGGATCCATGAAGTTAGGATCGATATCAGTGGGGACTTCAGTAGTTCCATCCATCGGTTGTACTCTGCGACCGCCAGCAACGTACTTGGTAAAATCATAGACTTTGCCATTAAGGATGGCAATTGACTGTTGCTTTGAGGCAAGTGTCTTGACATACTTCGGTGTGTAGCCGATATTGCCTTTCTTATAATTCGATTTTAGCATGACAAGCTGCTCGTACCACCAATCCTTTCGGCTGTCCTTGTGGAAGGCTCTGAAATCATGGTACCTCCAATTGGTGTCCGTTGTACTGATAACATTGGCGGATCCAGAAGTGTTTGTGCTGGCATAGTCAAGGGTTACTAGATCATTAACAGTTCCGTCCACGCCACCACAGAGTGCGGAGACTTGAACTGGGAAGAGGGATGTTGCGTCGAGTCCAGCGTAGGCGAGGATAGATTTGGCAGGGATTATTTTTGGATAATGAACTGGTTGGAAGGCGGACAGATCGAAGACTTGACCACGAATAGCAACGTAGGCTCGGCTCCCATCTTTTCCGTCAAAAGAAGACAACTCCGCGGCGCTGAAGACATCTTGCTTGGGGCAAATCAACATGGGGAATACCACGATGAAAAAGGCAGCGAAGAGACAAGAGAACCAGATCATGATGTTGATGGCCAACTTTTCTCTCCAGGCCATTCGAACATCTTTTCTAGGCATCTTTCCGAGAATACGGATGAGGAAGTCTGGTATTAACCAAGTCATCATCCAAGTCAGTGCGACCCATCGCTTACGAGAAGCGCTGACTTTAACTTCTTCGACCTCAGTCATGACTTTTTCGTTGCCTTTCTCGGCCATTTGTTCCCTAGTATCGAGATTCCGGAACATATCGCCTTGGCCAAGAGCAGACGCTCCGGCTTCTGATCTGGAGTCGACGTCTGCACTACCGAAGTAACCTGATTTCTTGTCGCCGCCATATATGTAGGCGCCCGGTGAGGGTGTTCCGGGTGCGAGAAGACGCTCCTTGCCAGAGCTGTACGTGCCATCAGCTGGAGTAAGAAGACCATCATCTCCAACCTCTGAAGACGTGGGGTATCGTCCAGCAGTGTAGCCTCTTTCACCCAATCTTGCGATCTCCGACCAGCATCTCTCACTTAGAAAGACGCCTGTAGCACCAATCCTGGCTTCGTTTCCTGGCCACCTCTTTTCATCTACAATCATTTCGGCTTTCTCCCTCTCGCTGCCAATGAGCACTGTGTCGGCGTCCGCTAGGCCCAAAAATTCTCCGAAAGGAAGGAAAAGGCTGAAATCAGCATTTCGCAAGCGCTGGCTGATTTCTGCGATGCCAAAAGTCTGAATTTGAGTACGTACACATTTGCTATCGAACTGATTTGCAATGCGTCGATCATTTGGCTTGAGGCAGAACACAAAATATGGATTGGCGTTTGAAGCCGCGAGAGACTTAGTGACGTTGTCGAGTGACGAGAGAAACTGTCCGGCTGCGCCTTGGTCGAGATTCTTTGCCCTTCGTCCGTTGTCTGCCTCCACTGCATCAGGGAGATCTTCACTAGAGTCTCCAAACGGCTGCTTGTCTCGTCCACCAAATCTATTTGGTCGTTCGCCTTTCCGTCGAATAACACTTGGCTTTCTTAGCGGCTTCGAGCTGACCTGAGCTTGCATAATTGTTGTTTTTTCTTGAGGATGAACGGTGGTTTGAAGTGCCTCCTGTCCGAACAATTGCCCAACGAAATTGCTCTTGGTGGAGGAAATCAGATTCATTAGATCGCCAGAAATAACCTCTCCATTCTCTTCAACCAATCCGCCAACAAGATAGTCCACCTCGCCAGCGAAATGCCTGACAGCAAAAGATGCAGATGCGTTGTGAGTAGCAAAATTGCTTCCAGGAAGCTTTGCTGTTGCACTTCCGACTGCAATGGAAGGATTTTTACCCTCGAATCGTTTACGGAGACTTTCGAGCAACTGCATATCTGTCCGGTTACGCTTCGTCTGGTCATCCAAAATGCTAAGCAATCCATTTCCGTGCTTGAGAAGGCCCTTGACAGCGTCGGAGTTGTCGAAATAGCTTGTCGCTGGCACGCTAACCTCTTCACTTTCCAGCATTTCTGCTTTCCCTTCAAAGAAACTTTGTAGGGTGAAGTTGTACAGAGACTCCGTAGCTGCATTATTCAGAAGCTGGTCCAGTGTAGAATCGGTCGATCGTTGTTGGGCAAATCCTGGGAAATCGATAATAGAGATTGTGTTTCCAACGGTATCTTCTACAGCACAAAGTCTCTGGTTGATGCTTTCAATGACATAGGCCACGAGAAGAGAATAGAGTGTCCGTGCTAGCTCGTCGGCATTGTCTCTGGCACCCTTGGGATCCAACATGACTGTCACGCGCTCTCGCTGCAAGATCTTGGTCTTGTATCCTAGAGTCGTCTGAAGATCGGCTGCCCCAACCCCCAAGAACGCAGCAATCATACCAAGAACGTCCTTGTTTTTAACTGCCGTATACGTCTGAGCCCCTTCATGGGAGAATCCACCACTATCATCGCCTGTAGCAGTGGTGTCCGAACTTGTTTCGAACTCAAGTTGACCGATGTGCAGGATACTTGCCATAACCTGGCAAATCTCGGCAATCTCACTGCGCGGAAACTCCAACTTCCTCAAGGCAGTCTTGAAGAGCTGAAATCCCTCGGCATCGTTGATACCGACCTTGAGTTGAGTTGGGTGCCCAAGATATCTCCATCTCTTCTGCTGAGAACCAACAGAATTCCTAACATTGGTCCCGGGCGTGGCGTGCGCGAGGGCTCCGAGAGTATCCAACCCAAGATGGGACTTTTCAGCAGCACTGGTACCAGCTAGTAAATAGTATAACACGTGGAAATTTCGCTCTCCAGTGGGTACCGATGCCACTCGGCTTCTTTCTAATCTGTGATCCAATACCTTACCACCAATGAGGGTTGGATTCGTACTCGAAGCGGTTTCGTATTGAAGCTCGAAAAAGAGACCCGCTTTCGACGCTGTGGGAGTAGTTGCTGTCTTTGTCGTGGTCAATGTATCAAAAACGTATGCAGCGAGTGAAAGTTTCGTTGATAGAGGAGTGGAAGATTTGCTCAAGAGTGCCGAAAGAAGATGCGAGCGAACAGTGGTTTTTCCTGATCCGGATTCTCCACTAAAATAATGTCAGCAAACCATTGATGATATTAGATTGCTGGTCTATGCAACTCACAGGAAAAGTACTGCCTGGTTCTCTGATCGTGCTCCAAGTCTTGTAAACGCCCGGTCAGCAAGTTCCTCGGCTCCCCCCATAGCCGATCCCTCCTTCGCTCCATTTGGACCTTTGGTTGAGGAGGCATATGTATTAAGTGATATCAAGGCGTGGGAGGAAAGCTGAGCAGTAGGCAGAGAAACGTGGAATCGACTAGCGAGATGTGCGGTAAGATGCGTGTCGGACTGGAGATGAGCTGGGAGAGCAGGAAGGGATGGTTGCGAGTGAGCACCTCCACCTCCTTGAGTATTCGCCGCCATGGTGTATGTCTGGGTCGAAACCCTTGAATCGGAATTGAGGGCACTCGATGTATCGTGGAAGTTTGCTGGATATGGTGATTAGAAGGTCGCGGTCGATTTGAGTTCGGAATAGACTTTGAGGGTTTAATCCCCTGGGAAACGGAGAGGAGTCGTCAAGAAGCAAAGCTAATGGCCGTGAGGAAGAAAATAACGAATGTAAGATTATTACAGAAAATGAAGAGCGAGTGTCATGAAATTCGGACCAGATGAAGCATCCAAATTCACACAGAAAAGGTTGAAGATGCGAAATAGGCGATGTCGAAGAAAAGCGTTCAGATCTCGTTGTGCCTTCAAAGTCCAGGTTCTGTCAGGCGAATTCATGCCTGGTGTTGTGGCAGGGGTTGTTCGTGTTGGGTGGGTTGGACATAGGTTGGGAACCGCGTAAGAGGTTACCGTAGTGGCACAACTGTCCGAGTTTCAGGGTGACCAAGTGTGAATTCTCGTACTTCGTATCAATAGCAAAGGAAGTGGCAATGATCAGATGCACGTATGGAACCCATTTATTTGGGATGAGATGGTCAAGTTAACATTCAAATGTAAGAAATGCAGTATTCACTGACAGAGGCTCATTCCCTAACTTGATTCTTCCTAACCTTGTTCGGCCATGTTTTTGTATCAAGTTGGTAGGCGAGCTCGAGGCGAACGGAAATCTAACCTCCAAGGTTGGTGATTCACAGATTATTGACCCCAATACTTGAGAGATACGTGCAAAATAGTCGTAGGATTCGGTTGCAGAGTATGTTATCAAGGTTCTATTGCTTTTAATCTCCCAGCATTTGTCCTATTTTATGTACAAGTTGGATCGGCTTGTCAACCAATCGACAACGGAAACACACTCGTTTCCTTGTACCCAGACCAATGATTCAACTTGACGCTTCGTGCTACTGTCTAATATTTGGCTACCCCTCACTGAATGGAATGACAGTTCTCACCTCGTAGCCACGGTCTCGGTGAAGTTGAATGTTTGAACCCGAAGACTAATTACTTACTGTAACACAGCGTCTTCTTGCTGTCCGCTAGTCATATATCGCTCTCAATGGTCCACCAGCGAGATGCTAACACGAGAATAATCACAGAAAGATGTCTGCATCATCGTCGGCGTTCGCGGCAGCTTAGCACTTGCGGGGGTCCCCATGGTAGTGTGTGGTACAGCCGCCATAGTCTTTCGTACAGTGCCTAGTCAGAAGGGTCTTTTAGTTGCCACTTGGCTGTTCTTGTGGGACTAAGTAGATGCTCTACTGGGGCCGGAACATGTCAAGATATCGTGGTTGAACTTGCGGTTGTGAGGTGATACTCGCAAATGACAAGCGGTATATTACTGTCTATAATTATCTATTCCGTTTTATAGTACAGTAGTGTTATTTCCCAACGCGAGACAACGAAACAGGCAAAGACCTAGTCGGCAATGGTGCATTGGTTCGATTTTGGTTGCTTTTTGAATATCACTGGTTAACAGTAGTTGAATTGTCCTAGATCGCCCAAACTGAGAGTCAATCGCCTATTTTCCATCTTCTTCTTAGTTGCGCACCATATATGGAAAATTCGTAATATGAGAAACACGTTGGTAACATTTCCATAGTTTGACCTTCATCTCCTTCTCGGTCATGTCTGATTGAGTTCCCCTGGACCAACAAACAGCGTACGTACTCGGGTAAGGAGAAAGGGGGATTGCACAGTGGAGGTAGAACGACACTTGGACTTAGGACTGAACAACAATGAAGAGTACTTCAAAGTAAGCGTGATTAATGTGGTTTGGATGCTATTTCCAATATTCTAGCGAAACCGTTGATTTTTCACAAATCCGTAGAAGAATCGTTGGAGCCCAGTCCCCGGTTGACAGATGCATGAATCCAAAAATAACTACGGAGTATTTCTGCTGCCGCTTTGAGTGCTAAGCTAGCTGCAGTTTGAGAATCCAATCTCATCATTCGAGAAGCCCCGGGCTTGTGGCAATCGGACCACCTATATAGTGTAAAGCAGCCAGATCTACTTCCGACCAACTCGTATTTAGGGGGCTTTGCTGGTTGTCCGCACTGGATGAGGCTTAGTGGCGTCTGGATCGCGGCATTGATGGGAGAGAAAAATCTTGAATGAATCAGGGGTATTCTGCACAGTTGGTGTCTAAATGGACAAAGGCGTCTCAAACTACGGTGACCTTGCTCAAACTCCTTCACGCTCGATCAACAATCCACGGCCGACCATACCCAGACATTCCACTCACGTCCCCAGCATGCTTCGTTTCTGATCTTCTCCTCATCTGCCAGTTTTTCTGTATTCGACGCACATTCTATCCTCAATCCACCTCACTCGTTTTGGTGGTCCATTCTGCTTTCTTAATCATTTTAATACTGTCCTCTCGTTTTCCGCGTCTTCTACGTTGCTGCAAGCCTGTTGCTCAGCGACCAAACGCCTCGTTCTCCTCACGAAACATCACTTCGAATTTACACTGCCATATTTTCCACATCGTCTACCCGCCCTACGAATAAACCTTTCCGAATTCTATTGGATACATAAATCATCACATAGACATTGGATCAGGACGAAGTCGATATATTTGAGTGTCAGTGATTCGTTTTGGAGCCGGAGGGCGGCAACTCCTCGAACACCATCATGGCAAACATGAACCGGATGTCGATGTACTCGACTACATCGTCAGCCCCTGGATCTCGACAACCTGCCTCAACTGCCCAACAATCCACTCAAGTCTCAACTACCACTCTGCTAAATGCGGTTCACACAATTTACACATCGGGCCAGCCCTACCGCCTGGACGCCAGCACTTCTCTGGTTGTAAATACTTGGTTGACAGCATCACAAGCCGACAGCGAAGGAAGATCAGGTGGTACAGTTGATGCTGCACTTTCTGCTCGTGCGTGGGAGCATGCCAGACGTCGTGCTGAGGACGGATGCATCGTTTTAGGGTAATTAACTGTCCCTTTTATCATTCGACACACCTTACTAATGTCTCATACAGTTCTCTTCATCCATCAACTCCCTCGGTCCTTGTACCTTTCCTAGGCACCCTTCCTCTATCCATTCCCTCCGCTTTATTTACTGCACTTAATGCCCTTCGCCCATTCATCCACACAGTTTCGCCTCAGAACCCTTCGGCACCTCGACAGTCAGCTTTAGGGGTCACATTAACTCTCACATTAGCTGGGAATCTCTCCTCCGCATCAATTGCACTATCGGAAGGGGGGATCGACACATCGCAAGGGTTGCTCAACATTCCTAGCGAGAGTGGATATAGAGCTTTTGACGTCTTCTACTATCTATTAACATCTGCATCGACTCCGGCGGAGCGTGAATTTTTAGGATTGAAGCATGCCTCTAATTACGCTTTGCTGGCTAAATCCGCAACATACGACCCCCCATCATATCTCCCAACGGCAGATGATGCAGCTTCTGCGGATGACTTTCGGGTAGCGTTGAAAGGGATTGGTATTAAGGGAGCAGCACATCGTAATTTGATCTCTATTTTAGCAGGATTATTAAAATTGGGTGATACTTTAACCTACAATCTCGATGAGGAGGCGCTGGAGGAGGTCTGCGAGGATGTTGGCGGACTTCTGGGTCTCGAGCCAGAGGTCTTGTTTAAGCAATGCACTATGGTGGAACGGGAGACTTTGATCGGTGGTCTATACGAGGCACTCGTTGATTGGGTGATCCTAAAGGCGAACGAGGCCATTGCTACCGACATGCAAAGAATCAAAGACGGAGACTCTTCGAGCGATGGAGGACCCGGTGCTAGGACTCCAAATACCGAGGAAGATAACGGGGACACCGTCTCTATCACCGTTTTAGAAATCCCTAACGCTACTCTCGGCAAAGCTGCCGCCATGCGTGGTGTGTTTGACGATACTCAGGGAATTAATTTGGAAATGAAGGAAGATGGTGTCGATGTTGTGGCTGCTGGATCGTCTGTTCTGCGAGAAATGCAAAATGCACTATCCGAAGTTGGACCCGATCTCGGCATCATGACCGGTCCAGCTGGACGCGAACGGGAGCATGAACTTGAAAGACGTGAGGTAGTTCTAGAGAAAGTGGGAAGAGAGGGGGAAGAGGATGGCTTTTTGAAGAAGATTCTTTTCCCCATCGAAGGTCAAGGGGTCAATCTTGGGCGTGCAGGCAGACTTGATCTTGCTGCTGTTCTCGGCAGTAGTCGCGTCTGGTATCATCTAGCCCTGCACCCCACCGACGAGTCACCTGCAAGTTTGGCAGCTTTGCCATCTACAACATCAGCTTGGTCGGCTGGAACAGTCTCGCGGCAACTCCGCGCATGGAGGCTTCCGGAATGGGCCAATCGTCGAAACAAGAACCTCGATTTTACAGCCGATTTCGATCTGGAAGAATTTTGCCAGCGATATGCTCTTTTAGGTTGCAAGGATGGCAAGGATGGAATTGAGAGCTGGATCATGGAACGTGGTTGGAGCAATGGCGAAGTTGTGGTGGGCACAGAACGTATATGGATGCGAGAAAGTGCTTGGTGGGAAGCGGAGGGTATGCTTGATCTAAAGCCTACAAACGAAGGTTTCATGGGCACCAACAGCATGATGATGGCCAGCCAGCCACTCGAAACTGGGTACTCTGCTGGACCCAATGGAAGCGGATTCTTTCCTCCCATGAATGAACTCACACCTCACGGCAGCAGAGAGGGTCTGCTTGGCCGACAAAGCTCTGCAACGTTAGCTCGCAGTCAATTTGGTGCTCGTTCAGTCGCTCCATCGCGAAATATCAGCGGCGGTGATTACGGACTTGGCTTCAAGGGAGATGACATGAAGGGGCAGGTATACTACACAAATGAGCATGGCGAGCTTGTTACTCAGGCAGATGCGGAACTGGCAGAAACCAAAAACATAACGACCACAGAGCAAACTTTCAGCCGTCGCATCTGGGTTGTGATTGTCTGGTCATTGACTTTCTGGATTCCATCATTTGTCCTCCGATACGTTGGGCGTATGAAGAGACCTGATGTTAGAATGGCGTGGCGCGAAAAGCTCGTTCTCGTATGGGCTATTCTTTTCATGAACGCTGTCATCGTATTTTGGATCATTGCGTTCGGAAACCTTCTATGCCCAAACAAGGACAAGGTCTGGGACGTCAACGAACTTGCAACACATCAGGGAGATAACGACTTTTGGGTCGGTATACATGGAAAAGTTTACGACATCTCGAAATTCTGGACTATCGACCACAGTGACACAGTCATCTCTACAAGCTCTACCAACATGCAGCCATTTGCGGGACTTGTCCTCGATGACTACTTCGTTCCCCCTCTTCCGGTCAGCTGCCCAGGTCTGGTTTCAGACGAGACCATCGTCCTGACAACAAATAACTCTGTCATCGACACCAGTGCTGTACACGTATCCGGGTCTCTACAACCATATCCAGATAGCAAATTGCGCAGCATCGATTGGTATGGCGGCGTATTCCTTCCAAAGATCAAAGAGTACTACCACGGAGATATCGTGTTCGATACGTCCACAGTAAAAAGTGAAGGCCGAAATGATAATCATATGTGGTTCCTTCTTGACCAGAAAATCTACGATCTTACGAATTACTACTATACACTCAAACTTCAAGGCAACCTCGCTCGCTTCAGATTTTTGGATGAGACGATTGAGGATATGATCAAGCAAAACCCAGGACAAGACCTGACCACCAAGTGGAATACGATGTACGAAAATGCCAACGATACCCAGAAGAATGTTATTAGCAATAACCTCAATTGCATTAAGAACACTTTCTACGTCGGTTATCCCGACTTCCGCGAAACAGCGAAATGTCAAGTCAACAACTACATTCTGCTTGCATTTACCATCATCCTTTGTGCTGTTATTTTAACCAAGTTCTTGGCTGCTCTCCAGTTTGGATCCAAACGTCGTCCTCAACCACAGGATAAGTTTGTTATATGCCAAGTGCCAGCGTACACCGAAGGAGAGGATTCTTTACGGAAAGCTCTCGATTCCTTGACAGCTCTGCAATATGACAATAAGAGAAAGCTGATCTGTGTCATATGTGATGGAATGATTGTCGGAGGTGGCAACGATAGACCTACGCCGAAGATTGTTCTCGATATTTTAGGTGTCGATCCGAAGCTTGATCCCCCGGCTCTCCCATTCAAATCTGTCGGAGAAAGCAGCGAACAGTTGAACTACGGCAAAGTCTACTCTGGTCTGTACGAATATGAAGGCAACGTTGTTCCCTACATTGTTGTGGTTAAAGTTGGCAAGGAATCTGAGCAGTCAAAGTCCAAGCCTGGAAATCGTGGAAAGCGTGATTCGCAGATCCTTCTTATGAGTTTCCTTAATCGCGTACACCATCGATCCCCAATGAACCCACTGGAACTCGAGATGTTCCATCAGATCAACAACATTATCGGCGTGGACCCCGAATTGTACGAGTACCTCCTAATGATTGATGCCGATACTAGTGTCCGAGAAGACTCCCTCAATCGCCTCGTCGCTGCTTGTGCCAACAACGCAAAAATTGCCGGTATCTGTGGCGAGACTAGTCTCGAAAATGAAGAGCGGTCTTGGTGGACCATGATTCAAGTTTATGAGTACTTTATCTCTCATCATCTCGCCAAAGCTTTCGAATCCCTCTTTGGCAGTGTTACTTGTTTGCCTGGATGGTATGCATCCCCCCGAATGCTCGTTGTGAAAATAACTAATTGATATCTAGTTTCACCATGTACCGTCTCCGAACAGCCGACAAGGGAAAGCCGTTGATCATATCTGATGCAATCGTCCACGAGTATTCTGATTGCGCCGTTGATACCCTTCACAAGAAGAACCTTCTATCTCTTGGAGAAGATCGATACCTGACGACACTCATGACCAAGCATTTCCCATACATGTCTTATAAGTTCCTTCCAGATGCATATGCAAGCACCGCTGCCCCTGAAACCTGGAGTGTGCTCCTCTCCCAAAGAAGACGGTGGATCAACTCCACCATCCACAATTTGGGAGAGTTGGTCTGGCTCAAAGAAATGTGCGGCTTCTGCTGTTTCAGCATGAGATTCATCGTTTTCATTGATCTTTTCGGTACCATCATTCTTCCAGCAACTTGTGTGTATCTTGGGTATCTCATCTACCTCGTTGCATCTCATAAGGGACAATTTCCACTTATCTCAATCGTTATGATTGCGGCCGTTTACGGTCTCCAGGCACTCATCTTCATCCTAAAGCGGCAATGGCAGCATATAGGATGGATGATAATCTACATTCTTGCATTCCCAATCTACTCATTCATCCTTCCAGTGTACTCGTTCTGGAACCAAGACAACTTCTCATGGGGTAACACACGTATCGTCGTGGGCGAAAAGGGAGGGAAACAGATCATCCAAGAGAATGACGACGGATTCGATCCTCGCAGCATTCCTCTTCAAAGATGGGATGACTACGCCCTGACCAACAATCTACCTGGTCGCCGTGGAGTTGCAGTCGAGAAGTCGTATGATGCATACGAAGATCAGTACGAGATGGACGACATGAAATCCATGTATTCGTCCGTCAAACCTGCGTCTACTATTTTGACCGGATTCCCTGGTCGTGGTCACTATGTTCCTCCGGTATCTCCAGGCGTTCGCCAGTCCGTCTACTCGCAAGCACCTTTTACCGATACTCCAGTCACGCGCAACCAGTCAATGATGTCCCTTGGAGGTGGCCTACAAGATCGTTCAGCATCACCATACCAAGACTACCCACAAGCAAACTCCCATCGCCAAAGTACGATCATGATGCAATCACCAAACGACTTGGTTGCATCTCCACAAGGAATGAACCCAACTGGTAGTGCTCTCGGCTTCCGAGGCGGTTCTCGTACACCCCTCGGCCATGAGAGCATGAGACCAGTCAGCCAGTTCGATTTCCAAAGAGGCAATGCTGGTCCAGACGATTTTATGATTGTCGATGCTATCCGATTATGTCTTTCCGAGGTAGACCTGGACAATGTTACCAAGAAACAAGTTAGAGCCTTGGTCGAACAGCGACTTCAAACCGAATTAGTCGGTGACAGAAGAGTCTTCCTGGACAGAATGATCGATCAGGAATTAGCTAATATGTAGAATGGCTTTCCTCTGTCGCTATGTATATCCAACCTCTGTCCTATCTCTTTGGCTGGGCTCGGAGAATATTGGATCGGGAAAGGGATGTATCAAAAAGAATCAAGATGAAAAGAATGGGTGCATTTGTTTTGTCAATATCGAGAACTTTTAGCATTTTGGGTCGGGGTCAGCCTTCTTAATGATTGAAATGGCCGGAAGAAGTGTGGGGAATACGGGCGTTTATTTGTGCTCGAAATTGGGATGGGTTGTTTTTGTATCTAGCATTTTTCCGTTCCTTTTGTGGTGTGGGAGATCAGCGTGTTTGGATAGGGGTAGGGTAGGGTAGGAAGCGGATAATTAGAAATTATAAATATAGCGAGCGTGTTGCGAAACATTTTTTCTGTGCTGTATGGGATGTGATGTTTGGTAATTCAAATGGAGAGGATTGATTGTTCCCCTTTTACTCAAGTCGAGTCGCGCTCAAATATAATGCGATTGTGAGAGTAGCACGAATGGATGGAATACAGCAACTAGCTTCCCTTCGGTACTCTTCTAATGGAGCCAAGAAGAACAGCAGACTATTCGAAAAAGAAGGCTCTATCCGTATCTGCCATAAATCTGTTCATCCCCTTTGATAATATTAGTATTATCTGATTACAAAGTTATCCCTCAAATCACTAATATTATAAAAATTGCCTAGGATCACTGTTCTGTACCTGCTATGATGTAATGTGAATTTCACACCCACATACTCTCAACCTATTTTTCGGGGAAATGTTTATCACTCTCATAACATGCGGAAAGAAAACGTGGTAAGTGAGAGGCCACTATCAATTCGAGGGGAAGAGAAGAATCTCCATCCATTCCATTTTATCCAATCCCCATCACGACACAGCTCATTTATCAAATCAATTTCATACCTTCATCACTCATTCCAAATTTGAAGAAAAGATCTAACCGACTATCCTACAAGTCAAACCTCAATATCAAGAACTCGTCTCCTTAACGACCTTGTCTATCGCCTTAGCAACATACTCCACATTTCGTGTATTTAATCCCGCCATGCTAATCCGTCCATTCTTGGTCATGTATATATGTGCCGTCTCTCTCAGCTGCAACACCTGCTTCTCGCTTAGACCGGTAAAGGAGAACATGCCGATCTGATCGGTGATGTGATTCCAAGTCCCTGGTGTCTTCAACTCTTCTAGTTTCCCACGTAGAGCGGTACGCATGCTGATGATTCGACCAGACATGGTACGTAGATTCTCTTCCCATTCAGCGAAGAGCGCTTGGTCGTTGAGCACTAAGCTTGCAATCCTCGCGCCGTAAGCTGGAGGATTCGAGATCTCGGAACGTTGTAGAATGGCAAGCTGACTTGCAATTCTTGTAATTGTGTTCTGCGAATCCGTCCCTGGACCCGTCACGAAATGGAAACAGCCAGCTCTCTCGCCGTACAACCCGAAGTTCTTGGCGAATGACTGGGCGACGCAGAGTTCAAAGCCTTGTTCCACGAAGTATCTGAGCGCCCACGCGTCCTTGGCTAGATCGCCCGAGGCGAAACCTTGGTACGCGCAGTCGAAGAATGGGAAGTGGGAGTTCTGTTTCATGACCGAGGCGAGTTCTTTCCATTGTGCTTTGGTGAGGTCGACGCCGGTGGGGTTGTGGGCGCAGGCGTGGAGGAGAATGATGCTGTGTTCTGGGGCATCTGTGACGGCTTGCTTCATGCCTTCCCAGTCAAGACCTTTGGTGGATTTGGAGAAGTATGGGTAGGTTGCGATAGGGAGATGGACATTGGAGAAGATCTGGTTGTGGTTTGCCCATGTCGGGTTGCTGAAGTAGACGGTTGGTTTACCGGGATAGAATCGTGCGAGGAAGAGAGCTCCCAGATGGACCGCTCCAGTTCCCGAAACGGTTTGGAGACTACATGTTCGGTTTTCTGCGATTGCTGGGGAATCGGCTCCAAGAATTAGTCTCGCAGCTGCGGATGTGAATTCTGATAGACCGGCGATGGGAAGGTATTCGTGGTTGAGCGCGGGGTCGTTTCGTAGGATATCGTCCGCCTGGATAGTGAGTCAGTACGGAATACTGACGTGATGGATTGGATTGCAATTCCCAAGTACCTTTTTCACGACAGGTAACACCCATGGCTTTGCATTGTCATCTCTATATGCACCAATTCCTAGATCGACCTTTCTCTCATCGGTATCTTTTCGATATGCTGCCATCAGCCCAAAAAGAGGATCTTCTGGAGCTTTGGGCACCGCATCGGCCGAGAAGCTTGTAGATGTTGATTGCGACATATGTGCGGATATAGTTTGCAGTCTGGAATTCGGGGATGAAGATGAGTTATTTGAGGAAGAAGAAGAAGGAGATGCGGAAAAGGAGGAGGACGGAGGTGAGGAATTATTGTTATTGTTCGATGTCAATGCTCGCCTGGCGCTGGTGGTACTTGATGCAGGAGACATGCCGCTCGGAATTTTGACGGGACGTCCGCTGTCGCAGAGTGGGAGCCTGGGAGGGTGGGCGTCCTGGTGGGCGTGGAGGGCGAGGGGAGACGAACACGCGAAATCTGGGGTGAGAGTTTCGAGCTTGGGCACTGGTCCGGGGGTATATATATGCTTACGATCTGCTAATTGCCGAGCTCTGGATGGATCATGTCGTTCATATGGAAGTAGCGCGCCGAGGTATAATCTACGATGAACATGATTCTATTGAGGGAGGTGATGGATGATCTGCTTCTCCTCTTGGCTTATACATGTCTTAGCATGTGCTCAAGTTGATTTATTACCATGAGCACGACCACCTCCTGCATCCGGTGATGAGCGTCACCCGCTGCCCACAACGGTGCCTGCATCCAAACCTAACACCCTATACTATCATTGGTCCTGGCTCTGACTGGTACGGCGTAGGTTCATTTTGCATCAAAGTGCTAAGAGCACCGAGTCAACATTGATATGTGTATTATTCAAACAATAAAGGAGCTGAGTTCCGAGGAACAGGGCTACTGTAGCTAAATCACCAGATCCCACACGATCAGGAAAAGGCTCAACCCGCACGAGGCATAAAACACGTATTTCGCCGTGCTTTTTCGCTCCGCGGCTTTCTTTAATTGCTTGTTTCCACCGCCGACGTTTTCCGTGGTATTGATGGAATCCTGTTCTAATAATTCGATATTCTCTGATTGCGCAGCAAGGTTGGATACGAGTTGCGTTTGGAGTTCCGAGATTTCCACCAAGGACCTCTCCGCCGTTCTATCAAGTTGCGAATTAGCACTGGCCAGTACCAGGAAATGATGAAGTCGACATACCTAACTTGATCTAATGTGCTCTCATAGTGTTTTAGCATATCTTGGTTCTCCTTTTCAAATATTTGAATCTGTTCAGCCGATAGTTCCTCCTGCTGGTATTGCGGCTGCGTGTCCATATGTGCAGGCACACCTTGATAAGTCTGGTAAGTCGAAGGACTTATGGGTGACGGTTCAAGTATGTCGGGCATTAGATCCATATCAGAATTGGCCAGCACGCTCCGTCTCTTCTCCATCTCTCGCAATATCCTCTTCTCCATCATTGTAGCCTGGAAGCTCCCGCATTCTTGCAACTTCTGTCGCAAGTACCATATGACGCTCTCTCGGTGGTTACTGATCGCATTCGCTCTGGATTCTTCCAGCTCTTGTTCTGAGGATTTGGACTGCCCAGCTCCCCCAGCTGCCCATTTTCCTAGAGCTCCTAAGCTCAATTTCGCATATTTCCTCCGTGTTACTGTAGTTTCTGTATTCTGTCGCAACTGTTCCGCATCTGCCAGATTCCGTATGCTGGCGTTCAATTCCCGAAGTAACTGTTTCGTCTCAGCGTCTATCTCTTCTCTTTGCCGGTCTGTCAGGTATTTCCATTTGCTGTCCTTCGCAGACAAGTTCGCCCGTCGTGGGGGGACAGCCGTGGACAGGTATGATTGTCGGATTTTGCGAAGGTAAACATTTAGGGATGCTATGTGTGAATTCTACCAGCGCCACTTAGTACGAGAGTATAAACATCATATTCGTGTTCATACAATTCTATAGGCCTCCTTTAGGAACTCGTCAATATTCTGTAGAGTGAGAGAAGGTTTCGCGGTTGGGGGAGCATCATGGCTCTTTAAGAGTTCGTTGAGGAGGGGAGTAAGATCAGTCATTTCGAGGAATGATTCGTCGATGTAATATTATCAGTTCGAGCCACAATGGCAGAAGTCATGGGTCGACGCAGCTATGCAGTTCAGTCTGTTGTCCTTCATAAACCTGCTTCTGGATACATGTGGCTTGACTGCGGCTCACCTGGGCAAGCTCAGGTCAAGGCACGTGATCACCATAACTTAACCTTATGGTTTCCATGCTCTCCAAAGTTCTCTTCTCGAAACCTCCTCAACAAAAGCATCTTCCCGAACATATTGTGTCTGTCTTACTTGTATATCGCCACCTTCATTATGCCGTCAGACCTCCATGTTCTCACGGATGCAGATTCAATCATTTGCACCGCAGGCAGCATGGCCTCTTCCTTCAACTCCATCCACGGCGAATCGACGGCTCTCATCGGCGCTCCGTTAAAATTTCATTGATTGCCTCGAGACGATCCCGTTATCGCAGAGTCGGATACCTGTGCCGTTGCGACTGTGACCAGTGACGTGCCTTGGCCTGGTCCATTTGTGGGAATAAGGGTGGGACCCAGCATTTCCACGCTACGAAGGCGAATGGTAAATATCCGTGTATACATGTTGGCGTAGGTTGTGCTTCTTTTCCTATTTCAAATTTCTCTCTTTCGAGTCTCTCTGTCCTATTCACCTTCATATTATGAAAATCTCATTACAGACATCATGACGCGAGACAATTCCTTGGGCGCTGCAGAAAAGGCAGAAGAAATAGGTGCTACTGTCCAAGGAGCAGTACTTCCACCGTCTGCAGATCCAATTCCGGCGCACTCTCAGGAATCCTCACACTCTCTTACTGGGACTGGAACCTCCCTAGATGAACATGAAGATGGCGGAAGAGACCTGGAGCTTGCTCCTGTCATCACAGCACCCATGTACTCGGCTTTTGGAACGTGGAAGAAACGATATATTGTTATAATGGTCACTTGGGCAGCTTTTCTTTCACCAACCTCTGCGAACATCTATTTCCCGGCTTTGAACCCCCTTCAGGAAGATCTCAATGTATCACCAAAGCTCATCAATTTAACCCTCACCTCATACATGATCTTTCAAGGTCTTTCTCCAACCATTTTTGGAGATCTAGCCGATATGGCGGGGAGGAGACCAGCTTATATTATCTCATTCGTCATTTATCTAGGTGCCAACATTGGTCTCGCTCTTCAAAATAGCTATGCGGCTTTGTTCATTCTCCGTTGTGTGCAAAGTACCGGCAGTAGTGGAGCTATTGCAATGGGCTACGGTGTGGTAGCCGACTTATCGACAAGCGCGGAGCGTGGAAGTTATATGGGAATTGTAAGCGCGGGAACAATGTTAGGGCCAGCTATTGGACCTGTGATTGGAGGAGTGCTGGCACAATTCTTGGGGTGGCGAGCTATATTCTGGTTTCTTGTCATTGTCTCCGCCTGCTTCCTCGTACCATTCGCCTTAACGGTCCCCGAGACTGGTCGTAACGTTGTAGGGAATGGCTCTGTCCCTCCTCAAGGCTGGAATATGACTCTATTGGAATGGTGGAAACTTCGAAAGGAGGCAAAGTCCACAGACGCCCTGTCAAGGACAGTGAGTTCAGAAGGCCGTCGACTCCAACAAGCGGAACTTGCACGGAAGCGTCAATTGAGATGGCCCAATCCTTTGAAGACTATTCACATCATTATGGAAAAGGATATGGCAGTAGTGTTGATATACAACGCACTAATCTACACCGCGTTCTACGACATTATGGCATCTATCCCCGAGCTCTTCCAGGAAATATACCACTTTAACGACCTCCAAATAGGTCTCTGCTATATTCCGTTTGGCTGCGGATGTGCCATCGCCAGTTTCCTAAACGGCAGGATGTTGGATCGAAATTACAAGCGAGTAGCACGACAGATAGGATTCACAATCGACAGGAAGCGTGGCGACGATCTAGCCAATTTCCCAATCGAACGCGCACGTCTCGAAATCATCTGGCCAATCCTGACTCTGGGTCTTATCTGCGTCCTTTGCTACGGCTGGGTCTTAGAAAAGAACGCCCACCTAGCCGCTCCCCTCATTCTCCAATTCTTCATCGGTCTTTGCGTCAACGGCGCTTTCAACATCCTTAGCACTCTAGTCGTGGATTTATATCCTCAAAGCCCTTCCACCGCAACGGCAGCCAATAACCTCGTTCGCTGTTTCTTTGGAGCCGGAGGGACGGCCGTTATCACCATCATGATCCAAAAAATGGGGCGTGGATGGTGTTTCACGTTTATTTCGCTGGTTTGTATAGTCACGATGCCGATGTTGTGGGTGGAATTGAAGTGGGGGCCTGGGTGGAGGGAGGAGCGGAGGGTTAGATTGGCGAAGATTGAAGAGGAGAAAGAGAGGGTGGTGGAGAGGATGGAGAGTAGTGGGAGGGAGGAAAAAGCTTGATGGATTGCATTATATGGTTGGAGTTTATTTAGCATTGGCATTTCGGAATTTTGCATTTGAGGCGTTGAATAACTGGTGGTAAAAGATACTTGAGACAAACTCATTATATTTACAATAGGCCTTGTCCTGTGAGATATTCATATTAAAGCTTGACGCAGTGCGTGCAGGGTCTACTTGAAGAAGCTTCACATTCATTCTGACGCATGCTTGTCTTGTCTCGCGATCTTATGTCCATTACCCCAAGATCCAAGTAGCATTCGATGAAAAGTAACATCATTCAGACCACGAACCATAATCAAACCCAGAAAACATAAAATGACACATCGTGGAAGGGAAAAGAACCTTTATTCATGAACTATGTACTCAATCTCATGCATCCCATGCCGCTAATTACAGATAAAAAAACGAATGCGCCCAAAGGCTGGTATCTAAAACTCCCGAAAATAAAACACCTCGTATGTGCTCGACAATATGGTATGTACAAAAGCAATGCACGCAATGAACATCTACCTCTAAACTTCTTCTTTGACCGTCCTGCTCTTAGGCTCATCCACCTCTACTCTAGAAACCGCGACGTCCTCCTCAGCAACAGGGGCGAATTCCTTCCAGCCCTCCGAAGAGGAAGTAACAGAGGTCTCAACCTCGCTCCTCTCAACCTCATGCCGAGCCTCGATTTTCCTGCCCACGCCCCATTTCATCCTTGCTGCCTTCAATAATGCGTATGCGAGTAATCTATAGACGATAGTGCAGATGCCCAAATACAGGAGATTGAGTCTGGGGTTCGTATCTAACTTATACAGATCCAAGACCTCTTTGCCGGTGGTGATAGGACACGCTCCATTAGGCAGTCTCTGGTAGTCTTCGCATGTAAACATGATGTCTCGCACGCTGTACGGTGCGAGATTGCGCATCGCGAAGCCAAGAGGGGAGAGGTAGTTCATGTCTTTCAGGAAGGCGGGCATGTTGATGGACATGACGCCCGACATGACCTGGGCGAGACCTAGGAAGAGAGATGTGATGTTGATCGCGAACCCGGTGTGTGCGAAAAGAGTGTTGAACATGATGCCAGCACTCTCGCCACAGCTGACGATGCAGAAACAGTTGAACACGCAGACAAAGAACATGGTTACTGTGCGTGGAAGTCCTGCTGCCAAATCTACGAATATGGCGAAGATGAAGGAGGAAATTATTTCGAAAGGTACTTCGAGGGTAAGATACTGAGCAAAGAAAGCTTCGACTCCGTAGGTTCCATCGTCGTCTTCGCGGTAGAAAACGTCTTTCTCGATTGGATATACTGCTACATTCTGCAGCATACCGACAAAATAAAAGGCGCAGAATTCTTGCACAAATCCAAGACGGGTCTGTACTGAGAAATAACTGTGCTTTAATGGTGCGAAGAACAGCGTAAGAATAACAGCCAAACCGACGACTTGCATGATACGTGCCATGATGAGTGGTGGTTGACGTCTGAAGTTTATGAATGCTCGATGGACGAGAATCGGGTATGCTGAGAAGAAGCCGGAAGGTTTGCGGATCATGGCTCCCAGCTCAGCCGGAGTCGAGATCGAAGTTGGATGGAGACTGCCATTGAATGCTCCAGTTCTCCAATTGGCAATGAGGTTTTGAACTTTCGAACGACTAGCTTCTTCACGAGAAGAGTGTTGAAGGTCCACAGTGATGAGGTCGAGAGCGAAATCGGCAGGATTGGTGTTTCTTGAGCAAGGGAATCCGAGTTTGTCGAAATAGGGTAGCATGCCTTGACTATCCCCTGCATATACAGCGGATCCACCACGAGCAAGCAGAAGGACGTTGCCAAAGTGAGCGAACAAGTCCGAGCGAGCTTGATGGATGGTCAATACAAGAGTTCTACCTTCACTGGCCAATCCCTCGAGAACTTCCAGTATAGAGGAGGCAGTAAACGCGTCAAGTCCTGATGTTGGCTCGTCTAGGAAGAGAATTTGTGGATCAGTCAGGATTTGGACAGCAATTGAAACACGACGTTTCTCTCCTCCGGATATGCCTTTGATCATATCAGATCCAATCAAGTTATTGGCGCAGTCCTTGAGACCAAGTTTTAATAGCACTTCTTCTGCGCGCTGATGCTTCTGCTGCTTCGTCATGTGAGATGGTAGGCGAAGTCCTGCTGCGAATCGGAGTGTCTCACGGACAGTAAGAGACGGCAGCAATGCATCATCATCCTGGCAGACGTAAGAACAGACAGATCTGATAACAGATTCGGTTGGGATAGCGCCGTTGAATGTCATGTTGCCATAATGCCTATATCGAGTGCTGAAGCTGTTGTTCAGACGAAGTGCCATAGAATTGAGCAGCGACGTTTTGCCAGAACCACTAGGGCCCATGATCACGTTCAGAGACCCAGCTTTGAACTGAGCGGTAACCGGGTATAGGATAGTCTTTTTGGGCTGCTTCTGACCTAAGATATTCCTTTTGTCGAGATCAAGAGCGAAGTCGTCGAGGCCAATATCAATTGTCCGCACCTCTCCAACAGATCGAGCTGTCATTCTTTCCTTTCCAAAGGACAAGTCCTCTTCAGAATGCCGAGCTTTGGCAATATTCATATCAACCTTCAAGAATCTAAGACCAATCCAGGCACATGTGTAGAACATTATCACAAAAGCGAGCAAGATGATGATTGGCCGGACTAACCAATTACCTGGAAATCCTAACGAATCCATGATGAATGCGCCAGTATACTGTGCACAAGCTGGATTGGATTCCCCACCAGGTAAGGGACAATCATAAAACGATCCAACGAACTCGTTCGAGGCGAGTGCTCCGAAGGAATAGAAGACGTATGCTGTCCACTTGGTCCATCTCACGTAGACAGGAATTTCATTTGCCTGAACAAAGAAACCGCATGCCATACTCTGCACCGTATAGCCCAGATTAGCGATGAGGGAGGCACCCGCAAAGTTTCGAGAAGCAGCTACACAAGCCATTGCGTACGTAACAGCGATGAAATGAGATATTAACATGATGGCAAGGAACGTAAAGAACGCATCAACTTCCGGTCTTAAACCTGCCATCCAGTAATATATCGCCGTGTATATGATGGGTACTGGTAGATCCTCAGTGAAAAATCTTGCCAACCTCCTACTCAAAAGAAAAGGTGTGACATCTACAACCCCTTCATTATGCTCGCGATCGAAAAGCGGAATATCAACAGTCAAGCGATATGTCTCAAACATAAGTATCAGATAACCTTGAAGCGCGGCTGCGTTATAGATAGCGCCCTGACGACTGCGAATTCCGGATTGATCGCGAGACAATCCGTAGAATATCCAACCTGTAATCACGCCCATTCCCACAGCTTCTGTGAGTGACCCCGTCATTCCAAGCGAATCTCTCCAAGTTGTTACAAGCGCCCGGGATGTGAGGACTTTTGTTTGCCGCCAGAATGGCGATCGAACCGGCGCAGTTAATGTTTGGGCTTTGTTGCTGGTCTCACTGGTCGCTTTCTCATTTGATGTGTAAAGCCTGTCGCTTTCTAGAGCCCAAGCTGTCTTCAAGCGGTCAACTCGCTGCAACGAAGCTGCTTCGAGTTCGGGTGATCGATTGTCAACGGCCGCGACGTCAATTAAGAACTCCGCCGGGTTGACAAAATCAGGCATCTCCATCTCAACTTTGTTGAACCAAGGTAGACAACTTTCTGCGGATCCAGAGAAGACTGGGCTCCCTCTGGTGAGGATTACCAGACCATCGAACATACCCCAAATTTCTGACCTAGGCTGATGGATGGTCGTTACGATGGTCCTCCCTCTCTGGGCCAAGGTCTTGAGGGTCCTGATGAGTTGGAAAGCACTTGTTGCATCTAAGCCGGTTGTTGGTTCATCCAGAAACAAAACACTAGGATTGCTAAGGAGCTGTACTCCGATACTCGTACGTCTCTTCTCTCCACCTGAACATCCTTTATGTTGATGATTTCCTATCCTCGTATTCGCGCATTCTTTCAGCCCGAGTTCCAGGATAACTTCATCTACAACTTTCTTGCGTTCCTCTTCGGTCGTCGGCGGCGGGAGTCTCAGATCCGCAGAGTACTGAAGAGTCTCGCGAACTGTAAGTGTCGGCAGTAGAACATCCTGTTGCATGACATATGCAGAACGCACACTCCGAACACCTTGTAGCCCATTGAAGGTGGTGGAACCTTCGAACGACACTCGTCCACTAGTCATCCGTTCGGCCATCGTGTTCAACATCGTCGTCTTACCACTCCCGCTTCCACCAATTATTGCAGTAAGAGTACCAGCTTTCATAGAGGCGGAAACCGAATGCAAGATTTGTTTCTTTTCCGAAGGCTGCTCCCCATCTTCTGCTCTTTTCCGCTGACCGATCCCGAACCTCGCAAGGGGTGAAGCAAATGGGGAAACATCCACTACCACTCCCAGCTTCCTCACATCTATGTTGACCGGCTCGACCTCCGAGAGCGACAAGTAATGGCTTTCAGCAGCAGACTGGTGTTGCTGTAGGACGAGGTGCCCCTCATGTTTCGAGGTCGCCCGCGAATTCCTCGAGGAGGGACGTTGGCCTGTATGAATATCCTCCGTCTCCTTGACTTCATCTCCCCTTCCATCCTCCATCGTGTCTCTCGTTATCTTGTGTGACGGTTCCTTATCGATTATGCTGCAATGCCGGGTGGCGTTTCTTAGATATCCCGCTTGCAAAGTCTATAATCTTCAGCGAAAGAGTGAAGACGCCTGTATTCCACGGGTGAATAGTGTTGAAGGCGATATATCGATCAACCGAGAAGTTTCCCGCGATCCAGATTGTCCTAGAATCGAAGCACATCACAATTGGAGGCTAGCTCTAGCAAACAATACTGTTGGGGGTGTATGCTACAAAAGAAAGAGCCAAGTCGCTATCGATTACCGGCAGGGAAAGAATGGCTTATGGCAAGACGTACCATCATCCAAATACAGAGAAAATTGTAGGAAAGATGATGAGAAAGAAGTTGCCCGGCAAAAGAGCATTTTGAATCCGTACAGCGGCGCAAACTGAAAGTCCTTGGGTCTTGGATGCTCATCAACGGATGTTTGCGACAGGGAATCCAGCTGGGCCTCGGTCTCTCCAAGCGATGCGTAAAAGGGGGAAAGCGGCACGATTTAGTCTTATTTCGCCAGCAAGCTTGGGGTATGTTGCTGCCGCTTTATAGCTCGCTTAGAACAGATACAACTCAAGCTGGCATTAGGATAAAAATACAATTTCACCACCACTCACACACTTGCGGAGAATTTCAACACTCTCTACGCTTTCCAACAGCCCCGGGATAGGAAATGACATGCGGAGTATGGCCGAACAAACGTGAAGACGCTTTGTTTGCTTGGTATGTAAGAACCCTCGAATGCATACACGAAGTTTTGTGTAGACAAAACTTAATGAAAATATTGTAGCTACTGTGGTTGTATACCTAGGTGCTTAGCAGCTCCATCAATACAGCTACTTCGACTGCGGCACAGCCTTCGGAATGATCGTACGGCCAGAGATCGAGAATGGCTCGTCCTCGCTTCGTAACCGACGTCGAACATGAAGCAATTCGTATTCACGGGCCACATACTAACATCATCACCACCTCCTGAAATTTAACCGAGATCTCTGTCGTACAGATGTTGGGACAGTGGTGACACGAAGCGTCCCAAGCCCATGGGACTATATTCCACATGCGAACACCAAAACGGCGATGTGAAACCACCGCTCAGGAATGGAGAAAGCATCGTAGAAACGCCTCGATCAGCTCCGAATCATCAAGTTTCGGGAAAGGAAAGTCACAAGGCAGCTGCTTCGTCCAAGAATACAATCAGACCTGTCAGATAGCCAGTGCGAAATCGGCTCCTGAAATCCAAGTGGAATGTTTGGATGCCTGTTCATGTAGGTATAATGTCGTCAATTATAGCCTAAACAGTATTGCTGTTGTATCATGAGCGGTTGGCGAGCAGTGAGCACCTGTGCTTGTGCCTCCGACAGTCACGAGCAAGCAGACCTCTACCTCGTCACTTCGATTGCATCCGAGGATTCTGAATCTGTCTTCGGGCTGATTACGTGGTACTAGTTGGTCCTCCTTGGAGAGTTGGCTTTAGTAGCCTCTCTCGAACACGTCTTCTTGCTTTCACAAGAGTTTTGAAACACAGGTAATGAAAGTCGTCCAATATGTGTACAAATCCATGCGAACCATCAAGCCACCCGCTCTCTTCGGGGACGAAAAAAACCCGAGATTTTGCACACCTAGCCTATCTACTTCGACCCCCCCCCCTGAATAAACCGCAGTGGGTCTTCTAGAAGTTACGGTAAACGGGTTGTTTGGCCAATAAGTAGTTGAGGATATACTTATCATTGCTGTAACAAGTAAAGTCTGTATTTTCTCCACTGCGGTTTATTCAAGGGGGGTCGAAGTACTACTATTCTACCACAACACCCAATTATATTTACTTTCTAGTTTTATATTATACAATATAAGACTATTCTTAAGTAGATTATAATTTCTTACGATTTATTATCCCAGATTTGCTTATTTAGACAGTAGATAGAGTATACTTTTGGCGAGAACTTAGGTGTTGTGGCGGGCGCAAAATCCCGGGTTTTTTCCGTCCCTGGAGAGCCGCTTACCAGATCCTGGAAGCCATGTGTAAGACATCGATTCTTCCAATGTCCGGCTTACGCAGGGCCCAATCGATAAGAAGAATCTTGAACTGGTATCCGTTGATGTTGGCACTTTTACTGGTACCTCTTTTCATTGGTAGTGTCCTCTTATTGAACCAATTTCATATAGTAAGTAGTGTTCATCATTTCATTCTTATGCGAAGAACCTGAAGCAAAGAAAGCCCTTCATTGCCAAACAATTATTATCAATGCGTGGGCTATTCTGCGCGATCATTATCTAGGATGGATTATTCGCTCGGGGAAAACTCTGGCTTACCAGAAAACAACACCAGATCGAGTTATAGAAACCTAGAACCAATGTGAAGATGACTGCAAGATAATCTTTCAGACATGTCAGCACATAGTTTAACCTGGTACAAATAGAACGCTTCTGCATTTCATACAACTAAATGTAACAATACCTATCAAACTATCAGGAACTGAAGGTTTCTATGATGGATCCCTAAAAATTCGAAGTAGTATAGGAGAAGACATTGTGTTTCAGCCATTGCCAAAGATGGGAGGTAGGTTCTGGTGATTTTAAAAGCATTTCAATGCGAAACATGAAGGTAAATCTCGAAGGCTCAAAAGCAGATCAAAAATGCAAACTCTGTCGTGATGGAGCTTGGTAGGTGACATGAACACCTTCTAGATATAACCAGGTCACAATATCGGCTTGGGAAGAATCAATTACCGTTTAGAGAGACAGAAAATAAGCAAAGAGTACATGCTTCCATACACCAATGGAATAACCATCAAGAAAAGACTGACCTTTTTGTTGTAAATGTCAAATTCACCAGTAATGATCTATTGGAGAATTGCAAGAAGGATTTTGCTTAAGCTCTTCCAACCGGAGATATTCATGTTGAATAATCGAAAATCACCAGAAACACTGCGTGTCTGAAGGTAGTAGACAGATGTATCTTGAGTGACTGTTGATTTAGTTAGTTTTATACATACACTTTGTGTCATCACAAGGCTATAGAAAAAGACTCTTAGTCCAACCAGATCTGTATTTTGTGTTCATCTCTCCTTCGGCTGGACTTATAGGGGATTTCTTGCCGTGCTGTCTTGTTACAATTCATCACCTAGGCTTGAGGCTACTAGATGCCTCCTATTCGTGACTAACCATTACTGATTTCCTATACAATATGAGTAAAGAATTGGAAACTTGTTCAGGCACTGTCAAAGGCAGACCAAGAAAGCCTCACAAGAAACACCAGTTATGTCTCGCTTAGGGATGTGTTGTCGGTATTGATACTTATACCAATCATCGATGCATCAATTTACGATACCCCGTTTCGCCAACGTACTTCCTGCAATCCACAATGCCTCTCCCTCCTTCTGCTTCTGCTTTCTGCACCACAGAGAATCAAGCTCGATGGTATTTTTCGTAGCCTAGCCATAAGTAGTAATCCGGTTTCTGAAGATATAATCACGTTCGCATGCACATCAAATTGCCAGACTACAATCCTTTCTCGTCCATTCACTTCCAAAGCCCCCACACTGCAGAAAGCGGCCAAGGAGGGCGAGATATTGCGGGCAAAGTATACAGGCTGAATGCTTTGCATTGAAAGTGCAGGTCAGGGTACGATGCACTTTCAACCATCAGCGTGTCCTCGACTGACGCGTTCATTGCTCTCATCTCGCTGCCTTTATTTTTCGCAAAGAAGCTGAGACATCCCAAACACAAGCGAGTCCAGTCCAAGTCCAATAGAGAGTTTGCTGGCTCGGCCCAGCCCGCAATGTAACGCTGTCAACCCCAACATTCGGCGCCGATCCGAAGCCTGAAACTTCTCCGCTCCTCTTAACACTTCCTGATATAAGTCTATAGTGGGTTATGTCTTAAATTGCGTACTTATCCACAGCTTATGTTTCAAAGGATCCGTTGAACGTTACCATTCGAGCAGAGCAGAGTCTGAACCCCACCCCCACGCGGCATTTTATCAATCTGCGAAATGAGGGGTACCAGGAAAATGGAAAACGTGGCTGGAAAAACTTCCTAGCCGGACTTTATTCCTGAAAATGTTTGTCTCATCCAAAGGGGACTTTCCTGAGCCTTGTTGTTTGCTTTTTGTCTCTGGTTTCTAAGATTAGAATTCCTGATATGTAAGGACTTTGCATCATGTACCTTCCCTCTGCTCCAATCCCCCGATTGGACGAAGAAGTGCCCGCAGGAAAAGTCTCAGCCTGCAATGTAGTCTTGATGAACTTTTCAGATTTTGACCTCCGTCTTCGGTGACAGGAGGGAGGAAAGCTCACTACTGTGAGTTGTATGTATGGCTGATCCTCAAGCACCGCTAACCGATGGGAATTGAGGGATCATTGGCGGGTCGAACCGTCTATCCTTGTCTGCCGGTTTGCATCATTAAAGGGCGGATTTCGAGTACCACAACCTTATCAGTTACTGCAGAGTAACCAGCTTTATTCGTCTGGGATGGGAAGTCGGTAGTTCGAGCCTGACGTCGTGGTGCCACTCTGTTGATCAATGATCATCCTTTTCTTGCTATAAGGCCTTTAACTTCAATGCGGTGTCTTCTTTTGACAACTCCCGGGCGATTCACTTGACAAACAGAGTCTGTTTGTTGGTAGCCACGATTCAGCGCTGCCAAGATCAGTTCAAAATTCCTGCTTTCAAGCCTGGTCACCGACGAGGTGTTCTCAAGTAGTACATTATGCATTTCGATAAATGTCCTGCCATCAATACTTACCGCATATCTCGTACCAGAACTGGTACGTACCACGACAGTATGAGTCGGCCGCCTCAATGTTACATCCTCAATTCCCCGGCGAATTGACTATCTACACCGCTACTTGTTAGGCTTTCTCAGTAACAACTGTTCAATCTCAACGATTGACTTTACTCCCTCAACTATACGAGTTATAGTGTGCAACAGGCGATGATCAGTTTCGTCACGTACGTGAACAGCCAGTTACGGTTGCAGAAAAAACAGGCATCGGTACCTGGAGACGTGCGGGCCGTACCGAAGACTTTTGAAATCAGGTACTGTACTGTACGTACACAAATTGGAGGACTTTCCGAGTTTCCCGGCGTCTAGGGCCCAGAGGTGCTTCATCCCATTGAACGCCTGGTCACAAGTATTATGAGCAAGGAGTTGATAGGTGTGATATAAATGCAAGGTTAGCCATGGTGATGAGTTGAAGTTGACTTCTTGCATAAACGACTAAACCTGTTGTACTAGTCACTGAGGCTGATACATGGAACCGTACTGCCTCTTGATCTACTAAAGGCTGTATTGGCTTATGATATGCTTGCCTGTAGTTTGAGCACTTGACATCACATCTTCGTCACTTGAGTTGGTTAAAGTTAGATTTCACCACATACTAAAAATGAGAGGTATTAAAAAGAGAGTCATCGGTAAGTGCTCTAGGACTACGGTCTTCGCTAAGTGTGAACTTAACTCAGTGACGTCCACAAGCGCGGTACACAAGAGTAACAGCATGGCATTAGTCTCACTGGACTTGCAACTGCCGTATGCCATGGCTAACCAGGATGCTTTGAAACGACCTCATTATACATTGACGTAGCCTGAGAACCAACCTCTTTTCCTTGAGGCGTGCTTTTCTAACATGAAATCAGGTATTACCTGCATAGAGCAACAGGTACTGTTACTCGGTAAGAAGTCGTATATGCCAGACACTAATCACAGTATGCCAATCTGAAATGACTGTCCGGCAGATACTTCTAGCCGACCTCTGCATTTTTGCTTCCTCGATATTCCGTACCACACCAACAAGCCCTTGTGTGGTTTTTTGCACTACCCAGATCGTTCCCTTACTGGCCGTCACCACCATGCGGTTCTACCAGTAAGGTGTACCTAGCAGGCTGAGTAGGTCGTCATGATATTGATGTTACTTTCAAAAGCGTCCCGCAGTAGGATTCATCGCCCTTCCAATGTTCGCCCTCCGCACGAACTATTGATTGAAATTGACCAGAGCGTACTTGCAATTTTTATCACAACGATTCAAGGATGTTGGAATGAGGTGACTGTTATCTCTTATCCAAGCACCACTACATCCAACAGAGCGGCATATTTCGTGTTGATCCTAGGAGTAAAAGACCTAAATGAGAGACTCTAAGCGAAGCTTCATTGATAAGCGTAGGACTGAGATATTGAAAAGTGCTTCCATCTAGGTACCGTGTATTTAGCGGCCTTTATTATCGTTCCTTCCTTCCCACGACTTGTTCACCAACACTTCGGTTCTCTCATGGAAAGGCAAGCGCAACTGAATTAACTTTCATTGTATCTAATGTTACCGATACACCTTAATAAAACATACCTTACCTCGCTGATGTTATCCGGCATCTTGCTCTAGGTTTAGCAATATGAGTAAGCTTTTGAGAAATGATAAGCAAATTGACATAGAAATGGGTTCTGCCTGACGGAAGTAAGTCGGCGTACCTTCAATTATTGAATCACATATTATCATCCAATTGAATGCGTCTATGTACTGCTTGAAGCAATAATCCTTTCCGTGTATCGTTGGAAAGCATGCAACGAAAACACCTACATGACGTACCCCGCAATACAATCGTAGCCGAATACTACCACACAGGAGGCTTAAATCAAAAAGCAAGTTTACTGGCTTTTGTGCTCCTTTCAGTTCATCGACCATAAGCCACCACGGAAAAGAAGCGCAGTGTTACTGTCAAGGGTTGATTTTGGATTCAACTCTCTTTAGAAACCTCGCTTAACACATTGTGTCAATTCACGAAAAGTGACGCGAAGATTTTCGGAGTTCAATGTTTGCATTTCTATCGTGGTTGGCTCGGTATCTTTTATAATATCTAGAGATTATGTACTCTTCTATTAGAGGCCTGTGTGCCTTTATTGAATAGGATGAGAATTCTCACCTTGGTCCCTTGTGCTAAGCGAAGATTCTGAACAAGCATAAAAATCAAGTATCGTCTTACGTTAGACATCACTTCCATTTGTCAAATACCCCTTTGAACTAAGATGCATGTTGACTGGTGCGTATCAGAATACCCTTATGATTGTCACTCGTCACCAGAACCTCCTTTTCCTTCTCGCGATAAATGCCATAAAGAGTAATGACCCAAATAGGTAATAAGCTGATTTAACAATATAAATCCACGCCAACATGCCACCTTGGCACCTGAGCATTAGTCCTTGTCCACAAGGCTTCCGAAGTCGATGGTTGAATCGCCCCGTTTGAAGAACTCCCCGAAAGCCCACTTCTCCACCGAACACAACATAAAGTGGCCAAGAGCATCACCCTTTGCCCAACTTGCCTCGTGTTTCGATTGGTAGAATAAAGCGCTTAAGACACAACCACGCACCGATGCCCCAAAAGAGGACATCTGCCATCTTCTTTCCAACCGAATAACCCCCTTTAGCCCTAGCTCATTCAATGCATACAGGGTCATCACCAAAGCTCCCCCTCTCGCTAAACACCAGCGGAGCTTCGCTCCGAAACCAACCGCGATCAATCCCATCCAAGATTCCCATCATAACTAAGAAGCCCATCAATTCCCATGTGAAGCGTTCGCCCGCCGAACCCTTTCCGTATTTCGAGATGTGATCCGAACCGAAACTCTATCTCATCACACCCTCGCGGTGGACAAAATAAGTGGCAGTCGAAACACGGTATTTCTTCGATTAAGTTGACGAAATATTGTTATTTAGTGGATTAATGTAGAACAATGTAAGATATTTCGTGTATTATTTTAAGTAAATAAGACTTCTTACGCTCTATTCGAAGTCGACTTATTTAGTCCAAGATTAGGGGGCATGTGACTGACACTTATTTTGTCCTCCGCGGGACACCCTATTCTCCTTGGAAATACACTAACTAACATCTCGGATCGATCGTGCTGTCAGCAAGACAGCCACAGGAACAACGCTATTTAAGAACGACATATCCCCACCGAGCCAAACCAAAAATGTGTAAAGTTAAGTTTTCCCGCCAGGATGTTCGTAGTATGGAGCCCAAGAGATCGGATCTGTGTTCCAGCAAGATATCTCGGAGGAATAGATCTGGAAGACGCTGCTGCGCGCTCTAAAAGTCCCACGTCACCACAATATAGAGTTTCACCACAAAATAGACTTTTGAGATCTGGAATTGAACCCTGCGTTTTCATCTCACATTGTTTTGCCGATTGTTTAGATTTGGTTCCGATCCCTATCACCCTGGTTACACAACCCGGTACTTTTGGGAGAGGGTGTGTGCTCTGCCACCTGGTCTCGCGTTGGATCTCTCGTGAACGTGAACGGGAACGCGCACGAGGAATAGGTATCGAATCATAGACATGCCCCGAAAAGATGTTGGTGTGTTGGCAGGTGGCGGAAGCAGATGCCTACGGAATTTTACGCAGCTACTACAGAGGACAAGATTCGTTTCGCATACGACAAGGATAATTGAAAATTTCGAGAATAATTCATATCCATTTCCTTTCTCTCTCTCAAAATCCAAACACCGTCTCCTGCCGTCCCATCTGCCCACCCAGCCTAACCCATCTCAACTCCGAATAGACCCAGTGAGTAGTCAGGCAAGCATACATACAGAGAGATAGATACATACTCCAATTCAACCTCCATAAACACCACAATAAGCCTCTCATTGACCCGTTGTAAACACCGTTCCTCAATAGATACAGAGTCCTCCCCACCCAGAAAGATAATTCAGTCGTTCCAACAAAAGAAAAGTGCATATCCCAACTAGATTCCTCAAACTTGCTCGCGCAAATCCTCCTCTCTTTCCTAATCTCAGCTATCAACCTTGAAATTTTTGGAAAAAGAAATTATCCTTCCAACAACCAGAATAAGTATTCTCTCTTCAGCACCAAACGGTAGATGAATGACAAGAAAAAATTGTGACCCCAAAGTAAATGACAAGAAGTGAAGATGCCGCGCGTATGGTATCAATGAAAGAAAATACAGAATCAAAATGCCGCCCGCCAGAATCCCCATGAAATGCATATGATGAATGTGCTTAGGCAAGGTAAGGAAAAGTTATAACAAATCGAAAATTCTGAGATCGAATTATGTTGATTAAGAATGGGCGGAAAGATGGTGAAGAAGAGGTCGAGCGGTGGGTATAACGGGACGTTTCAAACGCCATTTAGTCGTAAATAATAACCGACTTCGTAGTTGAACCGTGAACGTAGAGCAACACGATTGCGTTCCTTTACGTGGCCAGGAAATCCATGCCCATATTATGTGCAATGCTTTGCCAATCCCAACTCCTCTCGTCTTTCTTATCCATAAGGCGCCAAACTTCTTCCAAGACCAACAAAGCGGTATCAGAATTCTTGTATTCAGTATATCGTCTGACTATCGTTATTGCTTTGCGAATAGGCTCTCGCTGGCGTGGTTCGAACGCGGCACAGCCAATAACGAAAGCTGGTGCTAAGATGAGTGTTTGTGAAGGATCGCGAGGAGAGAAGGTTTCGAGAAGTTTGAGCCCGTCATCTACAGCTTGAGTAATACTGGAATTTGGCTCCCATTTGGTAGCCTTTGGTGGATAGATAGTACGCCAAAGATACACCCACATCATTTGCTTGTAGAGCAATCCTGCAAGATCACGAGAGTCCCCTTCGGGCCAGGCAGGTTGCCAATCCCGAATACCGGCATCTATTTCGGCTGCTCGATATAGCGAAGTGAAGTCGACCACAATGTCGGCGCCAGCCTCCATGTTCTCCCGGATTGTGTTGCGTATGTTGGTGATCTTAGACATGTAAACGAACAGACCATCCGAAACACCCAATAGACGGACCGCTGCCGGCTGGAGGACCGTGGAGGGAAGGTTCCAATCGTCTGGGCCAAGAATGCGAGTATCGTCGGTTGGAAGGGCGATCAACTCATCCGCGCAGATATGATACTGAAAGAACTCATGTATGAACTTCAGAAAATCTCCGTTCTCAGGTGGGCTTTCTTCAACGAGCCTTTGGTAATGTTGAAGATGGAATCGGTGTTGTCCGGTAGGTTTTGGATCAGAAAGTGTTTGTAGTACGAGGCATAAAATTTGGCCATAGGTTGCGTTCGTCACAACGTTAGAGTCGCCTTCCTTGTCTACTCGGACCAACTCCTTTACTGCCTCGTCATGATGGTATTGTGATCTTTCTTCAAGGCTTTCTACGTCCACGTTCGGATGTTCTTGCAAGAACTGACGACCATATGAAGAGGCATAATCGATGTGTTTGCCTGAGAGAGCAAGAATGGAATGCATCAGTCCAGTATGATGTAGTGCTATGGGCAGTAACATCTTCTTGAATGCGCTGTTTTGGTCACCCTCTACAGTGAAGATCAAGCTCAGTCGAGTGATGTAGTGCTGGAAAAACATTCTATCACCCTCTGATTCTACTCCATTGATCACGGGAGGCAAACTCATTATAGTTGGCGTTGAATAGCTTCCGGCCCTGCGTAATCGGGCTGTCGATACGGTCAGTTCATCTGCACTGTTCTGGCATGTCATCATGACCATACCTTCTTCTGCCTTCTCCTTACCACTCTTCCATATCGTCTTCTCTGGGTATCCTTCGCACTGCACCGAGTTCTTTTCACAATTCATACCTGTCGCGAACGTCAGCATTTAGGGGAAACAGTAGAGCTAGAAACTCTCACATCCAGGCTTAGCCTCGTCGCACTTCTTCTTACGCTTCCTGCATGTGATACAGCCTGTTTTCGATCTGCCCTTGGTGATCTTCGCTTGTGATTCGGGGGTTGGTTTGGGATGCTTCCGTGGACGACCTCGAGGTCGTTTTGCTTGCGCTGGCGTCGAAGTAGCTGATGGAGTTTCCGGCGGCACGCTCTCCTTCATTTCCAAGTCTGCCATGTTTATATCCTCGTCCTCCATTGGCTCTAGCTTGGGAACCACGGCGACATCGTCTTCTTGCACCCAGCTCACATCTCCATCGTCGTCTTCCTCTTCCACATAACCACCGCCGCCCGACGAGCTCCACGGGTCCGTACATGAGGAGGCTGCAGAAGTGATCATGGTGAAGGCTGATGTTGCCGACTCGGAGCCGTCTATGCTACCTCTGGAGTCTATCACAGAAATCTCAAACGAGTCGTACATCCTTTTCCCAAACGAATCTCGTCGCTCCTCCGCGCCAGCCCTTCGTCGCAGTGGTTCGCGAAACTGACGGGGAATGCAGGCGGTGGAAATTCGTGGTCGCACTGGAGTTTGCTGCACCACCTCAACCTCCTCCTCAATGATGTCTGAGCCAGGTGTTGTAGTGGGGGACCAGGAAGTTCCGGGATCGCCTATCAAGCACTGTTGATCCATTGTAATCCTCCCAAACACAAGACTGCTAACACGACGAAATGGCCAACATCCGCATACGCTTCCTGAACCGTTCTGAACCGGGAGAGGAGGGGGGTCGTAGAGAGAGAAGAGGAAAGGTGAAAGATGAAAGCCAGAAAGGCTGCCGGAGTTCACGATGTATATCGGTCCAGTCAACGAAGTCGGTTCGGGGGTGTTCGCAGGGTTTATGGGAAGCCGTGCACGCTGCTCTTGGCTGGCTCGTACTCAATAGATTAAACCTGTTTAGGAAGTATCTTTTGCTTCAGTCGAGAGAGACAGGGGCGCGCATTAGCTTTCCTCCGACTTGCAGCAGCTCTCAGTCTCCAGGAGCCCAGGGGGTTGAAGCTCTTTTCGAATTTAGCTGCATTAGAGTCTTGGACGGCGCTGCAGATGGCTGGATTATATTGCCGGGCGAGCACCACTCATCGGCTTCAGTCCCTGAGTCGCGGCCTGCTTGGGTTTGGAGGTGACGAAAGTCGCTGTGCTTCTGGATGCAGGAGCAGTTGGGCGAACTAGGATGTCGGCCTGCTTGAGAGTCGAGTGAAGCTGGGCTGGCCACGAAACATACCGTTACATACGCAGTACGCAGTATGCAGTACAGCAGAGCAGAGACTGTAATACTTGTCAAAAAACTATAGCAGCTTTGAACGGGGTCAGGGTTTGGATCTTGCGGGCTCTTGCGGGCACATCACACCAAGATCGGGCCCGTGGTGTCCGTCTACTTGACATGCTCCCGCTGTCTACGCCTGGGGCGTTAATTGGTTCAGCGCGGATGGCAGAGTCGGAGTGGGAATCATCGCTGGTGGCTTCACGACGTTGCTGACAACCGCGTCAAATGAGATTCGCAAAAGCATGAAGGGACCATCGGCCCTGGGAGACGCATTCCTTCACGAACCTGAATGATCATACCTACCCAACATGTGCAACTTGCAATCACAGCACTGTTGACTAGCAACAAGTGAAATCAACGGAGAGTTCCGCTGCCAGTTTCATGGAGGATACGATTCATGCTGAGTGCATCTCCAGTATTTCGTGGCTCTCGCTGAGTGAGAGACTGAACCTTGTATCACCAGGATATCCACGAATTGAAGGCGTGGGATTTTGACATGCGGTTTGCTCCAGACCAACCCATGAGGCTGGAGAATCGAGATGCTGGACATGCGTTGGAAAAGCACGGCAACGGAACGAATTGCACCTCCTCTTGACTCCTGACCTCTTCAACACTTGAGCTTATGGCAATGAAGTAGCGACTAGGCTTGATGTCGCACCGCGTGATGGCAGTTAGGCATTCTTGTGCCACCAAACAGTCGCGCATTACAGCAGCATTTAATTGTAGCGCAAATGGGCGATTCTCGCTTCCTGCAGCAGTGCCCATAGATTGACTGCTCCGGAGCAACCTAGTGATTGAAGAGCGACAGAACGGCTAAACAGCATCAAACATCGAGGACCATGTTGCGTACTCTGTATATCTTGGGTGCTTCAAAGTTCAACGCATCAATGAACCCCACGCTCAGCACCAGAAAGACGTCACTTTCGTTGACCCAGCTTGGTTTCCAGTGCTTAGCGGGCCCATAACCCACTCAGCTAGTGTGTATTGAAGTATTCGGAGTTTGATAGCCGAATTAGATGAAGTAGAGTAGACTGTGGATTCAGTTCCTAGTGTGGAGGACGATAACGAAAGCAATTCAGACCGCAAAGTCCCTGCTTACAGTAGCTTAATCAGTTGTCGGTAAAGCGACGATCATCCGAATTGTGGGTAACCGCCATCTAAAGAAGAAGGTTTCCGACATAATAATAAAAGTTAATAAAGCTTTTCGACAAATGAACGTGTATCTTGCGATATTCCTCCATTTCCTCCCCTAATTATACCATTATAGCAACCGCATTACTCACCGCACCAGACACCTTGGAATGCCGAGTAGGGTGGTGAGGAAAGACGTGCTAGTACGAGGGGCATTGAAGACGCGTGGTGTTCTATAACCCTCTTGTTTATCCTGTCCTATAGACTCCTCCTCCTGGGAAATTGTGGCTACTGCTGTGATGAGAGGTTAGCTAGGTAGAGGCGACATCTCACGTATCTCAAGAGTACAATGGCGTTTCGTTTCCTAGCCTTTGGGTTCTTCGATGCTCATATCCCTGAAGCCCAAGCTTCATATTTGTGCTCATGCCTCGATGCCCCGCGAAGAGAATGCGCCTCATGAGTTTCAGTGTATTTTAGGTTGTGTAAGCTTGTGCCGCAGAGCATCTCGAGCCCAGGACGACTGGCTTCCGATGGAAATCATTGGGATTGGATAAATAAACACCCCCTGCCGTACGAGACTGACAGAAGATTCGCTCACATAAATAATGCTTGCTAAAGAAATTCGTGATTGAGTTTAGTATAGACTTGTCAGTTCGCAGGGCTATCCTGAGCCCTGTGTGAAATTCCCCGTAGCGTTCTTTTCCCATCGACAAGCACCCAGTGTCTCGCAAGCATGGCCGGAAAAAGCAAAATTATAGAGGGTCTTGATCGTGGTTGAGCCTCAGAAGTTGGAATCGTAGAGAAATTGTAGATGCCTTGAAACATCGAAGTGCTCATAATTATGAGAACTGTCTGGTTGGTTTACCAGCTATCACAAATCTCAAGGGTGAAAAATGACGGTAAAGTAGAGTAGCAATCATGGACGGAACCGGTAGTCAGCAAAGCATGATGATTTGACGCCCAAAAAACAATTGCCAACATCAGCCCGGTGGTCTGGGATTAAATTGAGTGTCTCATTGGTCCCCATGCCAAATGTTGTTACGCAGTTGAAGATGCCCTGCACAAATGTCGTCTTTGCCTCGAACTAACGACCATTACCGTTTGAAATACAATATCGTAAGATGCAACGTTGGTACATGGCCTGCTGTTATGCATGAAGTTGCTGCTTGGTGACTATTTGTACATCGGAATCTGTCTATTTAGTCACAAACCCGCGAGCTTCAACTTCATGCTTGCTTGCGAATCCTTCGAAACAAAGCTGCACTTTCATAATCTTTGGACAAGATAAGTCCATCTGCGTGTTACCGTTACACCAGCTGTCAAACGATAGTACTTAGGTTCCTGTACGACAAGTTGTCAAGCACAACGACTCTTCGAGCGAAACATGCTGAGCAGTTGTATCCACTTTCCTCCCCCAAGCAGTGACGATCGACAGATTCAGGGCTCGCGTATTCCCGCAACTCCAACATTGAACGTGCTCTTTCGTCTCTTACAGGAAGAGCCCGCGCCACTGGCTAAAACCGTGAGGCCCGAGCCATAGTGGAGAGTGATGGCTAGCAAGAATAATGTGATACAATTCAAGTAGATATCTCTCATGATACTCGTACAACACTGATGGAAAAACATCACTTCAATATTCTGCATTGAGGCTTCACTCCCACACGCTTTTGGCATGGCGAGCCTGCATCCCAGTCAAGCCATCTCTGCCGTTGGGATTTACCACCCTAGGGCGAGAAGCAATTCCTCCAGTGACGAGGCATCCACATACGCCTCGTTCGGAATCTTTCACCGACAACAAAACGGATTGGGTATCCCGAGCCCACCGTGAGTGTTACGCAGAAGACTGATTGAACGAAGGAAGACGTAGTGTATCCCCAAGTCAATATTTTGCCGGCTTAGAGGATGGTCATTGACATCAGCCTGTCCGGACTTTGTTGATGGATTCCTCAAAGTCCGGATGAAAGCACTTTGGGAAGTCGTCTTGATTGTAAGCAGCTCCCAGGCTTCTATTCTGATATATCTATGGCCGTCCAAGCCGGTTGGCATTGGACCGAGCCGTCTGACAGAAGTACGTACTGTTGAGATTTGTGTAACTGTCGGCCACACCCTCAGAAAATTGCGGCCCGCCGTCGAGTGGTGCTGAACACGAGGGATGGGTGATTTATAACGAACCAACAATCTCCTTATATTGACCATGTGACGGCAGCTGGCATTCACAAATCGTGAGTATGTTTACAAACATTCATACCATGGACACCCATTTTCGGAGCATGAAACTGGTGTGCCACGCTATCAGCAAACCCAAGTGCCATGCTTTCAGAAACGTCCGAGATACCCACGATACCTATGTCCCTTCACACCCCAGTGGTGGTTCTCCAGATCTGATTCGAGTTCTGAGGTTGTTCGACCTGGCATCTGCATCTTGCAACCAGGGTACTTTTTCGAGGCAGCACGCCCTGCTCGTCCATACTCGGCACTGCTGGAGCTGTGCCCAACGACTCATGCATGGCGTTCCATGTTCGCGCGCCTGCAGATGTGAGATAGATGGTGTTGACGAGAGATTATTGGAAGCAATAGTCATGACCTGGTCCCTCTTACAGGACTATGCTTGATTAGCAAAGATTCTGTGTAGCGTCATGTAGCTGTTTCCAGATGTATCTTAGTTCTAGACCTGCCCACCTGCCCCGCACTGCCCAAAATAATGGCGAGCAGCAGATCAGCACAGGCCTGGGGTCGAGAGATCGCCGGGTCGATCCCTCGATTCCACACACGCGCAGTGGGGTAAGAGGGAACTTCTTGGGTCCCTCTTTTGTCCTTCTAGATGGACATTGTTATATGATTATGGAGAGCGGTCCACCCTCAAACGTTAAACCATCGAAAGCCAGAACACCGCTACGTATACTACTGTATGGAAGCCCGAACTGGAGTATGCCAAGCTCCGCTCGCCCTTGTCCGTATCGATTCCATTGCGCTCAAGCGCAGCAAAGGCGGCTGGTTTGGTTGTGCGAAAGACTGGTTCTCGGATCCAGCCGACAAATTGTTGGTAAATGTATTTTCGGTGATTGAAGATGGCTGCACGAATGTCTTACGATATCACTTCCTTGGCTGGCGGGTTGCTTCATCAAACACGAATCATGTATGGGCTCGATGTGACGGGAAGCGCCTCTAACATTGGACTGTTGGAACAGTTGGACGAGAAGCTTGCGCATGTAAGATACTTCAGTGGGTTGTTTAGTGCGAACAGTTTCCTGTATCTACGGGAAATCGCCGGACCCCTCCAGACACCATTCCTAAAATCCTATTCCGACAACCTCTTGCGATGTCCATTATAACTTCATCAGCCGCAAAATGACAGGAGCGTGACAGTTTCAAGAACTACAGATGTTTGTCGGGCTGTATCTCATGACCGGCTGGTCTCTTGGTTCTTGTTCCTTGGATATTGCTGACCACCATTGATGACAAGGTAATCATTTGACTGGTTCATAGTGCAACCGGTGTAGTAAGTCCCGAAACTAATCAACAAGAAATAAAGAGGTTGCCATCCACAAATAGATGGTGTACAAGGGCTTTCATGACTCAACCTAACCGTTGAGATATAGATCTTCGCCGCATACGGTGACAATCATGTGATCCACTCATTGATTGGATTGGACTCGAAGAGCATCTATCTCTCTTTGCAGAGCGGTCAGATCTGCTAATATATCATGCCCTACTGGTTCTTCTCCCACCGGATTCACCGTCGATACGGAGGAGGCACGCGAATCGCGTAGGGTAGCTTTTGGACTTGGTTGAACTTGTTCACCGCAATGTTGATAGGACTTTTCGGGGGTTTGTTCATCTAGGCTATTGCGTGCACGAGGTGGAGGTGGTGGGGGAATGACGGAGAGGCGCTTACTGTTGGTAGCTATTTCTAAGCTACGGATAGAAGATGGTCTACCTGTAGACGACTTCCTCGACAGACGTCGAGCTGGTGGAGGAGCAGGAAGGGACGTCGTGGACGCAGAAGGCGAGGGTGAAAGGTGTGATGAAGCACGACGTATAGATGCAGGCCGTCTGGATGGGGGCGGCGGTGGGGCTCTACCGCTATTAGAGCGAGGCCTGCCATCTTCCTGCTCTTCAGAATTTGCCCTTTCGTCCTCTTCAACATTTGGGGAGAGCCTGCCTGAATTGCTCCGACTTAGCTTGGAATCTGAGATGAGATGACTATGCCTCCGCGTCACTGGCGGTGGTAGAGGCATTTTTTCTCTTCTCACCGGTTCTGATGGAGAGGGAGGCTCTGGTGTTTTCCCAGCAGATTCTTTGTCAAATACTGACTCACGGTCACTGTCATGACTGCGCCGACTTGGTGCCGGAGGAAGTGGCTTGTTGAGGTCAGTCTGTGATGGTGTTGATGGCACTGAACTTGAGCCAATCTGATGTAACCCGGGACCCTTAATCGACGGAGATTCGATACCAGATTTATTTGAAGGATGGTCGTCTCTTAATTCAACCCTGATCAATCTGCCATGTCGTGAGCTCGGTGGAGGAGGCTTCTTTCTACTACTAGACCTCGAGAGATGACTATCAACGGTTGAACCCCGGACATCCTCTTCTCGGTCCGATATTTCATGTGATGTACGAGGTGATTCAGTATGAACCTCATGTGGTCCCTCAAAGATTGACTGTCTTGATATTGAAGATGTATCCGTGCTACTCGCAGCATCACCCAGAACATGATGAGCTGTGTGGGCCGGAACTGGCGGGGGAGAGGCAGGTGTCCCTAATCCTGCATTTCCTGTCATCAATAACCTCTTGAAAGCCTCCACATCCATCGGTGCCCTTCCAGGGCTCCCAATGACTGATATTCCTGGGCCTTCGCTCTCGGACGGTTCTATGGTTGCTAATGTCTTCGCGAATGGATTGGCCGGAACCTGCCTCCATGTATCTGCGACATCTTCTTCAGAGCTATGCGAGAGATTGCTGTCAAATGGATCATCTCCGCCACGTATTGTTTCTGTGGCCAAAGTGGAATACCCTGCTGGTCTTTCTTCTTTGATGGGCGAGGAATGAGGTGATGGAGGTGGAGGAGATTGGACTCGAACTTTTTTGCCAGCTCTTTTTGACGAGCCTGATGGGTCGGCAATTGAGGAGGATCGTATGGGGACGTTTTCGTAGGAAATCTGAAGGGAATCTGGATCAGGCGTGTTCGTTGGAGGAAGAGGGGAGGGAATGGCGGGGGTTTTTCTTCTGAACGGATTTGACGATGCTAAGTCTGCAGACATTGTAGCAACTAGGACATTTGGAACTGTAACAATGCTCCGTAGTACCCGCTAGAGAGAGCTCGTGGTTCTTTCATTCATTGTACAATTTTCTGGAGTTGTCATCCGGAGAGTACGGTACGAGGACGAGGTATGTGGTTAAGCTTATCGAGATGGTCTGTGCGCTTTGACAACGAACAATTCGAGGGTCTCATTGTTTCGGTCATGGCTTCGAAATCTTGGGATTACTGTACATGTATTTTTCAAGGAACTGCCTATGGATAGGTGTATTTAATTCGTATTAGGCAAATTGGAATCCCGAAATTAAGCTCCTGGGAATCTTCCAAAGAGTATAGATTAAGTGAACCACCTGCTACTCACTGGCATTTACATATTAGAAACGCCCCTTGTCTCAATGAGAGTAGAGTTATACTATTCCGGATCATGTTTAAAATAAGTTTCTATGGCTCAACAGCCGAAAACCACAGGAGTCATCAAAATTAATTTGAAACATAGTTACAGCATCAATATAACAAGTCCCCTCACTCTCCAAAATACCTTTTGGCCCATGGGACTCCAAAGCTCCTGGTCAAGTTAGAGGTTGAAACACCGCTTTTGTCGATTTCAATGCCGCATATAAACTTTTGCCGAACCAGATCAGCTAAAATACTTGCAATCCCATTTCGGCGATGCTTCTCACGGACCCAAATCCGATCAAGAACGACCTTTTTCTGCCCCGTCGGTAAACCCTCCGTTTGGACCAACATGCCTTCCTTATAGCTTTCAGCTAAAATGACTCCTGCAACTTCTACCCCGACATAATATATGAAGACCTTGAAGGGACCAACCAGCACCGAAATTGGTCGATTCTGTGATTTTCTGACGCCACCGCCCCAGAGTTCCTCGGGAGAGTAGCAAAGCCCCGGCAGTTCATTGTAGACGTGTTCCATTATGCTAACGGCCGTTTCTTTTGAAGCTTGAGATGATGAGCAGGTAATCATTCGTATCCTATGATGCGCCGCTTGAACCATCCTCTCCCACACGAACTCATTCTTCCTCCTTGCCTCCTCCTTGCTCAGGAGCGGACATCCATGTGAAGCGCAAAAGATCTCATGGTCTCGGCGATCCGCTTCGACAGCGGAATTGTAGACCATCTGACAGTTTTTGCAAACAATCTCGGAAGTCTGGCCCAAGTCGAGGTGGGTTTGCTGTAGCTTTTTCGCATTCTTGCGCCTAGGGTTGACTGCTTGTTGACTCGCTATAGCGTCTACGGGCGAACTGGCTGCGCACTGGACAATCGACGGCCCACTCCTGCCTTCGTTGGACACTGAGGATATCCGCTTGACGTCTAAAATTGCCTGCCTTTCAGCGCTCAAGTCGGAAGAAGCTACATATCCGGTAGTCTGACTAGTCGGCGCCGCAAGTCCTCCACTGACTTCCGAAGAATGCGCATTTAAGTAGGTATGTAGGCCAGTCTTAGTAATAAGTCTTCTTCGAGGACGACACTGGGATGACTCCGATAATTGTTCGTTTTCTAGTTCTTGTTTATCAACCGGGGGCGATGACGGTGGAGTGTAGTTTTCTGACTCGGTCGTCTTACACGACTCTGTCAATATCTTGGATGATGAACTCAGGGATCGCGAAAGTGGTTTGAAGTAATTTTTTATGTTTATTTGACTGTGGGACGTCAAAGCAGTTGCTTGCCTTTTCTGCGACGATGGGCGAGGCTTTGGTGTTGGAGGTAGTTGATTACATTTGGAAGTGTCCAAACAAGAAGTCAATACGCCTTGCGATGTGAGCTCCGGCGAGGACCCCGCTGCAATTTGAGAATCGATACTTGTTTCCTCAATTCCATCTTTTAACGTGCATTGTCTTCCACGGCTTCTAGATTGTCTTACTAGTGGTGGAAGTTCAAATGATGGTTCAGGTAACGATTGCGCGGGGGGTTCCCTCAACCACGTGCCTGTATTCTCGTCGCGTCCACTTTGGTTTGGTGATCGATGCGTATCCCGTATTTCTGGAATATGTGTTTCTGCATCGTCGAGCGAGTGGGATGTATTTGCGACAGTACGGGTTTGTGAAGCGCTGCTGATGCGGCTTCTCTTTGCGGGAGGTCGCTGTTCAGTGCTGTTGACGCGTTTTGAGTATGTTCTTGACACAAGAGCTCTGTCATGATTGTCAGCAGTGTGGAGCATACATGTGAGATGTGAATGGCATATACCTGCGCCTTTTCCTGGCCGCGGCTATCTCAGGCGAGTGGCCTATGATACTAGTCATAATTGCTTCATCGATGTTGTGGTTCGTTCGTCTCTACGAAGAATTGTAAAATGTTGAGCGACGCGTCGAGGCGATAACCGATTTCAAATGTGGATACACGCAATCACATGACATCCCATCAACCCCTCATCCACCACCAAACCAAACCATTTTGGAAAGTTCTAATTTGAAGTCTCGCTAGTCAAAACTAAATGGTCCAGCAAGAGAAACCTGCGTTACAAATCCCTTCTCGTGTCATGTCCTTGGCCTGAAAACGGGTAATAACTCTGCCGCTATCATATTTTGGTCTACGACTCTACCAACTCCTAGGCACGTTCTGCTAGAGTTCAAGCTAGATCATGAGCCATTAGGATGAAAATATTGTGTTCAAGAGGGGAGAGCCAGTCTCCAAGGACTTCTAGATGTTGAGGAAAAGACATGCAATAGCTTTAGAATCAAGGTAGAAACGTTGATTTGGCGAAAGCAGACTGCAATTCATTTAACCTCTTCTAAGCCCAGCCAGAATTTTGTTTCTTGATAATGGCATATATTTAGACGACTCACGAGAAGTAGTCGAAAAGTGTGTAGGAGGAGTTGCCTGCCGTCTAATCCGGCCTGCCTATAGTTACTTCGCCACTTATTGTAATCAGCCTTAAATATGGAACGTCGCATAAACTATTACCACTTCGTAAAGTCCGCTCAAAAGCTAGAGTTTTGACAAATCCTTAAGGGTACCTTAATAATACTTAGTCAATGTAGGTAGCCTAGGTGTGTTCCACCATTTCGTCATCTGCATACCTACCCCACCATTCCCTGGCGCAATTCTTCCCAAGTCCAGATAAATTTCCCTCCGAGAGAATCATAACCAAAAGGCATCAATCAAAATCAATATACATTTATTTTACATTAGCAATAATGGCACCAAAAATCTTTCTGTACGTACAACTTCCACTTCTAATTCGTATGTGGTATACGTAACTGACTCGTGACGCGTTGTAGAACAGGCGCAACCGGTTACCTTGGGGGAGATATTCTCTTCGCTTTGAATAAGGCGCATCCCGACTATGAAATTTCAGCACTGGTGAGGAACTCAGAAAAGGGAGCTCCAGTAGCAGCGGCTTTCCCAAAGACACGACTTGTATATGGGGGTCTTGACGATTCTCAGCTGATCGAGGACGAAGCTGCCAGAGCTGATATTGTAATTCGTAAGATATTCTCATCATGTACTATGTAATTGCTGACTCAATTTGTAGATACTGCGGATGCATCTGACCATAAAGGTGCTGCAGAAGCAATCGCAAGAGGAATTGCGAAAGGCCACTCGAAAGAGAACCCTGGTTTCTGGCTGCACATTTCAGGCACAGGAATCCTGACTTGGGATGATTCAAGAACGGAGACATACGGAGAGCCTCCATACACAAAACCTTACGATGATCTGGAAAGAGTGTCTGATCTCACCAATCTTCCTGATGATGCATTCCACCGCGATGTGGACAAGGTTGTCTTAGAAGCAGCATCAGATGTTGTCAAGACTGCTATTATCTGCCCTCCAACGATTTATGGAGAAGGAAGAGGACCAGGAAACAAGCGAAGCAGACAGGTTTATGTTCTTGTCGAGAGTACTCTTAAGAACGGACAAGCTCCACAGCTTGGAAGAGGTCTTACTGAGTGGGACAACGTTAATGTCCACGACCTATCAGATCTATTTGTCCTTGCAACTGAAGCTGCAGTAAAAAACAAGTCTGATGTGGATGACAAGCTATGGGGTAAAGAAGGATATTACCTTGCCGAGAACGGACATCATGTCTGGGGTGAGATTTCCAAATTGGTCGGAAAGACGGCATTCGAAAAAGGTTATATCAAGGAGAAGGAAGCTAAGGCAATGGACGTCGAAGAAGCCAAGAAAGTTGCCGGCTTTGAGGCGCTCTCCTGGGGTTTGAACTCAAAGGGTTTTGCTAAGAGAGCTAGGAAATACTTGGGTTGGAGTCCAAAGGGAACAAGTCTCGAGGAGGAGATTCCTAACATTGTTGAGGGCGAAGCTAAGAGACTTGGTATTAAAAAAGGACATGCTGAAATTGCGTCTGGCAAGGCATGATGGTCGTGTTAAGTGTTAAGTTTTAAAGCTGCTGGTTGAGGCAGAAAGCGATGGACAAATAGATGTATTTGTTCCTCGAACAGGCCTCCAAGCTCTTGCATGAATATCTCTCATTTATTGATGCAGTGAAATGGACCATCTCTCGGTAAATACATGGCCAAGTTGTGACCCTAACATGCAATCACAGGGCGTGAAAGGCGCCGTGTCAGCTCTCCTGATTGGGGATCAGCATGCCCCGCCTCCACTTTGACATCTCGATCTACCACCACATCACTTAACGAAGATTGGGAATCCTGAATCCATTTATTCAAGGCTTCTTGTTGGGACGAAGCTGCTGAAAAGCCTTCGATAATTTGCAATCTACCTTTGCAGCCATGTAGCGACGCCCTTCAAAGTCTTGAAGTAGGTAGGTGAATCGTTCATGAGGTTTCAATTCTCCGACGTGAGTGGGACAGACTTTAAGTCAACTGCTCTTATGAAGTACAAAGTATATAAGTGGTGCAAACATTTCCTCAACCAAGTTGAGTTTCCAACACAACAAACATTCCTCCAAAGCCCAAACAACATTCATCACACCAGCTGAAGTCAACCTCGCCATGAAGCTCAACATGGATTCTTCATTTGAAAATCCAGCGGTCTACCTCTCAGGGCCGGGTCAAGCCAGCATCAAGGAATCTCCGCTTCCAAATATTACAGATTCTCACTCTGTAATTCTCAAAATTGCCTATGTAGGCGTTTGCGGAAGCGATGTATACCTCAATCCCTTCTCGTCAATGAATCAATCAGCTAACCATTCCAGGTCCACTTCTGGAAACATGGCGGTATCATAAACAAAGTTTCTGAGGCCAATCCTTTGATTATGGGTCACGAGGCTTCCGGCGTCGTTCATTCCATTGGATCAGCAGTAACAACTCTGAAAGTAGGAGATCGAGTTGCCATCGAGCCCGGTCGTCCTTGTCGTCGTTGCAAACCATGTAAAGCGGGACGTTATAACCTCTGTCCTTCTATGAAGTTTGCAGCCGATCCACCAGATTCACACGGCACGTTAAGGAAGTTTTATGAGATTCCAGAGGATTTCTGTTATGTTCTTCCCCCGGATATGGGATTAGACGAAGGGGTGTTGGTGGAACCAACTGCTGTAGCGGTTCATGCTTGCAGACTTGCGGAAGTGAAAGTCGGCATAGATGTCGTCATCTTTGGAGCCGGGACAGTAGGATTACTCTGTGCAGCTGTTGCAAAGGCGATGGGTGCAAGAAAGGTTGTGAGTGTGGATGTTAATGAATCCCGTCTAGAGTTTGCTCGGGGTTTCGCTTCTACGGACACCTTCCTACCTGGAAGCGGGGATACGGCCGGAACTATTGCTACTCAGCTAAACACTGCTTATTTCACAAAGGGTGCAGATCTGGTTTTGGAAGCTACTGGTGTTGAATCTTGCATCGGTGCTGGTATTCAAGTTCTTAAGCGAGGTGGGACTTACGTCCAAGTCGGTCTTGGTAAACAAAGGATCCAGTTTCCGATTGTTAGTTTGAGTGAGAAAGAGATTAATATGAAAGGATGTTTTAGGTACAATGCTGGTGACTACGATCTGGCTTTGCATTTGCTTGGGGGAGGAAAAGTCAGGGTAAAGGATTTGATCACTTCGGTGAAAGTATTCGAGGATGTCACTGAGGCGTGGGAAACCACTGCTCGAGGAGAGGGAATAAAGACTCTTATCAGAGTTGGAGGTGTATAGGTATCATTACTTGCAGGACCTTGTAGTCAAATTATTAGTATGGAATTCGATTTCGGCTCTGGACAAGTCGATTCCAATATAAAGTACGAGTTTTATACATTGCGTTACAAGGGAGTTTAGAAGTCAAAGTTTCCACCTCCGTTTCATTTCCATCAACTGCAATCATGAGCCATCAAATCATCTAGAGATCGACAGCACTAACGCACAACATACCCGCGAATCCCGCCCGATACATGGCCCGCTTGATGCAATGCAACCCTTTGTCGTACCCCTCTTCACAACCACAACTTCAGAAGCCTTTCCCTCTGGGTAACCCGTTGACATCGACGTTATATAATGCCACTTAGCTCCCACCCAATATCCCAATAGATTTAAGACATTAAACGAGAAAGTGAACATACCAAAACATATCGAAATGGAAAACCCAAGGCCGCCTCCCCTCGCTACAGCCCAACTATTCTCTCTCCAAAACAGAACAATTTTAAGTATAATTATTTGAGCTCTCTCTCAAGTAGTAAACGTCAAACCTAATAATTTGTAGTAACAGGCGGACTTGGAGCCATCGGGACATCAATCACACAAGCGATAATGGAATCGGGAGGAGACGTAATATGTATCGATCTCCCTACTGAACCGAACACTGGTACTTCGCCCACGATCTTCAAAGATAAACGTGATCTGATATTCAGGTATAGATATATTTGTCGAAATCTCAAAAACCACAGGCCAAAAATGGAGTTACCACAGTCTAGACGTCACCGACAGCATCGCCGTCCAAAAAACAATCGACGATGAAATATCTAACCTCCGTCCCTCTCACCCTCTTCGTGGCGTCGGTACATCCCTCTCTCACCCTCTTCAATTTTCGAAAGCCTAACACCCCACAGTAACAACAGCAGGTATATCCGGCGGCGCACCCGCAGAAACATATCCCCTCGACAAATTCAAGCAAATCCTAGACATAAACGTGCTAGGGACATTTAATGTCGTACAGGCGGTAGGGAGATACATGTTAGAGAATAAATTAGGGGGAAGTGTAGTTATGATTGCTAGTATGAGTGGGAGTGTGGCTAATAAGGTGAGATCCCAATTCTTCGTGAGGTGAGGTATAACATGTTAACTGAGTTTCAGGGCGTCAAAACCGCAGCCTATAACACCTCTAAATCAGCAATTCTACAACTAGCTCGTTCTCTGGCCGCTGAATGGGGGAATCCTTCACCAAGCACAACCTCTCCCGCGCCACCTATCCGTGTCAATTCGCTCTCCCCAGGGTACATCCACACAGCTCTCAGCGAAGAATCCATGAACCATCCGGAAACCCGCGAGGTTTGGTTGTCCGGTAGCATGCTTGGGAGATTCTCATGGGCAGAGGAGTATCGTGGTCCTGTGCTCTTCTTATTGGGAGAGGCAAGTAGATTTATGACGGGCGCGGATTTGAGAGTTGATGGGGGTCATTGTGCTTGGTGATGTTTGGAGACGAGTTTGTGTCTGATATGTTTGGTATGAGGATAGAATAATAATATGGAAAACTAAACTGTGACAGGGCATCCGGAAGTTTAGTCGTGAGTGACCGTCGTGATGTCTGGTACCTCGATATGTAGAAGACTCGCCGGGGCTGTGAGAAGACCAGATGAAGAAGTGCATGCTGTTCCGTTGATCACCTCAGAGAGACCTTGAGATTTGAAGGGTAGGAATTTAACACAAGAAAGAAAAACAATTGATTGATTCTGGATGAGTGACCTCACCAATACTTCGATTGGCAATATATGTACAGCCCTTTCCTTCCCCCGCAGTCCAGTATTTCACCCAAAGCCCAGCTTGCGACTACATCACCATCTCCCTGCCCACGTATCTATTTCGTGACATTTTGTGGTGTAACAGCGAACGTTGGTCGTACATATCTATACAATACAAATTAGCATCAGGACGTCAAATATAGTACCAATAAACCCTCTAATCTCAATCATAGGCCTTTCTGACCCAATCCGCCAACATCCAATATACACCATCCACCATCCACGAATGCCCCAGCAGGACAGTGAAGAGTACACACCGATCAGAATTATAAGCACTAGTCTTGCTCCCCAACAACTTCTGCTCCCTCTCCAAATCCGCATAATGTCTCCTCGCCAAATCACGGTCTTCTTCCGCGGTCAACATTGGAATCAGGTAGATTCTCGACCACATCTTTTCGCGCGCGAGCTCGCTATTTCCAGGTTAGTTAGTCAGACACAACCAGCAGAAGTCCTGCGAGGACGTGGAATCGTACTTGTGCTCTCTAATTCCCTTTCCAAGTTTCCAGAATCCGAATGTCATGATACCGGCGACGCCAAAGAGGAGATATGCTGGTCTAAACCCGCGGGCGGGAAGATTTCTCTGTTTGCGGAGGCTTGTTAGCTTTGCATTCTCTCGACCCTGCCTTAAATCTAGAATAAAGCTGCGTCGTGTGCCGTGGGTAATTGGGATCGAGATGGTGTCGTCGTCGCATGGATTATCTTAAGGCTCCGAATTCCAATTGACCACACATCGCCCTTTTTCGCGTCCTCAAAACTCTTGCCCCAAAGTTTACAGTCTCCGTCCGCTTCTTGTCCCTCCCAGTCTCTCTCAGCCTCCTCTTCAATAGCCTCCGGTCGCATCCCCTCATTGTGTTTCCACTCCAGCCGCGCGATTCTAGTAGAGGAAACTCTCACGTACCTTATACTGAACGGGCCCATAGCCGCCAGAAGGAGGTAAATCTTGCGCCATCTTTTCAAATCGTGTAGGGTGGTCAATTGGTGGTTATGTTTGTCCCTCCGTGTTCTAAACGTAGTTGCACGAGCTTGGGGTTGAAGGCGGTGAGTACAGATGTCAGAGTCTAACTTGGTACGGTCATTTTGCCAATGCAGGTTGGCTCGCAGAGGACAAAATAACGGCAGTCGAAACACGATATTGATTCGATTATGTTGACGAAATATCGTTATTTAGTGGATTGACCTAGGCCAATATTACATATTTAGTCAATTATTTTGAGTAAATAAGATTTTTTAAGCTTACTCGAAGTCGACACATCCAGTCTAAGATTAGTGGACAGGTGACTGACATCTATTCCGTCCTCCGCGATATGGGTCAAGAATACTTAGTGTTAGGCGCGTCTAGGGTAGTCCTACTTCTTTAGTATTTATAGTCTAGCTTTAGTAGGTAGGGGACACATATCTCTCGTTAGATAAGATAAGTAGTAGTCGAAGTACGATTTACTTAGAGTAGTTAGTACAATTGAGAATTATTTTTAATTATTTTATGTAAATGTAATATTCTTTAATTCTATTTAAGATAAAGTTGTTATTTAAGCTAGTATATATACTTTACGTTTATAGAACAGTGAGGTGGTTCTGCCATCTATCTTGTCCACTACGAGGTTGGCCTAAAGTTTTACGGTATTTGCTTTCTCCAAGGTCTCGAGAATTGCAGATAGACTTGTATATCACATCGATGAATTATTAGAAGCATTAAATACACGATCAGGAGGGCACACCGTAAAGTATCAAAATGCTCTTCTTTATATTCTCCACCACCAGATTCCCAACGCCAAAGCTATGCAAAGCCGCTCCAATACCAAACCAAACCCCTCCCATGTCACCTTCCAAACGACATCATGTAGAAAACACATTTCAAATCTGGAAACCTGTCAAATGAATTCCAAAAACCCCGTCGCGCCTTTCCCATGCCGGAGTGGATATAGCAAGGGGAATATGCAAGCAAGAATAAATGCATCTAATCTTTCCACCCATCTTGGCCTCCAAACCACCGAAATCGCATCGCTAAAGAATAGGAGAAGAGCAGAGGAAGGACTCTTATGAATAGGTTAGAGTCAGAAGGAGGTCAGCCACCACCACCGGCTTCTCCATTAGCCCTTTCCTCTGCCTCTTCTTCAGCTTCCCCTCGTTCTAACTCTTCCATTAATTCCCTTTCAAGATCATCGTCGAAATCTTCATCATCGCCGTCATCTCCGTTTTCCTGATTTGAGCTCTTGTTAAGCTCTCCGTCGACCGTGTCGCCTGGTGTAGGGAGACTACTTGCTTCGCTGTTTGGTGTCTTGACCGTCTTGAGCCCAGTGGTACGATTGTTAGCTATACGTTGCTTCTTAGCCAACGTGCTTTCCTCATCGCTATCTTCTTCCTCACCGTCTTGATTTGAGGAATATTTGCGTTTATCTCCTGTTTTGGCACTTCGTTGACTGCTATTGCTAGTCTCGCTACCCGTTTCACTGACGTTGTCAGAATCCGACTCGCCGTCCATAAATTCAGCGAGCTCATCATCAACTCCTCCCCAATCGAAAGTTTGTAGGTTGTCTACAGGAGATTTTCCTTCCTCGTATTCTTCGGGCATGACGTTCTCTAGATCTGTCATCTCCTCTTGGCTAGCAGGTATACTGGCAGTCTCTTCGTCACTTCCACTCTCTTCATCCATTTCACTGTCATCAGTGTCATGAGGCTCCGATGGTGGACTTGATCCAGGTTCATTTGGTCCCCGATTACGATCGGCATCAGAAACATGTACCTATCAGAAATTAGGAAACGGTCATCACAGTCACCACATCACCGCACTCACAAGGTAGGGCTCCTCGTCCTCTTTTTGCCATTTGCTCATGGAATTCAAGAGCCATTGCTGATTGACGATCTTGATCTTTTCGCGCCTCGCAGCTTGCTTTACTTTTGTCGTACGAGTACGGCTTGTTGAGGCGACCAAATGTGTAACTTTACTGGAAACCTTCGTGTGGAGTATAGCCCCGAAGCTTATGGCTTGCAATGCGATTTCAGACCTGCCACCAAAGATGTAAGTAAAAGTTTCAATAGTGTCCTCCCATAGACTGGCATCGCATAGACGTCAAGGAATAGAAAGCATGGCAGAACATACCTCATCAAATCAACTCCCAATGGCACCAGACCAGACATGACAATCACGCAGCCCTCCAAAGTACGGGACCTATCAAATTTAGTAAGCGGGAACCAAAAACGGAGACCAGAGCGGGCCGGCACGCGAACTTACTTTATTCGTGGCATCACTTTTGCAACATCAGGAACAATTGCTAGATCTGCAGCATGGTCCTTCATTGTAACTTTTTTCGCATGTCCAGGTTTGAGTTGCGCGACTCGACCACCTTGAGCATTGATTAACGCGCTATCGTACTCGTCATAAAAGCTCTTGTGTACTAGTGCAAGATGCTTTTCCAAGTACGTAAGCTCAACATCGTCGTCCTTCAGCAGGTTGTGCTTCGGATGGGGATGTTCTGTAGGTACACCATCAACCTCCTCTTTTGCACCTTGTTCCTCAGCTGCCTCTTCTTTCTCCAGTTGCTCCTGCATGTGTAGTAGTGGGCGATCTGTCAGCTGTTTTTCCAAGAATATCTTCTGCTCGGCGGTTTGCTCTTCCAGTAACGCTTGGTCGCCGCTCATGCGTACGAGCTGCTCCAATGCGCCTACACGAGCACCCAATACAGGGGTAGCTACTTCGCTATTGCCTTCCGAGTCTTTCTTGACCGCCTCTGGGGATCCTGCCAATGTTTCATCCGTCGTTGTCTCTGTTGACAGCTCTAGATCTATGGCTTTCGCAAGCTTCTTTTTTGGCGTTTCAGTAAGTTTAGGCAGCTCCTCCCTTTTCGGCAGAAAACTAGAGTTGATATCTCCAATCCCAAGAAAGAAATCGTAGGGGTGCACTTTGATCAAGTTTGATCGGTTCTTTGGCCAGACATCCGATCGATCATCAATTATCACCACCATTCTCTGGTCAACAGGAAATAGTCTTTGGAGACTTTTTTGTGTAATGTTGCCGTTCTCATCTCGACTAATGATCCGATCGCCAAATAGTCGTTTCTCTGGGTCGACAATCTTGGCGATGTTTAACGCGTACGCCCGAGTCCCCATTGTATAGACGTGCAGTTCGTACATCTCGGCGATTTTATCCAAAAATCCCCTCAATCCCGGGCGCATTTTAATATAATAGTTGCAGCCAGATGCTACACCCCGGGACCCATCGTCTTGTAACTGAAAGGACCTTACATCTTTGACTGCCTCATAATTCGGCGAGTTTTTGTCGGCCTGCCATTCCCCTACCGTCGGCTCAATGCAGGCATGTATGATGGTCTGATCTAAATCTACCACTAAGGATAGTTTGCGGTGCTTTAATAGTCGTCGTTGTAGTTCCTCCTCGGCTTTCGAAGCTTCGTCCTGGCTGACTTTCAGCGCAGTTTGATCGTGGATCATATTGATTTTCGCGCGATCGGTGTCTTTGGTTGAGCTGGACCAGGACGTTTCCGTCATATCTTTACCGCACATGCCACAAAGGCCATGGAACTGTACAGAATGTGGACAGTCCTCCTCGACGTCAACGAACGGGATACTCGAATGAATGGTCATGCCCTCCTTGATCTTCCATCGGGAGATTTTTCCGTCCACAGGACTATCCCAGTCCGTGATTGTTGTGACATCCTCCTTCCATGTCTCGCCGAATGGATCGCCCACCTCCTTCTGCCATGTGTAGCTGTACTGCAGAATGCTCGTTTCCTTCCGAACCGCCTCGCCATTCTTCTTCAGCAGTTTCGTTATTGTTATTGGGTACCTCAGGTGAGTTCCCAGGCTTAAAAGCTTTCCCATCGTTGTAACCTCCTTCGAGCTATCGCGCTATTGTGCTCATGCGGGTTTTGCTATTTCGAGATCTACAAGGGGTCGCGTCAGCCAGATATCCATCTAAAACTCAACCAGGACCTTGGGAAGGACGTGAGGGTGCTGCGCGCATCTTCTTTGCAACACTGTGACTAGGTTGCCTCCAGCTGCGGCGGGCAGACACGGCGCAAGCTTCAACATTACACAGTACGGCAATTACAAGCAGCTGGAAGACGTACAATCTCAACTCGAGCTTCAGAAAAGCCGGCATAGACGTCGCGTGGGGTACAGCGTTGTAGAACCAGTGCATCTGAACCTCGCTCTCCTTCCCGAGTATCCCTGCTTGCGCGAAGTAATCACCTTTGATATGGGGGTCGCGAGGATGCGAGTTAGCAAATGAATGTGTAAATTCTGCTGGTGCGAGGTCACGGCGCGTTGAGGCGATGTTTGCTTCTTTTCGTGATGCAAGCCAGGGGATCGGAGAATGGTGTGAAGCAAATAATATTCCGAACAGGTACAAGTATTGTCTCGAGGTAGATGTGGAGTGGTGATGTGCAGCCTAGAAAACGAGGCAGCAAGCGTCTGGCTGGGTGACTGGGTGACGTTTTTGGCGGCTCTGTTTAGACGGGAGCTTCTGGCGGGCTTTTCCTTTGCGACCAGGCGAAGGAAGAGGCCTCTTTAAGTACGACAACCCCAGTTCATTGCTTGCGCCATCCCATTGGCGCTTCAAGCGGCCACGCATGCATGCGGGTAGGGATCCATGGCGGGCTCACGTGATCGACTTCCGTTTTCAGCTTGAAACATTTGGGGAATGTGGACAAGCGGACTATTGACACAACAATATCTAGATAGTATTGTATGCTACAGCACTACTCCATGCTATCTATGGCCTCTTATACTCCGGTAGTCGAACACGTGCAAGGCGAGTTTCATGAAGATTGTCTTAAGGTCATCATCGTCCAGCCCCTGAGCCAGTCAGTGAGTCGTGATTTCGTGATACGCTGACGTGGGAAGCAAACATAATATATTCTCTGTTTCTATATATTGATGGAAGCTGACGACGACCGGCTGCTGCACATGGCTTCCACTCTCCAAACCGCGCAAGCGGAGTGGTACAAAGAAGGTGTAACAACCCCAGAGTAGGACAGAAACCGGTGGTGGCGCTGATCACGGCAGTCAAAATGCATCATAATTAGCCGGTGTCTGCTTGCAACGACGCCTTCTGATTGAAACGGCTTTCGATTGAGTCTAATACGTACAAGTCTATAGTTCTATTCTTGATATAAAATAACCTGTCTACCTCTCATTAATTATCAACCTCGACCGTCTCGCTTACCAGAAATGTCGCCAGTCCGTCTTCATGAACACAAATTACCAGGTATCATTATATCGTCCCATCCATGAATTGCATCCCAAATCTCCTCATATACAAATTATCTTGAAAAATGATCCACAAAGTTGCAGAAGCCCTTAACACCATCGCTGTGTCTAATACAAATGTTCAAGTCGATGTACTCTCCATCATAATTTCTGTATCTGTTTTACTCCCAGACTCATCGGACCCGGCAAGGCCCTCGTTCTTGCGGTTCAATGTTCCCAGTTGGGCCACACTATCCCAGTTGTGTATTCGCTTTACCAGCTCAGGATCATTCTCGTCGCCAATAAATGTCCAGCTCTCCTCTGAATCTTCAATGTTGTCGTCGGACGGTTTGCCTTTGCGGCTCTTGATCAACGACTTTGCGTATTCCATGTCCCGATAAATAGATTGAATAGCGGTGTTCACTCCGTTTTCCTGAGCCTGTTAGTATAGATCATTTACGTCATGGGTTCATGATCATACCGATCTAATTGTCTCACCCAGTACTCGGGCTTTGATGATCATTCGTTCGCTATTTGTTGCCTCCCAGAGAGCACGAGCGAATACACTGACGTTAATCTTCTTGACCGCAATACCAACACCCATATCTTCGACGCGTGAGCCGAAGAAATATTGGTCTCCGAAGAAAGGTCGAATAATTGTTGGAATGCCAGCCCTCAAACTAGCACCTGTGGTGCCTGCCCCTCCATGATGTACGGCAGCATCAATTTGTGAGAAGAGCCAATCGTGAGGCACTTGCTTGATCGGGTAGATCTCTACGGGCAATTTGACTTCGATTTTATTAGCGTCTTTCTTCTCCAACCGATCAGACCAGCCCTTGGAAAGGATACATCGAACATCTGCTTTGACAACAGAATCAACCACAGTTCTGGTTAGAGCTGCAGAATCCTGAACTACAATGGATCCAAAACCAATGTAGACCAGCTTCTTCCCGTCACTGCGGGCTTTAGCAATGAAATCCATCAAGTCCTTGTCTGGCTGGAAATCTTGACCACCCTCGTCGAGAAACCAATAACCTGTCACTCGAATCCAGTCACTAAAGTCGAGTGGTGGAGGTACCACTGAAGGACTAAAGTTATACAAGAAAGGTACTTTGTTCGGTTGCATTTTTTCCAAGCTGGTGGACTGCAACCCGAGTTCGTTCTTTCTCCATCTGTTGACCTGCCCAGCGATGGACTTCCAGAAGACATTGTCAAACATAACATAAGTCATGTAGTTGTAACTTCCGCCCAATTTATATTCCGGCACAGCGAACGCATGAGGGTATGCTCGAGTCCTGGTCCAGGGCATTGTGAACGCGCGGAAGTACGGAATTTCAAGCGCTTCTGCTATGTGAATTCCGGCCATGGCACTAGGGCTTTCAATCAAAACATCCGACCCTTGGCAAGCCTTCCATGAAGTTGACAGTAAGCCGTCAATCCAGCCTCGGAATTTACTGGAAGCCTCCCGCAGAAAGGAGTATGTGAACATTCCGTATTCGACACAAATTCTCATTAACTCCGCAGGATCGCCAGCAACAGGCTCAAATGCGATCCCGTGACTTTCCACCCAGTCTTTGAACTCGATATGAGTCGCGATTTTCGGCTTGTGACCCTCAGCCATCAGACCCTTACAAAGAGCAATGTAAGGCTGTACATCACCGCGGGATCCGATTGTTAGACAGGTAATGCGAAGCGACTCGGTTGGTTTGAAGTTAAGAATCGATGCTCGCGGATCATCAAACATTATCGGTGGCGCCTCGCTTTTGGATTCTTCAGCAGACTGCGGCAGCTTCAACTCGTGACTAGGGTTCTCCTCAAGTCGCGCCTTTTGTAAGGCTTTGTGTTCGGCGCTGGCGTTTTGCGCACTCTCCTTCTCTTCCATCGATAATAGTCCAGATTCCTGCAAAAACTTCATGCCTTCCAGATTCTGAAGTAATGTGATTGCGCAGTCATCCCGAATATCCGGCTGACTGAACTCGAAAAAGATTTCCTCGTGACCTCTGATGACCACAACTAGTCCCGAATATCCAAAACGAAATCCCTTCTCCTTATCTACGTTCTCAATGTCCTTCAACGGCAGGATCAATTTGGTCCGGGTACCAGGTAGGAGACTTCGGAAACAGAAGGATCGATCGCTGATGTATATCTTACCGTACAAAGGTAAAACGCGATGGAGGTATCCGAAATATGCTGCCTGTAGTTTTTCGGTCTCGGGTAGGGCGAAATGGTCACGAAATCTATCGCCAGATATTGCAGCCTGCTCATCGTTCCCTTCCACGTGCGGCTCCCCATCCGCTATAAGACCCTCTGGTTCGTCGTAATGTTTCTTTCCTCCTTTCCACATCCCAGAAACCTTCTCGACGTAGCCCATGGATTCCGTTGCGAGAAGTGTGCTCATCCGCTTTGAATGTCTGTTGAGGTAACCGGCGAAGCCAGCTGCACGTTGGAGCGGATATGCACCAGCCTTGACCAAGTTTTGTAGTGATGGTCCTGACGCGTTCTGGTCAGACTGTTGGCTGGACGGGCCAATTAATGAACCCGTCGTTAGGGCGTGTTCTGGACGCGGCCTTCTATTCATCGTATTGCTGCGAGTTGGTGAATGCGTTAATGGCACCTTCCGTTGTGAATCAACATCGCGGCGCTGTGAAGCCGATGAAGAACGCTGAATGGTTGGTGACAGAAAGACGTCGCTTCCTCTAAGTATCTGACTAGCGGATGCCTGTGTGTCGTCGCTCGCTGAAGGTATTGCTGCTGAGGACCCATGTTCCTCTAGCGAATGAACATAAGAATCAGACGATCCTTGCTTTTCAGAAGGTAAGCGATTTCGACTGAAACTCCGTCTACTTGCACTCATACTACGCCTTCCCCCAGAGTCCATAGTCATCCTGCTCAAATCAACACTCCTGCGACCAAATTTGGTTAGATCCATGCTTCGTCGATATGCATCTGAGCTCGCTCTACTAATATCTACACTTGCTCTAGGGCTTTGCACTACACCTATTGGCGATAGTGTTGCCCGAACACTCTCCTCTAAGACAGGTGTCTCTGGTGGTATCGCAAGGGTCATGGAAGGGCGGCCCTCTCTCAGTAGATTCGCCGAGGATCTTCGAGACGTACTGCCTCTCGGGCTTGCTCTTTCATCTTTTGGCAAGGCCGGACTCAATAGGTCTTCTGGTATCTGTTTTGCAGTTGTGTCTTCAACTAATATACGTAGCACATTTAAAGCCTCTTTACCGAAACTGAAAAAGGAGAAGAAGTACTTCGGAAATGTTAGCGAGCATCCCCATCTTCAAGTTAAGAATATGCTCACTTCATCAATCGCGAATGTCTCGTCATTATCGATCACTCTGATTTTGCAAGTATCAGCAAAGTCGACGATTTGGCTGTCTTCAATATCCATGATGTTCTCGATCGGAAGCGATATTTTAACACTGTCTCCATCGTTATGAGAACGGAATATAATCTTCTGTAACGACTTCACCCATTCTTTAGCACTTGGAATGCTGTCAGCCTTGAAATTGAAGACCCTTTGATGGGTGACCACGGTGAAGTGTGCTGCGTCCTTCCCACTTGACTTGTCTGCCACATTTGCGGTAATGCCGTATCGTAAGTCTATGTTGCCAGCTGGGAAATATAGCTCTGAAGGATCCGAGTAATATGAAAGAACATCGCCTTTTAGCCGGAACCAATACCTATTGTATTTAGGATTTCGTTTTCCGGATTTCGAAAGATATCCGGATTTCACAACTTCGTTCTACTAGCATGTCAGCTAGGCTCGCAATGATTGGACATGATACTGACGGATTTTTTAGGCAAATATGCGTAAAAGCATATATGCTTTGTTGTAATGTACATATAACCTTGAAGTAGGACGCTCTTCAGAAGCCAACAGGGGTATTCTGCAGATGATTAGCACTGAGAGTATCTTGGGCAAATCCTAAATACCTTCTATAACATCTTCAGGCTTGTCAAAATTGAATATTTCCATTAATCTTTTGGCAAGACTACTAGATCGAACCTGACCGTTGTCTTCCCCCTCGGTATCAGATCTTGGCATATCGAAGCTCGGCCGCATAGAAAGTTCTGCCTTTGCATTCAACATTCGACTCATCACTGGTGCATCTCTCGATGCCGTTCGAGGCAGCTGTATACTAGGCGTGACAAGGTCGGAAGGAGACTCGTGAGCCGGAGAACTCGGACTATGCGGAGAGGATGACTTGATCTTCGACTTTGACTTTGTCCCAAGCCGTGGAAGCGACCGTAGAAGCCTGTTCTCCGAGAACTTTCTCCTATGTTTGTCTGGCTTCGCGGTCTTGTCCTGCCGGGTCTTTTCCACATGGAGATTGGAACCAGTGGATTCCTGTGAAGGCTGTTCGGTCGAGTCTTCCTCCTCATCACTCGACTGCGTATCAAATCTGGCATTGAAATCGACCTGGGAGCCAGCAGCAGCTATCATGCCAAAGACTGACTGGTTCATGTAGGCATTACCGCCGGCGAGCGTGGTATGGTCCTCCTCCGCATCGTCGCCGTCTCGAAACCGTTCTGGGATCTCCATAGTGACTTGATGGCCTTCCTTCCTCTTCTTGGTCAACTTCCGCGTCACCCTTTTCTTATTATCTCCTTCCGACGCCATCGTGGGACGCAGTAGCTCTGACGCAGAAAGCTCGTGCGGTGGTGTGCCGTGCTGGCTGGGAAGGTTTCGGTCTCGCTGCTGGGTCACTCGTCACTCGTCACATTCGCGGCGGATCGTTATCGATTCGATAAGAGGTATTTTTCCGAAGAACAAAAGGAGACCGAGTGGTGAGCGTCACATGCTCTATTTTTGGTCTGTTTAGGGCGGATACTTTTCGTCGAGTCAGGACTCAAGGCAAGGACAGGAAGCACATGTTTTTATATGAAGCGAAGGACAATCAGGTGTTGATGTTGTTCTTGCTCTGGACGGTCAGGAAGTGCTCCGCCGTGGAGCTGGGGTCGCTATCCCCGGGTTGTCTAAGGGTTCCCGCATGAAGGCTCCCTCCTAACCCCACTGTTCAGCCTACCGCCTACTGTAGAGGCGAGGAACCTGAAATGCTCCGACTATCAGTGACTGTATCACTCATCAAATCTACCTACCTTAGGTACCTAGCAAGCTGGTTATGGTTCGGAGTCATTGTCATTATCTTATCGATCATTAAGCTCCCCAATAGTCATACAAAAAGACCGTAGGCTGCGGTTGGTCACTGAGATATCGCTAACCACATTGAGGCGGTTAACGAGTAAAGTAAGAGAATAAGCTTATACATTATTATTTCCCTGTCGTGTCTAACAAGCTCAACCTATCTGATAGACTTCGCACATGAGACATGCTTGACAACATGCTTATGCCCTTTTACTTCATAATGCGCTTGTCTGCCTAGACATAAGTTGCGAGCGCAGATTCCTCTACCCAGCCATAATTGTACACAAAATCAAAAAGACCATTTCCAGGTATCAACACACCCCTTGTCCAACACCAACACCAAACCTCCCATCGACCAGTACTCCTTCTCAAACATGCTTAAACACGATCTTTACATCCAAAGGCACAATTTGCCGCTGGCCGTTCCGCCGGCCACCCAATCTTTATTTGGATGAAAGTGAGCAACGGCCGGCACTGCAGTGATGCCATCGCCACCAAGTTGCGCAAGCTGCTCTCCGTCTGCGCTGTACACATCCACGAATCGGTTCATGTTTCCAATAACGAATTTCTGGATTCCATCTTCGGGTCTGGCTTGCCACTGCGGCTTCAGGATCGTCACCCAGCGTCCAGTCTGGTTGTTGTGTTTGATGGTAGCTGTTGGCTTCATGTCCTTCTCGTCTATTTCATGGCCTATTTTCCAGGATCCGGCATCTAGGAAAGAATGGACCTTTATCGTGTCGTCGTATGAAGATGTTGCCACATGCCCTGCTGCGGACCATGAAGCGTGAGAGATAGACAGACGTGATTCGTGCTCCCCTACCAAGCTGGGTGCTTTAGACTCCCCTTCTCCTTTAATGCTTCTCAAATCCCAAATTTTTACAGTTCGATCCAAGGATGCGGTAGCCACCAGATGTGGATTCAGCGGATGTATCGAAAAGCCACCAATTTTCTTATCTGACAGTGTCCATATTTCAGTTTCCGATTTCGTTCTCATATCATGGCGGCCAAATGAGCCGTCTAAGCTTGAGAATAATAGAATGTTTGGATCGGACGAGGGAATAGCAATGCTTGATATTGGCAGATCTTCATCCATAGAATCTGGCGCAAACGCTTCTACTGCTACCCCTTTCTGGAGATCAAACTTGCGCACCGACGAGTCGTAAGAAGAAGAGTATAGCGCATTGCCGTCGTCTGGGAAGACAAAAGAGGTGATAGTCCTCGTGTGCAACTTCAGCGCAGTAATCGCTGGCTCTGGGGTCTCCGGGTCTTCTTCTTCATCATCATTATCTCCAGCGGTTACTTCTGGCGGTGTCTGTGAAGCATCAAATATGCCCATGTTTCCCATCTTATCTCCAGCAAATATCAATGGCTTGTCAGGCGACGGGTGGAAGCCCATAGAGTATATTCGTTCAGGCGTAATCTTGATTTCTTCGGTCTACTATTAGCTTGCGTTGGCCGGAACATCGAACAGCACTCACGATTTGGCTCGTAGCCCTCATATAACTCGAGGCCACTCATCTTTTCTCTTAAGGCTTTCAAGTCCTCATCGGTCGTTTCTTTAACGTCGTCCTCGTCGAATGTCCTCACATACGGCTGTGCGCCTCTCATGACCCCGGACAAGAAATTCTCGTCCTTATTAAACTTCTTTCCTTCCACTGTCATATCACTAAACGTCAAGTCTCCAGTGACGCGCTGCTTCTTCGCCTTGGCCTGTTCCTTCGCAAACTCATGTTCCACTTCGGCTTTTCGTTTTGCAGTCTCGCTATCCGCCTCAACTCCAGCTAATCGAGAACTTGTCCTTGTAGGTATAGGTGTTTCCCTCTTGATTGGCGTAGCACGTTTCCTCGGTGTCGCGGTCTTTTTCGTTTTCGCTACTGGCTTGGGTGCCATCTTTTCCGCAGTAGTACTCAGATCTTTGATCATGGCTTGATTTGCTGCGATATTCTCGAGCCGCTTCCGCTCGAAGGCGCTCATCTCAGTCGCTTCATTTTTAATACGCGCCATGATTGAGTATTCTTGACTTTACAGCGCGCAAGTTGGGCATATACTTCTTGAGATGTTGTGTAGAAGCAGTCTTGAGGTCATTTACGCGAACCTCACGCGAAGTAACGGGATTCTGAAGAACGCGACCCTTGCTTGCTTAATTAACTAACCACTAACCTTAGCCATGGCTTCCGAGGTCTGTGCCAGTCCTGCTGGGGGTGCGGTACTGTTTCGTTTGCCGCTTTCTCGCCGTGCGCTTCAAAACTTTCTATTCTTCCACCAGAACAACAGAATTCCCGCATTCTAGAATTCCATGCTCTTCAATCTGCATGTAACGCCAATTCTGTCTTTGGTAGCAGTAGTCTCGTCTGGCAAGCATTTTCACCATCTCAATGGCCGCTTCGACGGCTGCTGTGAAGGCGCGACCAGTTCTTTCCACTGTCTCGACAACCTTGATGCCTTTTCTTTACCAGACACGAAGTCTGATTAGCCTTCCATCAATCGCCGTTTCCTTGAAAAGTCAAGCAGCATATGTTGCTCCAGTCGCAAAGGTCTTCAGCACTTCGGCGAAGCAGTCAGCACCTCTACCAATTCGATCCACCTATCAAGCGCGAGACGGTCGATCGCAATTCCCATCTACTGCGGTTCGCGCATACAAAAGCAGAAGATCGCCAAATGGAAGTGCGCGAAGTGAAGATGAAATTCCATTTGAGACGGATGAGAGTACCGGTCGTGGATCAAGGCAAAAACGATGGTCTATGCGACCTACGTCCAGTTCGAAGCTTGATGACTTTGGTGAGCCAGAGGACGAGCCATTTCCGGATTCCAGTTTCATAGATGATGCAGAGGGGATGGTTACGGATGATCAAATGGTGGGCGCAGGCTCAATGAACTTGCGAGGACCGCGGGAATCGACTATAACCGATAGCGAGCACAGAGCTTTTCAGAATATTTTTAACGAAATGTGCTGGAACCAGAAAGCCTCGACGAGTCCCGATCCCAACGTGTTATCACTAAGAGGTCATGCCAAAGTCAACCTGGGCGACATGTTGAATGACGCTCTTGCAGTCAGTGATCGGAATAAGGAAGAAAAGGAAAGCATGGTCAGTCGTTGGCCTGAAGCTTTGAGACCTGCAGTCGCTAAAGCTATAGGCTTGACTGACGATGGCGAGTCTGACGAAGGGGAGTCCATCGAGTCTGAACCGCCGCAGCCTGAACTTCAGATTGATGAGCTCGAGTCTCTGCGAGACCCGGAGCGTCAACGAGTAGAGAAACTCATGAGAGAAGCTGTGACGGACGTCGAGCTATGGGAGGTCATGAACAAGGAAGTTTTTTCCATGATTCCGAGACTTGGTTTAGCAGAAAAGTCCTCGACGCACGATTCCAAACCAAAGGGCAAGCGGGTGTCAAAAAAGGAGAAGCAGCAGATGCAGAATTCCAAGGTACCATCCACCACAGGCGAGAAACTAGGGTCTGATAATCAAGAGAAAAGGCAAGAGTCATCTGTGTCATCTATGTTGCCAACAACAGATGCTGACGAGGTAGCAAAGGGGCTAGTAAGCTCCAACCTGGATAACGTCCTAGACTCTACCACCGGCTATGAAATACCAGCTTTGACGTTTTATGGACCTTTATACCCATCATACCTTCTCCTTGGAATCAGACTCTTGGATCGCGACTTTGTCAAGCCATCTCCACTCGCGCTTTCGGTCCTACCCAAAATCAAGTCTCTCGGCGCCATCTCCCATGTCCTCGGAGCAAGTCCATCTCTGTACAACGAAATCCTCCGAATCTACCTACTTCGCCACGAGGATTTTCGAGCAATGACGGCTACGCTATACGATATGAATGATTCCGCCGTCCCAGTAAATGAAGAGACGCTCGCTATTGTTGAGGAGGTTTTGAGACTCGCTCGGCAGGTTCAAGAAGGTGAAAGGGGGCCTGTCATTCAGAGGATCTGGTCTCAGATGCCAAGATTTACGACAAAGTACTTAAATGCTTGGAGGAAGAAACATGCGAGTGCAATCGCCGCCGGGGAGTAAGGGAACTAAGAACGACTTCGCGGTGCTTGATGGCAAACGCCGCTCCTTTATCTACATGTACCTTTACATGTATTTGTGGAGAGAAAGCTCAATACGCTCTGTAGACTCGGCTTGGATAGATATTTTTGCCAGTATCTGCCTGAATAGCATGCTTTCACGCTTCCAGATTGCTTCAAATTTCTCTTGGCTCGTATAAAGAACCAGATGATACATATTTGTTGGGTTCCAATGATGATGTGTACATCCAATAACATACCCCGATCATGAGCAAGAAGTAATGTCATTGCACCTGGTATGGTAGCATAACCATGAGATATCCACTAGATATTTGGTACCTAAATCCTCAACTCTACTTTTAGCCTTCCTCCAAATTACGTCCGTTCCAAATTACAATCATACATGTTTACCTTCAGTCATCATCGTGTCATTCTGCCCTCATTCCCTCTCAATCAAATCGACCTCCACAAACCTCGCCTCTTCCACTCCGCCTTTCCTCAACCCAAACCATGAGAATCTTCTCTTACCATCATGGCTCGAGCTCATGCTAGAAAATACACTCGATCGACGTCTTGGTGTGCCATCCGCCTTGACCCTCTGACCGAATGGGATTTCAGATTGTCGTCCTGTAAGCGTGAGTTAGCTGCAGCTGTAGGCTGTGAGAGAGTGGTGTGCCAGTAGGAAAGATGAGGCACGAACGAATATTCCCAGCTCCACCTCTTCCGTAACTCATTCTCCTCTCGACGGTTCCCATGTCATTTTGACTAGCGTCACTCATCTTGAGTCGTGGTCTTACGGATAGCTGGTGTTTGAATGAGGGAATCAAAGCAGTCTGGCTGCTTGATGATGAAGTGGACGTCGGTAAAGGAGGGCAACCTGAACCTCGTCTTTGTGGTTTATGTTTTGGTGTAGCAGGGTTGGTCTGTGGTGGTGTAGTATATGTTTTCTTCAGCTTGAAATATCGTTCTGTCTGTTGCGTGGTTTCGAAATATGGCGGAGGATGTGAGGTATTTGGATGCGAACGCCGTGTTATAGACAGGGTGAACGCAAAGGACACCATGATTGTAAGCTGTTTGTCTGGGCTGATGATAGCTGTAGAAGCTTGTATTGGTTACTAACTCAACAACAGGCCTTTAGTCAAGATTCTAGAGGTGCAAGTGGTGAGAGATAGCAGCTGGCGATATGCTTCATGCAGCTCTTTAGATGAGGGGTGATGTATGTGATGGAATAAGGACAATGGGGTGAGCATCTCAAGCAAGGGTTATTCAATACGCTGCCAATTTATATTTGACCTATATATTCGGTAAGGAGAGCAATTGTTCTCCCCTCCCCTGATCTTTCCTGCTTCGTACAGAGCCTTCCACAAAACTCCGTCCTGTATCCCCAGAAACGAGTTACACCATCCCGTCAGCTCACCACACACTGCGCCTATCCACCACACATCGCTCAGCACCCACCATCCGATCGCGTGCATGAAATGCAAGTTTCCAAACAAGTCACATTCTGCTCTTTCGAGTATGTCTCTTTCACTGAAGATAAGCCAACGCAATCTTAGTGGGCATCCAATTGACGGGAGGAGGGTGACAAAACTAGACCCCTGCCAAGGATCGACCGCACGTCGTTATTGCAGGTCAAGCTTTGTGGGGTTGACGATCGGGCATTTGGGTGTGTCGGTGCTGTGTTGGAGATGAGCCTATGAGAGTAACATTTGGAGGAAAGGCTGGGAGATTGGGATATTGCGGGGTGAAGGGGGGAATATATGTGTAGAGTAAGTATAATTGGAGGGTACTCATATGACTAATGTTTAGGGTCAAATTATATAGAGATAGTTGTAGCATCAATCAAAGACTAAACAACCGCCTCTCCAAAGTGCCGGATTCATGACATTCAACCTCAAGACCCAAATCTCCCGCTTCCAAAAACAAAAGGACCTGCGTACCAAATCGTACGACATCCCGTGTTGTCACTCGGGTGCCAGCAGCCAAAGACTCCTGATCGTACAAGGCAGACAGAAAAGATGTCAGTCCGCGGCAGTAATAGGAAACGAGATGCAACAAATCTCCTCGTACCGAGAGTCAGTGATACTAAAGTCGTAAGTACCGGCGTCAAGAAACTTGTACACGCGGGTATGTACCTTATAGGTCTCGAATCTCAAGAAGAAATTCGCTGGATGTAGGAATTTGAATCGAATGGGACATAGACTGCAAATTAGAACTTAGTTTCGTCTTACGGTCTCTGCTAAGAGACTTCCCATTGCTCTGAATCTGAATCCGTGGATCTTGTTATAAATTTGTGACGGAGTACAGTGGTATCTCGTCCCCACCGAATCCAGCTTGATCTAATTCGTATGAATCTGAAGGGCGCTTCCAGCCCCTCAACGCCTATCTCTAAATCGTCCTTACGCCTCTTCGCTCACAAAATTTCTAGTAATGCTCCTAACAGTAAAACCCGCTAAAGCCACATGCTATTTAAGATGAACATGAATGCCATCGCACTGGAATTCCTATCTCTCTCGGTACCCCTGCGTCGCTCTTACACCATTCAAAAACCGACTTGTGTTCTCATATACCGAGAAACTACTGTTATTCACGGGGATATATGTGCTCGTGAAGGTCGGCTCTTTTGTTTGCAGTCTTTGTTCCCCTAGGCCACGTTTCTTTTTTGGTTTACCCCCATCATCTGAAGAGGAGAGATCAACGACAACTTCTACGGTTGTCTTACGCTTTTTGACTGGGTTCAATTCCGACTTAGCTACCTGAATAGGTTTCCCAGACATCCCATTGGTACGACTCAGAACCGATCGGTCTACAAGATTTTGCGAAGGTGAGCGTAACGTAGACAATGGATGCAAGCTAGTCAATCCATACTCGTCGTCGCTACCAGGAATAAGTGCATATGCCCTGGCATCTTCGACTATTGCCTTGGTTGGATGATCCCTTGTTTGTGGATCGGTCCCAAGTTGATGCCGGAAACTCATTCTCGGGAACTTAGTCTTTTGCGGAGGTCTTCCTGGAAGTATCGGTGGGGCCAGCGTTTGAGTAAGCTTGAGGCTATCTGGAGAGCGGCCTACGGCTTGGGCAGCACTTTCGTTCAATGCATCGCCGGTTTTGATCGACTTTCGAACGCAGTTTTGTACACGCAATGGCAGTAAATTTTCTGAATGGTCATCAAACTCATGGGATAGATTTGTTAGCCAAGCTTCGCGAAGTGAAAGACCGAGAGCTAGTGACACCGTACGGCAGACACTATTTCCTAACAGCTTCCACCAGTCCGTTGGAGTTCCGACAAGCACTTCGTCTTCTGGGAATCCTTGGGCAATCTGAGCTTCAGCAACAGTCATGGTCCTGTGCTGATTCCAATGTAGACAGCGGCCCATCCGCGAATCTTCAGCTCTAGTGGAAACTATGACAGTCGGCATCAAGTCTTTCGGATTGATACGACCCCATGCCCTGGATTTGGGCAAAACATTTTGTCTCTTTTCACCATTTTCGGAAGGAAATAGCAGTCTTTCTTGCCTAGTCATTACCCCCTTGCCATCACGCCATGTTTGAGCGAAATTCATCCCCCGAGGATATGTTGGAATAGAGGATATTTGCTGTTTGCTTATCGAAGTGACGCTACCGGCAACGACGTGATATGGATATTTGGTACACTGTAGTGTCGAAGCGTCATCAATAGCAGGAAGATGTGATGTTGCATCTCCAATATTTACATATCGGAACGGCGTGAGGCCCATCCTACGCTCGCCAAAAGCTTTCCCATTTGAAAGCAAACCGAGCGCAAAGTTTTTTTGCCCTGGTGGATGAGAGTGTGATAATTCTGGATGTCGTATGGGTTCAAGCCCAGGAGCGGCAAATGACACAAAGATACGACTTCGCGACTGTGGACTTCCGCAGCTCCACGCATCTAAGACAAAAACCTGGAGTTGATAGCCCATGCCGACAATAGCGCAGATCAATTGCGATAGCGGATCATCATCTCGGCCTTTACCCTTTTGCGACATATTAAGCACGTTTTCTAGAATGCCATATTTGGGACGATAAAAGTCTACATATGCCGCAACCGATGCGAGCAGTGACTGATTCGCAAGCCCCTTCGCATTATCTTTGTTAGAGTTTAAGTTGCTGAATCCTTGGCAAGGGCTACCAGCAGAAATGAAATCTACTTCGCTTGGTGTAGGTATCAAATCACATCCTTTCGGGTTACCTGCCATTGCCTGAACCAATAGGTCATTCACGGAACCGTAAAACATTTTAGTGCCGTTAGAGTCGGATCTCTTGCGATTCGCACGATATGTGTGTATAGCAGCGTCGTATATGTCAACGGCCCATTCATTACACACCGCGCCACCTTCTTCTAGCCCTCTTCCAAAATTTCCACCTCCGCAATAAATATCTAACCCCCGGAGTTGCTTGGAATTTGATTCGCCTAGAGGATTAAATCCTTGAAGTAGCGAAGGAGGGAGATGCTCTAGGATCGGTACCAAGGTGTTCTGTCCCTCAACTTCTACTAGTCTTGTACATATGTAAAAAGCGTTGCCGCTTCCGTCTCGACAATAGGGCGCCGGGATACGCTTCAATACAACATCGTCCTCAGAGTAGTATCGAACTAAACATTTAAGCTGTAGTCTAGAAGTTGGGACAGTCTCCGTTTTTTCTGTGTAGATAAGCTCATTTGGGCGTCCTGACAAATCAAACTGTTGACGGCGTAGTAGCCGTCGCAAAACAACTTTACTTCGACCATCTTCCGAATTCGTGTATTTCACGACCTCGAAAGGGTCAAGCATTGTCGTTTTTGGTGCAACGACTAAGACAGTCTGCCCGATAGGGAAGTCCTTCAATATTGAACAACTTCTGGGAGATAGTGAGTGAGGATGATGTAAGCATCCCTTGTGGTGTTCCTGAAGCGTCACGAATCGCTCTTGATCCATCCAGGTCTGGCGAACGAATAGCTGCTTGTCATCTTTAGGAGGCGCGGAGTGCCAAAGAACATCCTCGATACTAAGAACTTCACTATGTCGAATTCGTTCACGCTTCTTTCCACAATTACAGTGATTCGACATAAACAGCTCGTTAGGATATGGATACTTCATCTTAACACACGAGGTGTCTGATGATTGGTACAACCATAACACTTCGAACTCAGGTTCCTCACTTTCTTCCGTATACACTGCTAAAATGTAAGCATACCAGCAATGTTCGATGTCACGATGTCGACTAGGTTCCGCTTTCCAGACAGAACCCACCGCAGCATCATCCGTGAGGAGAGATATTACATCGCCGACACGAATGCCTCTCGCATGTTCGCCACGGAACAATGATTGGGCGGTATCGGAGCGGGCGGTATTCGAAACCCTAGACACAGTAGGAAAAGGAATTTCAGAGACAGTTATCGGCTCAACAGGCTTGAGAAAAGACCCAAACCTGAGATGACTGAAAAGATTGTAAATGTATGGCGTAACGATGGTCTTGACTTCTTCGATTTTCTGCTTGGGTACTGCATCCATAGTCAGAAGCTCTGAGAAGATAGGCTGAGACCGGAGCTCATCATCCATACCGTAACATTCTTTATTCAAGAAGACGATGTTGGCAGCGACTGCCGGCAAAAAGTTGCGACTACCATATCCGTTGAACCACTCCTGAAACTCGCTGGAAACCTTGTGTTGGCCCCATATCCATTGAGCAAACTCTTGCCGAAACTTAGATGTAGTGACTGCCATTGGCCCACAAGAATGGCAGAAATCAACAAAATGTTTAGCCAGGTTTGCTATCCAGGTAAACCCGAGGTGGTAGCGCTCGTACTCTGGCGCCGGTTCCTTAAGTCGATAGTAGCATGGAGAATTTCTGTTGTGTGTAGACCTGATCCATATACTGATGACAGAGTGCTCTTCTTTTCCGTAGTTTCCCACCGGCACCTCCATGAAGGGTACGCCTTGAACATACCTACGTACATTGCCTACACTCAAGATACCGTCAAACAAGAAGTTTGCCTTCCCCCTTCTCGCGTAGTGGTGTTGCAACCCCTCAAGCTTCAACGGTTGGTATTTGTTAACATTATTAGACACGTAGATCGAGAAACTTGACAAGTCAAATTCGATATCTTCGGTATGCTTTCCGTGGGGTGGAAAATCAGTTTCTTTCTTGGAGTTCAGTTCTTGCCGTTTAAATTCAGCCTTCAAGTCTTTCACAGCATCTTGCTCAGAAGATATTGGAAAAGGAGGCTCAAATCCAGTATAACTCGATTTCGGATGAATGAAACTTGATAGTCCTGGTGCTATGTTGAGTGAATATTCACTTTGACTATTCGCTGAGCTCGCCGGTTTCATCTTTGAATAGTGGTAATGTGTCTCTATCGATGTTACAGAACTATGCTGAGAGTCGATGCGACTCTCTTCTGTCGAACCTTTGTCATTCCGGCTGTCTGAGTCGTCTTCTGACACGTGACCATCGAAATTGGGATCGAGATTATCGGTATCAAGAGTTCCAGAGCCATTGCGAATTCCAGGCTTCTTCAAGAGGTTTTGTTGTTGCTCTTCAGTGTTCAGCGAAATAATTTTAGATTCTGGAATTAAGGTGTTGGCGGATGTCGAGAATTCTTTGCCAGCTTCCTGTTGTTAGCAAGTAACCATGAATGGGAATGGAAAGCAAGATAAAAATCAACACACCTGAAAACATGGAATTCATTGTCCTCGGGGATCGGTCTATGTCGTAGGTGCCATCAGATCAACGTCGAGTATTTGCGCCAACTATCGTCTTATTCAACCTTGCAACAGATCGGATGCGTAGGAAAACGGTGCAGGATCCAACGTGAAACGGAATTAGAAAGATGAGATGGATATAATGTTACAAGGGAAAAGATGATGCTGGAAGGATTGAAAGTGAAGCTTCTTCATGTGAAGAACGGCATGAATAGCTCGCAATAGAAATCCAATGAACAAACAAAAAGATTATCGGAGTTGAGTTGTCGAGTTGTTGAAAGAGGACGAAATAGGAAGCGGGACGATGCAGGTGCAGGTGGCTGGGAGATGGAGATGTCCTGGCATGGGATTCTGAGACCCACTTTGAAGGTGCCTTCTAGCCAATCATATTAGCCTCCCCCTGCCAAAACCCACCGGGCACCTGGGCATTTCGCTTGCTGGTAGAACTGCATCTTTCCAACCACCGGCACCAGAAGGATAGGACTATTGGGGTATTTATTATTTCGATCCAAAAAAACAAGGTACCGGCTCGCAATTTGAACGAGCAGCAACGCATGCCGGCGTAAGGTTAAACCTCCCAAGCTTTTAGATATCAGGTAAACTAGGGCGAGTACCTTGTCCCTCCGAGGTAAATCGTACATTCCTCATTCCAATAAATCCGGACAATCGAGAGGACTGATAAGCCCTACAATAACATGGATTTATTAATTCGGCTGTTAATGGCATTCACCTTCACGGCATAAGTACTCCAAGTAATTTAGTCTTTAATAATGAATTCGACGCGATGTGGCCGCCCTATCCATAATATCCAGACGAGTTTCTACTGTTGTATCATTGATATTCTGCCTTCTGAATGATCCTGCTCGGCTCTGGGCAATATTGTGACGTGGGGGTGATCAGTAGCTAACGGCTGCAGGCGCTGGTGTATCTAGAATTTTCGCTGATTTTACATTCCATTAAATCATTCATCTTGAAGAGGCCTTCAATTAGTAGGGATTGAACACAGGACCGGCGAGTCTCTCTGAATACGCTCAAGATAGCAAGACCTCTATAGGCTTAGGACTTAGCACATATTCGTATAGTCAATTAATCTCGAACATGTCTTCACTGCCAAGTCCGGCTGTTGATGTAGTGATGGACCTTCCATTCAGGAAATTTCCTCTAAGCAAAACCATAGACGCGGATAGCGTTAATGCAAGCCGTGTGTTTTCGAGTGCAATTTTTTCCGCCCACAATATATAGATGTACATGGAGCTCTCGCTTGTCTGATTCGCTACACTAATCAGGAAACTTGCTTGTGTTTCACTGGCACAGTACTAAGATGGTTTCTACGAAAGTGTGTTGGACTTCTCGAGGTTTCATAACCCTCCAATTGCGTAGATCTAGCTGGTCTCGTTGGAATTTTGTATGCATTTTAGATACACATCGTCTCATGGCGTCCTCTCTGGGGCTCGTATGGAGTCTTAGTATCGGTGGTAAGATACCGTAATCCTCCGCCATCGACCTTGTGGCTTGGTACGAGTCCGGAGAATTTTTCCATATGCCGGCCCCCGATCTGTTCGTGCTTGCCGGACAAGGGCTTCAAAGAGCTCAGCGGCCCAGAACTTGTGCCTCGCCATCATTTCCAGAATCGTACCTATGAAGCTCGTGTCCATCGGGCCCTGCGGTATAGATTGCTCGATCGTACTGCGTTTCCTCGCTAGACCGCGTCGATCCTGACTCGTCCCTATCACCTAGTCTAGTATGACCACTTGAGTTACTGTCGGGAAAGTTGAGAAGATAAACTCCAGAGAAAATAGTGACAAAACCGCACAATAAGGACAGTGTCTTTGTCGTGTCCGTGATGTTAAATCCTTGGAAAAGAACGAAAGATGCCGTTAGGACCGCAGTAGTAAATGTGACATAGTATATAGGGCTGACACTGGGTATTGTATTAGCATCGTGTGACAAGCTATGGCCAAAGGGAGTAGCCCACAGAGACTGAGGAAACGTGCTTAACGCCTTGTTGAAATAGTTCATCTGAACTGCAATACAGGCGCCAGCAACGATGGCGAAAATCCATGTCGACAGGTGAGTAAATTGATTTGCACCAGCAAAGGTCAACTTCACAGCAATGCCAAATGCTTTTAGTGCCATGACTGATACGGCTCCTGTTCCAGCACATATGGAAAGATAGTAAATTGGGTTTTCCTTTCCCCGTGTCGGGCAGACATAATAAATCATCCACACGGAGTACACAGCAGTCACGGCGCAAAAGAACAGGAAACCTAGCAGATCATCAGCTAGTGTGCGACTACACCGGATATTCAAAACCCAAGCTCACCAGGTTGCGTAGCGTAGTTCAGGATTTCATCGACAGTATCAATTTCCTTATCCGGAGGGGCATTGGCTACAATGAGGACCGACCCAAGCAATGAAAGGGCACATCCAAGCTTGCCTAAAACCCCCAGGCGCTCTTTGAGGAAATAAGCACCCAATACCGTTCCTGTGAGTACACTCAGAGCACCAAGAGGTGTAACCAAGACGGCGGGTGCAAACGCGTAGGCCGCAAAATTGAACAGCTCTCCCACAACTAGAAGACTCATGCCGGTCCACCATGTTGGATTCCTAAAATATTCGAACCCATCTCCTTTGAAGCCGTGACGCTTCTCGGCGTCTCTTAGTCCGATCTTCGTAATGACATAGCTCGAACCAATCGCCACGGATGAACAGACTGCAAGAATAACGCCGATGTACTGATCTTGTATCATTCTCCTCCTTGAGATCTGGCCAAGACGTCCAACAACCTGCTCCGAATGCTCGCCCCTTCAATTAAGTATTGCCAGTGGTATGGGTTGAGTGTTGTTTGGACCGCGTGGAGTATATGGTAGGACTATGAGTTGGGAACAATGGCTTCGAATTGTGGTTTGGACAAATCAGCATAAGGTGCGTTGGATGGAGTCGACTGCTCGAAGTTGTAGATTCGGGTTTTTGGATAAGGGGGAGGCGCAGCTGAACACGACGTTACACTCAATTCATTTCTCTAAAGTCCTCGGGCCAGTTTACCATTACGCTTGCTCTGCGTGGTTGACAACATTGTGCTCTGAGAATTCCAGAAATCTGAGAGATCACAGGTTATATCCCTAGGTAAGCATAGTCCACTGGCCCATTTACAATATTCTTCAGATACTGGAAAGTGCACGGACCATATCACGACCATTTCGTGCTTCGCGTCCAGGCCGTCATCTTTCTCAACAACACCGACGGGTGAAAACCCGCTGGAATGCTGTCAAATGGCCAACAACACCTCGAGAGAACGTAACTCTCGAGCGTACTGAGATAGTGTGAGTCAAGTAGCCTCCCTTTCGTATGTCATTGGCGCTAAACGAGTCAAGGAACGAAACGAAATTTGATGCGAAGTCCATCTCCAAAGCCTCGTTCAATGAGAGTATAGATGGACTCCGCGGCCCCCGGAAAGCTAACGTAACGTCATCTGTGAAGCAGAGCAGTGTCTTCAGGTGTGTTGCGGTGGAGTAAAGAGTTTTTACCGAGACAGCCATGTCAAAGAAAACTCGGCCGTACCATGTGCCGTGCCATGTTCATCGCTGTTCCTTTTACAGGCACAATATCAGATTTTCTACAGTCACATTTGTCGTACTTTTGCTCTTTCATACCATCTTTCATTTAGGTGCACAGTGATCTGCCGAGTAGTTGTGGCTTGTGGTCTGTTTTTCAATCACTTGATCATAGCGCAATCACACGACATTCAATTTTGCTAGCTTATGTTGACTTGGCCATCCTACATATATGATTTTTGTTCTCTATCTTGTGCGGTTGACGATTAGTCTCTCAACCGGAATGCTCGGTTAATGGAAGTAGGGCGTCAAGCCGTCAAGCACATGGGGTTTGTGAATGCATCTCACCTGAGGATAAGTTTATATCTCAGAATGGACTGGCCTAAAGTTCGAGATCTTCTGTAGATAGCTGGTTCTTTTAGAGAAGGCTGGCAAACTGAAAAAGCAACAAGCCTACAATCATAAGGAGCCATGACAAAACAAAGACCCAGATGCTGCTTGGACGACAAGCATCCGAGCTCCCTACATCGCCGCCCGCATCATTATGAACTTCGTTCTGAAGGCCCTCTCCTGTGGGCGCTGTGCTTCCATTTACCGCATCTTTCGCCCGCGCACATGTCACTGTTGTAGCCACAGTCTGGCTGCCACTATGAAAGCTCGCCATCACCGGCCAAGCCAAACTTCCAATGTAGTTATATGCCCTGTCATCATCATATACCCACCTCTCTACTTTATCTCCCTTCCACTTTCGGATATCTGCGGCGTCTAAGGGCTAGCATAATAGGTAATGTTTCTCCACAGTGTACCACTGTTGCCGAGTGTGATACACAAGGGGATGTCCCTTGCGACCGAACATAAACACTTGCCAAAGTTCGACTGGACAGCGTTCTTTATGTCTGTGATGCACTGACTACTTAAGACGCTCGGGCATGTTCCGTCGTCATTACGTAGATTAGAAGGGTATGGGACCTTCCCGAACCACAAGTCCCAGCTGTATAGACAAATCTTCCAATCTGCATTGACGGAGAGATTTCGAGTAGGGGACGAGGACGAGAGTAGAGACGAGGGTCCGATGAATGTAAACTTTCCTCCCGTGTAAATTGACTTCGCTCTGGTCGAATTCTGGATAGGTATGTCAGCTGCCACAGAGATAGACCAAAACCAGCCGTCGATGTTGCTGGAGGTCGAAAACGGCGCTGAGATATTCGGACCAGCGACAGGAAATATCCCGATCGCATTGGGCTGGTTATTGAGAAGACTGTCGAACTCGAATTTTGGTACAGCCCATGGTCCGTCCCTGCTTGTGGGCGGTTGGATGACATGAACAGGCGCTTCGGAATCTGATTCTGCGGCAGCACTTTACACCAGATGGACGTAGTTATAGTGACGAGAAGCAAGCGAATAGCTGGCGAAGTCGCACACATCGTCAATCAGGAAGTAGGTGTCCATCGGCTGCGGCTATCTGTCGAAAGCGGCAGAGAGTAAAAGCGAGTACAGGTTTAATTTATCGAGTGAGGTATTGGGTAGTAACAAATAATTAGTAAGACTCTGAATAAAGTCGGGCGGCTTTGTTTCACTCGTTTGTGTTTCCTAGCACTCAAATCTGAGGTATACGAGTGCTACTTCTTGGTCTTATATTACATGATAATTTGTAGTAAACAGATGAACTTCGTGCTTCGACTTCTAATGCAGCTTGCTCTCTGGGATTGAAGATATATCTACCAGAAACACGATCTTTGGAGGAACGACACAATTAAGGAGAGGATCAAATCCATCCTGTACTTTTGATTCTCAGCAACGAAGGTCATGGCTACGTAGGCATAGCAGCTAGGTTTACATTATGATGATCATTTGCTGTCTTAAGAGTAAAGGAAGATATTCGGAACCGTTCTTAAGACATCTCCAACACGAACCACAGGCATGAACTCCTCAAAAAAAACATCACTATATCTTTATACGGCATCATTATCTCGAGCCAAGCAGCCTTCTCGTAAAGACAGCCACCCACGTGTCACCACAGCCCTATTACCCCACCTTTATGTCGTTGTGCTCAGAGACCCACCTTCCGGCCCGCAATTCGCTACGTTCCAATTGGATCGGTTAAGAAGATTCAACCCCCTTTCTACATATCCCACCCCCTGAATAGAGGCTATTCAGTGGGATTGTGCAGGCGCAGCCATTGACTGGTCGGTTGGCCTCGATATGTGAAATTTAGGACAAATTTTTATCTTTGCCACCTAAACCGCCTTTGAACCGGAAAGTTCTACTCGTCCAAAAAAATCCACATTACCCACCGTATTACCTTTAATCAGGGGGGGGATAGTATGCTACGCTAAGGACAAAAAGTGGCAGAACCTCTTGACTATTTTGCCGACTTGAATTATGATTAAGATAAGTAAGAACATTTAAACCTTCATCAGAGTAGATAAATGTCTAATTTACTCAAGATTAAATTCTTCTCGTAGCTGCCAAACACCCACCCGCCTCAAACTTTCTTCAAACTATGTTTTGCCGATATACGCGAATAGGTTATCATTTAGACTTAAACGTATAACAGCTGTAACCAACAGCCATACCACTAGAGGCTAAATAGACTCGAGATCACGAGGTACAATACCGAGGTGTAACATTTCCCGCTAAATCTTGAGAGCATCCTGAGCACGTCATAGAAGTTCTGAGAATATGCAACTTTAAGTCAATCCGTTTGCTTGATGGGTCCCTTGTTAGGTCAAAGAAAAAGAAAACGATCATCCCAAAAGGCTGGGAGATAATCTCACAATCACTAGTCACTCGAATTTCATATAATTAGCGCAGGGACCAACTCAAAATTCATAGTCTACATCGAACCCCCATCGCTTTGAAATCTACATCTCTAATAGTAGTTTAAACGAAACTTTACACAGAAATTCCAGAATTCCTCGAGGCAACATCGCAGCTAGTTGCTACTCATCTTCGTTAACGAGTAGTTTTAACCCTTACAACGGTTCAGACGCCAGCACCATTCAATTTTTATAAAGTCGGTAACTGCGGCGATTGCCCACTTTCCGTAGCACGCATCGGGACAGGATATCCTGATAATCTAAAACTCGAGAAATGGGTTTGCGAATCAAATTATATTACGAAGCTGGCGGGTAATACAAGTCCTGAAATCGACTAAATCATGGTGCCGGAGCTGATGTTCTCCATAGTATCATATTGGTTTGGCTAGACGTTCTTCAACAGGATATATTTGGTGTTTGTTGCCTCATCTTCAAATCACCAGCATATGCACCTGTTTCCGATGCAGAGGCGGCTACATACCACCTGGCAGAAGGCAATTAGGGTTAAATTGTTTGGATATCTTGTGTGCACTGATCCGAAGGTATGTACATTTCTGTTTCAACTGAATGTTCCCATATCTCCCGTGGTTAGCGACTCGTTGAGCAGGTTCGGGTACCTGCAACAGTGAATAGGTTAAAGCTGAGGTACATACCCCATATTCGGACGATAACAGTAGAAAGCTTGTTAATATAAACTCCTTGGTCGAAACCGAATAGACGAGCCATGTGTTTCACGCACTTCAATGCTCATAATAATCGAAAGGTCTAGGCTTACGTTATCGTGGGACTTTCTTCTAAGTGTGTGTGGGGTTTTTCATGTTTTTCATCGTGTCGCGGTGGGTCTCGTAATATATGAAAGCCTTCCAACTCTCGGCGGTTCAGTGACTTGCAAAAACCCAAATAGTATACCTGCCCTGCATTAGTTTGAGCCTTCAATGCTCTCCCAGAGCTCTCGAATGAAAGAGGATGGAATGAATATGGCGAGCGGTGTCCAACTAAGTCGGTGTTACACGGAACAAGTTGTGTCCATTTCAAAAATAATAACGGGGTAGGAAAATCCTCCTCCCCTCCCCAATAGGTCACATGATTGTGGCCAGATAGATCGTAGTTCCTCACCTATGTTTAGTATTTGATAATAGACTGTCACTTCTAGAAGGGCCCTTGAGGTGGGTAATTGATGGGTGATTATTTGCCCGCGAATTATGCTGTGACACAAGACTCACAGAGGATATGACTGCGAATATGGCTTTTGATTTCTTCATCGCCTGTCTTCCCACCGGATCACCACAGGAAAGGTGCATTTGAAAGTCTTCCTGGCCGCCTGGACGAACCGAGCTCCTCCAGCTACAAGAGCATCCTCCTTAATTTGTCCCTCACCCATGCTGTTCTGAAGAATTATCTGAATAACCCTCACGCCGCTTCGATATTCCGCTATCACAATGCCGCTTTCATACGCTCCGGAAAATCGTCAGCATACATCGCCAATAATACCTCGGAAAAATCGTCGAGTTCAATGACACGAAAACGACCATTCCATCTGCTCGTAAAAGATTTCGACCGATACTCCATGCTCAACCCATCCGACCATGCAAACAATTCAACATTCCATCCCTTTCGCAGGAAACGCTCAACCATTTTTAAGAACCCGCCAGAGTATTCTGCTTCTGCGCCGTCGCCACTAGCCAGGACAAGTGTCGAGGGTTCCTCAACATCTACCAGACTTTCTAACATCTTCATTTGTAATATTTCATCAACGCACTGCTCTTGACGAACCTGGGTTCCAGGGGTAGGCCCATCAGAGCCACTTGAATGGCCTGAGGTTGTGGCATACCCGTTTCCAGTTCCGTTTCTGTTTTTTCGAACCGGCGCTAAAGACTTCACCTTGAACACAGGTTCCAGGATGTTCAATTCGTACCCGCATTTTTCAGCGTCGTACATATGATCAGGTCGCCTTGCACGGTGGCCGTGCATTAGACCTCCATGAGACCCAGCCAAAACGCGTCGAAAGACTGGGCGGTTTCTTTCTAGTATAAAAGCTAAAGAATGAAATGCAATTGGAGGCATTTTCGGGCTGTTCCCTTTTCCAATCCCTCGAAGTTTTTTCAACTCATTGAAGAAGCCAATGTTGATATTGGAAAGATCAACGAACACGTGTAAGCCGTCTGACCGAACGTTCTCGCCCCACCTAGCCACGGCCAAGCTTGCATCGAAATCTTGCGCTAGCAATTTCTTCTCTCGCAGCTTTCTTACAAGCAGGGCCTTCTTTTCAGTGGCTGTCAGAGCGAGTCGTGGTTGTATCAAACGGGTATCGAGATAGCTAGGTGGCGTTAAAGAGAGGCTTGGTGGAGCAGCTGGGAGTATGGCGGGTATAAGGCCATGCTTCTTTGCCGACCGAAGAGTCATGTGAAACGTCGGTGTGGTGCTTCCTCCAGCAGAATGCTCCCCCCGGCTCTGCCCCATAACACTGTTGAATAGTAAATTGCCAAAGGCTCTGTCCTCCATTCGAATAAGCTTGCTCAGCTTTTCCACATCAACATCTGTAGCCGAGGGAGCAGCACTTCTTCTCCGCGTAGTCGAGAGTTCCAACCCACTGACCTCATCTTTCCATCGAACAGCTTTGTTTCTGTTGACGAAGTCGCTGAAGTCCTCACCCTCGGTTGCTTCGTCGGTATCGAGACCCTTGCCGACACCATCAGCGCCGTCCGAGGCGATTTCGGGGGCAGAAGATGGTGCGGTAGAGCCGGCTGATGAGATGGAAGAAGAGGAAGACTCAGTTGAGCCATGTCGAGAACGGTGCGGGTGGCTGCCAGTGGGCACACCACGAAATCGCCACAATCGATCGAAATCACCTAGCGAAGTCGGTTCGGATTCGGAAGGGTCATACGCGGCGACATCGAAGTTATCGGCGGCAGCATCCGTCGCGGCGTTGGGTCTGTCGAATGAGGTAGGTGACACTGTGAACGCTCGAAGCAGTCTGCGTGCAGCATCGAGGTTCCAGTCATTATTGATTGCAGTGGCGGCTTCTTCAGCCATGAGCTTGTGGACTGGAGTCTGAATTAGCGACCTGCATTGAGAAGATGATGAAGGAGGTACTCACTTTAATGTCGTGCTTGGAGAATAAGAGCTTCGATTCATGTTTGTGATGTGTGGTGATAGAAGAGGGTTGGAAGGACGCGGGATTATTTGTTGTAAGTAGAACAGACGTTGTTCGTAGACTCATCATTGACGGAACTCCCCCGCGAAACCAGTGGCGAAAGGTGGGTCCACCACAGCCGAGCCCCCCTCAAGCGCCCCTTTTGGAGACACAACCTACTGCTTCTGACGGGATGTACTTCTTCTAGGATGATAACAATTGAACCATAGGATCGATGCACTCGTTTGATTACCAAGCCAAATATCTGTCTTCGCATAATCGAAAAGGTATGTCGAAAGCCGTCGGCTCCTGTGTTAGATGCGGTATGGGAGGGCTAGTTGTCCGACTCAAGTTCCGGTTCTGAGGTGCGAGAAGCGTGGCAAGAAGGTAGAAAATGAGTTTCACTTGGAAAATAACTACTAAGGTAGAACTTTGCATTCTTTGTCTGCAGCTAAGTGCGTGCGGTCCATTTGTGAGAAAGCTCCGTAGTCTGCTCTAAAGCTCTTTGCGGCACGTGATGCCAAGAGCGCAAGGAGCCGAAATCAAAGGGAAACAAAGGGGGTATTGTGATTTCTTACTAAATTCATCAAGGTCTTCCTGCATACCGCCTCCAGTCGGCCCATCGGACTCAGATTTCATCGAATGTGCTTACAGACAATTTAGGAAAACGTCTCCATAGTCGCCCACCATCCCGCAACCAAGCATAAAAGTAAGAACTCCTCCCAAATCATCATGAAATCATAAATTACCATCCATCCCAAGACATCTTCAATGATACTAATAAGGGGATTCAACGATATCGTCCTTGCCCAGCTTATAGTTTGAACTCTCTCTCGTGCCTAATCGGCCAGCATCGCTTCTCCGGCCGCCGAGGCGAATTTGAGCAGGATTCATAATGCTCTCCCTTGTGGGCTTCTTGAAGGATTGCTTAGCCACCATATTAACTTCATTCGGCAAAGCAACGATGACATTTTTGTCGCTGCCGTATTTGAAATTATCAGCTTTCACTTCCTCAGCGTAACGCTTAATACTGTATGGATCTTTACTGCCGCGGAGAACCTTCTTCATGTTCCAGGTGACAATGAAAGGTCCCGTTGCAGTGATGATAGAGGTCTCTGAGATGCCTTCACCAGTGTTAAAGCGAGCAGTTGTGAATGACAGCGGTGCACCAGTTTCGTGTTGAAACTGGGCGACGTGAGATGGGGTCAGACCAAGTCGGCGAGGCTGGGGTTTAGAGTCTTTGCCAAACGACTTCTCGAAACCCAACTTGCCCTCATTCTTCCCGGTTTTCTGCAGAGCGTCGATGAGGAGTAGATATGTTCTGCATGTTGCTAGAACCCATCTCCCGTCAGCACTGACATCGAGACCAATAATTGGTTCACCAAGAGCCGGAATGTGAGTTTTGGCGTTGATGCCGAGGCGATCGAACATACGAATGTCACCTTTGTTGCTAGCAACTGCAATGTATCCCTTATCGGTTGTTGCTGCAGCGGAGAAGTCGTTTTTGGAAACATATTGCTTGAGTTCAGAGTCGACAAGCTTGTTGCCAGCTAGACGGGGATCAATGCGGTACAAGGCATTTCGAGATAAGCCCAGGAACGTTTGCTCCCCAGTCATCTGAGCAAACTTGCTCTCGGGTGCAAATGTGTTGACGGGTATATCGTCGTGCACCTTCCACTCGTCCACAATCTTTCCGTACTCCAGATCCATTCGGTAGAGGGAATTTGGATCGCCTTCATTTTGTAAAATCATATTGGTGTCTTCTGCGTGCAACATAACCTTCTTAGGGTTGAAGAGTTTGCCACCTGGTGTTTCAACCTTTGAGATGTTTGTTGAGAATTCCAGATTGTTGTTTGGTGTATGCTTGAATACTCCTATTTTTGATCCTCGAACGACAAAAGACCGGTCGTGTTTGTATCCAACTGCCAGCTGTGAGTTCACATTTCCGTCGTCCGGAACTCCTCCGATGTCATCGTCCTCCTCATCGGTATCGTACTCCTCTTTTCGCTGAGCATCGTCTTCTAGCTCCTCTTCTTCATATTCTTCTTCCTCGGCTGGGTCTTCCGCATCGTCCATTGCTAAATCCTGGAAAGCTTCGAGAACATAGTCGCGATCGTCGTCCTTCGTTTTGTTCCATTTTATCTCATTCAACTGCTCCCACAAGGCCTGCATTAGAGCTTCTTGGAACCGCGTCAATGTCGCCTCATCTTTGAACCGCAATAGCCAAGAGTATGCATCGCCATTTTCGGAATAGGCGTTGAAAATGCAAGACAAATATTCGAAGCTGAAGACTGGGTTAATGTCTGCAATGATGCTTTGTCCAAGCCAATCCCGGTCTTTGCTAGCAATTTGCAGCCAATAATGCCAGTTACCAACCTCCGACACCGTGGCGGATACAGCAGCATCCTGAATAATGAAGGAGCCAGATTGGAAGTCGAATAGATGAAGCTCTCCAGACTCCTCCCCAAGAATAGATCGTGGCTCGGGGTGGGCAGCCACTGGCGGTGCTGCCGTAGGCCCTTCGTCGATTGGAGAAGGTGACCGCTGCTTCCTCGATCTCAGAGGAGAGACATCTCGCTTCAAAGCAGAGTCTGCTGTACTTCTAGCGTTGAGAGGCATCGTGTGAACAGGCGAGAGTGTTTCCGGACTATAAGATGGGCTCTGTACAGGGCTCGCACTGGGTATCGGAGGTTCGTCGACGAAGGTAAATTGCGCAAGATCTTGCGTGGTGGCGGTTGTGTGGTTCTTACGATGCTTCCGCTCGTACTGGCAGCGTACAGCGGTAAGTTCAAAGGCTTGCACTTGAGCTTCTTCCACCGATGTGTCGCAAACGAATTCGTAAAGATCTCCTGCGTCGCCACTTAGATCCCGCCAGGCTAGAACCTTTTCTCCCCCTTCGCGGATCTCTGATCGGAAATGAAGCTCCTCGTCGAGCAGAAACGTTTTCTCGTCTCGTTCCCCAGCCAACGTAGCTGATTCAGCGTCTTCCTCGTCCAAAAGTTCCTCTTCGCCTTCCTCGTATGCTCTCTGTATAACAAGTTGGTATTGGAATTCCTGGTTCGTCTTCCGAATTCGTGCGGCACCGTCTTTGAATATAAGCTCTGAATAACCTTTCATAGACCGCGGGCGAACAAGATAAAGTTGTCCCTGAGCAATTTCGATCATGGATTCCTTGGACCCGTCCCCAAAAATGAGTTTCCCCACTGTGTTGAATGTTAGCAGAGTAGCGGCAGCCAGAGGCGCACTTCGACGGGAAATAGTTTGTGGTTTGCTTTCGACGCGATCAATGGCGGGGAAAATGAAACCATAAACAAGGCTAAACTAACCATTTCGGAGAACGAACATTCTTGATGCAGTCAATGTTCTCCGGCGGAGGGAAACAAGTAGAAAAGCTTCAAGAGTCTGTGGGAGGATTTGCTGCTTTGGGGCACGTAGGGTGCAGGTGGTGATATGATGCCAAACGACAGGAATATCTTGCTTTTGAATATTGGAGGGGAACTGCACAAGTAGGCAACCCACGTCGCGACTCCACAATGTGGCGGGAGCCAGCGTCACGTGTTTCATGCACCCTGTCAGTGATGTGGCTTGTCTTGGGGCGAATCAAGTCACCAATAGGTAGGTACCAGATAAAGCAAGACCACGGGTGGTGAAGTAAGAAAGCAAAAAGCAAGTTAGATCGGAACCAACTAGATTAGGCATGTGAGTTGCTTCCACCATCTCGTGATTGCTTCAAATCTTGTCGTTCATCAACTATTAATACCTCTCAATTATTGCAATGTTGCCAAAATAAGCCTAAAACTCCTCCCACAACTCCTATCATATGTCATGGTATTCCCATTCTTTGGGAAGTGTATACCCCCTAAACGCCTGTTCCAAAATTTCCACTGAGCCCAGCAGAGTACCAGCAATATAATTCCCGTATGTTTTCAATATGTATTCCCAATTTTGAATCGTAAATCCCCAGCAATATCGCTCATCTCCGCCATGCTTCCCTGCTCAGCATGATCTACCCCTTTTCTAGCAAGAATCTCTTTATAGGCCCAGCCCTTTCTCTCTCTGATAGTTCGGACGCCACTTCCACTAACAGTGATGTCTCCCGACACAGTCTTCGCATGTACAGAACCCTCCCAGCCGCTGGGGTAGACGACGGCTACGCTTGCGGAGTTGGAAGTGTGCTTTGACTGAAGAGTACGAAGTTTCTTAACTGAAAGTATAGCTGAGTGTCGATAGAGGGCTCGGGTGGGCGGGATGGTCAGGTATGGCTCATGATCGCCGATTGGATTGTAGAAGTCTGGTGCTGGAGTTGCTTTACCGACAGTTTGTTCTGCCGATGAAATGCGAGCGATGAAAATGGGATCAAGAACTTCGACATCAGTACTACCGCTCACGGTATGTGTCTCGAAGCGGCAAGGATATATGACGCTTCCTGAGTCTTCTGAGGGTATGATGGGTAAAGTGCGTAGTTTCAAGCTTCCCGTGGTGCTTTTGAAGCTTCCCAATGATCCAAGATAGAAAAACCCTCTGATGGCTCCCGAATTCGAGTGCACATTCGTAATATAATTGCGAGGCGGGATGATATAATCGGGATTGACCTCGCTTGCGACAGGTACACTTATCTGAATCGATCCGGACGCGGTTTGTACCTCTAAATCAGCTGGAGCTGGGGCATCTGGAAGCACCTTTTGCGGAAGTACCCCAACGCTGATAGATCCAGATTGCGAAGAAAGTCCTAGGAAATCCAAGAGTGGGTACACGCCATTTATTTCGCCAGTAACAGTCTCTACCAAGATTCGACGGGATGCAAATGGATGTATTGGGTCGGGGGTGGATAAGCTCAAGAGCAGATCTTGGGTGTAGGTCTCCGAGCCATCCATTACTACAGGCAAATGCGAGCGGGCTATTTTTTCAACAGGTAGCAACGCCATGTCTTCCAACAGGGGGAACCAAATATCACCACTTATTGAAGCGATCTTGGTTTCACCAGACACATTGATATCAATGTCGTCGATAATCCTGGTATCAAGTGAAATACTTCCTAAGCTAATGTCTTCAAATACAGCACCTTCTGGGACCCAAGCAGTGATCTCAAGTGATATACAATGTGATATTGAGGGGTCGAGATCCGCGTATTTGGGAGTACTGATCTTGAGGATCCGTGAAGATTCATCCCAAGTTCGCACGACCTGTAAAGCAGAGTCACTGACGTGAACGTTAACTGTGAAATGTGGCCGATCGCCGTGCTCAAACGATTGATTGAGCGCCCGCATTCTGATTTCTCCTGTGGTTTGCACTCTTGCTAATCGTCGAGACCGGTCATTATCGTGAGTGATTTGCAGGACTTTCAAGTCGCCACCGACTGGAAATTCGTACACGACGGGGTCCCTCCGAATTGTGGCCGATGAACAATACGGACCGGTATCATCAAGTAGCCTCTCTTTGGTCGGTCTACCTAAACGTGGTGAATTCTGAAGAATTGACATTAGCATCTAAAAAGCCAATGCGCACTCATTCGCACATGAGTTGGTCAGATGAACATCGGCCATGAAGGCCGAAACAACCAGAAGGAACAACAGAGTACGTATGCATAGGGGTCGGCAAACTCACGTTGGTTTTGACATGAAACAGCGTAACAATCGTTCCAACTAACGCAATAAATACGACCGCAAGAACGAATACACGCTTAAGGGCAGTACTCCTGGACGGCTTCACACTCTCATCTCCCCTGAGGGGTGTCCTCTCGTCGAGATTCCCCCCAGCTTCTCCGCCCATGCTTTCTGGCGTCCGTAAGGGAAGCAGAAATCCGCGTTCTAGTTGAGGTTGTTCTGAGAACGTACTATATCTCCTAGGTGATTGGGGCTCCTGAAGAGGCCGCGACGAAGCATCACTTGGAGTGTATCTAGAGGAAGTGGGTTGAAATACGGGGTTTGGAGTAGGGTTGCGCGTATAGGCCGGGGGAGGGCCACCCATTGCTGCTTGCTCATTAGGTTCTCTAGAGGGCTCGAGGGAAGGCCCAGTCTCCGTGTGTCTTGGGAGAGGAGTAGCATTTGACATGGTATCTTCCACTGACATCGCATGTGGCCCTAAGGGAGGGAACTGCGAAAGAGCGGGATGATTCGCCGCTGTTGACGGTCTTGGGGTCCCTCGAGCGTTTGGTATAGGAACTAGCACCTTCGGTTCTGGTGTTTTGTCGTCTTGAAGCTGCGGGTCGTGAAGCATCGCACGGGGGGCCATCTCCCCGCGATGGAAATATCCATTCGTGGGAGTCAATTCTTCACTAAAAGATTCTCCATCTGAATCGTCGGCCGAATACAGATTGTCGGAAACGGGCATCTTGCAACTCCGAGTCGCAGCCTAAAAAGGGTGCCCACGCGTTGCACAGCGGGAAAGCGAAGATGCTTGCCTCCAAAAAGCGATGACCACGAAGGAGCGAGAAGCCTCGAAGAGTTGAAAGAAAGATACAGGTGCTCCGCAATGTGAGTGCTCCTGTCAGCACTGGCGCGATGCAGTCATTACGCTCTGGGGCCGCGTGGGCTGTGCCAGAATGATGCCTGGTTGAGCTGATCGCCAGTTCCAGCCGACGAGGGTGGGATTGCCACGTGACTTGGTATCTGTCAGATATTTCCTTGTTGATCTCGTTCTGCCGCGGCTGCTGTTGTTTCTACTTACCTAAAACAAAAGAAACACAGCCCTATTACCTAAATCTGTAATAGCACATGCTCAAACGGATTGGTGTATCGATAGGTCACGTTTCTAGAATGTCGACCCACACAGGATAAATAAGATCTTTGACGACCTCGAGACTTCTCGGGCGGGGCATCTTGAGCTTACCTAGGTACAGGTAGTTATCAAGATAGATAAAGTCCTCCGTTAGTTTACTCGTTGCAGTTATACATGCGGAGAGCGGGCTTTGATCGCAGGGATGGTGACTTTGATGCCATCAATGACCAATGGATGGTTACCTACCTACCTAGACGCAGGATGATTAGTTGGATGTAGAGGTGGGCTTGCAGTAGGCACGCTTCTCAAAGCAACCAGTGCTTAGTCACGTGACTTTACAACAGGTCTTGAAATTATCTTTTGGTTTTGATCTTCGTAACTCCTTTCAACCATTCGTAAGGGGTGTTCACCCCTTCTTCCAGTTTGTATGATCATGTTTCGAAACGCCGCTCCCCATTTCGGAGTTTCGGCATCTTGTAGTTGTGTTGAAACATTACCTTGAAACATTACCAGGTCGAGAAGGGAGGAGATTATCTTCAAATGAATCTCCATTCGGGAACAACAAAGAAAACTGTTCAATACATCTTGACTCTGGTAGCGGCGTACGACCTCGAGAACGAACGGAATGAAGACGGGGTTGATGCGACAGGTTCTGTGAGCCATAAGATCAAGTTCCGTAAAAGAAACTGCGGTGCTTGAAGAAACCATTTTCAAGTTGTATAAGACCATCGTCGCATGTTGCCTGCCGCCTATTTCGAGAATACCAAGAAACAAACACCCAAAGACCTCGAGTCTCGTTCAGCCGCAAGATATTTTGGAGAAGCATGGAGAACGCACCGGTCCGCTGCTAAGCCAAGTGCTTCAGGCGGATACTGAGCAGAATCGTAATCTGTACCAATACCCGACATCCACATGAGTGGTGGCAGAGCTCATCACGGCATGAACATAGCTGCTGAACAACCTGTGCAAGCGGGACGTGGCGGAAGATCACTATTACTGGTGCGGTGCACGCTTTCGATGGCTTGCTAACCCGACCTCGAGTAGCATTAAGACTTCACAACTAAATCATAGGTGACACGACCGTTCGTAAAACAGAGACTGGTCATGGAACGGGACTGATTGTGATGTGGTGTATTGAGATACAACAGCAAATGCCAACCCGTCCTTGAAATCCGACTGCCGGGGCATCCTGCGTCCTCGTACGAAGACGAAATTACGTCCTCATACACCTCATACACCTCAGACTGTTTATTACACGACCGTATGCGCGAAGCCAGCCATGTGTTGTCTCATCACTCGCAGCAGAGCGTGAGTGGGTTGGAGAAGCGACACCGGGGCAGCCAGACGTTCTGTACAGAAAGTACGAGTGTGAGTTTGGATTTGCCCTATAAATACACCTGATTAGCAAGGGCGGTGCCGTACGAAGGGGAAAATACACCAATGCGACCAAAACGACGATCGTACAAAACAAAGGAAGACTGAGAAAAGTTTGTACCCGCAGACTCTGGCTGTATAAATCTGTTGCGGCCTGCTCAACGATTCCCTTGTCCGTACAATTCCATATTCTGTGTCTCTCGGTTCAATACTTGGATCTTAGACTCCCGAGGTCTATACATTCCATTGTCTCTCGGCTCATACTTGGATCTTGCCTCTAGACTCTATATCTACACCCATCTCACTATGGCGTCGACGCAATCGGCTCCCATCACGAAAGTCCTCCTGGTCGGAGCAAACGGCACCCTTGGTAGATTCATCCTCCAAGCCCTCCTCCACGCTGCATGCTTCGAGGTCTCCCTGCTGCGTCGCTCCATGGATGCTTTGTCTCCGGCGGGCGCGGCCGTGAGGGACGTCGTGGTCTCGCCGGCCATGTCTCGAGAGGAGCTCGTCGCGGCCTGCGAGGGCCATGACGCCGTCATCACCGCGTTCCAGATCCACGACGTCACTCACCATCTGCGCCTGGTCGAGGCCGCCTTCGTGGCCGGTGTCCGTCGCTACATTCCGGCCGACTTCGGGAGCTGTGAATCCTCAAGCCCGCAGGCGCTGCACTATTTTCCCCATGTACGGCAAAAAGATCCGACTACGAAGAAAGCTGGAAGAACTCGCCGACAAGGCCATCAGCGAAGACAACCCGTTCACGTGGACATCGATTGTCAACGGGCACTTCTTCGACTACGGGCTCGAGGACGGGCTTCTGCATTTCAACCTTGACACGCATGTAGCGCAGCTTCTCGACGGAGGCAGCATTAGGGCGTCCACGTCGACGCTGCCTCGTGTGGCCGAGGCGGTGGTGCGGGTATTACAACGGCCCAACGAGACACGCAACCGTGCCATCTACGTGCAGAGCTTCTGCCCGACGCAGCTCGAGATACTCGCAGCATTGGAGCGCGCGACAGGCACCCAGTGGCGTACGGAACACATTGACTCCAAAGCGTACCTCGAGGAAAACAGCAAGCTGCTAGCGACAGACTATCACAAGGCTAGTTTTGGGATTGTCTTTGTGCTGGGAACCACGGATGCAGACTGGACGCAACGGGAAGGGTTTGCGATGGAGTTGCTTGGACTGAAGGACGAGAATCTTGACGACGTGGTGGCTGCCGTGGTAGCCAAGAACAGGGCAAAGGCCGATGCTACATAGTTTCCGTTTCGATAGTACCAATCATTCCATGACCATTTCTTCCGTTGAACCGTGGTCGATAACAAGGAGGCGGCGACACTTCGAGGAAAATTGTCTCCGGTGTTTTAAAACAGCACTCTATATGCGTAGTATCAACGGCACTTGTTCATTTATGAATGGCACCCTTTTCTTTTGATACATGATCGGCGTGCGTGGTGCGACTCCAAAGTCATAATTGTAAGTTTGCAGCTGGATTACAATAGTTTCCTTAAATCCACCACCTTCACCATTTCCAGTCCCCAATGATTGAAAAAGCTAATACGGCTGTGATCCCAGAAATGACTGAGAACACAACACCCATGAGTCCATAGCCAATCGTGCCCCATAGAATTGCCCCTACAGTGGGACCAATTGTTAGCCCTCCAAAGAAGAAAAGGCAATTGAATCCATATAGTTGAGCGTAGGGTCCATGTTCTCCAAATAATCCGGGATTAGACGCCTCGTACCTTTTCGTGATATGAACTGCTTCCACAAAAGCCGGCGTACTGACCATTGACAACCCAATACCATTTAATGCCAGAATAATGCAGAACAAGGCGATGTTAGCATCTCCAACAAACAATTTCCGTGAAGGCAGACCCAGGAGAGCGAGACACGGGACTAAGAAGGCAAATCCGACGGTTGCCACAGTCCTTGTCCCATACTTGTCTACCGACTTACCCACCGCATGGCTAAGTGTGAGGTGTGGCACAAAGAGTGCTATGAAAAGGAGTCCGACCTTTTGAGATGAGAATTGGAACAGAGACTGTGCTTCGATTGGCACAGTAGCGTCAAAGATCCCTCTAAACGAGGCTTGAACTAAAGTCAGCACGAATGCCACTGTAAACCTTGGTTCGCAAAAGCAGTAAAGCAATGGCACTCTTCGCGCCAGACTGCCAACTTCTCCATGGATCTTGTAACCCTCGTTGTCAATAGAAGGCAGCAGAGCTTCATCTTCACGAGCATCTGCTTCGTCACAAACTGCTCTCCTCGACTCACCAGCACAGGCCACCTTGTAAGCCGCCATTGTCTTCTTGTCGAGAACGAGAATCCGCAAAATAACGTCAACTCCTAGAATTCCTATTGCAACTCCGAAAACTCCAGTGATCCCAACTTTTCGTATAGTACTCCTCCTACAACCGGGGCAGTGACTTCGCCAACAGAAATGACGGCAAAAATCTGAACATGTTAGCTAAATTCTGTCAATGTTTCGAGGGCAGGGAGATGCCTACTAGACCGAGCACCTGGCCAATCTTTCGGGGCGAGGTTGTATCCTGAACCATAGCAAGGCCTGTCGTCCAAACGACTGGGGCAGCTATCCCTTGAACTAATCTTGCAATGATCAAGACAGAAATACTCTGTCCAAATGCCAGTGCGGTTGTAGCGAACAACTGTAATAATAGCCCGGCAAGAAAAGGTCGTTGTCGAGTGCCAATCTTATCCGTAATCCATCCAATCGGAATGGCAAATATAAGGGACGGCGCTGCATACGCCACAAGCAAACTAGAGGTATATGCTTGAATGTGGTTGTCTGGAATAGAAAGGCGATCTTGTAGTAGGAATGGTAATATTGGTACCATAATGCCGTAAAGAAAAAGGTCTGTGAAGAGGCCGATCGCTACCGTCGTTACAACAAATGATGGCTTCGACCGCCAACGAAACCCCTACGGCATAGCATCTACCATCTTGACAAGATCCGAGTCGATTCTCACTTAAGCAAGATGCGAATGAGAGCAATGTAAATGGACAGATTATTGCAACTACGCACAGCAGGCTTCGTGCTTACCCCTTCCACGCTTTGTACATGATTTCTGGACATGCATGTCGATCATGATTCATGAAACTCTACCAGCTTCTACATGCGTGGTACACACCAAATCGGCTTAATTAGGACCGGATTGTACTATGAATGAAGTGGTACACAGCAAGTAATAAATATGAAGTGCTTTCGTGGTTTGTCCTTCTGCTTGATATCGCAAGGGCTGCCGATCGAGGGCTGTGGCCCTGTGTTATGCAACTTGTGTTCCGGATGTGATAGGACATAGGTACTCTGCTGGTGAGAGCAAGGAAAAAGATACCTACATTACGTTTTTCATCCAGTGTCCAGGATCCACTACAGTAAATGGCCAGTTCGGGTGAGACACAGATGTAACAAGTCTGTGCATTGAGTACACACTACCATATTTCTGCTCGAGAACCACAAAATAATTGCATTAAAGCTGCGACATCCCATCTTGTCTCATCCGAGCTAACTATACACTAGTGAGGTAGGTGGTTGAGATTTCTGGATACACCAAATAAGTAGTCTATAAGTAGTTACACGTTGGCTGTGCTACTTTACGATAACTATAGTGTGACAATCCAAAACACAGCTAAGGTGATACGGTATGTTTTCCGAGATGTAACATTTAGTGGCACCCCTAAAGAGTGGTTCTCTCCGTTCTCTGTCAGTAGTCTGTCTCGTTTAATTGTTTTATTTTTCGTCAAGTATTATCGTTTGAAAGCTGTAGCTAAGACTTTACGACCTATCTCTTATATTAGAACTACTATAATCTCGGCTATTGATGACTAATTGGCCAGGAAACAATAATCGAGATGGGAATAACTTTCCCCTGCCAGATCAACAAGTGTCCTCAGTATACCGCGAGCTATTGTCTACTACCACTACCCAGCGATACGAAGATTCCAAGGCCGATACTACGACGAACAATACTCTTCAAAGGCTTATCATTAATTTCATTTTATGCCTCTTGTCTGCTTTTTTATCTCGCCAGAGTACATCTCCCCAGTCGAGACTCTCTAGCCGCTTGCTTTGTCTCCAAGAATGTTCCATTCGTAGTCGAGAGCTCTGAGGGGTGGAATCACAAAGTCATTCCTTGGAATGTCCGCTTGAACTACACGCCCGTCGCGATAGCAATACCGCAATCCGCTGACCAGATCAAAGCTGCAGTGTCTTGTGGCATCAGAAGCGGTTTGCGAGTCAGCGCCAAGAGCGGCGGCCACAGTTTCGGTTCTTATGGCTTGGGGGGTGAGGATGGGCATCTGGTGATTGAACTGGACCGGATGGATAGGATTACCCTTCACAGAGACGGTACTGCAAGAATCGAACCTGGTGCTCGGTTAGGGAATGTTGTGGTGGAACTATACAATCAAGGGCGTCGGGCGATTTCTCATGGCTCATGTCCCGGGTTAGTGTTCTCTTTTTCTACTGCAATAACGTTGCACAGCTAATCAAAGTAGAGTTGGCCTTGCAGGGCATGTTTTACGTGGTGGCTATGGGATTGCCTCACGACTTCATGGCCTTACGCTTGATTGGTTAATTGGTGCAACGGTTGTTCTCGCTGACGGTTCCAGCGCCCATTGTTCAGCGACCGAGAATACAGACCTGTTCTGGGCAGTTCGTGGCGCCGGGTCGTCTTTCGGTATCGTTGCTGAGTTCGAGTTTAGTACTTTCGAAGCACCTAACCATGTCACTCCATTTACAATTGATCTATTCTGGAACGAGGCACAAGCGGTCGAGGGATTCGAAGCCCTCCAAGACTTTGCCATTTCAGCTCCAAGAGAGCTTAATCAATGGCTTTTCATGGACGGAGCTAGTCAAAGCATTCAGGGGGTTTATTTCGGAGACCGCAATGGCCTCGATAAGGCAATTCAGCCCTTCCTCGCACGTATCAAAGCAAAAGTATCACATGCAAGCACAATGGGATGGATTAAGGCACACGAGCATTTTGCTAACGGTGAAAACCTCAAGCAAACGTATTCATATAACTCGGTATGCTATGAACCCCCAACAGGGCAAATAAGTGGAAGTAATGAGTTTGCAGCATAAAACATTCTATGGGACTAGTCTCATGGCCACTGCTATTACGAAAAATCACATCAAGACATTTATGTCTGCCATCTTTGCTAATATCAACGATACCTCGGCACGCCATTCGTGGGATTTTACCGTCGCATTTCACGGTGGTGGTGCATCAGCCATTGCTGATATTGATCCATCAGCAACAGCATACGTCCATCGCGATAAGCTTCTCCTCTATCAGTTCTCTGATATTGAGACACACGGCCAATATCCAGAAGATGGCTTCGCTGTCCTTCAGCAGTTCAGGAAGAGCGTCACAGATTCATTGGATGATGGAAAGTGGGGGATGTACGCTAACTACGTGGACACGCAAATAGATGTAGATACTGCCCAGAAGCTGTATTGGGGACGCAACCTACTTCGATTACAGAGTATTAAAACGAAGCTGGATCCAAACCAGGTGTTTTGGGACCCTTCAAGCATTCGTCCTTTACCATAGTTCGTAGTTACATAGAATAGCCTCATCGACTCTCTCGTATTCTAAACAAGCCCTATATCTAATAAATAGTACTCTCGTTTACCCAATAGCTTGCTCGGAAAAGTCGGCTCGCCGGAAGAATGTAGCACTGCCTTTGGTGTTGTTAGCACTCCCCATTGCCTCTCCTGCCATTCCTTTACTAGGTAGATGCAGAAATCCCGCCCTGCCCAAAGACTCGGCGGTTCTCCTAAGAGCAATCTTCAACCCTAAAGGGGTATCGCTAGTTCGACACCATACCTCCTTGACTTTTCCTTCTGCCTGGACCTTCTGACGGTCGAGTATGTGCGCCAATGGCCATAGGGGATGTCGCTCCCCTTCTTGTTGAATGTCAGCGCGAACTACACCGAGCCACTCACGAGCGCTCATGGCTCGGAGCGGGTGTCCCATCCCGCTAACTATACTCCAAATCCCACCCCATGTTATACCATCCATGATTGGTCTCACCGTCTTAGATCCTGCTTCAGAGCTGACCTGCAACGCGGACTTGATGATGGTGGCCGCTGCAGTCGTCGCGTCAGCTACTGGTAGCCACGTACTCGCCTCGTCCGCATTGTACGCACCAACTCTGATACACGCTGCTACGAGCCGCCAGACGTAGTCATCAGCATTTCCAATGCCTTCAGTAGGAGTACCTACAACATATCCAGGGCTCACAACGGCAAGACGTCTTGATGCACACGCATCGCGGCCCGCTGCCCGCTTAATCAACGCCTCAGAAACAAACTTGGTCTGGCTATACGCGATTGAGTCGACATGAACGAGACTACGGGCTACGTCCTCTTCTGTCTGGTCTTCCGAGTCGGCTGTGCGTCGGTTAGACACATAGACGAACCTCATCGAAGGGGATGACAATGCGAGGACAAGCAGATCGACAGTCGAACACACGTTGGTGGCCTCCAACGCATGGTAACTCTTCGCCCAGTGCACCGCCACGCCGTTGTGTATAATAACATCGACTGACTTGCCGTCTGTGAGGAGATCCCAATTGGTTGAGTCGAGTCCCAAGCGAGGCAACGACAGATCACCTACCCAGACGTCAAGCTGTTTGTCATGAAGCTCTGTCCACCAGAGAGATTTCTTTGCCGCATCTATTACACGCGCTCTGGCTAAGGCTGGTGCTTTGCCGCGTACTAGGCAAATGACACGATCTACCTGCCTGTGCTCGAGGAGCTGCCGAAGAATTTGCGTGCCCATGTAGCCACTGGCGCCAGTGAGAAATACCGTAGATCCGGTTATGCCCTTTGTTGGGTCGCCTTCTACCATGGCAGCTATTTTGATTTTTACCTGGTGTTGAGAGATTCGAGAGTCATGCCGGTTTATTTCCGCTATAGTGTCGACGGAAGCAGCATGCAACGAGTTCTTGGGCCTCTGTGAAACAGTTTCCTGCATGTTCCCTACAGACCTTGCCAAGCTGCGAATACTTGTCTTCTCGTTCATGAGTTGCTGCATGCTGATCTTGGCGCCGAACCTTTCTGAGATGAAGTACATGAGGGACATAATATTTATTGAATCGAGACCAAAGGAGGCCAGAATCACGTTATGGAAAGCTTTGTCGAGCCTCGATGCTCCGTTGACTACCTCAACCACATTGCGGTAACACTCGGGGAGAATGGAGGCTATCTTTTGCGCGAGGGCATAAGCTGGCTGTTCAGTCTGTAGTATCTCTTCCTCGCTACTTGATTCCGCTGAAGTTCTTGCCATCGAGTTCGACGAGAGTTCTGGGCTGTTTGACAGGACTGATCGTCCAATCTCGCGCAAAACTCTGCGGTTTATCTTCCCCGTAGCTGTCATAGGCAGGCCCTCCACAGAAACCAAAACAGCTGGCATCATGTAGTTTGGAAGACGCTTTGACAATCTGTCTTCTAAGAACGCAGCCATAGGAACAATTTTGGCAGGTATGGATTCTGACTGGCTGATGGTGGTGTCTCGATCATTCCTGCAGATGAATGCTGCCAATAACGGCAGCGACCTATCTGCCTCCAGCTGAATAACCTCTGCCACAACCTGGTTCATGCCGCCCATACACTCCTGGAGGCAACTTTCAACCTCCCCTAGCTCGACACGCTGTCCGCGGATCTTGACTTGTGTATCCTTCCGGCCAACGTACGATATACTCCCGTCTTCATGATAACGTACCAGATCACCTGTCTTGTAAAGGCGCCCCCGCCGCCCTTGGTGGACTGAAGAGCCACGAAGTTGCCATACCGGGTCGCAAATGAATGACGCTGCAGTTTTCTGCTCGTCTTTTAGATAGCCACGGCCAACAATTGGTCCTTCAATCAATAGTTCGCCAGTGCACCCAGGCACTAAAAGACGACCATCGTTCTCTGGGTCAACAACCCAGGTCACAGCTCCAGCTCCTTTCCCTATCCGAGTAGCCTCGTCTGGGCAGGATGCCGTGTTATTAACGACACATATATGGCATTCGGCAGGCCCATAAGCATTGATGACATGGACCTTTCCCCACCATCGTTCACAGCTTTCAACTGTAGCTGCCTCGCCAGCAAATATTATTGTCTTCAAGTCGGGCAGCATCTGTGGATCCAGAAGGCCAGCAACGGTCGGTGTTAGATCAACAATTGTAGCCCGCATGTCAATCATGACCCTGGCCAAATTATCCCGTCGGTCTTTCTCAGATGGAATGCACAGGCACCCACCTGCAACAAAGGTGGCAAATGCATTATGGATTGCAATATCGAATGCATACGAGGCGAAGTCAAAGACCCTGGATTCAGGTAAGAACTTGAGAAGGTCCAGCTGATAGCCCACGCTGGAGCAAAAATTCTCGTGTGTCAAAACGACTCCCTTGGGGTTACCTGTGCTGCCAGACGTGAACACAGCAAACATCGCAGTTGAGGGTGGTTGTGGGTTTGCGCAGGCTGTTGGGACAGACTCGGCGGGTTTTGGTAAACCTGGGCCAACCTCGACAACCCTCTTAGACAGCCGCGAGCTCAACTTTTTATTGGTCACAGATGAAAGCAAGATGCCCGAGTCTACTTGTTCAACCATATGCCGAAGTCGTTGTTCTGGAAGACCCGGATCAAGCAACACAATGCCTCCACCTGCCTTGAGGACGCCTAGCATGGCAACCGTCACCCATTTGGACTTTTCGAAACACAGAGGAACCAGCGTATCAGCATGAATGCCGAGATTGATGAGCTGGGCTGCCAAGCTTGTCGCACGTTGGTCTAGTTCCAAATAAGTTAAGTCGCCATCCCAAGCACACACAGCCGGCGCCTCGGGCTGGATTTGTGACCTTTCTGCAATCATTTCGTGGACACATCTCTGGACTGACGCAGGAACAGCCTTGTTCCACGACCATATGCTTTGCAGGTCATGTGGACTGACTATATCAATGTCCAGCAACGTCGTCTGAGTGCCTGCACCTGCAAGTTGACAGAGGACATGTTCGAGACGCGCCTGCATCCCCTGGGCGGCCCAACTTGCTATGGCTTTCAAATCGAGCCAGACTATGGTTGTAAATTTGCTTAAGCCTACTTGTAGATCAAGAGTAATAACATGCTGGGCAACCTCAGAGAATTGGATATTCTCCCGCAGCGTTTCGACCAAGTGTTGGGTAAATATCTGATCTTTAGCTCCAACAAGAAGCATTGTCTGCGGCAGGGACGTGTTTTCGCCATCAAGGATTGTTTTTTCATTCGAGTCTTGACCGGCCTGCCCCGGAAATCTCAAATCTGCGATTTGTTGTTGAACGGTTTCGCGGTATGATAAAGCCGTCTGGCTGTTTGAGAGCTTGATAACCATCGGGTTAGATGTAATGTAAGCGGCGGGGCAGCCTTCTTCTCCAGATATTCTCTTATCGGCAGTGACAACGTTAAGTATGACATTTTCGGAATTTGTTATGCGACCAACGGTCATGGCCCATGATGCATAGATGATGGTTGATTCCGATTTATCGAAGGAATGCTCGTGGGGATACATGACAGCTTCATCCACCACTGGCTGCTTCACAGACGACGAAGTGGCGTGTAATGGGTAGTCCTAGTCTTTTAGATACTTGGACTGGCAATCTTCTTCTGTACATATGTTGCTGGTTGCTGATATAGTTTTCTTGTTTCCGGTTGTTACGCAGAGTATCGGAAGTTTCTTAGTATAGTATTCAGCTACGCCTATTTTTCCTTGAGTAGCTGCCATGTTGTGCTGCATCTTTTACACAGGCTATGTCGGACAAGTCTTGCAAGAAATCATCTCTTCAGGTCACTGCTTCTGCTCTATAGCGCTACAGAGTTGTGAAACGGCATGCCGTTCAATGTTGCTTGTTACCCTGTATATAATAAGTCGTACAGGGTAGTTACATATATGCTATGTAGCTCTGCCTGGTTTCGAGTAGCTTGATCTTGAGCCTGGGGAAAGTTGACCACTGACGTGGCTCGTATGTCGACCATTCTTACGGTGGTGGGAAGGGGTAGGACGAGAAGTAGAACTGGGAGTAATAGATTGAAACCTAAGCGAAGCCTGAATTGAATTGAATAGAAATCGTGATTCTTGATAAAGAGTGCTGGGTGATGAAGGGAACTAGGACGAAACTCTGCGGGTGATCTACAAAGTATTATAACCGTGCACCATCACGTGCCTCCGCTGCACCTACACACAAATTCTCATAAGATGTAACATGCTACCGTATATGCCATAATGCCACAGTAGCATTAATTATGTGAGACGCCGGTGAAAAATGGTTTCGGATGTTCAGCTGGTCACTCTTAGCTTGTCAGCTAGCCACGTAATTTGCAATTTTCACCAAACATGTCACGTCATGCAACATATGCGCTTCCGTGCAACCGGATCCTGTCGAAGTATATTTGCAGTTTACCTGTAGAAGACAATATAACAAATACAACTCCCTACCTACCTGCATACTGTGTAATAATATGTTAACTGTTATAAAATTTCGTGGTAGATAGACTCTCCTGTTTGCTTATATCCCACCCGAGCCGGCCATATAGTGAAACACTTCCCCAGAAACCCTTCTACCCTACATATTGCCGACCCTTTTACGGCCTTTAATAGCGCAATTACCTGGTGCCTACATACAGACTACAAATCTCGTGCTAGCTGGCAAGCCTACCCTCCGTAAGTCAGTCCGTAAATGGAACGGCTAGAACCCAGCGCAGATATCGTTGATAATAATAATAATAATAAATACATTAATCAATGATGCGTAGATATTGGTATATCATGGTCTATATGTACACATTGTGTCAGGTACGACTATGCAATATGTCGTGTAAGGGGATGCACTTGCGATTTGTCGGTGTAGCAATCGGTTTTACAGCCGATAGACGAGAACAACGAGATGTAAGACCTACGTTAGGGGCATGGAAACGGTGAAAGAGTGAAACGTTCCTATTAAACTCATGATCGTTAATTGGTCAATTGCTAGCTTAACTCCGTCCACTTGGGTTTTTGTGGTGAAGTAAAGACTTCCCTCCCGGTGGCCAATTGAGGGTCTCGGATATTTCGGGGGCGAGCAACCGGGAAGAAGCGTAGACACTACCTATTCTTGTGATCTGCACCACTTGGGACCCGAAGGCTTGAACACGACCTCGCACTTCGAAACTTCAACTACATCTCCAAGGTTCTTTTTTGTTCATCGATAATTCCAATCGAATGTGCTTCTTTGGGTTATGATTAACTGCACCCAAGACCAGCTAGCGCGAGACTCTGAATGGTGCAGAGTAGCCATGGATTGCCTGGGTTGGCGTAAGGATTCAACGTTGGTTTCGTATGAGATGAGTCGAGTTTAACCCGGAGGCTGGCTGCTGTAGAGAAATGGAGCTCAGTTATTCCATACCTTTGCCCTCCTCTTCCCTCACCGAGTCCCCAAAAACAACAAAATGCATGCACGCTGGATGGTAGTACATAAACACACACGCCTCCGTAGAAAAAAAGGCCCTCTACCCGCCATCGAAAACTCCCATCCCCTCCTCATTATCTCAGATAACCTCTTTTGTTGCCAACGCTGGAAAAACACCTTTACTCAAATCATCGGCTTTATTACTCATATTAAATATGGCCATTGCATTTGGAGAGCCGATACCTATCGGCGATGAGCATGTATAGCCCTAATCACTGAACATAGACACGACCACCAGCACTAACCAGTTCTTACAAGGCAATCTGCGTTTCGCTTCCTGAATGGAATCACTCGATAGGCTTTAGCTGCCAGGATTCTGAGGTTTTGGAGGCCCTCAAATCGGGATATCCCCGTTTCAGCCTTCACAAGGCTGTCTCGAGGTTGGAGGAGAGGCTGCTTAGCTGGGCAACATCACTTCCTTGTCACACACTCGCTCTCGTCCCAGAAGAAGCCATTAAGCTATTCCCAAGCGATAGAATGGCCAAGGCATGTCAAAAATACCTACAAGCTTCTGAGGTGGAGAATCGCGGCAAAATGCGTGTTCGCGTTGCCCACATTACCTTGGATGGCGAACTTGAGGACATCAGTGGAGTTCAGGCGGCAACATGGCATGACCCCCCTGAAGAGCATGTTTTTTCCGTGACGTATCCTAGTCGCCTCTCTCGCCGTGCTTGGAAGTTCTGGCTGCATACAGGTTACGGCATTTCTAGTCGTTTTTCTGCCTTTTGGCTCAAAAAAGCCTCGTTTCTTTGGCATAACCATGACGTTAGAATCAACAGATCAGGCAAAATATTGCCAGTAGAAGAGGCGATAGAAGCGGCAGAAGCTATGCGAGAGCACATTGCAACTCTTTATTCGACTCAAGAGGTCAAAGCAACCAGAGGAGATGTGTTCCTGTTCCAGGGCGGTATGGCGGCCATTACGCAGACGGCCACATGTTTGAGTATACTTTGCGCCAGTCGATTTGAAAGGAAAACAGGCTATCGGGTTGCGATATTTGGGTGAGTTCAAGACCAGTAAACGCCGAAAGAGAACGGCGCTAACGCTATAGCTTTTTATACACTGATACCTTGAAAGTGCTCAGCAACATCCTGGGTTTCAATAGTACCCACTACGGCTATGGTTCATCTAAGGACATGGATGCACTCGAGTATGAGTTAAAAGAAGGACGGGCCATCGACGCTCTCTATACCGAGTTTCCCACTAACCCGCTACTTACAATTGTCGATCTCGAGCGCTTACATGCGCTATCGGTTCAATACGACTTCGTTCTCGTTGTCGATGACACTATCGGAACCCCTATCAATCTTTTGATAGCTCCCTGGTGCGATGTTGTCTGTACTAGCTTGACGAAGATGTACAGTGGCGCCGGCAACGTCATGGGTGGGAGTGCTGTTGTAAGCCCTTGGTCGCGCCACCACGGTGTCTTGCGTGCGGCACTCACGGCGTATCATGAAGATACCTACTTTCCGCACGACTTGCTAGTTATGCACGCCAATAGCTCCAAATTTGAGGAGCGCGTAGCCACAGCAAGTCGTAATGCTCAGAGTGTCGCTGAGCTCCTACGCCGCCACCGGCTTGTAACAGAAGTTCTCTACCCTTGGGGTGGCCCTACACAATCTCTATATGACAAATTCAAGCGACCTGGTGCTGGATACGGCTTTCTAGTGTCGGTACGCTTCTCTCAACCTGCTGTCGCTATCGCCTTCCACGACGCCCTCGAGACAGCGAAAGGCCCGAGTTTTGGTACTAATTTCACCCTCGCTTGCCCATATACAGTGCTCGCGCATTACGGCGAGTTGGACTGGGCAGCGCAGTTTGGCGTCTGGGAGCACCTGGTCCGTATCAGCGTCGGCGCTGAGGATCTCGAGGTACTATTTGGGATTTTCAGCAACGCCCTTGCCGCCGCTGAGAACTACTTTGTCTAATTAGTAGTAGGAGCCGCCGCCGTCTAGTTAGTATTACTAATAATAAACTATATACTAGGCTAGTTTATAATACTATCTATATAGTAGATAGAAAATTAAGTACTTTATTAAGAGAAAGATATTAGACTTATTATAGAGCTAGCGCTACTAAGTCTAATAGTAGAATATTAATTTATTCTATATATATAACTTACTTTATTATCTTAGTCTTCTTAGAGTAGCTATATCTTCTCTTTTTAACTTAGAATCTTAGTAAATATAATATATAACTTATTTACTTATTTTATTTTATATTATTTATTAGAGGTTAACTCTAGAGATATAATACTAGCTACGCCTATACTTACGTTTAATACTTATTAAGCCTTACTAAAGCCTTAACTCTAAGTCTACCTTTTTAGTAGCGCTTATATATACTTAAATATTAGAGTCTAAGTCGACTTCTACTTTCTTCTTTATTAAACTTATTATATTCTTTAAGAAACCTTAGTATATATACTACTTTTCTATAATATTATAATATTATTCTAAGTTTATAACTCTATTTTAGTAAGAACTTAAAAGATACTATCTTTTATTAAATAATTTAAATTCTTTAAAATAATAAAATCTTTAGAATTAATCTTTTAGATATAGTTTATCTCTATAGACTATAGATAGATAGAAGATATTTAAATAAACTACTACTAAATTTATTAAAAGAATAGTAAAGTTCTTTAATAATATAAACTCTCTTAAGAAGATTATTAATATAGTTAATACTAAAGTCTAAGAAGTTAAAGTCTCTATCTTTACTAGATTTATTATAATTCTATAAACCTTAAAAATAAGTAGCTAGTCTATATAAATAAAGGAAAAATAGAAAGTATTTATAGAGAACTATAATAGCTATAAGTAAAATAAATCTCTATAAAAATAGATCTTATATAAGCTTAATAGAAGCTATATAGACTTTAGGTTTTTATACTATTATAATTAGTAAAAGTAACTACTTTATTTCTTTTAGACTTTAGTTAAAGCTTTTTAACTCTTACTAAGTTTTAATAATAGACTTAATAGAGAAAAGTTATAAAAACTAAAATAGCTAAAAAAGTAGTAAAATAAAATAAAGATTTAAATAATACTAACTCTAAAGATCTAAATAAATCTAATAACTTAAACTATAAAAATAAATCTTTATAATATAGATTTAAAAGAGAAAGTTACTATATATACTACTACTAATTATCTTATATTTCTAATAATTTTCTAACTAATTTTAGTTATATTTCTTTTAAGATCTCTAATCTACTAATTCTTAATAATAAATTAAACTCTAGTTATAAGTTCTAGATAGTACTTCTTAATATAAAGCTAGAAAAGAATATTAACTACTTTATAGATAAAAAGATTATAGTCTCTTATATCTTTAATAAAACTACTTATTTTATCTAGAGCTACTTAGCTCTCTATTTAATAAAAGACTTAATTAATCTATTTATTACTATTTAATAAATAATGGATCTTCTTAATTTATACTTTTAGATTACTAATAAAAGAGTCTAAGCTAGATAAGAATTCTATAAACTAAAATAGTCTAGTAACTAGACTTTTTAGAGATTATTTATAAAGTTTTAATATCTTACTAGACTAGTTAAAGTTTATTTAATTACTTTATTTATTAATATATTTATATATTTATATATTTAAATAATAACTATTGACTATAGATTATATTAAACTATTAAAACTTATAGAAAAACTTTCTCTTTCTAGTATAATAATATTATATTATTAAAAGACTTCCTTTATTTATTTGTTAGTTTTATATATAATATATAGTAATAAATACTTATATTATTCTCTTTCTAAACTTAATTAGGTTAAGGCTAAATAGTACTATAGTTTAAACTAAGTCTACGTATTCTTATTATTTCTATTCGTTAGAGATAAGAATAATAATATAGTAAGCCTTAGTAATTTAGCCGGCATATAGGTATATGTAGCGCTATTTAATCTAATAGGCTACTTTATATAGTATAGATATCGGTACTTATACTATAGGCTAGTTAGATATCTAAAGATATCGGTAGTTATACTATAGGTTAATTAAATCCCTTAAGATATCGGTAATTATACTATAGGTTAATAGTTTAGCTTTAAAGCTTATTAATAACTAAGTTTCTTAGGTTATATATAGTTAGAATTTTCTTCTATAGTTTTAAGTTCTTTAAGTAAAATATATACTTTTTATATATTATTAAGTTATCTAGTCTTTATTACGCTTTATCTTAAATTTAACCTTCTATAATAAATACTAATAAGGTCTAAGTAAAGTTACTTTTAAGTTAATATATATAAAGTCTATAGAATATAAAGATACTCTTTATTATTTAGTTTCTTAATTAAAGCTTTTATAGTACTAGTTACTATAAACTCTAAGAGTCTATACTTCTCTCTTTTCTATAAATACTAGATTCTATTATAAAGATACTTATTTTTCTTACTTAGTAATAAGAATCTAGAATAACTTCTCTTATTATTAGTTTAATTATTATTAGAATTACTTTATATACTCTCTAGAGATATAAAAACTATTAGTTTCTATTACGGGAAAGTAGTATATATACTAAGGTTTCTTAAAGAGTATAATAAGTTCGATAAAGGAGAAAGTAGAAGTTAACTTAGACTCTAGTATCTAAGTATATATAAACGTCGCTAAAGAGGTAGACTTAGGGTTAGGGCTTTAGTAAGGCTTAATAAGTATCGAACGTAAGTATAGGCGTAGCTAGTACTATACCTCTAGGGTTAACCTCTAATATTACCCCTCTTCTCTTTTTAGAATTATATTAGTACTCGCGTAGTAGTCTATCTTATTAATATAAGGCTTCTATACTATAACTTCTTATTTCGCTAAAAATATATCGGTTTCTACTAGTTACTAAACTTACTAATACGACTTTACCTTTATATTAACCTTTGTTTTTACTTTTCGATCTACTACTTAATATAGTAGGAATAATAGACTTCTAAGGTAAGTATACTAGCTCGGCGCTAGTAGAATCTATAATATAAAAGGCTCGATCTATTCTATTTTTCTTTCTTTCTTTTTTACTACTACTATACTCTTCTAGATAAGTTAATTTCTTTTCTTTAAAGTCTACCTCTTTCTAATTAGGGCTAGTCCTCTAAAGCTTCTCTATATATATATTACGCGAACTACGTAAAAGATAAAATTAAATATATTAAATAACTAGTAAGTTTTAGACTCTACTAGAAATATATTAGTCTCTACTAACTTTCTTAGTTATCTCGAAGTTATATATATATTTCTTACTATAATAAAAAATATAATTATAAACCTCTATAAGTATCTTAGCCTTTAGCGGAAATCTATCGGCCTTTCTTATTTTCCTATAACTAATAGATATAGTTCTTAATTTACTTATATAGCTTATACTACCTAGACTAGATTAAAAGATTTAGTAATATATATCTTAGACTCCGCGGATTTTTCGTTAACTAACTAGTATTTTAGTAAGCTAGTCTATTATCGTCTTTATCTTATTCTTAAGGCTTAGAAAGTACTAAAACCTCTATAGAAGGTAGGTCTATTATTCTTATAAATATACCTCTTTTCGCTAGTCTTCTATTACTAACTACTAATTTCTAAAAGTATAGCTCTAGAGGTTACTAGAAGTATAGTAGAGGTTATTACTTAAGATAGAATATTGTAATTATACTCTAGCTTCTAGCTATTTTTTACTACTTACCGCTATTAGGCCTAGTAGTATACTCGCCGCTTTAAAGCTAGGCCCCTAATAAATTACTCTAGAAGACTCTAAAAAGCTAGAGAAGAAGAAGAAGACTACTACTAAGAAACGTAAGAGAGCCTTAGTAAAAACTACGGCTACTAGCGCCGATAATAAAGATTCTTCTACTAATAATAATAAGAATAATCTCGATAATAATATCTAGGTTCTTAATACTTTTTCGATAGTCTCTAAGTTTTTCTATATAGTAAAATTTACTTTAATAATATATTTTTTAAGGTCTATTAATATCTATTCTTTCTTTACCTATTTACGCGCGGCTTCTAGCTATAATACTTATAAGAATTAGTAGTTTTCTCGGTCTTCTAGAGTTATCTAGCTATATCTATAGATTTTATAGTAGTTATATATAATAAAATAATAATATAAAATAATATAATAAAAATCTAAATAAAATAATAAAACTTTTTAATAAAAACTTTTAATTCTTCTCTTAATTCTCTCTTCTTATATAATTTTAGTTAGACTCTATAGTCTAACTAGTTATTTTTTCTCTTCTTCTACTTAGCTAGTAGTCTATTATTTACCTTAAGATCTCTATATTTAGTTTTAAATCGATCTATAGCTTTAGTATTTACTAGGTTTTTTAAGGGCTTCTACGTTAGTTTATAATATTCTATCTACTTAACTAGTACTTATCTAATTTTCCTTCTTTCTCTAGCTTTAATCTTAGTATATAGTATCTCTTCTACTTACTATTCTTTATATATCTCGAAAAGTATAGAGTCTAGCTACGTATTATTAGACTTCTACTCTAGTAGAGGGTCTTAACTTACTAGCCGTAGAAGATCTATATAGAATATAGAGTATATATTACTAAGAATTCTAACTAATCGAATAGATACTAGTAATAATACTTTCTCTACTATATATTTTATATATTTATAGTCTAGACTTCTTTAGTCTATCTATTCTATAGTTTTATAGGTCTAACTATACCTTATCGCCTACTTAATAGACTAGGGCTAAGGTCCTCTTTTTATTAGTATTTTCTTCTTATTTTTATACGGCTTCTACTATATTAGCTTAGTATAACTCGGTAATTTCTTTAATCTTTATTATAAATATTTTAGCTCTTTTAGCTATAAGTAGTCTTATATTAATACTAGGTTTTAACTATAATATAATAAGAGAAGTTATATTATAGCCGTAGGTTATAAAGAATAGACTTATTTCTAAGCCCGCTTA